AGTAATTATCCAGATCACAAAGCATGCTAAAGGAGTAAAAATCAAGGGTCCCTCTACTGCTCAGTATGATGGGTGTGACAAGGCCGAAATAAAAAAACAGACACATAGAACACCTAGGCAACCGTCAATCAAGCCAGGTAGCATCTTATCTATTGCCTTTCTTGACCTTGAGAAGGACTCAGATGGCTACTGGAGTATCATGTTTTTCACTTGCAGACACTTTAGATACGTGTGGGCATATTTCCTAAAAGGAGAACTGTAGAACACATAGTTGGCGCCCTTTAAAGCATTATTAGTATACTAAAGATACAGTTCTAGATTGACGTTAAGGCCATAGAAATAGATAACGAATTCATTAAGCCAAAGGACATTAAAGCCTTTATCAAAACAACCACATCTAAATTGAGCCCTCTTCACCTCACACCAAAGACTAAAATAGAAGCGCTGAACACTTGGTGGGTATAATCAAAGTGAAAGCTCTTGCCATGCGCAGCAGAGCCAAGCTTCCAATATGTCTCTAGCGTCACATCTACACTACAATAGTGTATCTCCACAACCGAACACCATCCTTGCACTATAACTGGAAGACCCCATATGAGATGTTCTTCCAATATCTGTCATTTTGAGACGGCCTAGTTACCCCTCACTACAGGCCAATGCATGCACACTTACAAGCGTATGGCTATAAAATGTTCGCAATGACTGCTGCCGCATAGGAGAAGAAGGACCGCTTCAAGAAACTGAACCCAAAAGCCTGGGTTGGCTATCTTGTAGGATATAACTCAACCAACATCTATCTGGTCTGGAACAAATTAACCAGCAAGGTCCACGCTATGCGTGATGTGATAGCAGACAAGGACCAGATGTTCTTAGGAGACTTGAGCGACCTCAAGGACGACCTTTTATATGTCAGCGAGGAACAACTAACACTATTTCTAAGTAGACACGAGGTGCCATCAAAAATCCTAGAGGACATTTCAGTGTACCAGGAAGATAAAGATCTTAACAGATTAATACAGAAGCACTCAGATAGAGATAAGATAGACCTGAGTAATAATAGTACAAAAGATACCCAGGACAAAGCCAACACAAATGGTAGCAAAGGGACTGATCACCCCTATACATCTGCCGTGTTTGAGCCATACCTGATCCCAGAACCCACTCCTCTGCCTGCGGCAGCACTGCTGGCTGCTACTATCAAAGAGCTTGTGGAGGGCCAGGTCAGAGCATTATGCTCCCAGCGAGCAGAAGAAGGGTTAGATACCCGCTCGTTACCTTCAACTAGGGACGCTCAGGCCATACAAAATCGCTACGAGAATTAGGAAGCAGCGTTCAATGCTGGACGCGTTGCCAATCCTGTTGGTTTGATAGATGGCAAGCTGGTGAGCAAAGCCAAGTATAACAAGTACAGAACCTATAGCTCTCGCCCTGGTGGGAGACCATCACACCAAGGAAATCATCACGGCCCAGCCTCAATACCTGCAAAAGTAAGAAAGATACATCAATGATTATTGCTACCAGAGCCAAAGAACTGGCAAGGTGTCAAGAACCATCTTTACAAGGCTGAGTGGTGTCAAGCCGAGGTTGAGTGGTGTCAAGCCGAGGTTGACCACATCAACAGCCATAATGAGATAGAATCATAGATAATTACTGACAAGTTAGCAGCAAATGGACAGCAAATCCTGGACTGTATGTGGGTATACAAGTACAAGTTCAATAAGCACGGCTTTCTAAGCAAGTACAAAGCATGCCTTGTGGTTTGCGGTGACCAGCAGAATAAGAACATCTATAAAGATACCTACGCATCTACTCTCACAGGCAGATCTTCTAGAGCCCTCATAACAATTACAGCCCGCTTCAATCTTGAGCTCATTCAATAAGATGCCGTTAACGCCTTTGTCAACGCGGACCTAGAAAAGAAGTCTTCATAAAAATGACATAAGGGCATCATAAATAAAGAAAGATCCTCTTATTAAAGAAGGCTATATATAGACTACAGCAATCTCCTTTGTTATGGCAAAAGCATTTCACCAAAACTATCACAGACCTTAGCTTCAAACTAGTCGCTCACGAACCCTGTTGCTTCACAAAGAATGGCATGATCATCTTTTTCTATGTGGATAGTATTGTGATACCCTTCAAAGAACACCATCAGAACGCTATAGAGCTGGTCACAAAGAAGCTCAAAGCTATCTATAATCTTACAAGAGGAGAGCCACTACAGTAGTTGTTAGGGATAAAGATCATTAGTGACCAAAAACAGCGGCTCATCTGGCTGTCTCAAGCCTCATATGTCGATAAGATTACAAGCCATATCAACTGCAACAATAAGTGCCCAGAGATCCCCATGAAGCCTCAAGAACTTCTCCCAAGCAACAAGCTTGCCTTGCCAGCCTCAATCAACAGATACCAAAGGAAGATCAGATCGATCCTGTACGCAGTAGTGATCACATAACTCAGTATCTCCTTTGCTGCCTCTTGACTTTCACGCTTTAATATCTACCTAAACGATTTACATGCTGCTGCTGTAGAGCACCTATTAGAGTACCTAAAAGGTACCAGATCTTTTGCTCTTCAGCTGGGGGGGGGGTAAAGATCTGCTTGAAATATGGAGCGATACGTCGTTTGCTGACAACTGTCTTGACCAAAAGAGCTCACAAGCATATGTAATGAAGCTATTTAGAGACATTATTGACTGGAGAGCGAACAAACAGGACATAGTGACAACTTCAACAACAGAGGCAGAACTGTTATCCCTTGCTCAAGCAGCCAAGGAAGTGATGTTTGTTTTGCGCCTTCTTAGAGAAATTGGCGTATCCTTGGACTGTCTAATTCTCCGGATCTGGTATGACAACCAACAGACCATCAAGTTGGTGCAGAAGGACCTCCAAACACTTCAAACAAAGCTCAAGCACATTGATATCCACAACCACTGGCTAAGGGAAGGGCAACGCAACAGGAAGATAGACGTCGAGTACGTCCAAAACGAAATGATGCTTGCAGACGACCTGACCAAGGCGCTGCCAGCACTAAAGTTCAAAACATTCAGGGAGCAAGTGAGGCTGACAGATATCTATAAGAGACTTGCTGTCCACAAGCTACAAGAACTTAAAGATGACCTCGAACAAGAAGAGCAACAGACTGAATGCTCAGGAACAACCCCAATGGAAGGAGTTGTTCCTTGGGGGGGTGTTGAATGGGAGCCGGAGATAGACACCGGAAGATCTCCAATTGGGCAGAGACGCATAGGGCATCTGACCCACCAAGAAGACAGATAATCAATCTCTGTACACTGAAGAAGCAGAAGAACACAATCAATAGAATCCATCAACATCCGTATGTTCAACACTTATCCACCTCAGCTAATAATAAGTAAGTATCTCGCTTGTGACGTTATCAATTTCCAGCCTAATGCGGATCTATCATCTCGTTATTTTCCTCATTTTCTCTGGGTTTTGCATAATTTAAATCAAGTGAGCTTAAAGCAATAACTTAGCTTAATTTAATATTATTAAGTATGGAAAAGATCGGTTCAGTGGTTCAGGTCATCATGTTGCTTACATTCTGGGTGCAGATCTACCCTTGGGTCTTGGGACCTGTTCAGGTACTAAATACACATACCAACTTCAAAGCAATGCCCAGCCTTTGATCCGGAGGGTAAAGATCTCTTGTCCCAGATACACTAAAGCTCAAAGCCCGCTTCTAGGCTGTTCCTTCCTTTCAGTGCTGCTGTCAGCCTTGTCAGCCTTGTCACCCCTAGAAGCGTGCTACAGCACACCTGTGAGCCACCCGACTGCTTACATTAAGTAAGTTAAGTTAAATTGGGTTTAAAGCTTACTTTATTTATAAATATAAGTTCGAAGCTTTTATAATTAATAAAATAATAATATTTTCTTTTAAACTTATATTATTAGCTATATTTATTATATATTACTTTATATTTTTTAGTTATATTTATTATATCTAACGTAGATGACAAGCGAGCGGCAATTACAAGCGAACGGCAACTTATTACCAACCTTCTAACTAACATGTCAAATAACTTGATGTCACGATTTTGGAAATGTATTGGAAGGATACAGGGACCCTTATTGACTATTAACGTATAACGAACTCTGGTTGAAGGAAAGGAAAGATCTAGAGATGCACCCGAATTGGTAGGCAGCTAGATGTGGGCAGTCGTCCCCTACCAGACCCACCATGGCATGGATCAACCTATCGTCCGATCAGTCACGTGCTCAGTCACGTGACCCGGGGACTATGGGAACCATCGCTAGACCTGCTAGATGGTGGTGTTGAATACACGGATGTTGATTGACGCTATTGATTGTTCTGCTCTGCGTGCAGAGATTGGTCTGTCTTTTGTCTTCTTGGTGGGTCAGATGCCCTGTGCGTCTCTGTCCCACTGGAGATCTTCCGGTGTCTATCTCCGGCTCCCATTCAACACATTCGTGCTAGTATCTAATAATAAGGGATGGGGATAAGCAAGACGCGACGGCGCGTCAATTGAGGGCCGAACAAATTCATTTCCGGTGCCATGGTAGCGCCGGGGCCTTGTCGCTCTCAGGTCGCCACACTTCGTCTTACCGGGGCGGGTTGACTTTGCCACGTGAATTGCATGACCGAACGAATGTCCCAGGTAGTACGGCGCCCATTCCAACGTCTAAAAGGTCCATGACTAAATGCGTCCCTGCTCCCAATGAGCCGACCACCCTTCCAAACCTCCCTCAACGCAACGCACGGAGCTTTACAATTATGGGTGCCTTCGACGTCGAGACCACTGATTTCACTCATCGTACTCCTTGGAAGATCCAACAAAGAGAAGCCGGAGCTTCAGACGAGATGTCTTTGTCTCTTGAAAGTGCGTCTGTCTATAAGTTGTCAAATCAAGCCGACACAGTTCTGCGTCGCAAAACAACCTTCCCGTCATTCAGAGCTGCAGCAAACTGTTCGCACATACTTCTGTAACTGCTTTCCACGTCCCTAACTTGTCCTCATCAATGGCGCAGCGAAGAGGGCCGAAGTACGAGCCCGTGTATGCCGATGCCGAGAACGTGGAGATGTAGGCACTGGGAGGATACCACCCGATTCATCTAGGCGACACTCTTCACGGAAGCTATGAGGTATTCGCTAAGCTTGGTTGCGGTGGCTACTCCACGGTGTGGCTCTGCTTCGACACGCAGAATCAGAAATGGAGAGCCGTCAAAGTAATGGCCGCTGTTGTCTCGACGGAAGATTGTGCCGATCTCAAGATCATGGAAGCATTGAAGGGGCTGAACTTGGAAGGCACCCATATCATGCTGCCTATGGGTTACTTCTGGATCGATGGACTGAATGGACGTCATCTTTGTCTTGTCCTTCCTGTTCTTGGCCCTTCCGTCAGAGAGGTCCTCCAAGAAAGCCTTACCGTTCGCAAAGATATCATGTGGCAAGTTGCCCAAGGCCTGCAATTCCTCCACGACCACAACATCTGTCACGGCGACCTCAGGACAGACAACATCATGCTTCGAATGCCCTGCTTGGATCACATCACAAAAGACGAGATGGAAACCCTATTAGAAGAACCGGAGAAGGATGATGTCCACACCTTGGACGAGCGAGGAGAAGACCCCGTAGCTCCAAAATATCTTGTCAGCGCTCAGAGGATAAAGATGAAGCCAGAGCTCAACGCAGCCATCATTGATTTTGGGGTCTAGTTTGAGATGGCTCAACCGCCAACAACAACCAATATTCCAGGATCATATGTATCACCTGAGGCATGGCTGGGGCGGGAGATGGGCCGCAGCCTTAATGTATAGGCTTTTACCTCCACGATCGCTGAGACTTGCGCCAAAGCGCGGCTATCGCCGACGGTAGTGACAGGCAAATGGCGCGACGTATGGAGACCATTCTAGGGCCGTTTCCAAAACCATACCAAAACGCATGGATCAAGCAACAGCCAGAGGAGGACATGCTGAAGTGGGTGTCGAGACGGAAAACTGTAAGGTGCCGGTTTCGATGGGTGTGGGTCGCTGGGAGGAGGAGCTGGAACTACAAGCACAGGACACCGGATACTCGGACATGCTGGAAGTGCAGCTTGGCAAGGAACGCCGACATTATCAATACCCTCAGGATGCCAATGGTCAAGCTGAGTGGTCAAAGGAGACAGAAGTGGCAACGCACAAGCTCCCTAGAGACGATGTTCGAGTGTTGGCAGACCTTATCCGTCGAGCCTGCCAATACCAGGTCTCAGAGCGCCTTGACCTGACAGGCATAATGGACCACGAATGGTTTGATGGACGCGAAAGATTCCCTGCCGGCAACAGTACGTTGGCAAACGATGACGGAGGCCCCATAGCAGAAAACGCCGGAGATGTAGGCAAAGTCGCGCACGTCGCAGCCACGACCGCAAAGGACAGTGCACTAGGCCAGAGCCATACGTTTGAAGGTGTTGAAGCACCACAAGTGTGAGCCAACGGGCAGCAAAGGAGACACCACAGGTCTTGAGGCTAGCGATCGTCCTATCTAGCCAAACTCCTCCACGAGTCCCCCTCTTGTCAGCCGAGCCAAAACACATTGCACTGCCTGGACCCGTCGTGTAACGGCGTGCAAGACCAAGCCCCCTTTCAGGTCGTAGAAGCCATCGGATCTGGACATTGCTGGTGCCACGTGCTTGGGATAGGGGTATGCAATTCTGCAAATTGACCGACGGGCTGTGCAAAGCTGAGAAATAAGGCTGGACGCCCTGAACGTATAATATAAGCACTTTGCATTTGCCACGATGCTTACATGTGGGACAACCACCCCTATTGCCCGGGCGCAAATTGCCATCACGAAGTTGCATATTTCGTGCGATGTATTCACGCAAGGTAGAGGTTCGCTTAGCGGCCAAGTCAGCCCGAGATATATGAGGACTCAGTCAGCCGCCACGAGATGCAAGATGCCGGTCTCTTGTTGCCGCAGCTGAAACCGCAGCCGCTGACTTGGGAATTTGTTCAGTCATGAATCCCAGCACCAACGCCAACGATCCCAAAGCCGACCGCGTCTGGAATTGCCCTGCTGTGCCGCCTTATTGTAGCGGACGCGGTCAGATTGAGGCATCCTGAACTATTGAAGTTCGTCTGGGTAAGTTATCTGTGGTGGAGGCGCAGTGAGGGATTCGTGGATCAAGCCAAGGCGTAAAGACTTAGGCCTACTGGAAGACTAACTTAGTGAGTCGAGAACACGCCTCGATATGTTATTCCATGATTGTGTGATATATGACTGCCCGGCTCAGGTTGTGGCGCCCTTTGGATATGGTAGCTGGACATTCTCCTGAATGGTTGCTGAACGTGGAGGTGTATGCCATCGCCGCATCGAATGCTTAGCAAGGCTTGATATGATCTACCGAGGTCGGCAGAGCTTACCGAGTCTGTACTCCTATTCCCTACTATATCGGGTGTTTAAGGCTGTGGATCGAGGTCAGCTGGCCAGAACCCAGACTGACGGGCCGCTGCTGCCCTTGAACACTGCATAATCGCAATGCAGCGTAACGGCCGCAATGCAGAGTCACGGGAACCCGTCCTGGCCTCATGCAAGAAGTACGAGCCCCTGCATAAAGTCCGATCCGGCTACCCGAGGTCGGCCTCGCGGGAATTTCCCTTGTCCAAAGTCCAGCCGCTTCGAATATGCGGGATGAGAGGAAGAGATCTCACATTGGTTAAGAAGACTTTACGGCTTGGAGCAGAGTTCGTCAAAAATAGCTCAAAACCGGTGACCGGGGAGAATCTACCGCCTCAAACGCCACACGTCTTGAGCTGAGGCAATGGATATCCCCCTACCACCAGGAAGTATGCTTCTTAGGGCTGAAGTCATCCTTTTGAGCGCACGTGGGTGTCGCGTGATGGTGCTTCGTCTAGGAAACGCGAGGTAGGTAACTTTTGTTTACCACATCACCCCTGCGTCTAACACTTATCGTGTGGCGTCTAAGATACGTAGTACGGTACGCTGACCGACAGCGACCCCTGCTCAAGGGTAAGGCTGATGAACCGGTGGCCAATTCTCATAACGCCTTGGATCCTCTGGTCCTTCCACGTTGGACAATGGAACAGCCACATGGTGGCGATATTGACTCCTCCTCGAGTGTTGAACATTGTGGTAGACGACCCCTGCGTCCACTGTGAAGTCCCCTTTCGTTCCTGCAGGATGCAATATTGATGGCTTGCAGCTGAGAGCAGTGCTTTAGACCATTCGCATGCAGTTCGCAGCGCCACAACCGCCCTGTTTCCACGTTGTCTGCTGTCTCACGTCAACTCCCGAGAGCGAGAGCACGTTGGCAATACCGTGCATGGGACGCTCGAACACCTAATCCTCCGAACGTAATTTCGCTTGCAGCACTTCCTTCCACCGGCAGGTGGCCCGCCATTGGAACAGTCGCAAGGCGGCTGAGAAAAGCGAGACTATGAGTAACGCGTCTGTCGTCCATCGCGTTGCGTTTTCGTGGACATCAGTCGCACCACGTTGCCCTGTACTGTAAGAACATTCCGTTTAGCACTTGATCTCGGTCCTAACAAGAAACAACCCAGTTCAACTGTTTACGAGTAGTTATTCGGAAGGGAGTCCTTGCCCGATTTCGGGCCGCATTTCCTGTCCTCTTCGTGCGTAAGACGTGTGAATTGGACCCGACACCTGGATACTCGATGGGATTTCGCGTGCGCCAAGGGCCACATCAACGGCCCGTCGTTTTCGCTTGGAGTCCAGCTGGCCGTATCAGCCGCTTATGGTATCAAAGCCCTTTTGAGACCATGGAAGCGCGTTGGGTACTGTTTCTCCCGGGGAGTCTGCCTCGAGCAATCTTACCGAACACGGACTCCGACCAGCTTGACTCCTGTCCAGTCCTATGTCACTCATTTTGCCCACCATATTCTCCAGCACATGACGCCGTGCAGCCTTTGCCCAACTAGCCCGTTGCTTCGACCCGAAGTTCGAAGTGCGAGGCTCCCACCTTGCCAAGGGAATAGCCATTGATGGCAACCTCTGATATTCGAAGGACCGTCGCCGTCTTTCCTGCAATAGTCCTGACTATCGAATGTGGCCTCAAATCCTGATGTGCAAGGATCGTGAAGGGAATGGCGGCTGACTCTTCAACGCCTGGCCATGTTCGCATAACTCAGCTCTGAAGGTCATCAGGTCGCGCCGCGAAGAAGCGAGGGTGTATCGAGCAGACTTATCGAACGCCTCCTTGGAGCGACGGTCCTCTATCCCGAGCACTCAAGGGGCTAGAAGATGGGGGCCTTTGCAGAATGCTCTCGTGTCAGGGAAAGCTGTATTTCTCCATATAAGACGTGTCGTCCTTGCCGACTTCCAATTCAACTTTCTCGTCATCGCCATCATCACATTCTCTTGTCATTGCCGAGTGGCACAGTTCCCATCGTTCTCTAGTTCTTTTTCAACTTCAAATTCTTATACAATTAATCTTGCATAATCAATATTAATCACCAAAATCACCAACCAACATGCGTTTCCCAACATCCCTTACCGGTATCATGACCGGGATATTCTTCTGGGGACTTGCTACCGCGGCCCCGTCGGGATTACAGACACTAGAACCTCGAGCTGCTGGATCATGCCACTCTGCAACCAGCCGTGCTTGTTGGAGTTCCGGCTATACCGTCCAGACGGATTACGAACAGAGCACCCCACCAGGCGGCATCAAGACTGTACGTTGGGCACGAACTAACCTCATATCCCTTACTCGTACAGGAGGCTGACTGAGTGGACAGTTCAACTGGGAGATCACGGAGCATGACAATTGGCAAGGCCCCGATGGCAGAGTCAAGAGCAAGGTCATGCTCGTCAACAACCAGTACCCCGGCCCAACTTTGACGGCTGACTGGGGAGACACCATCAAGGTCACTATCAAGAACAGCCTTCGCATCAACGGCACCTCGATCCACTGGCATGGCTTTCGACAGTTCGGGACCAATATCCAAGATGGTGTCAATGGCATCACCGAATGTCCCATCCCTCCAGGAGGATCCAAGACCTACACCCTCAAGGCGACCCAATATGGAACGTCCTGGTATCACTCCCATTTCTCTGCTCAGTACGGCAACGGTGTCGTCGGTTCCATTGTGATCAACGGGCCTGCCTCCTCGAACTACGACATCGACCTTGGCGCCTATCCGATCTCCGACTACTATCTGAGGACGGCTGACCAGATCGTGGGGGACACAATGGTCAGCCCTGCACCCCCAGCCAGCGACAATGTTCTGTTCAACGGCAAGAACATCAACCCTGTAGGGAGCGGTGGCGAGTATTCCAAGCTGACTTTTACGCCCGGCAAGCGACACCGTCTCCGGTTCATCAACCCTTCCGTCGAGCACAACTACCAGGTCTCCATCGTCGGCCACAACATGACCGTCATCTCGACGGATTTCGTGCCGGTCAACTCGTTCTCGACCGACAACGTCTTTCTCGGCGTGGGCCAACGTGTGGATGTCACCATTGACGCATCGAGGACGATCGGCAACTACTGGATGAACGTCACCATGTACGCAAACAACTTCTGCGGTTCTTCAGTCAACACCTTCCCCGCTGCCATTGTCCAATATGCCGGGGCTCCGAACACCAACCCGACAGACAAGGGAACTCTGCCTGCCAACACCAACTGCAGAGACAGCCTGGACTATGTGCCCGTGGTGACGCGCCAAGCCCCGTTAGACACATTCACCCCCAACGCATCAGACACCCTCGACATCACCCTCGAGACATCGGCCCTGGTGAGCTGGAAGGTCAACAACTCATCCATGGTCGTCCAATGGGTGCGTAATACCTAGAAGTCTATGTTGAATTTTACTCATATCCTCATAGGACAAGCCGATCATCCAGTACGTGATGGACGGCAACACCTCCTACCCCACGTCCGAGAACGTCGTCGTCGTCAGCCAGCCCAACCAGTGGACCTTCTGGGTGGTCGAGAACGAGTCGCCCATCCCCCACCCCTTGCACCTGCACGGTCATGACTTCATGGTGCTTGGCGCCTCGGCCGCCAACGCTGGGGCCTTCACGGCTGCGGACAAGACCCAGCTCAAGGCGAATAACCCCGTCCGTCGCGACGTGACCATGCTCCCTCCCAGTGGGTGGGTGATCCTGGCTTTCAAGGCCGATAACCCGGGGAACTGGCTGTTCCACTGCCACATCGCGTGGCATGTTGCGTGAGTTGCCCCATCCCCCTTCTGATTATGTGTTTGGCGCGGATTTCCCATTTAACCCTGCTTGGGAGCTCCGTGCACCCAGAGATTGAGTATACGAAATAATCACTGACTCCTGACTTCTACAGAGGCGGGCTGAGCGTCGACTTCCTCGAGCGCGTGCCAGAGCAGAAGGCGCTGATCAGGCAGGCCGACTCGACAGCCTTCAATTCCAACTGCGCGGCCTGGCGCAAGTACTATGCTACGAGCCCCGAGAAGCAGATGGACTCGGGCCTCAAGATGCGAGAGATCACGATTTGAAGTGCGCGGTCATGGGACGCTTAGGCCTGGTCCGGCTTCCCGTTGCTTTCGACCATTACATCGTTTTGTTCCCAGGCTTTGGGGCGTGTCGGTGAAACGATATTTTCGCTGATATCGCTATAGGAGTCGTGTGTGGGCGTAATTCTAATGTATGAATTTGGAAAGGGGGGAGGGTACATACATTTGTTGACGTTTCAGAGGCGGGCTTGGGTGTTTAGTCCTGATCGTTTCATTCTTCGCTCCTCCGTGTTCTATGTTCCGTTCATTTTATTATCTTGGGATACCGATTTCCATCCACTCTTGCCACATTGGCTCCGCTGGTGGTGGGTGGAGCGTGTTTACTTGCTAGGCAAAGGTTGGAAGATAGGGAGGATTCATGTACATACCTACACATAGGTGTTTGTCCTAAGAGATTTGCGAACACAAAGCCGACGATATGTATAAGTAAACTATGATCGTTTTTAGCAGTATATCTCCGCCCATGCGAAGATGAAGTGTACAGTCTGCTTCCAATCCGGGGCAGTGAATGGTACGAAGGTGACTTTACCCAACGTGCAGCAGTCGCGCCAGGTCCCAGGGTCAGGGGCAGGCCCAGCAGATGGAAACACGTAAAGGCCCTCGTTGTTGTCCGCCTTGCCCTATATAGCTTGTTGCCTAGGCTGTCCGTGTCTCCCACCTATGACCAGGCCTCACCATGCCTCACCATGCCTCATCAGGCCTCATCTCAGGCCCGACGAGGTTGAGTATCCCCCTAACGCCTTGTCGAAGATGGTATCCTCTTCGGCCTGTTTCGTGTCTGCTAGTGCCAATACATGTGCTTGCCTGCCCGCAAACCTATTCAGCCTTTGCGGCTCCGGTGTGTCTGGCGGGTTCGAGCTGCGTCCAGGAGGCAAGTAGCTGAAGAACAAGGGCACGCACACGTCACGTTAACCGCGGTCAAGGAAGTTATAGGAGCCTCAGTATGCAGTCTAGTACTATATAAATGGATCGGTACTAGCGGCATTTCAAGTCCATGGATCATTTCACCCGTCAACACCTGAGTGAAAGGTCCTGCCGCCGTGCCCACTAAGGCAGTGTTGAAAAAAAAGATACCTGACTCTTCTGTGTTCAATGCGCCTAAAGTAATGTAGTCTGGGCCAGGCCGGTTCCAAGACTAGCGGGCAGGCCCTGGAACTGAGACCTCCACGCTTTGAGTGCGGTATCAACTCCGTCATACGACCCAGAAAAAAAAGCGCCGTTTTGTCCTAGTCGCGCGACCTGAAAGCCACAGCACTCACCAGGCACAATCCCCTTCAACGTTTCCTCAGGTGCGTCTCGCCGGTCGCGTACCATTACTATATCAATTTGTCTGTTTGTCGGCTTATCTCCTGCCGGTTCTGTTTGCACCCTGCATCTGACATGGCGTCGATATTCAACAACCTTTGGGGGAATACCCCCAGCAAAGCAGCCAGCAACGGACAGGTCCCGGGCAGCTCCGGGTCAAGGGGTACCAAGAGAAAAGCAAAGCCGGACCCCTACGACGACATGGACGAAGGTAATGCTACCTAAGCACGAATGCGACGTCCTCACTAGGCGACTGACTGGAATGTACAGATGATGCGCCAATGCCCGCCCCATCGCGACGCGCCAGTTCGCGCATATCTGAAGCATCGACTTCCGTTGACAAAGCTCGATTATCCGTAGGCAAGATTAGTATGGCTCAATGCGATACATGATGCGCTGGTGGCCAACGGCTAACCCGTGGTATAGAGCGTCGAAGCCGATCGTCATTACCCAGCCGTGTCAGCGATGCTCCTCAAGCCTCTCCCCAAGCGTCTCGTATCGATGCAGCCTCGAGTCGGGCTCGTGCGAAAGCCCCGGAACCCGCCCAATTGCAAGCAGATCCAGACGAGGAGAAGAACAGAAACTCACTTGTCCCAGTAGCGGACATGGGCGGAGAAGGTACGAAGCTTCCATCGCGCAAACAACCTGCCTATCCGAGTCCATCCAGCTGACGTGAGTTTGCTGTGCAGATCTCCTGGGAAGCAACGATGCCCCCGACGCGGTTGCCGATGCCGCTCCTCGACCCAAAGCTGGAATGGCCAATAAGTCTACCGCCAATAACACGCACAAGGGCAAAGGCAAAGCAACCCAACTAGAACCCGAGGAGGCCGAGGAAGCCGAGGAAGATGACAGGGAAGAGCATGAGATAGCCTCTCTCGTGAAACATCGCATGTCTGCTGATGGCAGCGGTGCCGTGGACATATTAGTCCACTGGGCCGGCGAGAAAGCTGAGGATGCCACGTGGGAATCGGAGGAGGAGATCCAGAAAAGCGCAGAAGAAGCCCTCTACGCTTACTGGAGAGCACAGGGCGGCCGGCTGAATGCCCTGTTCATCAAACCGAAGAACCCTCCGACTGAGACATATCACGTGTTCAGGATCCTAGGCCACGAGAAGAAGTCGAGAGGTGGTTTTCAGTTCGAGGTACAGTGGGTTGGTCATCCTGCCACACGTGGTGAGACCTCGATGGAAACCGAAACGAAACTGAAAAACGTCGCGCCCGAGTTACTGAATGAATACTGGGAGATTGTCGGAGGTCGAGCCAGCCACCTGGCTAAGCGTGGTCGTGCTAAGAAAGCGAGGACCGAGTAGGCCCTCCTTCCAGGGTGTTCATCAACCGCTTGTACATATGTAGGACACTCGGTCTTTCTACACAACAATCAATATCATCAATCAAGATCCGTGTATTCAACAGATGTTCATTGATGCTATTGCTTGTTCTGCTCTGCGTGCAGAGATTGATTATCTGTCTTCTTGGTGGGTCAGATGCCCTGTGCATCTCTGCCCCACTGGAGATCTTCCGGTGTCTATCTCCGGCTCCCATTCAACAATATACAATGCTGTGCAAGTCCGACAGAGACGAAAGGTCAGTACATAAAACAGCCATTGCCCACATGGCGAATACCCCCGACTTTCGCAACATAGTATTCATCATGTTTTGCCCGCATTATTAGTGGCCACGATGTCCCTTGCATCCCGTTATTTATTTGCTCTTACCGTTGTGCTTTGCGCCCGCAGGTACCTCATGGTCAGCATCTTGTATTCCGGCAGGCCGCGATCGGCCTTGGTGGGGTCCGGAAGAAAGCGTGAACTTCATTGCACGCGACGCCCGACGAGGTTCTCCGACGAAGTTCTTTCATGACTCGGCAACTCTTCGCAACGCACTCGGGAGCCGAATCGTGCACCCTATAGCCGCGATATGACCACTCTGTTCTGCAATGGACGCTTCTTCCAGTCAGGCCCCGGAGGCCAGGGCCACACGTTTGCCGAGTGTATGCTGGTAGACGACGAAGGGCAAATTGTTCACGTCGGCTCCCCAAAGGATGAGAAGATCAAAGCTGCCGGCGCCGGCGTTGCAGTCGAGCACGACATGGCCGGTCACGTAGTGCTTCCCGGATTCATCGACGGGCACATGCATCTGCTGATGCTGGGTCAATCTCTGCAGAAAGCCTGCCTAGAAGCGTGCCAAAACATCGAAGACATCCGGCGGACAATCAAAGACTACGCGATAGCAAACCCGTCGGTCGCTCGAATAATGTGCAAAGGCTGGATGCACTCTATGACCAACGGAGAAGCCCTTGCTTCTATGATCGATGATCTGGACCCCGACCCATCTTTATCGATTCCAAGGACCTCCATTCTACCTGGTGCAACACTGCTGCGTTGAGCGAAATAGGGGTGCATGACATGGCCGACCCAGAGGGTGGCACCATTCACCGTGACGAGGAGGGCAAGGCGTCGGGACTCCTTTCGGAAGCGGCGGCGGTCACCGTCGTCTGGCCTCATCTTGCGACAGTCGCGCCTATGGAGGAGAAGCTAGCAGCCTTGAGGCGGGCCATCAAATCATACCATGCAGTCGGATATACAGGAGTGGTAGACATGGCGATGGACGAAAACGGATGGGAGGCCTTACAGATGTTCCGCCATAACGAGGCACCGGCTATGCGGTTCGCGGTGCACTGGCTCATCACCCCTCGCAAGTCGGAAACGGAGAACCTGGCGCAGGTCGACCGGGCTATCGAGCTCGACCGCCAGTTCAACATAGACACCAGCCCAGACTGCCGAGTTGTGGGCATCAAAGTCATTGGAGACGGCATTGTGGACGGCTGCACCGCGGGCCTCACCGAACCCTACACCTCGAACGGGCTGTCGTGCGACCCGATCTGGTCCCTTCAAGAGCTGGGCCCCGTCGTCAAGAAAGCCGACGCGGCGGGACTCCAGTGCGCGCTACACGCCATTGGAGACCAGACCGTCAAGGTCGACATAGACGCTCTGGAGCAAAACGCCACACCCGGCCGACGTCACCGAATCGAGCATCTGGAATTGGCGTCCCCCGAAGACGCCGCGCGCCTCGGCAAGCTGGGCATCACGGCGTCGATCCAGCCCGTCCACGCCGATCCCGCTATCCTCCGCGCCTGGCCAACACTTCTGGGGCCTGCACGTTGCGAACGTGCATTCGCGTACAAGGACTTTGCTGATGGGGGTGCCGTTCTCGCACTCGGCTCCGACGCCCCAACGGCACCCCATGCTCCTTTGAGGAACATCTACACGACAACGACACGGCGGTCCGCGCGGGAGCCGGAGCTGACAGATCGGGTCAATCCGCACTTCGCCCTTGGGCTTGCTGCGGCCGTCGCAGCCGGCACGGAGGGGTCTGCGTATAGCTGCTTTGCAGACCGGTGGGCTGGCAAGCTCGAGGTTGGACTCTCGGCCGACTTCGCCGTGGTGGACATGGACTGGGACGCCGAGAAGCTGCTTCGGGCGAAGGTTGTTCAGACTTGGTTCAAGGGCAAGAAGGTGTTTGATGCTTCCTCGTCTTGGTAGCTACCAATCCGAGGTACATGTAAGTCGTCAACTGAACCAGACTCATTCGACCATCGGCTTCCGGCTTGTTCTCTACGTCAATGTGCTCTTCGATGTATACCTTCCTGTTTTGCTGTCGAGGGCACGCAAGTAGGTAGGTAGGTAGATACGGCCACACGTATTTTTGAAACTTGAGTCTGCCGAACGCCGTCTTTCAAACGGGCACGAACACCGTATTACACCGGCAGCAACGCCAATTTTCAGTAGCTCGTGGTGGTGGCCTCCCGCCTGCCTCCCATTTACGATTCGACAGCACGCGACTCACCCGTTGCGCTCCACGCCAGTGGTGACGAGGACGTCCGAGTCGATTGATGAATTTGTGGCAGAATCTACTTGTTGGCACAGCCTGGCTTGGACATGGCACATTCGGCTTAGCCATTACTCAGGGATGCCCTCGCCGAGAGTATTCCAGTGGCCGTGACTGTGCTTTTGTGACTCCATTTAATGCCGTACCGGCTCGGCGGTCAGAGAAGGAGTCGCCTTCACTCGCCCGGAGTCAACGCCAAACCGGTGCTTCCTCAAAGCCCCAAACGTAGTCATGTTCGTTTGCCAGTCTTGAGCATACTCGGTACTACTCATATACCTACTACCCATTCGGACTATGTGGGACGCTGTCCATTTGGATCAATGTCGACAGTTGGCCCCGTGCCTGCAGGCTGCAGGTGCTGCCCCTTCCCCAAGCTCTTGGTAGCGTCTCGGCGACATCGCATCCACCACTCATCATCATTCTTTCGCAGTATCCTTAGTCCTTATGATGAATCTCGACCTCCCAGCCCTTGGCGCACATCGGCCTACCCCGGCCACCACATGATGGACGACGACCTAAGCGAGTTCTAGGGTACTGTATATCTTGCGGCTCCTCTCTTCTTCACCTCCTTCCCCATGCCCCCAATCCTGCCACGGATCCTCTAATCCTTCTGTTACCGTTTCCTCCAGCTCAAACACCACTAACGACTGCTAATCCATACGTGAATGGGGATAGAAGACCAAACTGATGTCGAGAAGTCGACCGAACCTCCTATACGTCCTCACACTCTCCCTGTGAGATATATAAAACACCTGCTCCTGACCAGTGCCGAACATGGCCTCACCGGCGCCGAAGCTGCGAGACGTCTGGAGCAGGATGGGCCGAACAGGGTGGAGGGTGTTAAAGAGCTATCCGTTTGGAAGATTCTCCTGAGGCAGGTCTCCAACAGCTTGACCATGGTCCTGATCCTTGTCATGGCACTCTCGTTTGCTATCAAAGACTTCATTGAGGGCGGTGTGATTGCTGCGGTTATCCTGCTCAATATCGTTGTCGGGTAAGTCCCTATACATCCGGGGCCATCTTATCAAGTGTCGCTAATACTGGTCAGGCTCATTCAAGACTACCGTGCCGAACAGGCGATTCAGTCTCTGTACGCGCTGTCAGCACCTACGAGCAAAGTGATTCGATCCGAACACATCGAGTCCATCAGGGCTGAGTCTCTTGTCAAGGGTGACATTGTCGTACTTAATGTTGGCGACATCGTCCCAGCGGACCTCCGTCTGGCTACAGCGCTGAATCTGTCCACCGACGAGGCATTACTGACGGGTGAATCCATGCCTATCAGTAAGAAATTCGAAGCTGTTTTGCAAGATGCCGCGTATGTCCCTCTTGGAGATCGTGTCAATATGGTATACTCAGCAAGCACCGTCACGCGTGGCCGTGCAACTGGAATCATCACGGCTATCGGCATGGATACTGAGGTCGGCAAAATCGCTGAGCTACTTCGGGCCAATCCTAATGCCAACCGCAACCTTTCTCCGCTTGCCGCGAAGTGGAAGCGTGTCAAGGCTGGTACCCGGAACATTCTGGGCTTGGAGGGAACACCTCTTCAGGTCAAGTTGAGCAAGTTCGCTCTGCTGCTCTTTGCTCTGGCCATTCTTCTCGCCATTGTCGTGTTCTCGGCCTAACTGGACGGCTGTTGGTGAGCCCACCGAAATTGCTCTCCAGGTCTTTGCAATGCGCTTTGGTATGAGCAAGGTCACCGTCTCCCAGGCTAACGCAGTCCGCTTACTTGCAGATTACCCGTTCGACTCTTCCTGCAAGCGTATGACGGTTGTTTACTCCGCACCCAACACCAGCTCCACCGATGTTTACACCAAGGGGGCGCTGGGGACACTACTGCCGCTCCTGGACGCGTCTGACGACATCAAGAAGGAGTTTACCGCCAAAGCTGATGCCCTTGCGGCTGCAGGACTCCGAGTCCTCTGCATCGCACACAAATCCGTACCGACAAGTGCCGGCCTCGCGGAAAGCCGTGATATCGCTGAAAGCCACTTGACACCACTTGGTCTCGCTGCGCTGTATGACCCCCCACGACTTGAGACTGCAGAGGCAGTAAGGAAGTGCAAGGTCGCAGGGATATCCGTCCACATACTGACCGGTGATCACATCAAAACTGCGACAGCCATCGCACGCGAAGTTGTAATCCTTGGTCCCCACCTCACAGTCGCCGAAGCTGTGAATGCCACGATGCCTGCTGCTGCCTTCGACGCTCTCAGCGATGCGCAAATCGATGGGATGGAGAAGTTGCCACTGGTCCTCGCCCGTTGTAGCCCCTCGACCAAAGTACGCATGGTCGAAACTATGCATCGTCGCACCGCGTTTTGCGTCATGACAGGTGACGGCGTCAATGACTCCCCGGCTCTGAAAAAGGCTGACGTTGGCATCGCGATGGGATTTAATGGCAGTGACGTTGCTAAGGAGGCTGCAGACATGGTACTCACCGATGACAACTTCGCCTCCATCGTCACCGCTGTTAAGGAAGGACGAAGGCTATTCGACAACATCCAGAAGGTAAGAAGTACAGGCCCAGCGCCTAGTAGCATTGATTTAGCGATGTTCCTTTTATTAACTGATGCCAGTTCTTGTTACACTTGCTCATTTCGAATATCGCACAAGTCATCCTGCTCCTCATCGGCCTCGCCTTCAAAGATGAACACGTCAAGTCGGTGTTCCCGCTATCGCCAACGAGATCCTGTGGGCCAATCTCATAACGTCGTCTTTCCTGGCCCTCGGCCCTCGGTCTCGAAGAGGCACAGCCCGACATCAAGCTGCGACCGCCCCACGACCTCCGCATCGTCGTGTTCACGCGCGAGATCATCGTCGACAAGATGGCGTACGGCGTCTTCCTGTGCTCGCTCTGCATCGCGGCCTTCGCCAGCGTCGTGTACACCCCATGACCCGCCACTTCCAGACTGGGTCACGACTGCAACGCCGGCTACAACGATACCTGCGGCATCGTGTATCGCGCGCGCGCCACGACCTTTGCCACGCTTTCGTTCCTGCTGCTCGTGACGGCCTGGGAGGTGAAGCACTTCACGCGCTCCTTCTTCAATATGTATCCCGAGCTCTACGGCGGCGCCTTCTCCGTGTTCAAGACGGCGTACAGGAACAAGTTTCTTTTCGGAGCTGTGCTTGCGGGGTTTGCCATCACCTTTCCCGTTCTGTACCTGCCGGTTATCGATCATATCGTTTTCAAGCACGAAGGGATCACATGGGAGTGGGGAATCGTGGTTGGCTGTGTCGTGGTGTATGTAGCTCTGATCAAGATCTGGAAGGCGGGCAAGCGCCGTATGTCCAAATAGTCAAACAATGGGGACTCGTCGTCTCAGGGTTTCGTCTGATGCGTGCTATCTGTGATATCTACGAGGATTGGTGATTGTTCCGCTGAATTAGATTGTGCGGGAATGGAGAGTCGGGACTATGGCGAGTATGATTAGGCCGGGATGAGACGCGCGGTGATCTATCTATACTGGTGCTGATTTTGCGAGTAGAAGATATAGAAACTGGAATTGATGTCCACCTGCTTGGTTTACTCTTTACTGGATACACGTGATCATGGATCAAATTGTGGATGCTTTCACGACGAACGAAAACAGCCGAGATGCTTAGAGATATACTAGTAGCTTCTCAGCCTGCCACTCTATAATCTCTATTGGACATTCACAAATCGCTTAGCCGCGCCTTCACCAAGACGTCCGCTGATGGCGTTCCCCTGCACGACCATCACTGATCAGATCTTTCTGCGACGAATCTATCTGGTTCTGCATATCCTGGCGCACGGCAAGTTCCGAGGCCCTGGTGGTTGATTGATTTGCCGTGATGGCGAGTTGAAGTGTCTTCACGTCGCGGGTGACGCCGTGAAGCATGGCGTGGTTTGGTTTGTCCTGGGCATTGATGCCGAGAAGCGCGTTCGTGATGTCATGCTTGACCTTCTTTGCAAGCTGGGAAGACTCATCATCTTCAAGTTGTGTCAGCTCGGTTGACATATAAGAAATCCCAGGAGGACTCGCAGCAACCAGCAGAAGCAAAACCGGAGGCTTTGGCAACGACGTCGAGGTACTCCTTCATTTTCGCGGCAGTCCACGTGATCTTAAACTCGACCTCCAAATAGAACGTCTCATATCCGGTTACCCTCTGCTCACAATGAGGTAAATTAGGAGGTAGCTATATATCTCCCGCAGTTGGTCGTCATTTGAATAATGAAAAGTGGGATAAGCACTCTCAAATAAGCAGTCTTTTTCCTTTGAGCCACCCCTGGCGCTTATTCACCATGCTTATGCCATTCCTACTTCAGACGGTGTCGTGCGCTACTCCTAACGGGTTCGGAAAGCCAAGGTGGCGAAGAAAGTGACGGCCGCAGACGGAGTGGGTTCGCCGTCCGCGTCTTCCATCTCTACATCCTCGTCGTTACCGCCACGCTCCATCTACGTCTCCATCTCCGCTCAAGGATGTCAAGAGTATGCTTTATCGTCTTCTCACGACTGATAGTAAGCCGCTTCAGTTCATTGTGGTTGTCCTTCTGGGTTCTTCGCATCTCGTCCATGGTAGTGGCCATGTTCTCCTGGTTGGATTGAACCACATCGAGGCGGGAAGAAACCGCGTTCGTGTCCATGTCCATGTCTAATTCCCTTGTCCACGTCCTAGTCCTTGGCCTTGTCCTCGTCCTAGTTTTTGGCCTTGTCCTCCTCCTCGTTATCCTCGGCGTCATCGATGTACCGGGTCATCTGCGGTATTCCGCAGCTTGGTTAGGTTGGCATGACTAATGACGGACGCGTCTCCGGCGTCGGGACTGGTCACGAGGGCTCGCACAGCGTCGCCTCGGATCTTCTTGTCGACGAAGGAAAAGCCGGGATGGGCGGGGATGCTGATTGATGCCCTAGGGAACCCAAAACTTCTTCCAGCTCCAGATGAAGATCAGGGCAGAAATGACAGCGGCGAAAATATGCTCCTTAGTTAGTAATCATGCTCCATGCTTTGGAATATTATATACTTACATCACGATAGACCATAGCCTCGTGCTCTGCAATGCGCTCCTCGCGACGAAGCAGCTCCTTCTCACGTGCTTCCATTTTTGTAGCATTTGCAAACTTGTTGACAGTTGACCTAACCTTGCGCATTCGTCTGCCGTGTAGTGTCTGGGTGGTGCGGAAGTCTTCTTGTGAGGCCCGGACCTGATCGACGTTGGCAGCAAGGTTTGTGTGGTCAGCTCGGAACTCTTGCACCTCAGGAACCCATAGTTGAAAACCAGGCAAGGTGCGCAGAACCGGTTCTCTCCGTTGGCGATCTTGTCTCGGAGTGCCTGAATTGCGTCTTCACTATCGGTTGCCTGTTGCTCTATGTTGCCTGCGGTGTGGAGGTTCCAGTATCTGCGGGCGGAGGTCAAGTGCGTGGTCTTCAGGTGTGAATGCTGGTCCAGAATTATCCCGTTCCAGAAGTAACTCTCGTATTCTGAATTGAACCAGGGAGGTTGGTCCCTTCCGTCGTGTTGTTGCGTATCAATTGGGAAGGATTGGCCATAGGTTGCGTTAGTAGAGGACGCAGAGAAGAACAGACTGTGGACCTCTTAGGGGCAAAGTTGGTGAAGTTCAGCGCCATAGAAAGCAGAAAGCAAGGTTAGGAAGCAGAGCATAGACAAGAGTCCATTGGCATTCCAGGAGGTGTTGTTGTTACGGAATGGTACTGCAGAGGCGAGGGGGCTGAAAAGTGGTATGTGGCCGTGGATGATAGAGAAAGTCTGCCTTAGCAACGCAAATTGCGCAGCATTCGTTGACGCTGCAAATTTGATTGAGCAGTATTTCTTTAGGTAGGTACGAATATTCGACAAAGGGAGTTTTTATCAGGTCACTACAGTCAGACTATAGATATACATGGCTAGCACGAGAGGGCTGAGTGGATGTGGGATGATCCTATAATGTTATCTATCTTGGCTCGTTGCGTATATACACGAAAACCTCTCATATAATCGCTTTGAGCCATCGACGTACCACCTTGCCACCAGGTATCTGTAGAATTTCCTTGGTAACTATACTCGCGTTTGTTCGTATGACGATTCGCCCTCCTCTTGGTGCAAACATGTTCGCCGCAGTAGGCACTGCCAGTCGCAGCACAAACCAAACAGCAGGAGTAATAAGATAACTACCAGGGCGGCTATGCGGGAAACACCCAAAGTACCCACCAAGCAGTCGGCACAGGCACGATCAGGCCGCCGAGAGATGGCTATAGACACTTGAGCCCATGCACCCACCCACCAACCTCCAAGCCAACCGTGCCGGCACGTCCCTATTTCTATCTACGACGCAATTGACATTAATCCAACGACTTTTCTAAAAATTCCCAAGCAGTAGAAAGCTAGGCGGGTAACGTGAGTCAAGATGCCCAACGACGTCCGGAGTTGCTTGAACGATACCACCCGGTAAATAGAAAGGGGAAGACGACCAAAGGGTGGATAATCAGCACCGCAACCCTCCCCCCCGGGCGCCGGCATGGGCCGCGGGTGGTGAGACGTGATATCAAAGTTCCATAGCATGTCAATGGCGAGAATGAGACCCGACTAGAAGACATAGAATGGTCGTTGTGCTTCGTCTTGGGTGTAGTGGGTGCGCACCAGCAGGGACGGCAAGCGGTAGAAATGATAATGGGTACAAACCAGCTGGACTAACCGTCTACTCCGGGGAAATCTCATGGGATTGAGCTCCATCATGAGTGCCCGTTCCATTTCAACTATCCCATCACTAGCTTGGGTGGGTGCTTTCAGGCCTACCGGTGGGATGGAGAGGTCAGACCTCTGCCGCTCTCTTACAAAGTGCACGAAATACTATATGAATGTTTGCGGTGGGTACCTCCTAAGTGATGAGAAGTACCTTGTTCATGCGGCCTGGTTTAGTAGAGTGGGTTCTTCCATGTTGTCACCAATATCCGAGGTGTCAGGAAAAGGCATAGAGGAGAATGTGATTCATCTATGAACAGCAATCATTTGCTCAAGTATTACTGCAGTTACACTCTATTTTTCTGGTGATCTTTTAGTCTCATCAAAGACCATCTTCTCATGTGGCACAAGCCAAGTTCGACACGTGTCCATGTGACATGGTTCACATGCCAGGTCCAGCAATTGGCGTATTGTAAACTCCGACCCTGAAATAGGCCCTCGTTTCATTCCTCATTTCATGCAAATTATTATTGCTGGCCTTCCAACAAATCTTCCACAATCCTCAACCCGGAAAAACGCATCACCTAAGCGTCGCCGTCCTCGGGCTCCTCCTTGATGGTGACCTTGCTCGCATCATCGGCCGCACTGACTGACTCATGGGTGTCGGAGAGATCCTTGCTCGCGGTGCTCTTGGCTTTGCCATCAGTCTTGGGGCTGTCCTTCGAGACCGAGTCCTTAAACTTTGACTCGCTGATACTCTTGCGAGAGGCTCGAAGTTTGTAATCGTCGAGGTAGTTGTGGTTGTCGACGCCCGAGAGCTTCGCCTGCTTGGACAGGTTGAGCAGGTAGTCGTCGCCCAGCGAGCGCGGCATCTCCTTCAGACACTTATCAACCGTGTCGCGGAATCCAAGATTGCAATGATCATGACTGGTATGGGGCTTCCAGTCTCGTCCGACGTAGGGAAGCGTCTTGATGGCGTGAAGCTTGTCCTTGAGCTCAAGGATGCTTTCGGTGAAGGCCGAGGCATCCGGGACTGGGTAGAGATGGGCTCTCAGCAAAGCCGGAATGGCGGAACCGAGCATCATGGCCTCGCACTCTCGGGGATCCTTGCGAACCTTGCAGTACATTACACCAGTCTCTCCCTGGCCTGAAGATATCTGCTGCAGAGGCGCGTTAACCCCAGCAAGGATCTTGGTAATGGTCTCAGTACGCATGGAAGTGACAATGTCTGCGGTGATTGCAAATTAGCAACAGGTTCAACGATGGTGAGGTGGATGCTACTTACCTAGCATGCCAGCGGGGAGTGCCATCTGTTCTAAGAGGGCTCCGGAGATGTTGACAAGCTTGCCATCGGCGCCCATCTTGCAACTGGCAATGAGTGCATCGACCATGTGATGAAAGAGCTCCGCGTCACCAAACTCCCAGGCAATCCACGCGACCTTGTGGCAATTGGCGTAGCAGTCGGCAGCGCCATGGTAGTTGGACAGTTGCGACAGCCACTTATTAGCCCAAGGGTAGGTCAGAGACACGCACTTGTACTGCGACGTAACGCGGCTGATCTCGAAGAGCTGATCCAGAGTCGGCTCAGTAGGTACCATTGCGAAATCGTAGTGCACGATGCGGAACAGGACGTCAATGGCCTGCGCGTCGCCGTCGAGCTCAATGGTCACGTCGTCGGTGTCGGGCTGAACGCGCGTGTCCTCGCCGTAGAGCATGGCGCGCCAGACGGGGGAAGCGTTGGCGATGGAGCACGAAGATACCTTGTACGTGGTCTTCCCGCCCGGCATCTGGACAACCACACCCATGTCGCTATCGAGGTGGAAGTTGATAGTAGCGACAGCGGCATCCGGATCCGGGCTAGCTGCCTTGGATGACTTGGCTTGGGATGACTCGGTGTCAGTAGTGTCCTGCTCCTGGATCGGAGTCAGGGCGCGGGTGGGAGTGGGCGTGGGCGAGCCAGCCGACTCAGGCGACTCAGCGGTGGCAGCAGTCGACATGGTGTACAGTGCAGTGCTAGGATTCGGGGTTGTGATCGGAGGACAGTATGTGAACTGATCAAGAGAGTGCGTGGAATAATCAAACGAGGTTGGAACGTCGTCTGTCTGATTGATGTTGTTGGAAGGAACAGGTGCTGAGGTGTGCAGGTGGTTGCTGTGCTTGAAAATACCGGCAGTCCCTGAGGCAGATGAGGGTGGGATAAAGGGTGGGAGTGACTCCTGCGGCGGAGAGGCAGAACTTTGGAAGTGAGAGGAGACCTCAGCAGGTAATTGCGCAGGAAGGTACAATGGCTGCAACCACTGCAACAGGTGTGAATATGAAGAGGTACAACGATTGTTCGTGGTGGGCGGCCGGTTGCACAACTGGTGGTTGTTTTGCAGTGACAAAGGTCCAAACACAGAACCTGAGGAGAGAAGAGATGCAGGTGCTGCAGGTACGGGTGCACACGCGATTGCAGGTGCAGGTGCAGACGGGAGAAAGGAACAACAATGTGGGGAAGAAGATGGGTTGGATTCAAGTGCAGCTGCACAGTAACAGACCGAGGCAGAAGGAAGAGGGATTCGTCTGCGGAAGATGCTTTTTCTGAATCTCGAAAAGGTTGTGGGTGACCTAAGAGGCAAGAACGCGGCAGCTTTCCGGGAAAGCAGAGTGTGGGTAGTGGGAGGGGAGGGAGAGGCGCGCAGGTGCTGCTGCACGTGGGGTGGGCTTTTGATTTTCGGCGTCGTCAAACTGGTTGCTGTGGTTGCTGTTCTTGCAGTTGCTGGTGCTACTGTTTTGGCTCCTGGGGCTCGTCTTGTTGTCCTCGAAAAGGAGGTTGAAGGTGAAGTTAGAGGACCCCTGTTCGCCATTGCCGTCAGCCATCAACACTATCAAGTGCCCAAAACACCCTGAAATACCAAAGCAAGCAACTTAGATCAACACATGGCATGGGTAAGCAATCATCGCAAGGGGGCAACTGGAATAGCCACCTAATCGATGTCTGGTCTACTGTAAATCATCATTTGAAGCTCTTGCCAAACATGGAAGTGCTGAGATGGGTGCGTGAAGATACTCTATTACTTCAGGAAGCAACAGACTGGGAGCTACTCACATCTCAAAGCAGGCAGAATGCGATACTGTAGATGTTGGAAACGAATCGGATCAACACCAACGAGTTTTCCAATCATGTATTGTTGCTGTCTCTGGAACCGAAAAGGCCTCACTGACACTGACCAGCACAGTAAACTGTGGATAGGAGGTATTATACAGTTATAGGTATATCCGCCTACACCACAGCGGTATCCTAACACATAGAGGCAGTCTGCCATCTCCCACCTTCTTTCATTCAGTAGCAAGCATTTGCTACAGTCGACAAAAGGCTCGACAAAAGGCACGGCCATAAGTGGGGGCAGACAAGATCAACATACCTCATCGTTGCCTTCATGCTTGTCACTCTTTACACCTTATGCTCAGAAATGCGCCAGCCTCGAGCAATCATGCCAAACCTGGGCACAATCAAAGAAACAGACCCGTTGGGACCACAGCACAGCTTGTGAATCAAGCAGTCTATTCATTGGTTCGATCGGCCGTAGGAGCAATCATGTATTGTACAACACGCTATGGGATATCATGGGGACCCCCGTGGGCCCTACGTGTCCATCCTGTACCTAGGTAAGAGAGTTAACATGCTGAAGTAATGATTCTTTGCCGCCCATAACATCGCAGTCATATACATGCGGCAGCTTTGTTCAACCAGAAACGAACGCATCACGTCTGCACCAAAGCCCCCCTAGTCAGCTCCCACGCATGAACCCATCGCGCAGAACAGCCGCCAAAGGAACATGGGTGCCTCCATCCCCACCTTCAGGAGTATGTAGTGCCTTCTCCCTCGCCAAGAAGACGTGCTATGAGCACATAGACAAAGATGACGCCACCCACCACTAGTAGTTTGTTGCGACCAAGCCATCCTGTGCCAGCATCGACCACCTCAACGACGGCTTGTGTCTGGTGTCCGCTCCCCCCAGCAGTGGCCAGACCCGGTCCACAGGATGCCTGCTTCTGCTTGAGGCCCGTGGACAAGTCGATTTCCTTCTCCGTCATCCAGCGCCAGTTCTCTTTATCCACCTCGGGCCACTCCGCTCTAAACTTGGCGCCACCGTCGCCGGCCTTGACATTTCCCTTCAGCGCGGGGTTTTTGGACTGCGATCCACCGCCCGTCGAGTTCCACCATCGTGTCCTCTCGGCAAATACTCTGCGCTCCGCTGCCGTGGCGGAGACCGAACCCGTAGTCATCTCCTCTGACGTCATAAAGGACAGCAAGCCGATCAGGATGGTGGAAACCTCCCACGCAGGGTTGAAGGAGCGCGGGTGGAAGTCGGAGATGGAGAGACAGAGTCGCGTTGACGGCTGGAAGCGGCCGGAGGGCGTGTGCATGCGGATGGCGGGCGGCGCGAAGGGGTAGTTGGTTGGGAAGATCAAGGTCCCCCAATACTGGCCGCCAAAGTAAGGTGTGTCCTCGGGACCCGTGATAACGTAGTGCCATCTACGCGCATGTCAGCAACTGCATGCCTGCTTGATTCTCATGGGTGAGGCTCACTCGAGGATGTTGGACTCTGACGGATGCGCTGAGATGTAGGGAGGTGGGTTCTCGGATATCGTCTTGTACTCGCGCGCAAGCTAGAACAAGGGAGGGCTAGTCAGTATGGCTGCATGGAAGGCCGAGCGGTGTGAGACAGGGAATAGACGTACGCGCTTGCTTGCTTGTTTGCTGGCCATGGCGAAGGAGTGGTTGTTTCTTCCAGAGGTGGCCAGGAAAGAGAATGTGTCGCGATGGCGTTGGTTGTCCGGGGAGGGAGACTGTGAATGATCTCGCTCGGCACGCGTGGCTCAGGAACCGAAACGAATGCACTGCGCAGTTCAGATCTGAGCAGTATGTATGCGCACGCGGTTGTTGGCAGCCGGAGAGAGGGTGAGGCTACTGGTGATCGATGGTGGCCCCAGGGGAATGGAATATTTATGACGATGGAGGGGTGACTTGGTCACTTGGGACCTAGTGATGTACGTTGAGGTTAGGATTCCGGACACTTAGTGAGTGTACATGCACCAGGGGGCAGCTGGCCTGAGCAGAGTGGGGACCATTGGGTTAAATTGTACCCACGCAGCCACGTTATTAGCTCAGCTGTGCTTCAGCTTCGTGCAGTAACACTAAACAAATAGGGCCCGTTCAGTAAACGAATAGGGCCCTAACCCAATCCGGAAGCCATCCTAGCCATCCAATTGGCTGCGCACCGCCCACTACATCGCAAGTACATCAGTGCGCGTGCGTTTCTTACCAAACCAAAGGTACCTCACATGGAATCGCCGGGTAGCCAGCGTGGTTAGGGTTAGGTTAGTGGTTAGGGCTTTCCGGGGGTTTGGGGGGCGGTGCGAGCCCCCCATCTGGGAATGTGTCCTTGAACGCCGTGCCGTGGTGGTGGTGGTGGTGATAGTGGTGATGGTGATGGTGTTGAGGTTTTAGTGGGCCGCTGTACCGGATGCACGCGCTGTGATTGGTCAGATTGGGCCCTATTCGTTTACTGTACGGGCCCTATTTGTTTGGTGTTACTGAGCTTCGTGCCACAATCGGATGTCTCTAGCCACATGAGGTACCAGCTACATGTACTTGACCCGCCTCGAACCGACAGGATGGATGGGTCCGGGTGTACCCGGTGGACAGGAGGGTCCCTTTCACTTCCACTGGCCTTCGCAACTTTCGAGCCTCAGTTCAAGCGGCCGCTCAAACGCACGCCGGGAAAATTTCACTCGCTTCGGGGACACAACGTCCACCACTTCTCGAAATGGCTGGGAATGTTTCTTCTGGAGGCGACGATGTAAGTCGTGCGGGAATAGCATCCCCATTGCCGTCGCAATCGCTGATCCCACGTGCCCTTCCTTGCAGGCCTTCGAGAGCTTGCTCAAGAAGGAGACCGCCTCAGTAGAGCAACGAGCAGCAGCAGAGAGGGCCCAGGCTCACGACACACAATCCGACCAGCGAATGATGGAGATGGTGGGCAACCCTCCGGCCGATGGGCGAGCTTCTACTACAGTAGCTAACTTGCCCAGCTCTCACATAACCAGACCCTTCCCGTTACTCTCTCCTCCGTCCAGATTCACGGCGCCAAGCACACGCGCAGGTCTTTCCTCGACCCCCTCTTCCAGCCTCTCGTCGAGGATAGCCGCAATGCCAATTATACACTGTCCGATATGCTGGACCAGGTGGGAGGGGCCGTTGAGAAGTTACAGAGGTTCGGTATGAAGTGTTCCTCTATCTAGCTCCCACGGGTCGAGTTGTGGGCTAACACTGTCTGCGAAGACATCTTCCACCCGCAGATTGTCTTTCACCTTTCCCGCCCGTCTCACCTCGACCCTTCTTCCTCGCCCACCGATCTGGACGTCTCCCTACGAGTGCGTGAAAAGTCTCGACTCCTCCTGAAGACAGGCACGGACCTGGGAAATACAGAGGGATCGGCATACGGGTCTATGCTTCTGCGCAACGTATTTGGCGGCGCCGAATCACTGTCTCTCAGCGCTTCTACCGGTACGAGGACGCGGTCAGCCTATAGTGCCGAGTTTGGTACCCCGATAGGAAGCAATCCGAACCTGAGGCTCAGTATAGACGGGTTGGCCAGCAGCACGCACAAGCCTTGGGCAAGCCATGAGGAGGTCCTCAAGGGCGGAGGCCTGAAGCTGAACTGGGCCAGTGCTAGTGGAGACCGTTTTCAGCTGGGGTACGGTGGTATGTGGAGGCAGTTGACAGGTCTTGCCCCCGGGGCGAGCCCGACAGTACGAGGTGACGCCGGAGACTCTGTGAAGAGTGCCATTTCCTATCTCTTCCAACGAGATCGGAGAGACAACCCTATGCTTCCCCAAAGCGGGTATATGATCAAGACAGTCACAGAAATCGCGGGTTGGGGGTTGTTAGGTGGAGATGTCGGCTTCTCCAAAAGCGAAATAGAAGTGTCCGGCGCGGTGCCTGTCTCGATACCGGGGTTGAGAGGTCCTTCGGGCGTCTCTGTCGGTGGTGGCTTCAGAGCGGGCTTACTATACCCTCTCCCCCTTTCCTACGGCATGGGTGGTGCGGCGCCCAGTCGGCTTAATGACCGTTTCACCCTTGGTGGTCCAACAGACGTACGGGGGTTCTCGTTGGGTGGGCTCGGTCCACGGGATGGTGCCGATGCGCTTGGTGGTGACGTTTTCGCAGCCGGCAGCGTCAACATGCTCATCCCGTTACCAAGGGCAGGTCCCGATTCTCCCTTCCGACTTCAGTTGTTCGCAAATGGTGGCAGGCTGGTAGCGATGAGGAACAAAACGAAGAGCAACGATACTGCATCTGGTCAACTCATGGGTGCCGGGACGGTTTGGGATGGCATGGTCTCCGCCACAAAAGACATGGGCACTGGGCTACCCAGCATCGCGGCTGGCTTTGGCCTGGTATACGCGCATCCCGTTGCGAGATTTGAGCTGAACTTCAGCTTGCCTTTGGCGACAAGACTCGGTGAAGAAAGCAGAAAGGGGCTTCAGGTGGGTGTAGGGATCAACTTCCTGTAAAGGGGCATACGTCTGAGTTGTCGATCCGAAAAGGCTCGTTGCAGCTCCAGGCTACGGCTTCCATGTATATATGTGTACAATAACTTCGCTTGCAGATACCATGCTCACGCTACTTTTCGAATTCATATAATTATCTACATCCGGCTGGAAGTGCATATAATTGGTGAGATGGGCTTGTACGCCTACTTTCGCAAGGCAGTTGATATCTTACACGTCCATATGCTTCCATGCGCTGCCATCGATTAAGTATTCCAGAACTCGCGAGTTGTATAAGTCCGCTATGTGTTGAGCTGCCTCTGGAGAACAGTCCAGCTCGCGAAGGGAAGCTACTCGGACTGCAGATGGCCTGGAACCATACCCGTTTCTTCGCCGCCATCACCCTTGGGCTCTCTATTGCAAAGCTTACCACGGCCGTTACTCACTCTCAGAATGCGGATACGCCGAGGGAGACCTCGGAGGGGCTGTCGGTATTTTCACCCTTGTATACATATTCCATCACTCCGCCTTTTAGAAGGGATGTAAGTAGACTTGCATCGCGTCGAAGCACGCCGTGACATCTTGGTATCCAAAGCTTCGGGGTTGAGTTGGCCCAGTGGAGCCACAAACCACAAACTCAAACGATCCCGCACTGACAACGAAGACTGGAGTAATCCAGCTGGGAATACCACCCCATGGGACCTGCGCTCGGGGGCCGGTGACAACACGCCATTCGAACCACTCGTATCATGATCCAGGCGATGGGTCACGTCGCGGACAAAACGGGTTGCTAGTCGACGCTTTGATGAGGCGTAGAGCTGGGAAGGGCTTTTCCTCCGCAGAATACGAACATGCCCTTGGCGGATCCAGTCAGGACGGGGACCTGTTGGACTCTGTCCCATTGGAAGACCTTCCCGTCCAGTCTCGACTCTTCTCTTGTCACCTCTGGGTTGCCATGCCGGCAGTGACAGGTGAACGAACGAACATTACTCCAGGGTTGCAGAGCCACACTGATTCTTCGTCCAGGCGCACAAGCTTTTCCCCGTTTCGAGGTCTGCAAGCCATTGCTGGTGCCATTGCTGGTGCCATTTCTGGTGCCATTGCTGGTCTTCACCCTTCTGCTTCAGTCCGGCCAGACCTTGGTGAGCTCGGCTAGATGGTCCGATGGTTTTGGAGATGGGGCCGCTACTGACCGAACCATGGCTTTGGCAAAGGCTATACTACTGCTTTTATTACAGGAGCATTGGCGCCGCTGGAGAGCCCACCCGGCAGACCCGTCGTCGCCGTCCCGAGCCGCAATTTGACTGGTGTCTGTCGGCGCACCGCGAGTCAAAATGGCAGCTGCTTGGCACCTCGGTCGCGCGCAATCCCAATGAATCGACAGGTGGGGAGCAAAAGACGTTCGTCTGAACAAGTCATTGATTGGCATCCGTCAATGACCTCGATGGAACCACATAGGCGAGAGGAGTGCAATCCCCTGCATCGAGTGAGCCGGCTTTGAAGGTATAACCTGTCAGGCAATTCTCGCAGCGTCAGCAATGCCATGCGCCGAGACTCTTCGCCAGGGGCCGACAGCCAAGCGATTCCGGGGCCGACGATGAATTGCAGAGACTCTTGTTGTCGACCCCAGGAGCGATCTCGAACCCAGCATCGTGTCTGTGGATCGTGCATCTTGATTCGGGAATCAGGGTCCAATTCCGTTACAACCCTCATTGGCCACTTCAAGACGCCAACCCGGCGTTCGGCCTACCATTCAAGTCTAATAAGAGAGCATCCAGTGAGCGCGTGAGTTCGGACGATTGGAAGTTGACGCGGTTGACTACCCCCGTCCCCTGAGGTCGATGACTGCAGGTATGTCTCAGATCTGAGATCACACCCTGGCGGGCACCCCAGTGACTGGATCATCACGATCATGTACACTACCGTAGCCCGATACTAGACAGAGGCGTTCCGGGTCCCCCGGCTTAAGGCTTGCGTACAAAAAAGAGAGCGCCAGCCGCAACTGCCGCATCAACCTGTGGCTAAATGAGAGATAACCCTGACAAGAAGCTGCGTGAGGCTGGTGCGGCTGGTGAGGCTGGTTTTTGCACGCAAGCCACTCGCGTTAAACCGGGAGACTCGAAACGCATCTGCCTAGTATCGGGCTGAGGTAGGGTCCGGGTTGCCTCTAATGCAGGGTCTGGCTCTTCCGAGTCCCCCGGCGGGGTCCCCTGTTTTCTTAAACAGTGGCGCTGGTACTTGCATACATAGACCAGATGAAGCTCTGGAGACAATGGCATCACCATTGGATCCCTTGCGCGCCAGTGACCTCTGGCGCTTGTTTCGAAGCCTGTTCTTTATTACCCGGCCCACTGTTCAGAACTAGCAGGGGGGATGATGTATATACCGGTACGCACCCGGATCGCCCTTCAACCTAGGTCCCCTCTGACGACTTCCCATCTGCTTCTTCCGTCGTGCTGCCATTTTCATTCTCGGCCACAGTCGGTAAATTGCTATCAGCATGCGATACCCTCCGCTAGAAGTGGTCCTCACATGGCCGGAGCCCAATTATGTCAACCCGGAGAACCGCGGCCCAGCCCTCTTGATCGTCAACCTAACAATCCTGCCACTGGCCCTGCTATGTCTCGCCCTGCGATTGTGGGTTCGCGTCAGGATGCTGAAAAGGTTTTGGTGGGACGACTGGTTGATGATTGCCGCGACGATATGTTGCTGTGGAGTGACCGTAGCGGCCATCGTCGGTGAGTATCCTCCGCAGTCCGACTACCGAGTGCTTGACTGATGTGCTGCAGCCAGTCAGTTATACGGATGGAATCTCCACGTATGGGATTTGAGGCCCAAGGAGATGCTCCAGGGGAGACAGGTCTCGATAGCTTGCCAGACGATTTTCCTCTTCGCCTCTGGATTCGGGAAGCTGTCTATCCTCGTCAGTTACCTGCGGATCGCTTTGGTTGGTTCGTGGTTTCGACGTCTGGCATGGGCCTCGATCGCGTTGGTCGCGGCGACCATCCCTGCGTTTTTAGTCTTGTTATGGCTTCAATGTCGGTAAGTGCTGAACGGGCTCACGCATGTCATTCCCGCGTGGCGTGTACTGATGACCATATAGCCCGGCGTCGAGTTATTGGAACCTGTTTCTGGTGACCCGCGACTGCATCCCCGAAGGACCTCCCCTGATGGCCAACACAATAATAACGGTCCTCACCGATTTCATTGTTTACGTTCTCCCGATGCCAATTTTCTGGCAGCTCAAACTTCCCCTGATGCAGCGCATCAGTCTTATGGTTGTGTTCGGTTTCGGTAGCGTCGTGGTGGTGGCCGGCTGTCTGCGTACATACTGGATCCATTACGTCGAATTCGAGACGTACGACGTGACCTGGGAGGGTTTCTATCTGTGGATCTGGGGAACTGTCGAAGTCAACTTGGGGGTTATCTGTGGATGCGCGCCCGTCCTCAAACCCCTGGTCTGGCCGTCCGAGTACAGCACTCGCTCGCGCAGCCGCGGCGGCTACAAACACACTTCCGCCGCAACCGACGACTCGCGCCAATGGGGTGGCAAGAAGAGACGAACACCCATATCGACGTTGGTTCTCGAAAGCGACGAAGGGTTTGTGCCCCTGGACGATCTCGACTCGAGAATAAAAGCCTCCCATTCGAGGCCGCTGGGACTGCCGCTTCAAGACGAATTGCCTAGACCTCCACGATCAGCTTTCCAGCCAGCGCAATATAATGCAATGCTCTTTGCAAACAACGGAGATCCCGAACCCGGTCTTGCGCCGGCTGCCATACGAAAGTATTGACAAGAGATTGCGTCTGGAAGCGTCAAGGATGGCGACTGTGCTCTTCACCAGACAAAGGTACAGCTCTCGTCTATCCGTAATAATATAATATCTACACACAAGACAAGAGGGCCCGTGATCTCAACAGTGAGCTTACAACGTCCGTTCAGCAGCGAACCGTTGTTGTGCTATCCTTCTTCATAGGTCTACGGAATCAAACATCACGGCGAGGCAACTGTAACCCTCTATTGCAATTGAACGGTGTCAAGTTGCGGGCAACGTCGAACATGATTCCGTGTTAGTATGTCCAAAAGAGGTGTATTGCCACGACCGTAGGTAAGGTATTGTATACTCCGATGACAACGGGTGGACACGGGGTTATGCGGGGTCGTGGGCCAGTCCACGGGAGACGCGGTCTCGGAGAGAACATTGCTTTCGATTTATGAATCCGCGCCAGGACATATCCCAACAGGTACGATGGCTAATATGCAACCGTCCTCCAAGATCACAATAGTCGGTTCGGGCGTCTTCGGCATCTCAACGGCCCTCTGGCTAGCACGGTCCGGATACCACGATGTCACCGTGCTGGACATGCAAGCCACGGCGTCGACCGCCTACGATCCCTCCTCGGGCATCGACTCGGCCTCCGCCGACCTGAACAAGATCATCCGCTTCAGCTACGACTCCGAGGTAGAGTACCAGCGTCTCGCCACCGAGGCCGCGGAGATGTGGAATGAGTGGAACCGCGATATCGCGGCGTCGCCTGAGGACGGTCTGCCGGAGCGCTTGAGGGGTGGCGATCGCAGGTTGTGGTGGAATGCGGGATTGCTTCGCATAAGCTGCAAGTCGGAGTTCAGCGACTTTGAGCTCAGGACGCTCGAGAATATGGAGAGCGAGGGGATCAGGGACTTTCAATTCAAGAGCAATGATGAGCAGGGTCAGTTCGATTGCAGGACAAGTAAGGTATGGAGAGTGATGATGGCTGACGGGAGTTAAGATTTGCAAAGGGCTAAGGAACGAGGCTGGGCTCACAAGCTCGACCCCTGCCGGCGTCAGGAAAGGCTCGGTGTGCACAAGGCCGTACTTGACTCGACTGCCGGGTTCGTGTACGCGTACAAGAGCTGTGCTTGGGCGCAGCATCTTGCTGTGAAGGCAGGTGTCAAGATGGTGCTTGGTCCCGAACGAGGAAAGGTCACCGGTGTTTCTTCGAGAGACAATCATCCCGTGGTATCGACTGCCGACGGATGCGAGCACGTCGTCGACCTAGTTGTCGTCGCTGGTGGGTTATTATGATTTATTGGCGCAGTCTGTATTCAAACCCGTTCACTTGAGCTGACAACTGGGGTTCTCAGGCGGCGGCTGGACGCCGTCATTAGTGCCCGAGGTCCGAGACCTGCTCGAAACAACCGCTGGATCTGTGGTGACGGTTCAACTTCCGAAGGACCGAAACGATCTGTGGGACAAGTTCGCACCCGAGAACTTCCCCGTGGTGACCTGGGGTATGAAGCAAGACAAGGAGGTGTACAGCTTCCCAAGGGATGAAAATGGGGTTATCAAGATAGGCTGGCGGAAGACAAAGTAAGTAATGCAATGGCACTGATCTAACATGGGGTTTGAGCTCAATGAATGCAGATGGACGAACTTCGACGAAGTAAAAGGCCGACGTATCTCGGTCCCGAAGACCGCCCATGTGACCGAGCAGAAGGAGACGCGCATACCGAAGCCTGCATTGGACGGTATCAAAGGTACGTTTCCCGCCTATTCAATGTGCCCACGGTGCTGAAACAGCTCAGAGTACATCTCAGAGATCCTCCCCGAGCTGGTCCCGCTAGGTATATCGTCTACGAAGCTCTGCTGGTATACCGACAGCATAGACAATTCGTTCGTGATAGACTTCGTACCCGGGCGTCCTGGCATCGCAGTGTGTTCCGGGGGCAGCGGACATGGCTTCAAGTTTTTGCCTATTCTTATGAGAGAGGTTGTCAAGATTCTAGAGGGGAAGAGTCAAGACACTGTTTATGGCCAAATGTGGAAATGGCGGAGTAGCACGTCGCCGACTCGCAATGGATTAGAACAGGCGGGGGGGAGGGGGGATGGCCCGAGTGTCTTGTCGAAGCAGGTGATGGCCAGCGAGGCCGATTGGAAGTTTGGATACTGAGATTTGAAGTTTACAGTGATGCTTACTAGCTCGCGCGATACGACCACGCACATCGAGCAGTACAAGCCCTCGCTTTGTTCTACTTGTCCACAAGAGCCTGGTAGAATTCCCAGCACCGAAATCCACGTGTCCGAGGCCGCGCATGGTGATGCTTCGACGGCTGAAGAGATTTGAGGAGGACTTGCCGTACGCCCGTTGAAGTCAGCTGTCAATCCTGAGCGACATCGTGCTTCTCCTGATAATATCCTGACAGGACGCAGTCGCCAGTCGGGGTACTGCGCCGCTTCCAACCCTCATTTTCACCACCTACAGCCCTTGCGCGGGTCCGAATTGCTGTCAAATCCCGTTCTTGGAGACGTCTGCCGGTTTCTGGTCTAATGCTCAACGAACCTTCCGTAGTCCATGGACACAATAGCCGTTCCAAGACGTCTGAGCAGGTATACCGACGTCTTTGGATCCTGCAGAGCCGTCACGCAACCCAAAACGAATCAATTGTTCGCCAATGCCGAATGGGAGAGCCGCTTGTCGTGATGTCGAGCAGAACGTGTACCCGACCTTTTTGCGCACCGCGAGATAAATGGAGGGCCAAACTGAAAGGACCAACCACAAAACAGCCAAGTTCGAATCCAACAGGTTAATGGTTGGGCCTACCGAAAACGACGGTCGTCATGTTGATAGGATCGGGGCTTAGTTCCAAAGGGAGCTGGGCGAAATGGACATTAGTGATCATCACAAACGTAAGGTCCAACAACATGCCTACCAACATTCGACCTGTAGCAGCGATGTTTCTGGCTTTTATCCATCACGGGAGCCTCGCCGGCGCTTAATCCCTGACGATGCCACTCCGTCGTCCCATCAGCATCAGCAAAAGACCCTGGCAAAGGACCCTAGCAGCAGTGCAGTTCTGGATTCTGATTGGATGGCGGGGCACAAATGTCGACCAATGCGGCAATCCCACAAGACAGCCACGAACCAATGGCATTTCAATCCGACCCTGCTCGCCGCATTATACCATGACGCTGGATATGGCCCTGGACTGCACACATGACTCAATCTTCCACGACCAAGACAGCTATTCGTTACCGAGTACTCGACTCATCATGGCTTGTTCTCTCGGTGGCGCTCGTCACAGTCTCGCGATGTTCCCAACACCTTTTTCAGTGCGATACCAGGCTCCCTCGGAGCTTCTCCCTGAAGATTGCACCGCTGTAACAGCCACTCTCCTCCTGGGACGCGCGATCATCGTCAGTACTGCTATATCGAGCATGTATCCCAGATCTTGGTTAGAAAATGGCCGCATGCCGTCAGCCCACTTGGCCTGCGTCTTAAAACATGCCGACACACCCACCCACCCTGTCCCTCGTCCTGCTTGTCTCACCCACACTCTGATGTCGTGGCACGCTGACACGCAGTCTTCAACATGCAGTCGGGATACCAACTGGCGTGTGCCATGTGGGCGCTGACGGCCCTCTCGCTCACCCTGGTAGGCCTCAGACTGTACACTCGAATACGCGTCGTCAAGTTCGTCGGCGCCGAGGACCACATGTATGCATGGACCGGCGTACGTGACCCCAACAGCACTCTCCTCATACCATCCGAAAACTAATCACCAAACACAGCTATTCCTCCTCCTCTTCACAATCTTCATCCAGGTCGCCGTACACTACGGACTAGGCCGCAGCTTCTACGAGCTGAGCATCGACGACTCCTCCGACGCCATCTTCTGGACGTACGTCGCCAACAGCTTCGCCATCATCGGAAACGCCATGGCGAAGCTGTCGATGGGCCTTTTCTTGCTGCGCGTCGTCCAAGCCCGGTGGCACAAGATCGCCCTCTGGGGTGCTGTCGTCGTCACCAGCGCCACCTCGATCGCGCTCACTATCATGCTCTGGAACCAGTCCACGCCGGTCAAGGCGAGCTGGGACCCGCTGAGGACGCCCGGGACGTGGGACATTCAGATCCAGCCTATGAGTGTTGGACTCGGAGGTGAGACTTCAATCGCTATGAGAGGGGTGTGATTTTGATTACTGACTGACATGAACCAGTATGGTCTAGCATCTGCGACTTCTTCTTTGCTATCTTTCCTTGGTTGTTCCTTCGATCTCTGCATATGCCGCGTCGGGAGAAGGTCATGCTGGCAAGTGGTATGAGCCTGGGTGTAATGTGAGTTGCTGCAGTCCACCTATAAAAACCAGGTCAATGTCTGACGCTACGCAGTGCAGGAGCTTGTGGTATCACTCGGACAGTGGTGCTGTCAACCCTAAATGTCTACAACTATACCCGTAAGTGACATAGCCAGGCCCAAAACGCCCCTCTAGCTGACCATTTTAGTCAACTTTGTCCCCTATTTCGCGTGGGCTGGCGCCGAAATCGCCGTCGCCATGGTCTGCATCGGCGTGCCTACCCTGCGGCCTCTATACCTCAAGGCCCGCGGATTGTCGAGCACACTAGGCAGTATAAGACAAAGCAACGCAAGCGAGCTGCCTCAATTCACCATGTGTGACGGCAAAGAGGTACTTTGTCCGCCGCCGGCCCGAGACTCCGGGTTCTCGCAGTTTCGGCCGAATTCTCGTATCGCGAAGCCCCCTCCCGCGTATACCAGGGCGCGAAGTGATAGCGTGGACGACATCATATCCGAGTACGATGGCAGCAATGGGGACGTGATATGGGTCAAGAACGAGGTTCGGGTCGAGAACGGTGTTGCGGAATGGCCGTTGAGGGGTTGATGCACTGTTAGATGGGAGATAGGAAGACTAGATAAGACGGAGAGCAGTCTCGAGACGCAAGTCAGATGCATTTACGCAATTACCCATGCTGAGAGAGTCGTACGGTAGTCTCAATCACATATATTGTACGTTACTGTGTTTCTGACGCTTGCCCCTTGTTGTGGATGGTGGGTCTGAGATACCTCTTGCCGAAGTCACAACGTCCATCCGCGTTTGTACTGGAGAGTCGAACCCGTCGACTGCTCCGGGCTAGTCCCGGTGCGATATGTATCCACTCATTTATGGCTTCGGGCTTGATGAATACCTACGCCAGGGTAGGCGTCATCCTCGGGAACGGGACCATCCTCCTCCTTGACAAAGGCCACGACAAGGTCGTGGTCTTCATCGTGGTCGGAACCATCTTCTTCCTTGACAATCACATCGTCATAGTCTCCCGTCTCGAGACGCTCATCATGTCGCTGTTCCTGGTCCTGGCGCTGCGGAACTATCACGGTTCGACTGCCGGTGACTCCGGAAATTACTTTGTTGACGTACGTGAAGAGGAAAGGAAATGATGAAGTTAGCTGGGAGACATGATCTAGTATATATAGGGGTTGAGCCCTGGAGCTGTGGGGCTGGGTTCTAGTGCCGTGACAGGACCCTGTTCAATTCGTAGAATAGGCTGATAGCGCTGTCGTTGGCTTCTTCGACGGATTGGTGGGCGGCGGAGTGGTTGGTGTAGTGTTCCATAAAGGCCCCGGAAAGGCTCATCGACGAAGACGAGTCCTGCGCAGGCGGGCATGACGGCGATGGTATTGGGTTCCTCCATCGTGAAAACGGGACTGGTGCTTATGTCAGAGAGCAACACAGATGGGAAGGGAGGGTGATGAACGAACTCGCTGAAGAAGCCCAAGATTCGGGGCTGGTGGGTGCCACGCAGGCAATAAGACGAGGTTGGCAGTATATCCCGCGTAAAAGCTCAAGACGCTGTGAAGTTAGTGGTGATGGATCAGAAACGAAACTAGGTTTGCGGAAGATTGATTGGTAATGACGGTTGGATTTTGTCCCCAGGTTTTTCCTGCCCTCGTGGTTTTTATTGCCTTTGACTCTTTGCTTTGCCTTTATGGTTCCTCTGGTTTTCAACCTGCCTCCTGGTTTTCATTCTGCCTTCGTGGTTTTCTCTGCACTCGGTTTTTAATCTGGGCTGGTGAGCTGCAACTTTTTCTTCCTTCATATTGTCTTTCTTTTATCACTATTATGGGTGCTCCGTTTTTAATAATCTTTTCGTGCACAACCATCCCCAGGTTTGCGGAGGCTCATTCGGCTGTGTATGTAGTTAGAGAAGCTGCAAGTTATTTGCCACCGTTGGGAACATATGCGTTTTGAATGGCGTAGGAATAGCTGCAACCCGACTATCCGTCCTCACGACAACAGGCGTGTTTCAACATCGCCATTTCACTTATGTAGGTAGAGGCTGAAGCTGGTTATTCACACAATGTGAAGGAAGGTATGCAGTGTTCAAGGGTACGGGGAGCTGATGTTTAGCTGGGCAATAGTACCCAATATAGACTTAGACGACTGATCACCTGGCATAGATTGCCAGTACGATTGTCAGTCAGCTTGATAATCAACGTTGAGTGCTGCAGGAGTTATGACTGACTGCTTACTTGGACAGGCCCATCATCGACCCGGTACATCGACAATTGGAACAGATCTACCCATGAGTAACCTGACGCACATTATGCCTCTATGATCCTTACTGATCTTGCTGTTGCACTGTATCAGTGATATATAAGTCTTGAATCCTCATCTCATCTCATTGCCCAAGACCCGTTTCCTGCGGTACGTTTTGCCCAACAGCATAACCCCTGTTTAGCAGCAGGGCAGCATCTTCCTCCTGTATCCCACACACCGTTGCCCTGCAACGACATAGATAGAGCAGCATCGCTACGCGTCCACCGAACGTCTGCAGCTGCACAACGCGTCTTCACTCAATAAGTGAGGACTGCAAGTTTTCGTTCCTCGGATTTCGCCCACCCACTATCACTCCCACACGCGAACACAATTCAAGAACCGCTTCGCACCCGGTTCCTCAGATTTTCGCCCACCCATTCACACTCCCACTCGCGAACATAATTCAACAAGCGCTTCGCACCCGCACCCCGAGCCTCTTTGACCATTCGTTCTCACCCGCACCCAAGAATCTTTGACCGTTCCCTCTCACCCGAACCCCAAGCCTCTTCAATCATTTGCGTCTCAACAGAATGGCTCCTCCCAAATCTGGCACCATGTCGCACGTCTCGTCTACCAGTCGCAACAACAACGACAAGAAGGCCGGTTCGAGCTCCCACGATTCCGACGAGACTATCTCCATTGACGAGAACATTAATGAATCTGCTGCTTCGTCCGACGCCGAATATGCCATCAAATCCGAGGCTGAATCTGTCTTCAATGGAGTCCATGTCCCCAATGTCGCCAGTGCCGATACCGACTCTGACGAGGACATACCTGACGCGCCCGATGCGCAGTCGACTCCAGGCAAGCCACCACCCTATACTGAACCTCACACAAGAATAAGCTAACACGATGCAGCTCACGGTAGAGGCCGAGGCCGAGGTGGTCGCGGCAAGCGAGGAGGTGGATGTGGAAGCCGTGGTGCCGGTGCAGGTCGCGCCAGAGGCCGAGGTCCCACTGCCATGAACCAGTCCATCCGAGCCCCCGGCGCTCCCCCTGTTGCTCGTGCTGTCCGCCATTCCCCTGTTGCCCGTGCTGTCCGCGCTGTCCGCGCTGCCCGTGCTGCCCGTACTGCCCGTGTTGTCGATCGGGCTGCACTGAGAGTCAAAGAGGAGGACGAGCGTGCTGCTGGAAACGGAGGTGTCAATGGTGTCGCTGGTAACGGAGGTGCCATTCGTGCTCCCGATTACATTGAACATGATTACCGCACCCTGTTCAAGAATCTCAAGCATCACTTGGAGTCCGTCGACGTATACTCCACCATCTTCTACGACAATGCCTGGAAGGCTGTCGACACTAGCCGGGAGGACCGCAGCGCTTTCCTGGTTCTGTCACAGGTCAACCAGGGCATCCAGCGGGCCCTTCGCGCACTGGACACCGTTTACTTCCCCGACGAGGAGCCTGAGAAGTTCATGGAGGGCGACAGAGTCTTCCACGCCGGAGAGTAGTGGGTTATGGTTGGCCTGTGTTAGGACGGCAGACGAAGTGCCGTGGATGACTAGCACAGTCTAGGGTGTGCGAGGGGTTTGGGTTCGGTTGGTCGAACTTGTCGATACCGTTGAGTTTTTGCGTTGAGTTCTTGCTTCTTCTGCAAACAGTACCTACACCAAACTTCATGACGAGTTGATGTGGTCCTTTGGACTGAAGACACATGATGCTGACAGCTTCACTCTCTTTCATGGACAGGACGTGACTTGTGCTAAGATGTGACTTGTTCTAACATGATCGTGATCCATCATCTGCGTGCTAAAAGTGTAATGAATGAGGTAGCCAGAGGACAAGGTGATAAAGAAGCTTTGTATTTCATGTTTCAAAGCATACAGTAGACCATGCAAGACATCCAAGCGTACATCGGGGGCTGCAAGACAGGCGAGATGAGGCTCGAGCGGGATGACAAAGTCCAAAACAGGTGTGGTGGCTAGCTAATGACAATGCGCTCTATAGGTATGGATGTTAAAGAAGGGAAGAAAGATCCGGAAGAAGTGCCTGCATGAGTGTGCTTGTGAGCATACCCTAAGGCAAGCCTTCTCCCCTTGACGATGTGAGGTTGAAGCCGTAGCTTGGAGTGAAGTCGAGTGATTATTAATAATCCTGGAGGTGCGGGCCAGAGACCGGGATTTATCCACGCTGTGGGGGGTCTTTGACCTCAAAGCGGACCTCGGGGAGCTTCAGCCGCTAGAGAGCGCTAATCTTGAGTGATCTCGACTTGGCATTGCCCAAGCTTAAGCTCGGACACTGTGACTCCAATGAAGCTAGCTGCCAGCTGGACCAGGTGGAAAGTCTATTCCCACTCCAAGATCTAGAACTCTGCAGCTGGATACCCCGAAGCTGGCAGGTGGCGCTTAGCGTGAGGCCAAGAGAAAAGCTCGGACTAGTTTCGACCCTGGTGCCTGGGCTGCCTGGGCCTGGGATTGATTGCCTGGACCCGCAAACCGGTTGCATCCATTGACTGATGAAATATTTTTTTTCTCTCTCTCGGACTTTTGACCGGCCCTCCCCGCCAAGAGAGGCAGAAAGCGAAGCTGGAGCTGCCCCAAACCCGTGCACGGCAGTGAAGCCAAACTGAACTGCAAGTCAAATCGTGTCGTCCTCCACAACCTCTGATTCCCATCGTCGGGGCTGGTTCGCTACCCAATTCTGCCCTGTTCGTGAACCTCCTGCGTCCGAACCCTTTACCTGCACCCATCTGCATCAGCTGCACTCCCACTGCTCGCTCATTGCGGTGTGTGGTCCTGTGATAGCGCAACCTCAACTACCTTATCTACCTCAACTCAACAGTCGACAACAAAACTCGCCAAGTCAGTCGCCAAGTCAGTCATACATATCGAGTACAAGCATCCTCTGCAGCCTCTTCTCTCCCCTCCACCCAGGTTCACATTGCCTTCGTCACAAGCGACACACACTCCTTCACGAGCCCTCGCTAGTCTCTATTGTTACGCTCCGTTGCCTGCAGCCTCTCCATCTCCGAATCCCCCTTCTTGCCAGTGTCCGATCGTCCTGGATTGGCATGGTGCACCACTCCCCATGACACACTTGAGCTCAGGTTGAGTCGCAGCTTCAGGTCCTGGTATACGGTCCCGCGGCCCCAAGCTTCTACCGTACAAGGTGGTCTATGGCCCCGGTCACGGTCGGATGCCCAGCCGTGAACAGAAGAGCCCTCGCCCGCTGGCCCGCCCTTCCGATCGTCATTGATCATTGATCTTGACCACCGCGCGCCGCATCTTGATCCGACTCAACAACCAGAACAACACCCGCCGCGCTTGCTCCGACCGAACTGCCTTCATTTCCCAGTATCCTCCTCGACAAAGTCATATCTCGTCCTTCTTGGCCTCCGTTGCCACCTCGCTTCGGTCAGCCGTCATCTGCATTGGTAACAAGGTCGATCGGGCAGGATACAACCCGCAATCATGGCGCCTCAGAAGGGCCAGTCAAAGCCTGCAAAAGCCGCTACCGGTCATGCGAATGCAAAGAAACAGCAGCAGTCACAACAACCCGCCCCTGCTGCTCCCCGACATGTCGTACTTCCTGTCATTCCCTTGACTATGGTGGCAAAACAGCGGGGCAGCATCGCGAATAACACCACCAGCGCAAATTCCTCCAAGCACTCTGCAATCGCGTCTGCGACTGCGACTGCGACTGCTTCACCCACAACGCCCAACAGCAACCGTACCCCATTTTCTTCGCTTGAGGCTGCGCTGATCGACCACATCCCGGACAAGTCAGCCAAGGCTTCTGCTCAGAACGGAAATGGGAATGAGGTCAACGGCTCAGCTGTGGAGAAGCCCGGTCCCGCTGCCACTACCGGTGCTGACAACCATGTGCGTCAATCTCACGACACACCCGTCCAGACGAATGGAGTGAACGGTGTCGATTCTGAAGCTCCTCGCGACCTCCCCACCGCTGCTGCGGCCGAGACAGCCCAGCTGTCTTGTGCTCCCTCCGTTGCAGATGCCGAGTCCACTGCTGGTTCTGCCTCTGCAAATGACACCAGCCAAGGTAACCCGCACCTGGACTCACCACCCACTCCGTCTGACTGCAGGCTCTTACACCTTATAGGCGCCCACGATGGTCACTCATTGGCCTCCCAGCCTCAGTCGGCCACCACCCAGTCGCGTGGACATGATCTGCCTCCGTCTTTCCACAATCCTCCGATCCACCCACTGCAGCAACAGCAATCTGTCGACCAGTTCTCCGATACCACGAACTTCCATGCCCCGCACCACATGCATCCTCACCATCACCAGCAACACGCCCACCACCAACACCACATGAGTAACGGTGGCCCTGCTATCATGTTTGGTGCATTCGCTGGTTCGCACAGTTCCTCGCCGGCGCCCCCGTCGGGTGGCTTCATGCCGCCTCCGCCGCCGCCTCCTGTCAACGGTGACGCCCACATCCACCCGCGTGCAAACGGACATCACCATGCTCATTCCAGCAGCAATGGTTTTCCCGCTCACGTTAACACGCACTTCCGACCGGATATCATGCCTATGACGACCCTTGATACATACGGACAGGTTTCGGCCCATGGGCCTCCTGTCCCGTTCGAGTCGTTCCCCCCTGGTGTTGGTCGCTACGGGCCTCCGACTCCTCGCAGCTTCCACGGCTCCCATACCTCTGGCGAGCCCAACGGCATGGAGAATGGGTCTGTACCGTTCCCACCGAACGGTTCGAGTGGTGTGCACTATCCCGGGCCTGCTCACCGTGGCCATACTGCTGCTTACCCTCACCCACATCCGCCTGCGTCCTTCCCACCATATATGCACCCAGAGGATTTTAGTCGCCGCCCCAGCATGGCCACCGAAGAGATGACAGAGAGCATGGTATACATCAGAAACCAATTTGATAACAATGAACTGTCTGATTGTGTTCTCGAGCTTGTCTACGCCAAGGGTCGTAACCATGGTTTGAAGATCAATGGCCACAAGCTCATCCTGGCCCGTAGCCCTGCTCTCAAGCAGCACATCATGGTGGCCCGAGCTACCGACTCGGGCTCTCACACCATCACGATTGAGTGCGACGACTCATATCTGAGAAACGACGCCTGGTGGATGGCAGTGCAACGCCTGTACCTGCATCCGCTTCTCCTTCATCCTCCGATGATGGGCAACCCAGGCAACGTCATGGCCCTTGCTGGCGATATGGCCGATCGGCTTGGGTTCTGCCTGGGTTATGCTGCGGCTGGTCACATCCTTGGTATGCAAGATGTTCTGGAGCGTGGCTTGTATGTTGCCGCAGAGCAACTGGACTGGACCACGATCGAGGAGGCCATTGCCTTTGTACGCGAGGGTACGACCCAACGGCACTACAAGTACCCTACCGAGCAGGATGGACCGCACTCCCACTCTGTCACGTTGGATTTTGGATATGGACCAGAGACGAAGATTCTTTGGCATGCCATCTTGAACTTCCTCGTCAACGAGTTTCCTCCCAACTTTGATCTCGACACCTCCGTTACCGACCCTCCGAAGCTGGCACGTATCCCGGCTGATGCCGCTGGCGCAGCGCCGTCGCCTCTGCCTACACACCCTGACAAGATCATGCCTGCCATTGCTAGAGGCACGATGACACGCAATAACAGCAAGCCAAGCCGTCTGTCCAGCATCAAGTTCGGAGATCTCCCACCCACGCTCCCCGACGATGGCTCGACGCCGCAACGCGAGACCGCCAAGTGCTCCCCCATCCTTTCTCGCGTTCTTCTTAACCTACACTTCGATGAGCTGTGTGAGGTGTTGACGTCCGGCAGTCATGGGGTTCGGGGATGGAACAGTGCGCAAGACAGATACCACGTCGTGGCCGATGTTGTGGCCGAGCGAGAAGCGAGACGTCTCCGCGCCGTTGACGCTGTCCGTTCAGGGTCTGTCCCCCAAGCACGAGAGGTCCAACAGCGATTGTCAGCCCAGCGACGCCATGCCATGGCTGACCCTTGGGATGTTCTGAACTGGCGGGAGGAGGTCAACCCACCGAGAAACGCTGGAGTCCCAAGGCTCGTACGAAACTGGGTTCCTCAATTCAACGTTCCACCGGAGCCCCTTCAACAATTCCAACAAACGAAGCAGCCGTCGTATGAGGCTCACGACTCGATGGTCTAGCTGAACTGTTGGCATGGGATATGACAGACTCACGATGGCACGACAAGCGTTGATTGGGCTCGGAGAGCGGAAGTTTTCCACACTGCATGGCATCGAGGCTATTGGGCATTGGCTTTCGATTTGGTTTCCAGGCGGCATTGCGTTCGGTGTTTGTTGGTGTATTACCCGTTTTCTTCAGCATGCACATATTTGATTGGGAGGGCGAAAAGCTCAATGCATACCCCAAATACGCAGGGCGAGGTGACCTGTTTCGGTCCTTTGGCTCGTAGGGATCCGGAAAATCAATCTCGCCTCTGCGGGAACATAGCCGCCGAGGCTTTGCGAATACAGGGAACGAAAAAGCAAACTAGACAATACAGGATCCGGATGGTCGGGGCTCAATTTGACCTGTCAACCAGCCCTCGCTTCACATAATACCCCTTGCCTCCTGCAGACGGATGGCTATTGCAGCTCATCATGAACTTGATGTTACGTACTGGAGTTTGGAGGTTGGCAGGCAATGCACTTTTGGCGGGATCCCTTTGGGATGCTCGCTCTCGTCTACGTTTGATCCATGGATGGATGACCTACACTCAGGTTAGGTGGCAACGGTGGAGATCGTGAGCATCGCTCGGCATGGTTTGGAATTGGTAACTGTCCATAGTTCCTCTGATACCTAGCTAGCGAACCCCACGAAAATATGTTCTACCGCTTTTCAGGTCAATTTTTTGGGTGAACACTGCTGTGCTTCACTCCATGTCGTCATTTGTAGTTGGCAAGTGAGGTAGACATGGGAGCATTCGGGCGTCTCTCGCCATTTTACTTCATCGCCCCTTTTGACGCCCAAGAACAAATCTCCTGTGTGCCCCTAGTGTAAGACGTATGCAGATGGGCTCGGCGATCTCAGACTTAGATATTTTCATGGTCTTTTTGCTTCACGCCGAGATCAGCGTGGCAGCTGGCGCTCGTCTTGTCCAGTAGATCTAGTCGGTGTTCACAAGCCAGGAAGCACACATCGTATACCTCGAAGTTGATACCGTCTTTTGCCTCGCTGTGAAATGTCAGGTTATCTATGTACGAGAAAACTTGAAAAAGCTGATAAGTACTTTTTTACTTATATAGTGTGGGATACAGGGTGCCGTACAGGTGTGGTGCCGGCTGTCAGGCAGTTAGATCTAACCAGAATAAGTGGTCAAAGGAGAGAAAGGGGTGAAAGCACCAGAATGGAGGCTTTCAGGGTGATAGACAAGGCTCCATCAACTGTCAGGTCAATATATGGGCGAATCTTTATGCTTCAGTGTACTAGATTTAGTCCCCCGACCCGATAAACGATCACGCAACCAATTCACCCCAATCCTGACCCCATATTGGACCCTGAATTGTGACATATAGGCATAAAAGTACCCTTCGTTTGGTATTCAGTAATGTGGTATATTAATTTGCTCAAGAGCAACTGGAGTCTTCTGCTCTCTCATTCGTGTCACAGCCCGTCAACTTGGTTGGGGAAAACCTCTGTGGCTAAATACCTTACATGAGCCTCTTATTGATCACCTTGACCATTCCGGGCTCTATCGGTCATTGGTGTTATTGCGTAACCTTGCGCACACTTCTCAGGGGATCCCCAGATGCTCACCACGCCTCCGTAGTCAGCGAGTTGCTTACCAAGAGCCCCAGCAGACGATCTTTCCATTTGATCTTTTTCGCAGGAAGGTTGAAAAAGCATCGAGGCGTGCTGCCGTCGGTCGGTAGGCTGTCGATATTGATCTCGGGGCTCCCGTTGATGGAACAGTCGATGAGTGCTTTGTAGTACACCTGTGATTTGACCGTGAGCACATTCCACTTCTCTTCAAAAGGGTCTTTCTCCGACGACACGGATAGGAAAAGTATGAGATGCCGTCGAAAGGATGGGGCGCAGCTGGCTGGCATCAACGTACCTCAAGTCCAAGTCCCTGCGTGGTTAACTTGCCATAAAATGCGGCGCCGACCTCCTTTATCCAGTCCGCATGCTCACAGTCCAGAAGTTCCCCGCTGCAGTCTGTAACGGAATTGCGCTTTCCTACCAACCTGGTGAGGTAGAAACAATAGTTGGTGCCCTTGGCATCCAGCCAGAGGTGGCCGGTCCCGGTGCAGTCCTCCGCCGTTAGGATGTCGGTATCGGCAATGAGACGGGCTCCGAGGCTGTCAAGTGCGAAATCGACCAGCTTCTTATTCTACCACGTGTTAGGACGGACATCGTGCGGCGTTGGTGGTGCTTGTATTTTCTCGACTCATACGTACAAATAGCGTCTTGCCGTTGGCAACGGCATCGCGAAATACTTGGTTTACATCGTCGACGAGCCATACACCCTCCGCGAAGAAATTGGCCACGTTCGTATTGTAAGTGGTGGCGATCTTGGGCAACGTGCTCGTGTTCCCCTGGCCTCCTAGCGCCGTGGTCAAGATGTCATCGACCTTCTGGGCTGTGGCCTGGAATGCCGCCGATAGCCAGTTTGTCATCGCCGTGCCGGAGGGCGCGTACGACTGGTTAGGCACCCCCGCAGCGCTGAAGAGGCCACCGAGGATGCCCATGGCGCCCCTGGCTTCGGGGTTTACCTACTTACGCGAGTGCATATCAGCTTCCGAACAACGATCGGCTTCGCCGTCTCCGCCCCAGAACTGAACTCACCTGCGCGGCGGTCAACGCGCCTCCGAGGGTCGAGAAAGCCGCACCGACATATTTCAGCGTGTTCTGGTCGCCGGTGAGGTCGGTTTTGAAGCTCTGCGCGATGGCGGCAACGTTGATCCCGGCTATGATGCTCCCGTCTTGGAAGGAGTCGCGGATATACGTCATCTTGCCGTTGAGGCCTTGCACAGCGCTGAGAACGTAGAATGCCGGGCCCTGTTCCGGGTTTGGCGTGTTAGCGGATAGTTACCCTGAGAGTGAATTTCGAAGGGAACTTGGGGTATGACACTTGCACATGTTTAAGGGGTAGACTTCAGTGAAAGGGTCCGAAGAAAAGCCCCCGGGCACGAAGAAGGGTGGGAAAGGCAGGCATGTGTACCGTTAGAACCTACCTGGTTTCTCTGCATATATAGGGTACAGTTGGGGTCGGGGGTGCAGTCGCCGCCGGCGATGAGACAGCCGTCCAAGTTGCTCGGCCCATACTCAGGGAACACCTTTCTCTCCGCGGTGCCTAGCCAGCCTAGCTCGCCTGTTAAGGGAGGCATATGGTCACGTCAGACTAGCTACAGTGCCGAGGTTCCTCATCATAAGGTATCGACTTACCACCAGCTGCCAGCTCAGAGCTCAGCCACTGACCGGCCCCCGTACTATCCCAAGCCAACTTCGCAGCGGCGTATGTAGAGAGATTCGCATATGTTGTACAGATGCTTTGGCTGGAGTATCCCTTTCCGGCACTGTTGGACGGGTCGCCGGATCGGGGGCTTAGGCTGTGGCTGGCGGCCAATGTGGCGAGCCCGGTGATGACTATAAGTTTCAGATACAACATTGCCAGTTATAAGAGTAAATAGGTACAAGAAAGAGTGATAGCGAACGGGATAGTCTCTGGCGTGTCCTTGGCGCCGGGTAAATTTTGGGCCGTACAAACTGCTTTTATGGCCTTCCCACTACACATTATATGAAGCCGGTCCTCAATGGACCTGTGTCACAAAATTGGTGGCGGTATCCATCTGTGGCAAAGATATTGCGGCCTAGAGAGGGTCAGTGCGTAAATAGAAAGTTTCAGGAGTATGGCAGTCCCGTCGGTGGCGGGCTGAGAAGGTAGCTTGTCTGAGCCGCACAGATCTACCAGCCTTGACCCGATGGAATTCCTTCTAGAAGGATTGCGAAGAGGGTCCAGAGGCTCGTGGTTCTGTGCATGTGTGCTATTGGGCAATACGAAGGATTGGTCACAGAACCGCGCGCATGTCTTCAGCTTCCTGGTACGGCAGTGGTGCCTCACGTGGGTAAAGCGTCATGAACTGCCAGCAGACAGATCAGATCAGGCACGTCACTGTGGGCGGATTCGTCGAACTGAAGATACTCGAGAAAGATGGTGAAGAAACAGCCAACGGAGTATGGAACGAAGAACCGGTCTTTTGGGGACGGCAATCGTGGTAGAAATTCGATGGATATGGGTGCCTCCATTCGCACTGCCGTCATCTCACATGAGTCTCGTGTATCTTCAATAGGCGTTTGCATGACAGGAACAGCTGTGATGGAGCCCAACAAATACGATTGACTCGTCGATGTAGAGAAAAAGTCGTAGTTCTGTGTTTTGGTCCTCGCACGTGCAACGTCCTCGGGCTGTGTCCGCAAATAGCATCATAAGTCGTGCTCGAAGGAGCCGCAATATCCACCAAGAGGCCCACATACCCCGGTGTAAACCCTGATGTTGTTCAGGGGTCCGAAAACGTGATGCCTTTGAGCCTTCTGATTGGACGGAAGATTGATTTCAACATATACCGGAAAAGTCACATCTCCACGATGTTCGCGATGATGGTGCCTGTTCTAGGCATAGAATGTTATGGGAGAACTGCACAGGCGTCAGGCTCGCGCGCTAGGCGTATGACGTACCCAACATACTGCCGGTCAGCGCTCATATACGTCTATATGGTTCAATTAGATGTCACAGCCAGGCACGTGCTGGTAGTGTACTCCATCGTGTTCTGATATTACTTCTTATTCGTTTCGTTTTGCTTACATCACTGTGAATCGGCCAATTTTCGAATGGCTTTTCTCTTTTCGTTATAGATACCAGACGCATTGTAGACAAGTGCCACGGCGAGAGAGATCAGTACATCGTAAGAAATATGGTAAGTCCCGGGAATCATCAATTCCGCCCTTCTCAGCTTCCTCCTCGTCACGACGTTCGTTACGAAGAGCGTAATCCAATCTCGTCTACGACCAATGGAGTCGAAGTATGAAGAGCGCGTGGTATCGGGTCTGGTAGTACGCGTCGTCTGCCGTGGCGTTTCCTGTGGGGTTCACAATGACCCGTGCCTCTGGCTCTATATCAAAAACAGACTTGTCCACGTAGACAGCCAGGCCAACAATGGGATATGATATGAAGTTGCATTGGCCATGACATTGGCCTTGACATTGACGTGGAAGCCTGACTCGGCGAGAAAATAGGCACCTGGTGATGTGGCTCACCTGGGAGTAGCGTCACCAACGCCTATGACCATGAAGTTGAAACAAGTCGTGTAGGTTTGAGGCCCAAGCGGCAGTAATAGGTATTTGAATTTCTTTGTTTTTCGCCCCCGGGGCGGCAGGTGGCTGTACGTGCATGCACTCACGTACTAGGCGACCTAGCTAATCCTAGTGTGGCACTAGGGTGGCAGTAATAGGTATAGAGTTGTCTGTTCATATGATTTGACCCCTAACTTACCTCGGGGTTCTTGTCAATATAGCTGGCTTAATCTGACTTCAAGCGCATAGGTAGTTACAAAATCGTACCTTCGAAACCTGCTTGTTTCTAAGCGTTGTAGAAACGAGCCATGAGATAGGAGTCATGTCACAGTAGGTGTCAAGTCTCTCTAGATCCCAGGATCATGATACCTTGTAACGTTGACTTCTAGGTAACCTTCGTTTTTATACTCTAGCATCCTAGGGTTGCACTTCTTTAATTGTTCAACTTTCCCGTTTAATTATCTCTTGCTTTCCCGTATTTAGTTCCTACTAGAGGGATGCCGTCTTTCGAAGGGGCACAAACCCCTATATTTGGGTAAAACTGATTAGAACAGGGTGTCACTTTTATAGAGACGTCTGGACGACCAGCGTGCCGAACATCCTTTCTGGGTTTTGCGTAGATAAACATACCTCTGTCGTTGTGATAGTCACTCAGCGTTGACGAGTTAAGATTACGCCGCCACCGTTATTAAGGACGCTTTCGAGAAGTTTCTAGCATGAAATGTTACAAGTTCGTGTGTTAAAAGAATCGTGCCATACTCCCTTAAATTTCTGTTATCCGTCGCTTTCATTGATGTCTTACATGTGCTCCGGTGGGGCCAGCCCTCTTTCCCGGATTGCATCTCCCCGTGTCCCCGTATAGCTCCTGTACTTCTGAAGACATCTCAAACTATTCCGCCTTTCGTCTGACCCAGTAAGATGAATCAGGGGCTCACACGGGTTTGCATGTACCGGCGTTTATTTCAGCGCGGCCGTCGACGTTGCGGGCGCTGAAGTTGCCGGAGCCGAAGTTGCAGACTTCGACGTTACGGGCGTCGACTGGGCTGCGGCATCACCGGGATTGCCAGGTGTGTAGTTCGGAGGGTCGTTGAAATTTCCATTATTCGGCGGCGTCTCGCCAACGTTCGTGCAAGCATATGGCCCCCTTCTGACCCGGCTTGTGCGAGTCGACAACCAGCACACGACAGTGGAGAGGCCCCTTATCGCAGAGCCCGATAGCCAAGCAACTTGTCTCCACAACACCCACTCCTACGAGGTTTTTCCCTTTATGGTTTCCCTCGCCAGCAGATAACAAACACCTACTTCACCCACCAATGCGACATATATCGAACGGCTACTGGAACGATGTGTACACCAGAGGACTGAGGTTCACTGGGTCACTTTGTCACTGGACAGGAGGTTTTTCTGACGGAATTGTGCTTGGGTATTGACTAAAACCATCTGGACACTCCAGGTTGGTACCGCTACAGCGAGGATAGGCTCGTTCGCGGATCTGAATGTATCTAGACTGACACCTCTACAACCTTGCGATGCAATGGCTCTGGGAGGCGTGGTTTGCCCTATGGAGGGACTGCATCCACGATAAATACAATCAATCAATCAATCAATCAGTTCGTGCAAGCAACCTTGTAGTAGGCATTTGTCGCAAGCCATGCGTAACTATTAGCATTATTGCGCGCTGCAATAGCGTTGTTGTCTTGGTTCGGGTCAATGAGCCCGTGGGTGCGCTGAGGGAAATAAGCGGCGAGATCGTCGTCGTTGAGCTCATCCACAATGTTCCCCACGGTCACTTTGGGGCCGACGCTCTGATAGTGCAGCGTCTCGTGGAGCATCATCCGGGCAACGGACTCCATCTTTGCGCTCGGATAGTCGTCCAGGTCTGCACACTCGTTGCTGGACGGGTTGACCGTCTGGTCGTATGTGTCATCGCAGAGATGGAACTTCTCGCGTTCGTCGGCGGGATCAACCCCCCAGTATCCGCCTGTTAAGAATGCGTCGCCGCCGTCGTCGTCGCCACCGCTCTCTGGACAGGCCTTGGCCCAGTCGTTGTTGTCCAAGATCATATCTTTGACAATGGCCTAGATTCAGTCAGTAACTAGGTGACTTGACTACCCCTAATCAAGTAGCTCTCTGGGTTCTCCTGAGCGAAGGAAGAGAGCATGAATACAGAATGAGGAGATTGGCTTCCCCCGGAATATGGATCAACTGGTTGCAATAGTTCAAAGAATGGTACTGACCTGTGCTGTGTAGCTCTCGAAATCAAGCAGCTGTTCCCACACTTCCTGAACATCGTCTTTGTTCTCCTCATCCTCATCATCCTCAAAGTACCGGCTGAAGATAGTGCGGTCAGAACCCGTCGTAAGTGCCTCGCCGTTGACTATGAGCTGCGGCCAGCCAGTGCAGAAAGCTTCGTGTGCGGTCCGGACCTTGGTGAGGTCGGCATTTTTGGAGGCGTCGAAGTTGAGGTAGCGGAACTCGTTGGTGCACTCAGTTGAGTCTCCACCAGGGTATCCTGATGGCTCTCCATCGCGTGGGGCTTTGAGGGTACGCGTTGCTACCTCTAGAGCAGGGACTTCCCTCTTCGATGATGCTGCGAGTACCGACAAAGGGAGCTGAAAGAGGACGCTTAGAGCAATGTGCTGAGGCATTTTGGAAGTCAAATGGATACGTAAGGATGAGGAGTCAGTGGGAAACAAGTGTATATTATAATATGCCAGCGTTCGAGAATGCTCTTGAGGAATGTGTTGATATGGGGGAAGATACAACTCATATTTATGCGTCGAATGACTGCTGAGTGTCCTGCTCAATGTCACCACACCGTTCCTACAGATAGACACGAACACGCCTTGCAAATGGCCGCCGAAGTCCTGAACTACGAATCTTCATCTTGTAGGCTGTGGCTGAAGGGGATTACGTAGGTTGATTGCACTCCTTCGGGGACTATTGATATCCCATGCTTGGAGATCGGCTAACCAGAGCGTCGGCATATTCAACTGCGGACTTCTTTCCAAGCCCATGTTGAGGAGTACCTTTGACGACACTGGATTCACGAGTGCATGATTAGGCGCGATCGATGAGCACCGATGTGTCAAGCATGCTTTAGGCTGATGAGATATTGCTACGGTCCTCGTGCCCTGTTGGCCAGAAATAGAATTGCGATTAAGGCAGAGTTGGTGTTACCACCCACCGAGGCAGCCTCCGGTGTCACTTCACCGATAATTACATGCAAACTGGTGAGGTAAATGCTGCTCGTTCACTTACTTGAAACAAGATCAGGACAGACATTAGGGCTGAGCTGGCGATCACCACTCACTGAGACAGCCTCCTGCATCATTTCACCATTCAGCTAGACATGCTTCAAGCTGAGGTGAGATATTGATGCTCCTTCTCGTACCTTACTTGAAACAACATCAGATTGGACCGGGAAGATGACTGCTGTTAAGGCTGAGCTTATGTTACCGCTCACCGGGACAACCTCCTGCGTCGCTTAACGGCAGGGCCATATAAATGGGACACCCCCATATGTGGGACAGTTTTCACAGCCAACATCACTATGTTCACTTATATATATCTCCACAGCCAATGAAGCCCTAGATACCGTAAGTACAGCGTCTGAATCATCTTTTCTTGGTATTTTCTATGATCCAGGTTTGATTAGGTCCATCGCGACGGGATGGGCCGCGGTAGGGGTCGGAAGTTAGCACTTTCGGGCCTATTTAAGGAGTAATGGGACCCGTGCCCCCTATCCCCTCTAACCTAGCAGAAGTTCTGTGTTTCTTTTTTTCCTTATTTTCCGTAAGCGTCTGAGGCTTCAGTATGTCGAAATGCCGCCTTCGTACACTCCAGAAGACCTCGCAGAGGCGATAGCCGCTGTGAACAACGATGGTCTATCCCTCTGTAAGGCCGCCCAACGCTATGGAGTACCAAAATCAACCCTTTCTCGCAAGATTGAAGACACCGCAATGACCCAGACGCAGACCAATTGCGAGGGCGTTCACAATAAACAGAAGATCAGCCCTGAGCAAAAAAAAAAGGTTATTTTATGGATCCTATATCAAGAGAAGGCCGGCCACACGCCAACTCACGGCAATTTAAGGTACATTATCAAAAAGATCCTACAATCTGAGGGAAAACCGGATCATCTTGGGAACAAATACACGCAAAACTTCATCCACAGACACCCAGAGATCAAGACCAAGATGGGACGAAAGCTTGACTACAAGCATATCAATGCCGCTACGCCCGAGAATATCAATGGCTTCCATGACTGTTATAAGGATTTTGGCTTTATCAAACCCGAAAACCGGGCAAATGTCGATAAGTACGGCATTATGCAGGGTCGTTAATACATGAATTGTCTAATCCAAGTGGTTTTTGGACGGCTGACCGGGAGATCAGGTCTGATGGCCTTATAATAGGCAATTCTGGCTCAAAAGGGGCCAATGTCAAGTCCAACGACGACTGCACGTGGACTATTGTGGTAGAATCATCACTACCACTGAGAAAAAGCTCCGGCCATTGGTTATCTTTAAGGCAAAGTCAATCCAAACATAATGGTTCAAAGAGCAGCTCATGAAGGAGCATCCCGCGATGGCAGACTGGATAGTAACGTACTCCATCAACGCTGGACCTCGAATGAGTTTACGCTACATTGGCTGGAGAAGGCAAGTTTTTTCTGAGTTACTAGCTATAACTACATGCTAATTAGCCTTAAGGTATATTTACCTGATACTGCTCCCGAAGATCCCGAAGATTTTTGTCTATTGGTGCTTGACGGCCATGGCAGCCACTGCTCAGAAGAGTTTATATATCTCTGTTACATAAATAATGTGTATATGAGCTTTTTTCCTGCCCATACGGTAGGTTACATGATCAACTAGTAGTTATTCTGTTAAAAGGGGCAGTCTCACATCTTCCAGCCGCTAGATTTGACCATTTTCTCGGTTATCAAAGCCGTCTATCGCCGCTTGATCGCCCAGCTTGGCCAGCTCAATGATTTGGCCCCTATTGGGAAGATTAAGTTCCTTTCTTGCCTAGCAAAAGCTCGCAATGAAGCTACACCGGCTATTATGCGTTCGGGATGGCGAACTGCTGGGCTTTGGCCAGTAAATAGGCAAAAAACGCTGGCGAATGAGCATGTGGTGAAGGCAGGAGAGATTCAAGCAACAGTAGCAGCTATAATGAACCCCCAGAGCACCCCAGAAGCACTGGAAGCCCCTAAATCAGGGCAAGATATAGCCCTGATGCTATCACAAGTTGCTGAGACCCCTAAGCAGCGAGCAGCAGTCCGCTCGGTTGCGAAGTCCTACGATGAGATGGTGGTTGAGCTAGCGCTCGCAAGGGAGCTGCTGGAGGCAAAAGACGACAAAATTGAGCGTCTAAAGCCAAAGAAGCGCCATAAGGCACCCCAAGAAGAGCCTGATTAACGGCTTTAGAGAATTAGGGACGTTATTCAGGAGCAAATTGAGCATATAGAGGCCGCACAAGCTACCATTAAGCAGTGGGAAGAGCGACAACGAGTTATGCGTGAATTACTGAACCTGAACACTGACAAATCAGAGAAATCATTATCTGAACCCTCTCTGGAGTCAGATTCAGAAGAATCACATGAATTGGAACCCTCTGAGGCTGAAGGGGTGGCTATTGACGAAGGGGGTGATGGCACGGATGAGGAGTCCGACGAGCCCATTGTGGTGCGATCTTCACGCCGCGCAATCCGCCAGCCTGCGCGCTACCGTTAGAATACATAATATTGCTGAAAACTCCAAGAAAATTCAATCCAAACTGTGAGATTCTAGAAGGGTCACAAGCCTTGGGGGTGTGAGCGGTCGCTGCAAATGTTGTTGTCATTCTCAAGTATGCTCGGCAGGGCTAATTCACAGCTAAATACCATACTGCACCATGCCAGGGTGGATCCACTGTTCCCTTGACAGCCCCCTAGTGGGTACTGCACCTAAGGGCACCATATCTGGGATCCAACATCTGACACAAACGTATTATATAGATTATCTAGAGCTTCAATTCTGATTGAGTTATCGGTGGGTGGAAGTGTAGCCTTTTGGTGTGAAAGCTGTCCCACATATGGGGGTGTACCATTTATATGGCCCCGCCGTTAGGTACTCCAATGATGTATGTGTACCACGGATGGCCAAGGACCATAACAAAGCCTTGTTGGTTATCCTCATGTGGCTATAGTCTTACGAGCTTGACGGCGGACGGAGTCGAGCAGGATGATCGGTGGGAATCATATCTGTGACGATGAGTCAGATGCGGGGCCTATTTCCCATGTTCTTTCCCCTTTAATATTGAATCATTTACTCCGAATAACACACACAACCAGTCCTGCACATCATTACAATCATCATGGCGAATACTGAGAACGAGTTTCGCATATGGTTGGATCTGCAAAGCAGTCACCATCCCGCTGTATTTGATCTATCCGGGAATACCCCCTTTGAACTACATCTGCAGGCTCGCAGGATATCCAACTTCGAGAATGACCCGCGCGAACTTTCCTTACTTACTGCGGGCTCACTCTTCGACCTCCCAACTGCGCTAGACAAAGGGCTCATGGAGCTGGTCGATGAGAACACCGGCAACGTAGTCGACCAAGACATCGCCAGTCTCCGGACTCGGCCGGACCACCCAAAAGGGCTGTTCCTGACTTTGCCGACAGACAGCAGAGCCCAACACCACCCTGTCCAATCGCTGGCTTTAAACGCCGCCACTCACCTCCGCGCCATGGTAGAGCCCGGTCACACCTATCGGCTCCGGGTTCGAGACAATGATCTTGGGGTGCAATGGTGGGGATGGCAAGCCGGCCAAAGTTCCCCGTCAGACAGCACCCAGGCCGAGCTCCCGCCCGGCGAGCCCAGGAAGCTGGTCTCGAACCGGTGGTGCTCCAAGACATTCACCGTGGTCTCACATATCCCGAAGCCCCCCCGAGCTCAGCATTGGCCTGTCGCTGGCGGAGGATCCCGGTTCCGTCAAAGTGGTTATCACGAATCCCAACGGCCAGCCCATCACCGTAGCCACGCGGGGGCCCCAGATGTACATCTCGGACTCCAAGGCGCCACCCGACCCCGGCAACCGCATCACCGACGGGCACCATCCCGACGTGCGCAATCTCGAGATCGTCGACGCGGAGACGGGCCAGGACTTGCTGGCCAACGCAGTGCTGCGCGTGTACCCCGTGGCCGGCGGCAGTGGTGGGGGGAGGGGGTGGTCGCGAGGCAACTTCCTGACGCTCGCGCCGGGTGAGCAAGTCACGTGCGTGGTAGGCCTTCCCGTGCAGAGGCTGTCGCCCGGGAAGGAATACCTGATCAGACTGCGACCGGCGGGGTGTTGGTGGACGGAGGGGACCGTGGACGATCTCTTTGGGGAGGGCAACGGTGTTATTAGACGATGGTCTTACGGACCGACTCTCCCGCTTATGCTGGAGAGCGACGACAAAGTCTCGTTTCGGCTGCGTTGAAATAGTACCTAGAGCAGGCCTGAGTACCAGCGAGTTCTTAGTCTCAAGTGTGCGCCTCCCGGGAGAGTTGGGTGAGTGAGGTTCTGCGGCATATTCTTCCTATAGCAATGCATCGAGGGTGGCGTCCCTTTTCCATGGCTTTGCAGTCTTCCCTCGTCCTGGATCAAACATTTGTCATTAACAGAGCACGTGCAACACCAGAAAACCCAATATAAATACACCATCAACCTACAAACCCCATCATTTGCAGAAATACCTCGCCTCCGTGCCGACTTGCTTACCCGTCAACCCACGATCCCTACCCAACGAAGTCACAAGTGACTCATACGTCAGCACATCATTATGAGACAGGCATCGACTGGGTCTCTGGCTACAGAGGGAACGCGTTAAACCGCATGAGTAGGTCACTAGACATGGTCAAGGACGATAACTATTCCGTCTTCATCAGTAACCTGCCGCCCACTCTGGTTACCCACCAACTCCTCTCGGCAGTCGGTGGTGAAAAAAGCCATGGCCGTTTTCGAGGTGGTTGAGGCTGCCATTTGAGATGAATGAGGATACGAGACGGAAGCTCCGCGGCCTTGGAGAGAACAATGGGCGGTGGAAGTCAGGACGGGAAGCGGAGGCAGTCCGCAATATCGTGCACCGAGCTCGATGAGGAGCGGTCCACCATGGGGCGACAGTGCTGGCCACGCGACGAGGCTGTTGTCACGTATTCGAAGGACAAGAACCAGACCTGGCAAAGGGAAGAAATGTCGATGATGCAGAAACCTCAGGCGCCTCAGCTGTGAGTATGCATCGTGTCCCGAAGGGCCGGTCCACATCCTCGCGACGCCTTTACAGGTCATTAATCCCCTAGGTACGAGTCAGGCCGCTTGAAGAGTCAATCCAGACCGCAGCCATAGCTCGCTCTACTATCGAAGCGATTGAGGCAGCTAGTCTGTTGCCACTATGAAAGCAACGCGTATCAAAAAAGTCTAGGCGCGCCCATCAGCCCTAACGCTATAATATAGTAGGATGCAGGATCGCCGACATGCCAAGCAGCACGACGCGTCGGCTGCGGCTACCCGATGCTTGACCAGAAGCTTATGTCGTCTTTGGCGACACTTGGCAGATGGCCAAGCCTTGCAGAATGTATAGGAACTCCAGGGTGTTGGAAAAAGTGCTGTAGTATTTGTATGACATGCAGCAATTCCGTAAAACCACACGGCCCCTTTTCCACGAAGGTTTGTGACTACTGACTTTGTCATTCGAAATTCACATGGCGCGAGATGGCTATCGCACGCCATCTTTCGTTTGGGCTTAGTGCGGCCATCAGTCAGCGGCGACGCCGTTCTCGGTTCACATGGAACTTCTCGCGGGGGACGGGAGAAACTGTGGAGCGATTCTTCTACCCGTGCCACGCCCCACTTTATTCAGGATTCGCTCGGGCTCACCAGCTAAAGCTGGTGCTGGACACCAAAACACCCAGATCACCAAAACACCCAGTTTTTCGATCTATCCAACTAGAAAGGCCTTAACCACCTGCAACTGTGGCCAGATTCGTAGATTTCCGCCGGTGCCATCCTCCAAAAAAGCCTCTGTTTGCGTGACTCCTTTGCTGCTTCAGAAAAACAGCGTTTTGCAACATTGCAAATCCTTAGATCTGCTGCTTTAACCATTTTCTTCGCCTTAATTATCTAGTCTTCTTCCTTCTGCTAGACCATTCACTGGCCATCAGCTACTATCAACACCCCTCCTGACTTCAATAGAGTATACTTGATAACCTGGCATTGTTTTTAAACGCGCTCAACATATTTAGTTCTCCCCAGGTCTCTTTTAGTCTGGACTAGTTCTGAGGCACTTATTAGAGACTTTTTAATAAAGCGGCTAATATTGGCAGCAAACTCAGAACCAAGACTTTTGTCACTTTTCAGCACTGTGTCTAGCTTATTAGCTACCTTGTTGATCTGGCGCAAGGTCATTGGTGTGACGGTCTGACCTCCTGGAAGTCTGTCAACCCATCAGGGTGGCCTGTGCGCAGCATCACATGACCTGGCGCACAAGACGTGTGGCCACAACTGTACTAGGCTAGGTAATAGTGGGGCGGATGGAAGGATCATTAATCCCACCAGAATTGGCTGGCGGGTCAGATCCTTCTTTCCCTTCCCACCAAGAGATTCTTACACGTAGGTAGTGCAATTAGGACTTTTATGTCCTCATCCTATTTACGCTTCGTGACAATTGGCGTGCCAAATGGTGAGGAACCTGCTAAGATAAGGGGAATAGGTGTCCTTTTTGGTTGTCGTTCTTTTAGGCTTTGAAGCACTGGTAGCGGGTTATATAGCCAGATACCAGTCTTCTAGAAGGCAGAGAGAATTGTACTAGACTTAAATGCTTGCTGGCGGACCTGTTAAATACAGCTAAGGAACTCAAGCTTTGTAATGTTTACCAGGCCATCACAGACTATTAAGTCCAGTGCCTTTGCATAATAATGCTTCAGCGGCTGGAAGACTACCCTGTCTAGCGGCTGCAGTAGGTGCATCAGGTTTGGAAGCATGCCAAAAGGGATGATACCGTGATCTTCGCAATATTGAATGCACTCAATCATATAGTGTAAATCATGGCCATCCAGAATAAAGAGCTGTTTTGTTCTAATGGTCTTTGCTGCTGTGGTTTTTTCAAAATGCTTTAGCCATTCCAAGCTGATCTGATCGTTTGAGTAGCCGCTGGAAGAAGGGATAATAGCTATATCTCTATGCAGTTCAGGTTGTTGATACCATTGGGCTATATGGAGCTGGTCTACCAGAACCAGAAAGGCTGGTATATATTCTCTACCCGCAGAGATGGCTTCGATAGCAGTAGCGGATTCCCTATTCTCAGGTGTGCTGAAATAATGGGCTCTCTTTTTTCTTTGGTGATGATGAGCTGGTTCTTCCCAACACCTATTTAAAAGCCAGTCTCGTCCATGTTCCAGATATCTTCGGGAGGGATACCTGCTTTGCATGCCTTCTTGAGCTTCTGGAAGTACTAAGCGGCTCGCTCGACGTCTTCTAATGCCTCCTGGTCCGCATAAAGCTGCTTCTGAAGCCGCTAGTGGTACCCATAGCGCTTGATAAAGCGGCTGGTCCATTTTTGGCCAATAGTAGGTGGGCTGTTCCGTATGGCTAAAGGCGCTCGCTCGCTCAGAATATGATTTGCAGTGTCGGTAATGAACTCAGCGCGTACAACAAGGTTAATACAATCAAAATGATCAATATAATAATATATTGCCACCTCTTTAGCAGGTGTTAGCTTTGTGTTTGTTGCTAGTTGGCCTTTTCTTACTGGACAGCTCTTGAGGCAGTTTTAAAGGCAATCACGAGATACGCCAAATTCGCGGGCTACTGTGGCGACTTTCAAACTGGAATGGGTTCCAATATGCTAGACAGTTTCCTGTAAGCGTGCTTCCATTTTACTGAATTAAATATGCGTTGAAGCTGCTGAAGAAAAGTGTGATCTAGAAGGAATGGTTGAAAAACTGGGTGTTTTGGTGTCCAGCACCAGCTTTAGCTGGTGAGCCCGAGCGAATCCCGAATAAAGTGGGGCGTGGCACGGGTAATCTGTGTGACAGACTGTGCCATGACGTTGCAGGCCCCCTGACCCTGGTGCGACAGTGAAGGGACTCCAATCGGGCCATTTCGAGGCCTGCACTTCACAGATCAACACTAGTATGGTCGACCGGCCATGACCAGGTAGCAATTGGCCAATGGCGACGACGTGAGCAATGCTGGGATGGGCGATAGCGTGTTGGTAGACGGCCTCTTATCGTTTATCCTTCCTCATTTCCTCATTCCATTACCACCCTGTCTAACATCCTCTTCCCGCTCCCATGTATAACTAGGGCTTGGCTCCCACCGCTCTGCCTTTACGTGTGAATCCATTCAAGCATAGCCACTTGCGACCGTCCTTCGACACCTCACCTCTTGGGTTCACTCGGAAAGCCGCGCGAGTCAGGCCCAAACTCGGAACCATGGAGGAACCGATCCCCGGCGGACGCGACGACATGGTCGCAGGTGATGCCGCCGCCTTGGCAAACCTCGGCCACAAGCAGGAGTTGAAGCGCAACTTCTCCAAGATATCCATGCTGGGCCTCGCCTTCGCCATCCTTAACACCTGGACCGCCCTCGCCGCCTCCATCTCGCTTGCCCTGCCGTCCGGAGGCGCCAGTTCCGTCATCTGGGGCCTCATCGTCGCCGGTATATGCAATCTCTGCCTGGCCGCCTCGCTCGCCGAGTTCTTGTCTGCCTTTCCGACGGCGGGAGGCCAATATCACTGGGCCGCCATCATCTCGTGGAAGAAATGGAGTCGCGGCATCAGCTACGTGACCGGATGGATCAACGTGTCGGGCTGGGTCGCCCTGACCGCCACCGGAGGCCTGCTGGGGAGTACCTTCGTCCTGAACATCATCTCGCTGATGCATCCGGCCTACGAGTCCAAGGCCTGGCATCAGTTCCTGATCTACCTTGCCTTCACCTTCCTGGCCCTCCTGATCAACACCTTCATGACGAGACTGCTGCCCTTGATCACCAAGGCCGCCTTCTTCTGGTCCCTGGCCGGCTTCATCATCATCAGCATCACCATCCTGTCCTGCGCCTCGCCCAACTACCAGAGCGGCGAGTTTGTATACGGCAACTTCATCAACGAAGTGGGTTGGCCTGATGGGCTGGCCTGGCTGCTTGGTCTCCTACAGGGCGCTTTCGCGCTTACCGGATTCGACGCCGTCGCCCACATGATCGAGGAGATCCCCGAGCCTCATATCGAAGGACCCAAGATCATGCTCTACTGCATCGGCATCGGCATGTTCTCGGGTTTCATCTTCCTCAGCTGCTTGCTGTTCTGCGTGAACAACATCGACGATGTAATCAGCTCCACTGCCGGCCCTCTGCTGCAGATCTTCATGGACGCCACCAAGAGCAAGGCTGGCAGTACGTGTCTGCTCATGTTCCCGCTCGTGTGCATGCTGTTCACCTCGACGGCGTTGATGACGACGAGCAGCCGCATGAGCTACGCCTTTGCCCGTGATCGTGGTCTCCCCTTCAGTCACATATTCGCCAAGGTTCATCCGACGCTCGATGTGCCACTGAACGCTTTGTTATGGACAACGGCCTGGGTCGTCGTCTTCGGACTAATCCTCTTGGGGTCTGACAGTACCTTCAATGCTATCACTGCCGCTTCCGTAGTAGCGCTCGGGATCACATATGCTATCCCGCCTGCGATCAATGTGCTCCGGGGGCGCAAGATGCTACCGCCCACGAGGTCATTCAAGCTCCCGGAGCCAGTCGGTTGGGTCATGAACCTGGTAATTCCCCCGCCTCGTCCTGTAATATCTGTTCTTGCTGGTATCCTCGGTTGCTGACTTGAGGTAGGTTGGCATCGCGTGGGCGATCCTGACGACGGTTTTGTTCGTGTTCCCTCCAGAGCTCCCGGTGACTCCCGACAATATGAACTACTGCATTGCTGCATTTGGCGTCATCCTATTCATTGCGGGCATGACTTGGATATTCGATGGCAGGAAGCACTACACGGGCCCGCACGTGGAGCTCTTGAACGGAAAGGTCGAGGGCATGGAGGGTTTGGATTTTGTTCAGCCGCATGCGTCTAGTGAGATCGCATCTAAAGAAGCGTCGAAGAGTTTAGAATAGACGAAGATGTACCAGGACGCTAGGGTACGCGCAACCGTTTCTCCACGGAGGTAGGCAACGATGGTTGTTTAGGGCTTGCTGTAGGCCGGCACGCCCCGTACCCCCTATCTGGTTGTCTAGCAAATGTAAAGTAGGTAGGTTACCCGGTTTGGATACCAGCTAAAGTTATGTGATCTCGAACTAAACGCTTTGGGCATATTTGCACTGTCTACCTATGATCCATTGACCAATTGTTTGTCGGCCTCTTGCCCTGCTTCCTGTTCAGGCTCATGTCGGGGCTCTTGTCCGTCTTGGTCGGACGTGGTGAACTCCCCAGACCTTCCATCCGTCACCCACCCACCCACACCACCCACCTCGAGCTCTCTCTACCAGCAAAAACTGCCAGCCATCCGTTGGAAGGTTGCATTTCCTGCTGCTGCGTTTTCATCGTCATCGCTGTCAGTAAGTAACATTGAAGGTCGGTTGTCACAGCAGGCACAGTACGCAACTGGCCACATCCACTCCCAAAGATTGAAATGGTAATTCGCATAAGCACCTGGACTAATCCATCCTTCTCAGGCAGCTAGGGCACCACATCCGAATGGTTCCAACTTCTTCCAACTTCGGTTGTTCTTCGACGGCTTGATTCCTCAGGTTCCCCCCTCCGATCTCAGACCCCCCTCCTAGGTCCTACCACACAGGCGCATGGTGAACCCGGCTGGATTGGACCATTGCCGTTCGGCTTCGTCTCCTTGTCACAACGAGTAATTGTAGACTTGCCCTCCCATACCTAACTTTCGGCAAGCCGACGCGACAGACCGCCACAGTCTCACGTCCCTGGTGGATTTCGTTTCCCTTCAAGGCTACAAGGAACGGATCTCGATCGCGACGAGTGACTTGAAGATTACGTCGACTCGAAACTTGCTGTGCAGGTCGAATAGGCGCACTCGGCGCTCACTACATCTGGCAACGGACCAGATATTCCAATCAAGTTCGCAGGTTGAATGCACATCTTTTGGTGGATGAGCTAGCTACTTCGACTTCCTCTGCTCAGATTACGAATCCAAGGTCAGTCCCTCCCGTCCCAGGCCAAGACCAACCCGGAAGATCGGTGCTAATCCGTCTTGACCTTTCCAGTCTATCTATTGTACCTGCCAACGATTCTTCTTGGAGATCAGATCCATCCACGCTCCTGTCGCCATGTCAGTTCCCTCAGGAAGTGCTGTTAGCACGCCCGGTTCTTCCGAGCTTGAGCTGGGCCAGGACACGTCGGCCGGTTTTCCCTACTTCTCGCTCCTGGCTGCTGAACTCCGCCTTCAGATATGGGAGGCGGCTCTCGACGACCGTGTCGTCTTTCTCACGACTTACCACGAGGCCCCAGAGAGAGAGTGTCTCGGAGATGGAGGCAGAATGCCCTACCGCGACACCATGCTGGCATCCCATGTCCTCCGCCGTGTCTGCCACGAGAGCCGCGCGGTCGCCAGCCGTGCTCAAGGCGAGAAGCAGTGTTTCAGAAGCTACTATACGGGACGGAAGAAGCGCTTTTCTACCTGGTTCGACGCGGCCCGGGACTACTTGTGTGTGGAACTCTAGGATGGCTCCCACCAAATCGGCGGACCCCTCATCGGCAACCAGTACGACATCAGAGACATTGCCCAGGAGGCGCAGAATATCGTTCTCGTCGACCGTCTCCGACACCGTCACGTCATGGCCCACGTTGCTCGTCCGCTCCTCGCGGGCGGCATGTTCCCCCAGGTCAAGAACATCGCCATCGTCCGCAACATCGTCACGATTCACATCTCTCAGCGCAAGGCGGAGGAGTCGGGTCTATTCCTGTACGGGGAGTCCAAAGCCCTCGTCAACGTCAAGGACGCGACCAAACTGAAACGGTTCCAAAAGCTCTACTGGGAGAACCCTGGGACCTTGAGCTACCGCAACGCCTGTCTGCTCGCGGTGCTCTCGACAACCAGGGGCGTCGCTACATACACGGCCTACGAGATGGGAGACACGGAGGACCTCTGGCTCACGGCCCAGTACAGCTTCCTGACTCCCGAGCAGGCCAAAGAGAACCGGGCCTATCTTCGCCTGAACCTTCGGGAGAAGGCCTTCTGGGACATGCGGGTATGGATGAGCGACCCGGACGGGACGGAGTGGGGTAGCGGTATCTTTCGCGTCGTTGACAGCAAGTGGGCGCGCCAGGTGCACGCGGACATGCCGAAGTTCGATGTCATGATCATGTTCCGGATCTGCCAGGCCGGACAGTGTGCTGACGTTAAGTGTCCCCGGAGCTACCTTTGAGACGGTGGATTTTGGCACAACGAGCGATCTTTTCGGAGGCAGGGTGGTGGATTGGTGCGATGTCGTCGGATGGAGGGTCGGTCTGTTTCGTGGAACTTCTCTATCGAATAGATGTTCAACCCTCTTCGATAGAATGGTTCGCGCGATGATCAACGTTTGAGACTGATCTCAAGGCGGTACTCGGCTTTCGGTGGTTTTCGGTCGGCAGGTTGGCACAGCCATCACAGCTTGAGGCTACAATACCTAATGATAATCTCTGAACACCTGATGGCTTTCTTATTTACAAACCAGGGTGCCTTTCCACCAATACGACCCTGCCAGGCATATGACAAGAGCAGCTGAGAGTAGATGATTAAGTAGCCATACAGTGACTGTGCCAGCAAATATTCACCCAGGATGAGGTGTACTCAATGGACATGATGACTCTGTCAAGGTTCAAGTCAACTGCTTGGCTGCTGTCTACTCCACTTCTAGCTGAACACCATTCCCTGGTGCTGCTACAGGAAACCGTGCTGCCAGCCGACCTGAACATACGAACTGAACCCGATGACTTGATTCCGAACCTGCAACTCGTGGCTCAGACTGACTGCGCTCTTTGATACAATATACTACGAGCATCGAAAGGGGTGTCTCGGTATCGTTTAGACGTTGACGAAACGACAGTGCGGGGGAATACTCCCTCCACCATCACTGTCACCGTTGAAAGTCAAGGGGGGTTCCCGTCACCCGTTCCCCAGACTGCCCCCACTGTAAGCCCACTGCAGATGCCAGACGGGAGGCCGTTGCAGCGATTGCAGGTGCTCTCCACAGCGCCCTCACACGGCCACCCCGCGGCCCGCTGCAGGTGTGCCGGGCACCTGGGCGCCTGGGCAGTTGGGCACATGCAAAGCGAGCCGAGGTCTCCCATGGTGGAAGTGCATTGCAATCTCTCATCTTACAGCTTTCATGCTAACCCAGCCCAGGGAGCGCACTATCGATATCGTCTGCATGCTGTAAACACGCCCACTTGTCCGCTCGAATTCTGTCGAAATCAATGCCATCTTTCTATTCCCCCAGTACATGTCCTCTGCGCCTTTCGTGTTGTGTGTCAACGAGCTTCCTGGTAGCAGCGAATACCAGTGGCGTCGCGGGAGCTGCCGACGTCTGATCGCCGCCCTTGAATGGATGGGCATGGGCATGATTCAGCTGCCTCGAAACGTCCTAGACTCGAGTGAGCAACGAGGAACATCTGTCATTCGGTCACTGGCCCAATCGACAGCATATAGTCCGCCTCTCGAGCGCAATCAGGAGCCTCCAACAGATCACTAAATATATTATCCATAATCGGGTCGGGCAGATACACACGAGCAGAACGACATCATGGCGACTGACGCAGGTCCTTCGAAGCCGCCAGCCATCCCTCCACTCGACATTCCCAAATCCGACGCGACATCACGACCTCGAGCGAATTCAAAGGCCAAGCCAGCATCTGCTGCCGATCCGGTTCTCCGCAATGCCCTGAGGTACACGATTTCGGCGCGAGAATACGAGACCCTCCACAAGTACGTACTGTCGCGCTCGCGTCTGCTACGGAAGAGGGCACCGAGCGTGAATGCTGTCGAGAAGTACATGGATGGTGGGAACGCGCGAAGAGGCTCCATCGCGGAGAGAGATCTCGACAGGGGCAAGGGCAAGGGCAAGGAGAAGGCCGTTTCGGCAGGTATGAGTAGAAGAAGGGGGGATGGCTACAATGCGCGTGCTATTCGACACGCTTTGCGGGTGTTTGTCGCTACGGGTCTGGGAGCAAAAGCCTACGGGGTAATACTGGCGCGCATCAAAGGGCAACAAGAGTGAGTTTGCATCGTCTCGCAAACCCCATCTACATACCTACTCAGTCAAACTAACAGGTCGCTCTTCGACAGGACCGGGATATCCCAGAAGAAGCAACCCCTCTACAAGTCCTCGACGCTGCGCCTTTCTCTCTCCTTATCGACGATACTGCTACTATACCGTCTGCTCTTCCGCTTCCTCACCAGACTGAGGATACACCTGCTAGATTCTTCGGCCGCGCCCTTCCGCACGCGCAACCCTCGAACATCCAACACCCTCACGTCGCCTTATGCGCCCGCGATAGGGGCCAGTCTGGCGGGCTTGGCTCTGGGCATCTACCCGTCAGCGCAACTGCGCGTGACCGTCACTATCGCCCTCATGTTTCGCGCCCTCGAGTGGGGTTGGAACCTGTTTGAAGACGAAGGCTTGATATGGGGTTGGAAGACCCGGGCCAGTGGGAAGGGTGTCATCAAGAGGGAGCGGCCTTGGTGGTGGGGAAGCTGGATGCTTCAGCCCTTTGCCTGCGGCCAGCTCTTGCATGCCACACTCTTTGACCGAGAGAGCTCTCCTGCTGGCTTCGTCAACTTCATTTGGAAGAACACGTCTACCTACCTCCACAGCCCTCCTAAGAACCTACCTGTAGGCGTCAAGTGGCCCGGTGCATGGGAGGTAGCGGATGACCTGGCACAGACGGCCAAATTGAACTGGCCGTAAGTACAGCCTTCACACTGACAGAGGACATGACTTGCTGACTTTTGGGCAGATCGTTCGTCTCGCCGACTCTCTTCCCCAACCAGCCCACGCTGCCGGCATCACTCACAGCAGTTGCGCCACTGACATCGCAGGCGCATCCACTCATCACCTCTCTGAGCTGCGCTATCCTCCATCCCTCTGACCCTTCATGTCTGCGCACGTACTTGTCATTCTGGGTCCGATCATTCCCACGCATGGGCCGCTTCTTCCTGCTCTTCTATACGATTCTTGCGCTACCTCGCTACAAGATGCTGTACAACTCACCCATATACCTACTGAACAAACTGCTTTCGAAGACGTTCCGCATCTCGACGTTCGCCACAGGCGCCATCTCCACGGCATGGGCGAGCATTTGTCTCTTCCAGAATTGGCTGCCGAGGACGTTCCTCCCCACGCAGCGTTTCTTCCTCGGCGGGTTCCTGGCGGGTCTTTGGGCGTTCGTGGAGCGCAAGGATGGGCGAAGCATCTTCCTATACAGCGCCCGGACCAGCGTCGACTCCCTGTGGAAGGTCGGCGTCAAGCGGCGCTGGTGGAGGGCGATGAAGGGCGGCGACGTGTGGTTATTCGTCGTTGCGCTCGCGGTCACGGGTGCCGTGTACGAGAGAGACGCAAGGGCGATTCGGGAGAACCAGTGGCGGAAGGGCATCAGCTGGGTCAGGGGCACCGACTTCCGTGACTGGGGTGTTGACGAGGACGAAGAGGAGGACATGCATGCCAAAGAAGAGTAATGGGGTGGAGAGCGAACGGTCCGTTGTAAGACGGCCCATATCCAATGGATGTAATTGAGTGGTAATGTGATATGATCAATGATATACGGCGATTCTCGATCTCGATCATGAGTTGTTGACTATCTCGATGCTGCACACATGCAGTGTCATCTTGGCTGGCTGGCTACACCGCACCACAACAGTACTATGCTCATAGTCGTATCACTCCGGCGAAAGGCAACGTGCTACACAAGTTTGAGCAATACGACCTGACCTCAATGATCATGGGTCAAGTGTAAGCTTTCGGGGAGAGAGGGATGAAAAGATATGTGTGATCAACCTGTCCTCCATGAACCAGCACCTGGGGTCCGCGATGTGGTCAATTCCTACCGCAACCAATGCCGTCACCCATCACGAACACCTTCAGCCTTATCGCTCACGGGAATTGGTACCGGTAATAAGATATGGCTCGTTCCTACTGTATTCGATTTAAATTAATATTGCGGGAGGCATCAGAACGCTGCCGGCCGCGTATGCGTGTGCTCGAAGGATCCAGTTGCTGTGTGGTCCTTCTTTTCTGTGGTGGATAACGCACCAGAAGATTTAAGAAGTTCTGAAACGGAACTTTTGATTAGATATTGGCTCCCCTCTCTGCGTCTATATCGAAGACCTGATCGGTGCGCGGCTTGGGCAGAATCTATTTATATACCCGTCGATCTTACACGTCCGTCCCTGCTTTCCCTTTGCTCTGTAACCTGCCCGCTTGTTAAATCATCTTAGCCTCACCCTTAATCAACATTACAGATGTCGAGTTGCATGGTCATCTCTCGCGGCTGAACAGAAACCAGGCCGGGACCAGCAGTCTCCTTGTAGTTGTCAGCATCGCCACCGGCGCTCTAACCCCCTTGAGTCGAAGAGATGACGTTGTGGAATGCCGATCCCTGGACTCGACCACGATGATACGTGGAGCCTCCAGCCGACCAACGTTGGAGTCCCCGCAACGTCGCCGCGAAGGAAGCAGCTAATATTAACAAACCACCAACGCTTCGCTTTGGTAGGTAATTCATGGGTCGTATGTAAGAGGGGACGAGCGCACTCATGCTATAAATATCAAACACTCTGGCCGGACAGCCGGAGACTTGCGACTCTTTAAGACAGCCGGAGTACGTTGGGTGTAGCCCGACTGAACAAGCAAATACCAGAATCATGTTTCTCCCAGTCCTCACTCTGCTCCTGGCCGGACAGGGCCTCTGCGCGCCCCCAACCATCAAGGCCCGACAGTTCTCCGCGAAGGCCTTCTGCTCGTCGTCCGATTTCACTTACAAGCTCAGCCCCATCAGCGCGCCCGTCAGCGGCGCGGGCGGCAACTCGACCGGCAATGCGACCTCGACATGGAGCCTGACCGTCGACGACACGTCGGCCGGCCACAAGCAGACCGTCAAGGGTTTGGGGGGCGCGGTGACGGATGCCACGGTCACGGTCATGAACGCGCTGTCGGCCGACAAGCGCTCCCAATTGATCAGGGAGCTGCTGACGTCTGACGGCGCCGACTTCAGCATGTTACGCCACAGTATCGCCGCCTCGGATCTGTCGAGCCCTCCTGCTTACACGTACGACGACAGCAATGGCACCGCGGATACGAGTCTGAGCGCTTTCTCATTGGGAGACAGCGGGACGGCCATGGCGGAGATGCTCGCGGAGATGCGAAGTGTCCAGTCGGATTTGACCATCTTGGGCAGCGCATGGAGTCCGCCGGGCTGGATGAAGCTCAATAGGGTCAGCGACCTTGCTCTCTCATCTTATCCCCACCTGCAATTACTAACATGACCCAGATGCTTGTGGGCAATGCAACCGACAACAATCTTGACCCGCAGTACTACAGCCAGTACGCGCAATACTTCGTCAAGTACCTGAAGGCGTACGCGGCTCGCGACGCCACGATAGACGCCATCACGATCCAGAACGAGCCGCTGAACAACCAGGGCGGCGGCCAAATCTCCATGTACCAGGCCGCCGACGAGGCCGGATCAGTGACGCAGAACTACGTCGGCCCGGCCCTGCGCGCGGCCGGGTTCGAGACCGAGATCTGGGCCTACGACCACAACACTGACCAGCCCGCTTACCCACGCACCGTCATCGACACGGCGGGCGAGTACGTCCAGGCCGCGGCGTGGCACTGCTACGCGACGGACCTCGACTGGACCGTCCTCACCGACTTCAAGAACGACTACCCGGACAAGGCGCAGTACATGACCGAGTGCTGGACGGCGCCGTCGACGCCGTGGTACCAGTCGTCGAGCAACACGATCGGGCCGCTGCAGAACTGGGCCGAGGGCTCCATGATGTGGACGCTGGGCACGTGGACCGAGGCGGCCGACGGCACCTTCGGGCCCTACATCCCGGGCGGGTGCAACACGTGCCGCGGGCTGTTCATCGTCGACAAGGACGCCGGCACGTACGAGTTCACGGTCGACTACTACATGCTGGCGCAGGTCTCCAAGTTCATCCCGAAGGGCGCCACCATCCTCGACGGCTCGGGCAGCCATAGCTATGATGGGTACTCCGGCATCCAGTCGGTTGCTTCGCTGAACCCGGATGGGACGCGCACTGTGGTTATTGAGAATACCTTTGGCAACGACGTCTATGTCACGGTGGACACGAAGAGTGGCGAGACTTGGAGTGGGACTGTTCCTGCTAACAGCGTTGTGACTTGGATATTACCGTGAGTCACTGCTGGGCTGCTTTAGTTTTGCGTATATGTATATATATAACGACATACTCGGCACGATTAATATGAGATCGATTGGATATTCATTTGTGTAGAACAATGTTCGCTGCAAGACTGCACGTAGAGTGCGTATCGTAGATGATGAAGGCCTTACAACTGGTTATGCGACAGGTATGAATGTGAATCGACACTCTTCCATGCCCATCCTCATCTTGCCAATTATCCGGGAACTCTATCCCATATAGACGTGACATCCAGCAATTACGAACAAAGGTACGTAATGATAGATACTTCAATCCATCACATCCCACGCAAAGCGCTAAGCTTATAGAAATGCAAAACATTGCCCGTCAATACGAGGCTGATCTCCCTCCTTTATAACGCTCCTAGGCAGAGAACCAAGCGCACAGAATCCCCCCACGAATACCGACGTCACAGCCAGGGCGCAAAGGAACAGCTTGCATGCCAGAAGAAGGATTGGACCCTTGGACCGTGGATCGCCCATCGGCTTGCCTTGCCGTGCCGTGCCTCTCTTGGCCATTGGCAGTGCGTCATGGATGGATCATGATATGATGACATCCCGAATGCTCGCGTGGGGCACATAGGGGTCTCAGGGTCTTTTCTTATCTTGGCATATCTCGCAGAGCTCACGTCAAAGCTGAAGCCAGGACTGGATCCCATAGTAAAAGTATTGTATATCATAGCTACTCGTGACCGCTAAATCCCATCAGTCATACACCACACCCTCCTCGACATTGTTCAGGGAACAAAGACCACCCTGCCCTTGGCTGCCAACGACGTATCATTCCACGCCGTCTCGATATCCTTCAGGGGCACACTATGCGCCTCGAGCAACTTCCAGCCCGCCATCTTCGGCACCATGGTCTTCATCTCCTGCGCCAACGCCTTCAAGCTCCACGCGCCCGGTCCGGCACCCCTCATCGTCAGGTCGTAGGATCTGAATATATGCGACGGCAGGGTCGCCGTCTGCTGCGCCAGACTGCCGATCTGGACGTACTGGACCGGCTTCTTGACCTTCGGCGACGAAAGGATGTGCGTGGTGACGTCGCCGTAGACGTAGTCCAGGATGACGTCGCAGTCGACCTGGGAGAAGTCGGTGTCGGTGACAGGATCCTTGAGCACGATCTGCTCGTCGAGGCCGGCGACTCTGTCCAGCGCGGCGGCGTTTCGGGCCACGCCGATGACTTTGCCGGCGCCGAGGTCCCTCGCAACCTGGGCCGCTAGCAAGCCGCTTGCGCTCGTTGCACCGACGATCAGGACGGTGTAGTCCTTTGGGAGATTGAAGGTGCGCTGCGTGATGGCCATCCAGCTGCTGAAGGCCGGGTTGACGCTGGCGGCGAACGACGCCGGGTCGGTCCCGTCCGGCAGTTCGTAGACGACATTCCTGTCGACGTTGATGTATTCGGCGAATGTGCCGAGGTGGAGGTTGAAGTAGTAGTACAGCTTGCCGGTCGCCTCGTCTTGGCCGACACAGTCTATGCCGACTCTGTGGGGGAGTGCGCGGGCCGAGTAATGCTTGCCTGCTGCTCGAGACCGGACGACTCGGTGGGCGCCGGCTGCCAAGACGCGGAGCTGGATCTGGTCGTCTGATGGCGCCGGAGGACTGTCCACGGCGGTGTAGCGCGGGCCTTCGGACCAGGACTGAACTTGTGCAGCGTGCATTTTGCGTGTAGGTTTGGTCGATGTTGGCGGGGACGATGTGTTCGAGAGAGGAGTTACTGTGCAGTCGAGACAATCCAGATGATTCCTTATCTGAACCTGACGAGCACTCAGCTATTTATGTCGCCAGATGTTCGGTCTTGTTACATTTCAACTTCGGCGTCGGAGCTGAGGTTGCTAGTGGCCTTCGAAGTTCGGACCCGAGCTCATAAACTGCGCAGCGCAAGGCACGAAGTGATTACAAATTGAAAGGGGCGGGACGGCCCCGACGCCAGTCCGAACTCCTTTGAAGTCTAGTTTTAGTACTCGGGGACTTCAATGATCTTATCTGACATGGAAATACCCTTCGGCTGAGACCAGAAAACAGCCTGAATCAAGGTGAGTGTACTGCGACATCGCTCTGACAGTCTCTCTTTGCCGATATGACGATTAAACACCGGGCTGACCGAACATAATCACTGGGTAGGTAGGACAGATGAGTGCCAGCCGCCTCGGCCTCTCATCGTGTCGGCCAGTTGACGAACAATGTGCCTACAAAACCGCCATATCCCGAGAATCTGTATTGTCACATTGATATATGCAGCATCTGTCCGCGTTGAGCGCCTCCCCATGGCAGTCAGGTCGTCCTGGGTGACCTTGGCTGCCGCAGAGCCATTGTGACTATGGCTCGTCCACGCGAGCACGATAATCCTTTCAACCCTTTCGCGTTCCAGTTCTCGCTGGATGCAAATGGCATGATTCGAGATGCAGCATCGAAAGCTACCGCCCGGAGCACTCGTATCGTCGCCACTCCAGCACTTGACCACTTGGGGGAACGGACATATCGGCTCACTGCGATGATCCCCGCGTGGCGCCGCCATGTGCAAAGGGTTGCGGTATGCAAGTTCTATATCTTCGGGTGCACTGCACATGCAACCTGATGTTCGGTAAAGCCGATCAGGAAGCACCTACCTGTGGTGGCTTCGGTGACGGTTCAGGATGACGCTCCCTCGAACTTCGGGCTTTCTGCATGAGAAGCCCCTGTCGGTATGCGCCTTTTGGAATGCAGCCTGGTGGCGTGAGTGTCTGGGGGAGTCTTAACAACACTTGTCGACTAGAGGCAAGTTTCCCTCAATGACAGGTCAACAAGCAGCAACAGCGCGGAGAGAGAGGGGATGGACGACGGCTTATTTCCAAATCCTACCTCGACTCGAGCGGTCTTAGGACTGGCTCAGTCTTGAAACGAGGCAAACGCGGAGGATCGCAGGGCTGAGGAGGGGAGTGTGGCAAAGCAGACACACCACATGCCCCTACGAAAATAGACGAGGATGACCTGCAGCCCCATGGGGTCGATGAGGGGTAGTATGCCTTATCACTGTGGAAGGCTGCTCCTATCTGCGTGCTTCTCGTAGATTCTTCGAGATCTACCTGGCCTCACCTGGGTTTGGGGGCGAAGCAGACGACCTGCTGCGATCCTCTCGTGGCTTATTATACCTTGCGGTCACGGATAGGGCAGTGACGTAGCAATGACACCTGATCTCACGGCCCGCGAGAATGGTCGTTGCTCGTTGACTCGTTGCCAGTTGGTCGACGGTCATCTGTCGGAGAGGGGCACAGATATTGATGGCTGGAAGCGTGGAAGGACGGGCAACTCGGCGTGGGGACGACGCGGATGTCGATTTCCGTTTTCAAGGGGTGACTCCGGGGCGATAACGCATAAGGGAACAGGGTGGAATGATTGGTGTCTTGTCAGCCTCACGATCCTCTTTTCGGTATGAGAACCTCCACCGCCGCCGGGTGCATCGGATGAGCTGCCAAGCCATGTCCACAACTCAGGAATCACGATGCTTCTGCTGCTGCTTCTGCCTCTGCCTCTGCCTCTGGACTCCCAGTGCTGCCTGTCACATGCCGTCATGTAATGGAAGAAAAGAGCCGGAGAGATCTGCTGTGCCATGCAGCTTGTAGAGTACTACCAGTCGACCTGCCGTTCGGGGGGCTGGTGTGACTTGGCAGAGCAGGGGCTGCTGAGAGTCTCTCGAAAAGAGAACATAGCCCTCAAGACAACGCCCGCCTGCATGCTAAATGGGCCGATGATCCTCACGGGCAAGCAGCCCCCGGCCGCAGCTACAGCCTGCAGGCCACAGGTCAGCAGCAGTCCACGCGAGGAAGACTGGAAGAGGCAAAAGAGGAGGAGGACGATAGACAGGGGACGTCATACTGCTGCTTTTTTAAGATGCTGGACGAGCCGCATGACTGTACCTATACTGCAGCCTGCAGGTTGTCTGTGACGGACACATATTCAGTGCTGGATGCAGTGATGAGTCGGGTCGGAGCGGCACAGCACGATACCAATCATCAGACTGTACTGTGTAATTTACTGAAAAGAGCCCTGCTGCCCACGCGCGTGCCACGGTCCACGACCCCCTTTCTCTCCAGGTAGTTCCCGGTCTCTATTCTCTACTAGTCTCTGATGTCTTCCACTTTCGTCTCCGCAGATACGACCTGAGATGGAATTGTTCTAGAGTGACACACTAAAACTAAGACAGTCCCGTCCCATCCGCCGTCGCTCACCATCCCGTCGTCTAAAAAAACCACCAGCACCACCCGCTATTAGACCAATTGTAAGAGTGCGCTCAAACTCAAAACCACGACATATCTCGCCAGGAACCAAGAACCAAGAGAAGGGAGAATAGGAGGAATATCCCAAGGCAGAAAGACATATAGGGAAAAGGGCGAAGGGCATAAGGACCAAGCTCGCATCACAGCGCGTCGTCCACCATGTCAGCGACCGCATCGTCGCGGAGTCGCAGCCCACCGACCCAAAGCGCGCGCCCCTCGTCAGAACACCAATTAGCCATGGAGAAGCAGCAGTCACATCACACAATACCATGCGAAAAGTGCGAGAGCAAGACGAGCGAAAAGGTCACGCGGTTCGACGTGCCGCTGATAGCGATACCGCGGCTCGTCAACGCGCTGCTCGGCTTCGCCACCGTCATCCGCATACACACCGCCATCGACGCCGGCTGGTGGCCGTGGGAGCACAAGGTGCTGTTCGTGCTCTGCTGGGTGCTGTTCTTCTGGAACCTGCTGCACGGCTTCGGCAGCATCCTGGGCTACGCATACTGGCCCTCGTCGCGGCGGACGGCGGGTCTGCCTCCCGTCACCATTGTGATCAATGGCCGGACTATCGTGTCGTTTGGCGGGCCGGACGAGGACGAGGGCGAGCGGCGGAGGCGCATGAAGCGCATCCAGTTCACCATCATCGACCTCATCCTCACGATCCCGACGCTTGCCTTGCTCATATACTCGGCGCACATCATGTACCCGTGGTGGGGATCTAGATACGTTGGGCTCTGGTCGCCGACGATAGGCCTGATCGCGTCTCTCGTGTACGTCGCATTCACTCCTCCAACTCCATTACTGTACTTGGAAATACGGCGAAACGGACAACTGCTAACGTGAGTCTTCATCGGATAGGTCATGCCAATTCGTCACGGCCTTCTTCCAGATGTTCCAGTTCTTCGAGGCCAAGGTCATTGGCGTCCAGCTTACCATGCAGGACCTCTACGAGCGGGACCACCCCGTTGGCCGGTTGCAACTGTAGGGCGGCAGACGGGCGCGGGACGAACTGCGCAGGCGATGTTGTGAGACATGATATCCTCGGTCCCATCGAATCAGACACAGTACATACATGAGCGGTGGTCGGTCGATTGGACGGGCGGTCATTTGATTTTGATTTCTGCGATTGGAATTTTCGAGATACCTACCTGAAAGAAGTAGCCGCATAGCATTTTACCATAGTTCAGCATGAGCCATGACGATACCAATGAAACAAGACATTGATTCTTTACCGGAGGACGCGCCGGCGTCGCTTCACTTGTGGGAATGTGGTGCCATCAATCTACTTCTGGTCGCATGACCACCCTCCACCCTCCACCCTCCCAGGTTGGGGGTGTGAGACACCCGAAATATAAGGTACGCGTTGGGGTCGGAATACGAGCTGATGCATTGATGACAGCAACAACATCAACATCATCATCTTCACCGACGTGATCGTCGTCGTCAGCCATCACCAATCGAGATCCTCAGCACGCCAGACCTACTGACGGCAAAGACGACAGGTGGATAAAAGACCACCTCGACTTCACCGTCGCAGCGAGCCTCCTCTATTGCTGTGGTGCCACTCTCCGGGGCCGCGGTTCAACTCGGATTCCGGCTCGCCACAATCACCGATAGACCCATACGAGACCTGGATATGCAGGCCAAGCCAACAGCCAACGCTGATTGCCGATACAGCTCGCCGCAGGTTTTCACTCCCGCTGTAACGTTTCAACTCCCGACACCACGTGCAATCACCGCCGCATTATGCTCAGCACACCAAGCCACCATAGTACAACATGATACGGTATACCTCAGCTGAAGAACAAAGTCCCTCCAAAGGAATCCATGAGACAGCGCATATATCAGAGGGGAGACCTGAGACTACATATGTGCCCGTCAGCTTATTAGTAATAAGTAGCCTCGCCTGGGATAGAGGACTGAGGTGGTTCATAAAACCGCCTCAATGAACGCCACCCCGTCGAATGTAGCAGCCCTACCATGCACGCCCGCAGGCAGGCTCGCGACGCTCAAGGCTGCACCGCACCGCACCCAGACAGCTAGCTCTCAGCTGTATGCGAGCGGGCTTGATGTATTCAGCTCTGTATCCAACAACACCTTAGAGTGGTGGTTACTTCCCGTGTTCTTACCTGCCTCATCTACGAGTAACATGTCAACAATGTCTGTCACCCCCTCAAAGCAGATGGAGATAAGAACCGAATCAAAGACGCCAGGCCAAGTAAATGCTCACTAAATCTCCAATTCGCGGTGTCTAGCGCATAACCTCCTTACCATAGGCAGGACCCGTGTAATTCAGCTTACTGGTATGGTATGGTATGGTATGGTAAACGCGCCATCCAGCCTGTCACGGAGGTTCACGAGACACACGGTGGGGGCAACAAGTAAAAACGCAAGGCTACATCTACTTCGTTGGGTGTTAGGTGTTTGGTTGCCAGAAGGGGATCGCCAGCTTTGGTTCGTGGTGGTGCTGCCTCGAGGGCTTGTAGCCTGGGAGAGAAGTTCCGTGTCCAAGGCTCGAGACCAAATAACCAATGCACCCTGTAACTTACCCTCATGAGACTCTTGTATGGGCAATCGGATTAGATTAAGAGTGCCCAAATCGCGAAAGATTCGCTTCGAAATAGATAGGCCAGCGCCATCTATGGGCGTTCTATTCTATTAATTTTACTGGTTTAGGTTTGGTACAAGAGTCTATCCAGACGCCGTGGATGCAGAGAGAGAGATAATAATAAAAACTCGTCGGCGGTGGCCGGACACGAGACAGGTTCAACATTCGTCATGAACCTGTGATCATCTAGGCCCCTCGCTGATCGATGATGGGGCCATGCAAAATAAACGGATTTGGAAAGTCATCTCAGCAGGTGTTCTACCATGCTTCCGCCGTCTACACCATCGTCTTCTTTTCCGACTTCTCCTCCGTTGTCGTCGTTGTCTTCTCCTTCGTCATCTTATCCTTCTTGCCCTTCGGTACACGCGTGAGCCAGTACAGGAAGAGGGCACCGAAGATATTGAAGATAACGTACGCCCACACGATTCCGAAGTTGCGCCATCTGTCCGCTGTAGGCAAATTGTTAGTCAAATGTCAAGATAGGGAAAGGAGGGGTAATAAGGATGGCTCACCATAGACCGCGTTGGCTTGGACCAAGTACTGGTTTGTCGAGTCGTAGGGGCAGAAGACGCAATCCGACGTTAGGTCACCGGTTCCATCTGCGAGGTAGCCCCCGGCCGCAATTTGCACATCCAGCCACGACTTACAGGTGGTGCCATTGGGAGGATTCAAGTGCACCAGCTCGTTTGGAGCACACTCGATGGCTGTATTGGCGACTGCCGTTGATAATATGGCCGATGTCAGGTATGTGAATGGACTGACTCGGTACATGAAGATCCAGAATCGGGGTAGGGTGTCCGGGTTGGCGAGTACACCACAGAAGATCAGAGAGAGAGTGAACAGGATGTTGGCGACGTTCGCACCAGCATCGGCTGTATCGAAAGCAGCAATGAGCATGTGGGTAAATGTGCAGGTGAAGATCAGGAAGACGAGGAGTAACAAGAAGACCAGGGCGCCACGTTCTGTTGTCGCGCCGTCTTCGTACGTGTTCCTGTACAGTCCAACGGGATAGTACCAGCAGAAGTACATCAAGACGGCCATGAGCGAGTTCCACGGGATCTCGGCAATGATCTGCGAGAGCATGAACACCTGCCAGCCGTAGACCTTGGACGGGCGTTCGCGCACTTCGTAGAGCGATCGCTGGACGACGAAATGCGGCATGGTCTGCTGCACAAGCTGACCGAAGATGGTGAAGATGTTGAAGATGGCAAAGGTCTGATTCTGAAGCCCCTGGATTGTGTTGGGCGCGTTGAAGAAGACGAAACCGATGAAGAGTGCGACCAGGATGCAGAGACTAGCCTTGGAGTAGATGTAAGACGGGGTTCGCCAGTATTGCGTGAAGACGCGGTGGGTGACCTCGGTAAGCTGCGCCCAGAAGGGTGCGGCGTGTTCGCGGTACGACTGCTCGTCCTGGGTAGGGGGTGCCACGTTGGCAGCATTGTCTTTCAACGCTTGGAGTTCGGCTTGCACCTCGCGGTATTCGGGGCTGTCACGCCAGGCCTGGAACCAATCGACGTCGGTCGAGCTACCGGGGGCGGCGCCGATGGCGTTCAACATCCATTCGGCAGGGTTGGCATCGGCCGGGCAAGCAGGGGCACCGTGACGTTCAAAGTAGCTGGTCATCGTGTGGGAGTTCTCTCCAATGTCGCCAAAGTAGACCGTCTTTCCACCCCTGGCAAGGAAGAGGAGTCGGTCGAAGCGTTGGAACAACATGGCGGACGGCTGGTGGATGGTGCAGAGGACAGCCTGACCACTCTTGGTCAACTTCTCCAGAAGATCAAGGATAGCCCATGAGGTCTGCGAGTCGAGACCAGAGGTAGGCTCGTCGACGAAAAGAAGTAGAGGCGGCTTCGCAGCGAGCTCGACACCGATGGTAAGCCGCTTGCGCTGTTCGACGTTGAGACCCTCGCCGAGAACACCGACCACGGCATCTGCGTACTCTTCCATTTCCAGCAGCTTGATCACCTCGTCCACATAAGCAAGCTTTTCAGCGCGCGGCACATCCGCAGGTTGGCGGAGCACAGCAGAGAAGTTGAGAGCTTCGCGGACGGTGGTAGTGGACAGGTGCAGATCTTGTTGTTGCACATAACCGGTCTTGCGTTGGAACGACTTGTCGCACGCATGACCGTCGACAAGCATCTCGCCGGTGATGACACCCATGGTGATACGACTGGCTAGAGCATCGAGTAGTGTTGTCTTACCAGCGCCAGAGACACCCATCAAGGCCGTCATTGTACCAGGCTTGACCCAGCCATCAATGTTATCCAGAATGCGTCTCGGTTGGCCCTTTATCTTGATGTCGTAGCATATATCGTTCCAGTGGAAGATGCTCGTCTGCTCTTGGAGCATACCGCTTTCCCGGTTCTGCGCGTGGGCACGACTTGCGTTTGTGACGACAGGTCCCACCTTGGGGCCTTCGCCCTCTTCCATGTCGCCCTTTTTCTCCTTGAACTGTGCTGGTTTGTAGCCACGTCGGAAGACCAAGACTTCACCTTTGGACTTTTTCCCGGACACATACTCGGCAGCTACCATGTAGATGACGAACAAGCCGATCGTGAATGCGAGAAGGATGCCAAAGTTTCGCCACTTGTGCGATGCGTAGTACTGGAAGGCAGTATTGATGTAAGCTTCCCCTTGTACATATGTCTGCCCGGGCACACTGCCTTTCGCGGTGCACACCCGGTTTGCCGTCGCAGCAGTCGCGTACTTGGGGGCCAGCGCTGGGCTCGGAACGTACTCGGCAGCGGTGCAGATGAACTCACGGCCGACGAACTCGTTGACCATGAGGGATTCGAAGGCAAAGGCAAGGGGGTCCAGGTAGTTCAGCCAGCGACACCAGGAAAGCATGTAGTCAATCGGGATGACGAAACCGGTGAAGATGACGAGATCCAGAATGAGGATTGCAGCGGGCACCAGAGCCTGGGAGAGGGTGCGGGACAACGAGGCAATGGTGCGGAACAACATGCTCATGACCAAGACGGTGGTGAACGAGATGAGCAGGTAGTAGAAGAATGCACCTGGTTCGCGGCGCAGGTTCGTCAAGAAGTACAGCGAGAGGTTGAAAATAATGGCGTTCACGACCTTGTATGGCAGATCGCACAGCATGGACGAGATGGCCTCGGCCGAGGGGTGGTAGAGAGCGTAGCGGCTATGCTTTTCGACGATAGGTCGTTGAGCGTACAGGGTCAGGATCTGTCATAGTTAGCTTCCATACGAGGGGCGAGCAGAAGGGCGGTACAACTCACTTCCAGGGCACTGGCGAAGGCGTTCAAGAGACAAGCAAAGAAGATCAGAGCACCACGTTGGAAAAAGCTCGCGGTGGTATCTTGCAGGTTGTAGAAGACACTGCCGACGATGAGGGACATGATGAAGTTACCAATGAGAGCGCCAATTGTGATACTGGGGTCACCCTTGAGTCTGAGCCAGCCGCGCCAGAGGCAGAGCCTGATTTGTTGCGAGTAGGACAGGGTGTACGGAGACTTGGCTCGCTGGGCCTTGGCCTGCTGCTGCCTCTTGGATGCGCGGAACATTTCGGCATCGGGGCCGTTGATCGGGTGCTCCGTCTTGTATTCTTCGATCTCGACCTGTAGTGCGTGGTATTCGAGGCTCTCCTTCCACCTCGCGGCAAACTCATCGGGCGTTCGCGGAACCCGGCCCTTGAAACCGTCGCGTATGACGCGCTCGAGGGGACTGGTCATGGACGTCAAGAAATCAGGAGTCGTCTGACGCGCGGGGCACTCGAAGCCGAGGTTGATAAAGTACTGCTTCGCCTCGTCGGCTCGGCCGAAGAAGATCTGTCGGCCCTCGTAGAGGACGAGCGCCTTGTCGAAGACGTCGTAGGCGGACTGGGGCGACTGGTAGATGGAGACGCAGGCGGTGTTCCCGAACAGCTCGGTTTGCGTCCTCAAGGTCTTGCAGAACTCGACAGCATTGGCACTGTCCAGTCCTCGTGTACTGTTATCCCAGCATTGCAGCGGCGCCTGGCTCAGGGTGGCCTCGGCGATGGTCACACGCTTGCGTTCACCTCCGGAAACACCACGAACATACTCGTTGCCCACGCGGGTGTTGACAGTGTGCGAGATACCGTACATGGCCATGGTCACATCCCGCAGATGAGTGGCGTAGGTTGCCTTGTCGACGCCCGCGGGCAGCGAACGTGGGGCACGTGCACGTGCAGCGAAAGTCAGGGTGTCGCCGACGCTCAGCTGGGGAAAGTGTACGTCCACCTCGGCCGTATAGATGGCCTCTCCTCGGTGGTTGGTGTGCATTTCCTTTGCGTCCACGCCCTGGTAGTTGAAGTACGAGTTTTCTTCAATGTAGATACCAGCATGCTCGCCAGCAATGGCCTTGAGGAAGGTCGAGCATCCGGATCCAGGAGGGCCCAGGACGACCAGCATCTCACCCTTGCGGACAAGTCCGTCGAAGTTGCGCAAGATGTCGATCTTTCTCTGGCCAGTGCCCATGAGCTTGCGTGCCATGCCCACCGCCTCCAGCCAGACATTTCCGACGTCCTTCTGATAATCTGTCGCGCTGCCGAATCCATGGACGCTCAGGTTCTGGAAGCAGACACCGGTGGTGCGCATTTGGTGGCCTTCGGCCTCGGACAAAGCGACGACGGCCTTGGCCCAAGAGCGCGCCTTGAAGTTGGGCGAGTGAGGGTTTAGAGGCGAGTCTTCTCCCGCGTCGAGGAAAGGGTTCGCGGCCCCGTTGGCCTGCGACTGCGATGTGTACTTGCGAGCAAGCGCATGCACGAGGGACTCGCGCCGGGCCGTCTCGATCTCTTCCTCATCCTGGGCCTCTTTGGACGAGTCTCCCCGGGACTTGGCCCTGTCGATGCTCTCGGCGCTCACCTGGGTTGACGAAGTGCTGCGTGTCCTGGACGCCGGCTTTGACGTGGTAGCTTCGATCTCGTCATGGCGCACCTCGTCGTGGCGCGACGTGGGACCTCCTGTATGCGTTGGCACTCCCCCAGTCTGTGCGCTGAGGCCGTCGGCATTCGGCGCCGCACTCGGAATGCCAGTGCCCACCAAGGACATGTTGGCGGTGTTGCGTGGTCGACCACCCAAAGCTGCTCCAAAGTATGCAATGTCTAATCTGTGGCTTCGTCTGAGTTGAGAGCGGATTGTGAGGAATGTGTGGTGGCGTTTGTTTCTCGTCTATGAAACTGGCGCTAATCCACCGGCGCAGAGAAGAAGGACAAAGTATTCAAAATAGGGGAATTATTACTAGGCGCAAGGAAACAGATACAATGTTAGCGCATGACGGTTAGCAGACAGGACCACGGCTGGCTCGAGACTTACAAGAAGTATAGTGAATGTGTGACAAAGTAAGGACCCGGGAGGCAACAGGTCAGTCAGTGTAATCAGTAGCAGCGATACACAGGTCAGGGGGAGCCGTTCACCTATTATAGGAAGCCCGCGCCGTTGCCTTCGTTTTCGTATTAGTCCGCCTTGACTCGTTGCGGAAATCAGGTGCCATTGCCATGTGCAGAAGACAGCCCGAGCCTAGCGGACCCGAGCAAGAGTCCGGGGGCATGGCACCACAGTAGGTACCACAGTAATCCACCCGTTTGTATCCTTTATGCAAAGGCCATACATAACGTCGCCACTGTTTCCAGACTTTCCAGGCTCGCCAGGCTCCCGGGCCCCTACCTAGCGAATCACGACAGCGACATGATGGGAGAGCCGAGAGTGCGCAATTCGGGTTCCTGTCGGGTCCCACTCGGTGGCATTGCCTCACTGCCTCAATGCTGCCAGCCTGCATGGGCATTGGGATGGGATAATTGGATGCCAGCCGGACTCTTTCTAGAACCCGCGTCCGTCAAAGAAACCCGGCGCAGGTAATCAGTAACGAGGAGGAGTATCAAGCGTCAATATCGTGTTGATATCTATTCCGAATTCAAGGAGTCCTTGGCTGTGCTTTAGACAGTAGGGTGAGGTAATTGGACCTTGCCTACTTTTGTGCAGTTTTGTATTATTAATTTATTCGAGTGGTGCAAATCGTATGCGAGGGTCCCGGTCAGCGTATCATCTCCCATTCGGCAACATGAAGAATTCCAGTTGCACCACAGTCTCACATCAGACCCTGTAGGCTGGGTGGCGGTAGCGATAGCGGTGGCACCGTAGTACCACCTGCAGACTCCAGCTGTAGCCTGTTGGAGATAGATAAAAATGGAAGAGTCAAGACTTCGCGGGCCTTCGGGCGGTCGGACGGTACGCCATCGCGAATCCGCATCGGAGCCGATATCCATATGCCCGCTGATGTACAGTCAGTCCTCGTAAGGAGCAGACCAACCAGAAACCCTTGTCGGCATTCGGCTCCTGCGAATGAATCATATGAATATCATCACGACCTGAGCACGGCAAGCCAGCTGGTTGATCTGTTTGGACGAATACCTTATGGAAACAAGTTGGAACTGAGTGCTTACATGTACCCACAGGGGAGAGAAAGAGAAATTGGGGGCTTGGTTGCCGAGAGCCCTGGAGGTGACAAGAGTGACACCTGATGGTTATGCACAGGCTTATGCATCCCCCCCTCCAACTCCACCAATAGCACCCGCCCGCGACTCCAGGGCTGTCGGTGGAAACGGGCACCGGGATCCGCGGTCTCGATGCTCCTTCCCGTCGCATGGATTGGCCAGGAATTACGAATTAGTGAATGGATCATCAGGGTCGAGAGGGTTCCCATATTTTAAAGTATGCATTGTGCCACGTACCAGAATGCATATCTCAGGCCCCTGCACCGGCCCAATCGTGAGCCGCACTCTTGGCTTTTCATAACTCGGATAGTTATCGGGTTCTTATAACAATCCGACAACCCGCAAAAGGCATCAATCAGCCCTCCTTTTCCGTCCTGCTTGCTAGCTTGCTCACCAACGGACAGCATCCAGAGTCCAGACACCCAAACACGGTCCTAGGCTCCTTGGTGAGCAAATTACCTACCTAATCCTCCAATTCCAAATCGTCGTCCTTTTGGGAAGTCTGATGCCAAACCGCAGATCGCGGGCGGGGTGGTGACGACTGCAAGATAAAGTAAACAATGCCTGATCTCTGAGATACCCGAACAGGCCTCTCCATCATACCCTTTGCAATTGACCAACTTTCGTATTCCGTGCTTGTCGACCAGCGCCAAGACCGCGCGGCAAGCCCTTTTTCTAATTACCAAGCCCGAGGTGTCATTTATGCGATGTCAGATCTACGATATCAGCCCTGCGAATCCTGTCAGCGGCCGGTAAGCTGCCGAGTGACGCTACATAAAATTCTGAACCCCCCCCCCCAAAGTTCCTACCGTGCCAATTGATCCTTTTGGTAACGAGTCGGCCGAATGTAACCTGTCAGACCGCCTTTCGAGTCATCTCGGGCCTCCGTTGGCAACGTCGATGCGCGTGCCTGCTCCTTTCGTCATTCGTAGAAGGCTCCGGAATGTCTGGCTGTGACTATCCCACAACTGGATCTAATTGCAGCTTTGTGCCTATGATTGTTTACTGCGTGAGTTGCTCAGTTGCGTCAACGTTAGGACCTGGATGATACTGCCGGCTACGTCTGTCAGCTGATGTACAGCGCTCAATCTGGTATTGCTATCCTGGTTAGGGGGCATCGGAGCTGCAGGTACCAGTGCTATGTACATAGGTAGTGCAGATCAGCATGTGATTTGTTGAGTAATTCCTGTACCAACCGATCGTTCGGATGCCTGCGTCGTACTCGATGAACGAATTACGAGCGCTTCCCTGCCATGCCCTCGACGTGCAATGTCAGGGCTCACTATTCACTTTTCTAGTTGGAAAAAGGGGGTAGGACAGTCCGGAAGGTTAGGGGTTTGTGTAGTCGAGACACATGCCCAACAATGGACCCCAAGTTTGACAATGAGCTTTGCTCTATTGCCTGTCAACGGCGTTTTGGATATATGATCTTGAATCTTCGACTAAAGGTTTCAAGTGCCGCGTGCCTGTGGAGAGTGGTAGAGTTCAGTCGCGCACGTCTTACACTACGTTAACCACGAACAACTCTCCTGACACATCCACTCGTCATAAAAAGGGGCCCCTTTGAGTCGAAGGCAAGACCCACAGGGCGGAAGCATTCTGCTAATACGATATAAGTGACGACGACTATGGTGTCCGAGACTTCAGCTACATGTTATGCATGCTCGGAATCGATCTTGCCGAGCCAAAATTCGTCTGGGGATCTTTGGTTCCTGCTTGATTTCACTCCTTATGGGTCTGGCCAAATGCCCAGGTTCCCTAGTTGATATACCAGCTTTCGTGGCTCCGACTGTTCCGGCTACCGCATCGTGAGTAAGTGTGGTCGTCAGTCTTGCTAGTCAGAAACAGCGTCTTGCCAATCCCACTGAACGCGATGCCGTTATTGAGTTGATGCATGGTGATCGTCATCTGCCAACAGATGCTTCTCCCAGGTATCTTACCGTTCATATTAGGACTGGGCTGAGTGCTGGAGGTGACGCTGACGTGGCCGTCGATTCCTCCAGCCAAGACAACCCATTTAATGCCTTCTCCACCCTGCTCCTTTGATAGGCGGTTTCTATGAGTATCGAAGACGATGTCGTGCGGTTGGTTCATGTCATTAGGGACCACACTTGCGGTGTAGTCGCTTATCACATTCAGTTGGGCTGCAGGAGCGAGTACAGTGCAGCTATGTGCACTCGCCGTCGAGAGCAGCAGTGACGCCAGGGCCACGAAACCCGCATCCCGAGCCATACTAAGTCGAGGTAATCTTCTCAGCGCGAAGTGTCGATGTCTGAGAAGAAAGCTCTAGGAGACGGCAGTGACGGTCATCAAGGGCCGCGTGTAGTCGGTGGAAGAGCCAATACAGATAAGTGTTCGCCCACAACGCCATCCGTATATACGTCCGCCGCCAACGGCGTGTCTTGAGCACCACGCAATATAATATGTCAACCCCCATAAAAATCATCGTGGGGTGCTCCGGTCTCTATTCCACGCGGTGATGGCAACTATGGAAACCCAGCCGGTCATTAGCGATTATCCGGCCACGCATTGTCCAAGAGCACTGCCAACCTTAGATGCATTCTAAAAACCCGGTACCTGTTCTCGATAACTTCTACGCAGCTCTAGATGCTCGTCCAGATAGTTTCACTTACACGGCATTGCAAGATACTTGAACTTGGCACTTTCGAATTTTCGGGAGTGACGACGGGGATGGCGTGCACTCGGCGGCAATACTGGTAGGGGCTTATCATGTTCCCTCATGGCAGAGGTCATACTTGCGCAGACCTTTCTTTATATCTTCAACCTGATTTAATGATGATGTCTCAGCTCGTTAGGTGAAGAGCCACAATGTCTTAGAGCATGGGCAGTAGTGCACGGGATGGACCTGGAACAGACCAGATCGTGAGATATCAAAATAGAACTAGGGCAGCAGGTGGTTCCGATGAGTCCCGACTTGGATATGGTAGTGATCTCATTGAAGTGAGTCCTGACTTGAGTATGGTAGTGATCTGATTGAGGAACACCAAATGCGATGTGATCTTGAAGAGTTATGAGCAAAACTTACCTGCTTATGCAGCCTGAGCCGGGACGTACCTGAAGACACGGCTTCTGGTGGTGTTTTAGTACACATAATCGGACCTGTATTCACGATATGGAACACGTGGCGCTGGTATGAAGCTCTCCACGATGCTCTCACGTTAGAGTCTCATGTGACATTCTGATCTCGAGACCTCAAGCCTTCATGTCCAGCGAACTCGTTTGCACGGGAAAAGCACTGCAGAAGAAAGGAGGTCGTCCAAAAGACCAGCAGGTTAATGGTCAGGCATAATAGCCCTCCTCGCCTACAACTAACTAGACATCTCCTCATCACGCATGCACTTCACAGGCGAGCAACATAGCACCGCCTGGCCAGCGATATCCAGACTGTTCTGCTTGCCAACTTTCATCAACTTGACAAACGAGGGCAACCACCAACGGCCGCGTTCTCGGACCACACTACCTTCTTTAGGGAGACCCAATACCAGCCGGTGCCTCTCCGAGCCCCTCCATCTTCAACGCCCTCCACTCCTCCGACACCTACAACTACAAGACATTGCTGCACATTCTTCCCGTGCACATAGTCGTTGCTTTCACTCGGCACACCCCGAATTGATCAGCACTGTCCTCGACCAGGCCGTAGCAGCGCACGAGGTGAGTTCTTTCCTGTTGCATGTTGCGCACCTGAGGTTGCAGGTCGAGGCCACACTCCCTCCCAGCCCTCATCACATGCAACAACCACTGTCATCGAAGGCCGGCACTGCTATCACTCAATTGAAGCACGTGAACGTATCGTGCAACTTCCCAGAGTCACTCCTCTTTTCTCGCCATCGTGCCTTAGACAGAAATCTCACAATTAGCTTTAGTTGGGAATCCCTCCACCTGCTCAGCCCCTCCCCCTTCTCCCCCGTCCACCACCACACTCTTACTTCAACAACATCCTGCCTGCCTACCTACATCACGCGCCCACTCAGGTACTTACTGATTATCGAAGCAGCGCAGACATCGCAGATTGAGTACATGCCGAGCAGCCGCAAGCTTCCACGTGTCGGTTGAAGGTGAGATTGAAAACATTTACCCCTGATCCAACATTTCTTATTTGATCAATACTTACCAAGCTCAGTGCAAAGATGGCGGCTTCCGTGGGGAGCTATCGCGCGGCCCTTGGTCAGGTCGCTGACCTCGGTACCCTCTACAATGCCCAAAACTGACTCGTTCCTGCCTTCGAACTTGGTCACTGGACTTCCCTCCCCAAAAGCTATCACCTCGGATAAGAGCACCTCCTACAAGACTCACATCGCTCAAGATGATACATTCCAGAACAAGTTCGAAGCCTTGGGCGTCAGCACCGATCTCGGTGCAAGCTTTCTCGCGGGCATGGTAACTCTATTTGGCGCTGGCGGTTATCTGGTCTTTGCTCGCCTGGGCAAGCAACACGTTGAAGGCGCTGTCTGCCTGGAGATCGCGACCGAGAAAGTCAGCTTGGGCCCACGGCATATTGAGCCGGTCAACGTTTCCGCCGACGCATTTGACTCGAAGAATGCCACTCACGTCGTGGTCGGCATCGTGTTCGGCGTCAAAGTCGTCTTCGGTGCCAGACTGCCATCACAGGAGGACAAGCTCCAGACGCAGCATCAAATGGACACCAAGCTGTCGTCTCTGCGTTCTTGGTTGGATCGCAGAACGTCTGCTACTACCAGCAGTAACATCGACCATGCACCTCTGGATACACTTGATGAGCATCTTGATGATATGAATTACGCGATCTTTTCCGACCTTACGGACTGGGAGCGCATATACAACCTCAGCGTCAAGGACAAATCTGAGTTGATGAACGACCTCCCTAATGCCTTGAAGCGAGCCGACTATGGTAGGGGCGATCCGATCGCGTACAGCCTCGTCCCAATCGAGTACATGCGCTTAATGCTGGGTGTTCCCTCTCACCAACAGGCTCCTGTCCAGCAGCCTGCAGGTGCTCTGCTCAGACAATTCATACACTTTTTCGATCAATGGCAAGAAGTGGAAAGAGACATCAAGAATTTCCAGGAGAAGCGCATGACTGCTACGCTCCCTTGTACTGATCCTGTCATCAACCTTCTAGAGAGAACGCTCAAAGCGAAGTCGAGCATGAGGGATGGATTTCGCGAGGCTCTCAAGCACGCCAGAGGCGCTGCAGACCCCAATGATGCTCTTACCCGCATACTACATAAATACTGTACCTCCACTGAATCCCCAAAGGCTGTTCAAGAAATACTGGCTAAAGAAGCTGGAGATTCGGAGTTCAAAGCAGGAGTTACCGGTAACGGCGGCCAGTACACTGACTTCGCAGGCGCTCAGCGAGCGGTGTCGGTTAGAAGCAACATCTACATCAAGTACTCCACTGAAGACATGAAAAGGGAGAAGACATCCTGGGAGGCCAACCAAAGAATCATTTACAACCTCCTCAAACGCAACCCCGGAGACTACCTCGTCGCCGTAGCTGAATGCAAGCCAAAGCAGCTAGCCTTCAACAAGGCGCGTGTTACGTTCTATTCTAGAGGGGAAGCAACCATTCACGATATGCTGGACAATGTGGATCTCGTCGACCAGGCGTTTGCTCGATACGATGCCAAAAGCCTGGATACAACTGGGTGCCACCATCCTACTAACCGGAGACCAGTCAGCCTTGCCTGTCCCGGGAAGAACTGCAATCAGAACACGCTCTGCTCCTGGACCTGCTACAAATGCCGCGTCCCGTTGAAGTACTCTGATGAGTTCATATATTGCGATTGTGGGCGAGCGCCGACCAAAGCATATTCGTGGCAATGCAACTCGGATAACCACGGCAGTGGTTTCACCAAGTACCGCCTATCGAAGCTTGGTCCAAACTTGCAGGCGTTGGGCTCATACAAGGAGGTCAATATTCTCTTGTTGGGCGAGATGGGTGTGGGCAAGTCAACGTTCATCAACGCGTTCTACAACTACATCTTCCTTCGAGACGCTTGATGACGCCATGTCTCACGGAAAGCTCGAGTACCTGGTCCCAAGTACCTTCTCCATGCAGCACAAAGACCCACGATCCCCGGATGGTTCGTTCCATCACAGTCACATCCAAGTAGGACCGAGGGACAACGAGCATGATGGGTCGCGTGGAGATTCAGCTACGCAGAAGGCGACAGTCTATCGGATGACTATGGGCGACGTAGTTGTTCGACTCATTGACACGCCTGGAATAGGGGACGTTCGAGGTATCGACGCTGACCGCCGCAACCTATCCAACATTTGCGCACGCTGAATATGTACAACAATGTACACGGAATTGTTATTCTTCTCAAACCAAACACGTCGCGCCTGACGTTGATGTTTCGATTCTGTGTCCAGGAGCTTCTCTCATCCCTTCATCGAGATGCGGCGAGGAACATCGTTTGGGGTTTTACCAATACCAGGATCTCCAATTACATGCCAGGTGATGCTTACGGACCTCTGGAGACACTTCTCAAGAAACACAAACATTTGGGGCTGACGCTTAACGCCGAGTCAGTCTTCTGCTTTGACTCTGAAAGCTTTCGTTGCCTGGCTGCCAAGAAGCAAGCAGGTATTGACTTGCCTCACATGGAAGATTTCAGGCGAAGTTGCGACAGATCGGTTGTCGAGACCAGACGCCTCATCGAACACTTCGCAACAATCAAGCCACATCACATCAAAAGCACGCTGAGTCTGAACCGAGTCAGGGAACTCATCTCACAGCTGACACGTCCAATGGCGGAAATCGAAGACACCATGCAGAGAACCATTAATCTCAATAGGGTCAAGATAACCGAGCTAAGTGATGCAAAATGCAAAGGCGACGACCTCCGCAAGGCTCTTCACTTCGAGCGAATCGAGATCCGCGTCGAGCGACTTGAATAACCTCGGACTGTCTGCGAGCATGCCGACTGCGTCGAAATGAAGGGTATTGCTGGAGTCAGGCGGCCTGTCTACCAGTCGCTCTGTCACGACCCCTGCGATCTTCAAGATGTAGACGAAGACACAATTGGACACCACAACCTGGTGTACTGCGCTGCCTTCAATTTGGCTATTCATTGCACAGAGTGTAGCCACCACTGGCAAGAGCATATGCACATCCGTTACTCTCAGTCGGAAGAGGTGGTACAAGCCACAGATCAGGACGTGCAGCAGAAAATCGACGCGAGCCAATCTGATATCCATCTGAGAGAAAGCGGGATTAATTCTCTCGAGACTCAGATCAAGGAGATTGAGGCTGAGTTGGGGCAAGTCAGAGAGGCTGCGTGCCAATTTGGCTTGTTCTTGAAGAACCACAGCATTACCCCTTACAACGATGCCATGATCGCTTATCTCGATGAGATGATCAAAGAGGAACGTCAAGTCGTGCAGCACGCTCACACTAGGAAGCTAGCAGTCCCCGAGAACGAGCAGCGTCTTGCCAACCTCGAAGAAAGCAAGCGGGCCTATCAAGAACGAATCAACATCCTGGAGACTCACATGAAGGCTGACAATAATGTTCGCCTACTAGATGAACAGGGTGTAGATGACCTGGTCAACAAGCTCTATAACTTGAAGTATTGGGGCAAGACCCTGCAAGGTATGAGAGCTATGCTGGACTGGTCCAAGACCAATGGACACCGCGAGCACCAGCATCGTCCGAAACCCAACGGGGTATGGCAAGCCATGGCCTCGTTCGCATCGAAATTGATGCCTCGATTTCGCAAACGCACCGCAGACGAGGCCAATGGAAGTGCGGCGAATCCACCTCCCCGCCAGAGCCGCCGACTCAACCCGAGCATGAACTGATCTCGCCGAGACTTTGCCGCAAGACATGAATGGTGCTGATGCAGACACGAAATATGCATCACTGAGACCAAATTCTTCCGAGTTGCTGATACTTACAGTTCACTCCACTGTGTGGATTTAGGTAGATAGCCATGGCTAATCGTGTAGATTTCATGAACTTCCATCAATAAAAGCTTGCGTTCATCTGACAATTCGTATCGTTGACCCGACAGCACATCGTGACCACAACCAGAAGTACATACCTACGAAACTCGTATATTGATTTATAGGCGGGTCTAACAATTCTTTCCTCCTATCTCTGAGCCGCTGATTTGGGTTATAGGTCAACATGCGATACTCATGGACCATCGTGGGAATCATAACTTCATAAGTCCCTTTGCAGTGGCAAATGGTTCGGACCTGTGAGGGAGCGTCCTCATGTATGGGGGCGCCAAGATACCACAACGCAAAATAGCTGGTACTACGTCTCCTTTGCTTTTATGCCACGCCGTCCGCCTAAGGAATTCAGCCGTTCAGGTTGCACCACACACTCCTTTTCAGCCCAAATGGGGAAAGTGGAGGCGACTGGCAGAGGCAACCCCTTCTTCCCCGAGAGCCAAAGTGTGGACACCACTTCATCCAAACCATACCGAGCAGACCACATCGTCATCATCCCGAATGACATCTGAGTAGCCAATCCAGCATCGCAATGGCGTTCATAAGACCGTATAAAGAGACAGACTTCGCCGCCTGCGCAAACATCGTACGCCCATCTCTCCAACGTCCTCTACGCACACCCACCTCCGCACCCAACTTATACCTCCACCCTCACTTCACATAGGCACCTCACCCAACACATACCAACTAACAACCACAAGTGCATAGCGACCCTCCCACCCTCCCTATCCTCATCCCCAGAAGCAGCCAGACTCTTGCCCTACCTCTGGACCCACCAATACACGCTCCTCCCCCCCTCCACCAGCCACGTCCTCGACGACGGGTCCGACGCCGCAGTAGGCTACTGCATCGTCTGCCCGGACGTCTTCGCCTTCGTGTCAGCGTACCCACGATACACCACCTCCATCCTCGCGCGGGACGTCGCGAAGCCCGCGCAGCTCGCGACCCGGGAACCCTGGACCATTACCAGCACCAGTGTCATGGGCGAGTCAATCGTCAACCCAGTAGCGCTGGCCCAACTGGCGTACCGCGCCGACCGGATACTTCTGGAAGGCAAAAAGGCCCTGACGAGCCGCTGGCGCGCGACGATGCACATTGACCTGCTGGGGCCGTGGCAGGGGAAGGGGTGGGGACGTCAGCTGATCGAGCGGTTTGTGCAGAGCGTGCGGGAGAGCGGTGCCGACTATGACGAGGGCGAGCACATTGGCATTGCTGGTGAGAACGCCAAGGTGGTGAGGTTCTATGAGAATGTGGGTTTTCGGGTCTCCGAGGGGGGTGAGGAGGAGGGCAGTATCTGGATGGTGAGGAAGACCTGATGGTACAAAGGGATGACTATGGTATGTCAATCTGTCAGGGGCAGCTGGTTCTATAGGCCTGTTTGCAGAGCGAAGACTACTGCGCGTTGTTCCATACTTAGTTTCCATACTTGCTGGCGTGCCATGGCAGGAGGAACGCAGCGTCGAGTGTGATAAGGTCCTGGGTTAACATCACACTTAACACCATCAAAGTACTAGCAACACGAGAAAGTTTACAGGTGCTGGCAACAGTCTCTGCACTCCACAACATCACGAGGCATACAATGACGTAAGGATGTAGGTTTGGTCATTCAAACTAAATCAACACCACTCATCGCGTGTGCTTATGCTATTGCCAAAGGCCGACCCATTAGTGAGCCATGAGGCAGTATCCACCATCTAACTACCCCTTTATTGCCATGTGATACGACGCCTCCCAGTCCTAGAGCATTGCTCCGGGAATACAAATGATATCTTCAAACCGAGGAGGGGCTAGTTGGTCCATGCTATTTTTGCCCCGTCCGCCAAACGACCGAACACTGTGACTTCCTGCTTCGAATCCGAGGCCAGCCCGAAGACTCAGCGATATGTGACCTGTGCAAAGAAACGTAGGAAATGTGTCATGTCGAGATGCGATAACCATGTACAGAGAATATACAATAGGTGCCCGGGTGAGTGTAAAGGTGATGGAATATGTAGTCTCGTGAAATGTCGTAAATGTTCAACAGCCGACAGCTGACTGGAATACAGGATTGTGATGTGGGCGGACGTAGGCTTGTTACAGGGCCAGCAACTCAGATCATACCACCAGACATCCCCATCTTGTCGGCACGATTTCTGGCCTGGGTGGCGACCATCCTGGATGCGGGAGGCCCGACATTGATGGGCGGGCTGTTTCCGCGGTTCCTGTGGTTCGGGTTTATGTGTGGGGCGTCAGAAGACATCTGGCGGAAACGCCTTCGATCGCCTGGGGATCCATCCTCGTTATTGAGGGAGAAGTTGCTGCCCATACTACCGGCTGAATGGCTCGGGGGTAGATTGGGTGTGCTCGCATGTGCCTCGTCAGCGACACTGTCGCCCCTCCGGCGGTTTAATGATTCGAAAACAGTTCGCGTCTTTGAACTGTCCTGGCGCCGCCTGGGGTTGATAGGAGGCAACGGTGGCGCTGGCCGACTGTTGCTGCGCGATCGGTTCCCGGCTGCCTCGGCGGGAAGCGCCATTGTAGGCACACGAGAAGTCGACATGACGAAAGTAGGTTCCGAGATGTCTCTGGCGTATACTTTGCGTCTCGTTGCGTCACTCAGTCCGGGGACACTTGATGCGCCGTTGTCATAGCTGTTACTCTGGGGAGCAGAAGGGCGCTGGAGAGACGAGACAGCATTGGGAGTGGGCGGTGCCGAGCTCATGAAGGGTGACGGTATGGGAGAGATGGGTGAGGGCTGACCCGACTCGTGGGCACGAGAAGATGGTTGAACCTGCAGGTTGCCATTCGAGGCGAAAGCCAGTTTATTTATCTTTGCAGTGACATTGGGATGCGGCTGCGGTGGCATGATTGGCGAGCGCCTGATATCTGTTCCCGGTAGGCCAGGGGAGCGCAGCTGAGGACGCGGTGCTGTACCAGCGGGGCCCAGGTGCAAGTTTTCTCGAGCGATGGAGCCATCCCTGGGACGTACCGGCCTGCTGTTCGATCTTGTCCCGTGGCTGGAATCCGAACCACTCCTGCCACGATCAGCACGCGAGGAGGCACGGGCCCGCGAGGAGGCACGGGAGTCAGGGTACTGATTGCGATGCCTGCTTTCTTCGCTTGGCATCCGCTGCTGGTAGAAAGCGGGAGGCTGCTTGCGGTCTCCGCTTGGCGATCGCGCTCCTTGGGAAGCAGGAGCCGAGGGAGGTGCCCTGCTAGGTGGCGAGCTTGGGGAAGATTCATCTGCTAATGAACCTTGCGATAGCTGGTTACGCCTTGCTTGTAATTCTTGTTCCTTCAGCCGTTGTAATTCACGTTTCGCCTGCCTGAACGCACGGAGGCCCGCATGTGGTTCCTCGACGCCCGTGGCCGTCTTGCCATCCTCGTATTTCGGAACTCCGTTTGCGTCTGTCTGAGCTTCCTCACGCATCGGCTCGCGCGCTGGGCTTGTCGCCTGGGAACCGCCAGGGCCGATTCCCAGCATTTTCTTGGCTTTGGACTGAGACGGCTCTCGGCCACGATCGACCAAAGACGTACGGCTGCTCGATGGCCGTAGGATACCAAGTCCGTTGGACCGTGGCGGTGGTAGGTCGGCCAAGTCGTTCTGGTCTCCAAAGCGGTGTGGAGAGGACGATCGACTGTCTGTTTCAACGTATGTAGTCAGTCTCTCGCGCACGCGCCGCGCGCCGTCTGCCAGTTGGCTGGCGAACTCGTCCGGATCTTGGCGATTAGTTGACGAGAAGGACCGCCCTGTCATCATTCCTTGGTCGGAATCCGGCGCAACATGCTCGACATCAGGGACAGGTTCGTTAACGTCTAGGTCCAAGTTCCAATCACGATCTTGATATTGCACTCCCCAGGGGTTCGAACTCATTCCATAATCCTGAAAGGTTCTCGTATCGTCCAAGTCGGCGCGGAAGTGGGACTCGAACCCAGCTGTGGGAGGTGCGCCGCCATACATCGACGACGCATTACTGTCGCCTCTGAGATGTTGACGGACCATGCCACTGAGCCCGGCCCCGGTGGTTGGGCCAAGTGTGGGCGAATCCGCTGGCGATATGTCCCTAGAATTGGGTGCTACAGAAGATGACGAGATTTCCGCAATGGGCGAAGGCTCGTCACCCATCTTCGAAACAACGGACAGCGGGGTTGGCATGGCCGAGTCCCTGAAGGCAGGGTGCTCCCGATCTGACGGACGGCGCAGTAGTTGGGGCGAGGGCGCGGGCTCTGGTGAAACTGCTGGAGACGTCTCGCTATCATCAGCATCAGCCAGGAAGGAGGTAGAGGAAGCCTCCCCCACGGGAGGTGGCTGTGTTGCAGCAAACGAAGAGCTGTGTTGGTGCTCGAAAGGCGAGTTTGGAACTGATGAAGACGACCGAGACCTGTCAGTCCGCTGTGACGCGTTGGACTCGTCGCCCGTTCTGAGGGTTGGAGTTCCACGTCCTTGCTTGAGCTGCAACTGCCTTTGCGCATACCTCGACTCGTCATATGGTTGCATAGGCTTCTGGAAAACCCCCAGAGCAGTAGCCTTGCCACGGTCGTTTGGTCCGATGGGCAGCATCGAGTTCTCGTCTGCCTCGCTGATGGGTGGGCTCAAAGGTGGTATCCCACCTAAATTCGAGCGGCTGTCTCCAGCACTGGGTACGCGGATGCCCAGGTCTGGGGTCCCGGCGGAGGAAGCCGTAGTGGGAGGGCTCATTGATCGCAGGTTAGGGGCACTAGCCTTGGCAAGGATCTTTCGCTCACCGCCGAATCGCTCCGCGAAGCCGAGAGTCGTTGGCGACGGTGAGTTGGGGGCGAGATCCGGAGTCCGCGTACCAAAGGTGCGCTGCCGAGTCAACGTGTCGACGCGAGACAAGGCCGAAGATTGTTGCTCGTGGAGATCGTGGTTAAGACCTGTCTCATAAAGCCGCCTCGTTCGCGTGACGCTCCTCTCCAAGCCGGGCGTAGAGCTGCTTGGTGGCTGCCAGTCCTTCAGCGAAGGAGCTGGCTGTGAGGATGTAACAGAAGTCGCGGCGGTTGAGTTTCTGGCTATCGACGGGATGGAAGACATGGTCGAAGAGGTTTCGCGCTTCTGATTATAGCCACGGTAGAAGGGTGATTCTGAGCGAGGAGCCTCGTGTTCCATTTCGGCCGAAGTCTTCCTCTCTGGCTCGTCTCGCTCGTCGTCGGATGGATTGCGGTCCCTTTCCGCCACTCTCCATTTCTGGAATGCTGACATGGCGACGTCGTGATCGTACAAAGCCCGGCCGCCCATACCTCCATCCAGCGTCTTGGATGAGTTGGCTCCTACCGGGATCTTGTAGATCTTCTGACGCCCACCAAACAGGTTGTTACCCTCGGTCGGTTTCGAGCGACCCATCATGCTAGCCGTCGTGACCGAGTCGGCGTCGTCGGACGAGTTGTACGAGTCCATCCGAGCGAAAGGAGCAGCGGCCCTGATGGATTCGACTTCGGCGATATCTCCCAAGCCCCGGAACGTCCCATAGTCCATTCTCGATTGCCGTTTGGGAAATAGTACACTATCATCACTAGCCTTGCCAATCTTGGAGTGTGGGTCATCCTGTTCCCTCAACATGGAGAACCGCGCAGACAGTCCAGTCATCAAAAGACTGGTGCGGAAGTCATCGGTGGTGGGTAGTGCTGTCGAAAGATCGACCTCGACCTTTTCGTTCACTTGGGCCTTCTTCCCTTTCCTGAAAGACCGGAAGGACGAAGATTCTGACTCTTGTGATGGGCGGGGAGCATCGCCGACGTCCTCCTTGGCCCGCTTCTTGGTTCGAAAGCGATTCATCGTCGCGGAGATGAAGGTCGCTTCTTGGGTACAGAGATAAGTTTACGCGGTGTGTATCGATTTACCACGCAAGCGGAGTATCCAGATTAATACGCGACTGGGTGTTAGAGAGCTGATCACGTCTTGAATGCCATGAAAGAGTGTCCTGGTAACCAGCGTGGGGGAAAGATCGATTGCGGTCAATAGCGAGTGAATAGGTGGATGTATTCGATATCGCGTAACAAATGAGTGTTCGGGTGCAAGCAGTCGCAATGCGCAGAAGTGTCTCGATAGGAGATGGGTGCGTCCGAGCAGCGAAAGATCAGAAAGAGAGTGTCTATAACGAGCGACGTATATGGTCAGTGTATGTTTCGGGGGGAACAGAGACGCGATGTCTCTTGCTGGGTGTAGTTAAGGGGCAAGGGGCTGCTTGCACCGGGACGCCGGGCCTGAGTTGCTGGGATGTTCAGCACGCGGGCCAGAACCTTGGTTGGCAGGCCGCACAGCACAGGCACAGGCACCAGAACAAGCATGGAAACACGCGGGAAGCAAAAGAGAAGAAAAGAAAAGCCGGCAACGGCCAGAGCGATGACGGTTGGGCAGAACGTACCTGACGTTGGGTTCGCCTGTGTCGGGACTGTTTCACTGCGTTACAGGCAAGAACCTGAACGGGGACCCGGCTGTCGACAACCTTGAAGAATCAAGCATAAATGATCTGATGGGCCGGCCGGCGATCACACGCGATAGCTGCTCCGTTTCTCGTTTCTCGTTCTCGATTCAAAGACCGGGCAACGAACGATAAGTATGAGAGGGAGGAGGCCTTATCACTGGGTGGCGGGTAGCGGAGGCAGCGTCGGGACGGGTTCTCGTCGTCGATGTTGTACAAACATCAATGGTTCCTGCGAAATAGGCTGGCAGCAGGCCGATGCTGTGTGACGACGCAGGACGCAGTGGTAGGCGAGTGGGCAATGGTCCTGGAACAAATGAAATGATTGAATGCTGTCCAAGGGAGTGTGAAGAGTGACTGCCAATTCGGTCGAATGCCAGTGATGCGCCCCAGGTGTGGTGGGTGTGGTGGGTATCGTGTGTTCTCCTTTCCCGAATGTACACAGAACGGATGTCTAATGTCTCGAACACAGCTGGAGGTGAGAGGTCGTCGTTGGTCTTGCGCGTCGAGGTAAAGAGTGACTATGGTGAGAGTTTAGGGTTAAGAGAAAGAGTGTGCAGAGTGTGCGTGTGGTCAATCATCAAGGAAAGGAAAAGAGATTCCGCATCCATCCCAGACCTGCCAGACAGCCAGACAGGGGACACAGGGGACGTGCGGGTGGTATTGGCGCCCTCATCAACAACCCATCAACCCATCAAGAAAGTGACGGTCCAAGACAGAAATGGAGAAACCGAGCCGGTGGAAATGAGAGACCCGCGCTAGTCTGCGGTAGGGGTGTTTAAGTGGGAGAGCCCCTGCAGGAACGGGGACAGGGGGGGTGTCAGTGCAGAATAGGGGACAGGAGCTAGAGGAGGTATCTGTGGACAGTGTATTGGTTCAAGATATACACTGTCTTCATTTAACGGTCATTCATCCAGTATCAGTGCCTTCAATGTTGATACCTACGGCAATGTGAATGGAAGCTTCATCAGCAACATCTCCACAACCACCAAACAGATGTGTTTGATTGTATGTGTATTAGGTAGTTACTATTGATAGTTTTCGGAGGTAATGAGAAGTTGTCTCGTGATTATCAGCCTTGTACTGGGATACACACATACATGTAGGTAATAAGGTAGGTAAGGTAAGTAGCTAGACCTGCTAAGTACCCCACAGCCCGACGTCGGTCCTAACATTGAAGACCTGTCCTTGCTTGCAGGGGAAGAAAAGAAAAGAAAAATGAGGGGGATGGGGATAAAAACAAACACTGCAAAGTTTTCGTCACCGGGATGCACTGCTAATAATAAATAATCAGATGGCCGGTCCATGACCTTCCTTGCTCCTGTATCGTGCCCTACGAGGCTACGACCAGAACGATCTGCCGCAAACCAGATGCATCAATTCGACTTTCTCCTTTCTGCCGAGTACTTTAGACATGACAGCTGCTTCATTCGTGATGACTCTGTCGTACGGAACTCATCATTGCGCTTTCGACCTCTCATCCTTCATCTTTGGGAGCACGTGTTGAGCATGCCAACAGAAGTTGCCAGGGAATGCCTCAGCTGTTTGCTTGCCTGGTCACACAGCTGGTGTCCCGACACAATCTTGCCCGAGCCGCAACCCAACGCCGATGCAGTCGGTCGAGCAAGTTTGCCATATATTGACGCCGTTGAGGGGCACGACCTGTCTAGTACTTGCTCGTGCAACATGTCGCTATTTTGATCAGCACCATGCGGTGCTCGGCAGGATCGATACATCACCACTCGATCGCGCAAGCACCACTTGCAGCCATGATCTGTCAGATCTCAAACGAGCTGAGCCAACTGGCGCTCCTTGGCCAAATCTCCTGTCGTCACACAGGAGTGCCTGTTTGTCATTTCAGACGACAGCGTCAGCATCGTCATGGTCATCGTCATGATTATCATCATCATCCAACGGGAGGATCAAACGGATCAAACGCAGTCTGACTAGTGACAATCCCACGCCTGATCTAATCATCTGGTGCTTTAGCCCCTCCGCCCGTTTGCTGTCAGGTCACCTCCTCTTTCGTACCCGGAAATGACCCCTTTCTTCGAGGTCGTCCATGGCCATTTATTAACAGTATTCGGCTGCGAAGGGGAGACGGGGTGATCGAGGCATATCCGTCTTCCCCGCAGCCAACTATACCCCGGCCAACGGCGTCCATACAATCAATTGGCCATCTGGAAGGGTGCGCGTGTCCAGCTGCCAGCTTGAGCAGTCAGTGTCTGAATGAGGCTTGCGGACAGTGCCAACACTTGGTTATGCAAATTCAGGGGCTCAGAGGAATCGTTGCCAGGTGTCTCGAGAGATACACCTGGCACACAGTGTACACGGTGCACACGGTGGACACGGTCGTCTGACATAAGGTAAGGTACCTCACATATCGAGTCTACATGTACGTACTGTACATACAGTACAGTAGTATACGCACAGCCATTTGCCCATTCGCCCATTCACGATTCACCGTCAGGACTCAGAACCGTTTGCCATCCACGGACGGCATCTTCTCGAAACCCCTCCCTATTAATTATCTACTATTTATTACGCGGGAGTATCTACAGTGAGCATCCCTGCTGGCCTGGCGCCGTTGCGGGTCGGCCTGCCTGCCTGCGAGCCGGCGGTCCAATCATGCTGCTGTTCCTGACGCTTCACCACGTTCGTCTAGCAGAACTCAGAAGTATGTCCGGCACTGTCCGCTCCTGGGATAAGGGTGGTCTTGGCAGCTTCAATTGGGTAGCATCCCATCGGCAGACTATGGGGACTTCTGCGTGCAGTCCCCCTTTCCCCCCTGCCCCCCCTGCCCCCGTCCAATCAAAGGGGCAATCAATCCATGGGACGATTGGGCCTGGATCGTTCCGAGTCGTTCACGGACCACCACCACACGGTCCATGGATGACAGTCTGTACAGCAGTCCAGCAGTCCAGTAGGAGTTGTCTGTTCTGTCTGTGAGAGCCCAAGACAGATTGGCTGAATGGGAAGAAGAGGTTGTGATAACCGCAGACCGGATGCACAAAAGAAGCAACCCTGCTTGTCAGTGGTCACCAACCGAGACGGGCATGTGCTTGAGCTGGTTGCATACTGTACTACCTACCACTTCTCATTTCATCACCCCGGCCGCCGACCCTCCACCCACCCACATACTGTGGCGGTTTCTCGAGATCTTTGGGACAGCCCCCTGGTGCTGCATGTGCTACTAGTACATGCCTAAGTACCTCGTACTATTACCATACCTAATACGCACGTACTTCACTTCACTGGTGAGTCTGATGAGCACCTGATAGGGGGCAGTCAAGACGACTTGGGGAGATTGCCTCTGGGCAAGCTCTGCAAAATGTATGATAAACAACAATCAGAGTTCGCAAAACCCGGGGTACAACTAATTAAGTTTAGCACGAAAGCCGACTTCAGCAGTTCAGGCAGTATGACTAATATGACTTCAAACGACCGCGTCGGCGCCGTTCACTTTACTCAATCCCGTTCGGACGAAACCAACACCTCCCAGCGGGCCGGTATTCCTAGGTAGCTACTTTACTAATATGGTTAGCAGATAAGCTGTAAGTAGCTCAGCAACAAGCCCTACACTTCGGTCGGTGATTTATCGCCCTGCCTAGATCGTCGATTCGACGGACTGAGCTCAATCTCGGTAGGAGGAGCTTCCATATTACACAGTAGAAAGCTCAAATCTACTAGCAGCCGGAGTTCGTGGGCATTTCCATGAATGCCCAATGCCCATGGTCCGTCCACCTTCCAGTGTCCACTCGACGAGCTGCGAGGGCGGCCGGGGGCTCACATGAAAGAGACAAACATCAGATGACAACGTGATGACATTCCACAGCGGTCTCGGCGTTTGGCATATTGACCCCGGATCATAACAACAGTCAGTGAGGCTCTGCCATGGCCTTGTCTGTCCCACGAGTCACAGTCTCAATCTATCTGGAGCTTTGCTTTTGACGTACCGTAACTGAGCACAGTCGACCCTCGTGTAGGACCGCAGGATCGGGAGCGTCAGCTGTGCCCGCTAAGAGCCTGAGCACATCGAGGAATGCCATATGATTGCCGAGTGCCACTCGAACATCTCTCACCTTTCCGAGATTGTCTGGTCTGAGACCATTGAGGTGGTCATCTATATATTTATACGCACGGCAGCGCGATACATGCTTTGCCTCTCTGGATGCAGGTGTGGTTGTGTGTCGCCGTCGCAGGGACCAAAGACGGCGCAGAATCTCAGCTGTGGTTCCCGTACCCAGACTATTGGGAGCCCAGGCTGACTGCATCTGTCACCAAGGGCTTTCTGCAGGACTGGAGATCCTCCCTTGCGGCAAAGTAGGACGGAGGGACTTTTAAGTTTTGAGCTTAATTCCCACCTCACTGCTGTCGAGATCTAATAACATCTGCTACCGCTGAAGAATGTCCCCATTCGTCCTTTCAATGCGACAACCCCCCCTATCCCCTGTAATGGCGGAGATGAGTCCGAGCAGGGGTCATGACTTCGCGGCCGAGGCGACGCGTCTTCAACCATCTAAAACTTCGGAAAGCAAGGCAGCGTCTCCGAGAACCTGCACTTCGATATTGATCGCAGTGTATTCGGACTGCTTTTCCTCGTGATGACACAGTTTCTAGGCGAGCGCTGGATATCGCTAGGTACCTTGTGACTGATACGTCCTGCTTCCACCTAAGGACAGTGGGGACTCGGGATGTCATCACCGCCCGGGTCGTTGACCTCCGCCCTTGCTTGGATATTCGTCATCAAAGTGCTTATTACAGCACTATCACCATTCAAGCACACGCCGCGACATGAACCCAACACCGAGATATGGACTGCTGTCGTGATCCTGCTTCTATCTGTACGACAACCACGGCGCTACATGATGCGTCTCGTTCGGTGAATCTAAGCTCGACGCCATACTCGAATGAGAGAGCGTGAAGTCAATCAACACTCAAAATAGACGCGTCGAACCGCGCCATCTTGCGAGCTCTATCCTGACTGCGGAGTAGCTTCACCTTGATTACGACGCGGGGTGAGTTTCAAGCAATGATAGCTGTAGTACCTCATAGGGTATCATCACAGAACCCCAAGCCCTTGGCCTTCTCCATACCGCACTTGCTTATCCTATATGATTTACATGGACGTGCCACCAAAACCCCAGCAGTTCCTGCGACTATAGGACCAAAGCTTGGAAGCATTGATTGACCCTTACCTTCAACCTTGGTGCGCAACGAGGCTTGCACCAGTAGTCTCTCCCGCATTGCTTCAACCACCATCGCCACGTCTAGCTCAACCAAGACACTTGAGCTCGTCACTACGAATATTACTATCCTCCAGTGATCATTACTCGTTATGACGGCAACTTCCTCCCATCGAGTCACATGTAAACCCTGGCCTCGTCAAGAAGAACACTGCGACACCAGGGGAGGATGGTTGCGAAGTCATCGCATTGGCACATCGTTACATCCCGCACAAGACACCTCGACAGCTGTGTATCCCGTCCTGGAATTGCCTGTTGCTGTGAATAATGGAAACGGGAGCGCCAGTAGAAGCGTCGCAGAGACAGCCAGGCGCGGGATGAACCACACGGTAAACGGCCAAGCCAGCGCGGCGTTGATCTTGGCCAATGCCCCCAATCGTTCAGACACCATGATTCGTTTCTGGCCTGAGGCTGCATGGGCTGTTGCGGGGTAAGTCGTCAGGTGTGTGATGTGAATGAGCAGTATTTGGGAGACCAGTGAGGTGGTTTTGAGAGGCTACGCGAATAGGGTTTGCGACGAAGCTGGGCCTAAGTCACCTTGGCTCGCGGGATATATCTCGCGCACATGGGCACTTATGCGGTTGAACTTGATACACCATCCATATTCTCGGCTTCGAATTCGCATCACACCCTCTAAATCACATCCTACACGATATCACGAGTTCAACAGAAGCTCATCTTTACATTGACCGCTACCGACTATCCCAAACCAGACCTACCCAACATGTATCCTTCATACTGCTGCCAATGTGGTGGTATCTTCGTCATCAACACAAGCTGCACCTGGTGCAAGCACGAGGAGTGCGCCAAATGCTATTGAGCAGTGCATGAGTCTTACACAGAGAGTATGACTGCAGCCGCCCTCTGCGCTGTGATAATGACTGACTGGATCATAGGTCTAACAGAAGAGATGAGGACCGTCATGGAGATGGAATGAAACAACGACACTGCTTCGCTCGTGTTTGGATATCCAAGGCCGGCGTCTCTGTATGCATGGTCTGGGCTGGGTTTGAGTTGGGCGGAAATTTGTCATAGGAAGGGCGAGGTTGCGGAACACCGCATCGGTCTTTGTTGGTATACCCGGATGGACAGGTCATATGTTGCTCTATCGACGATCGGCTAATTCGCAAACACACACTTCTCGATCCAACCCAAGTAGCATCCAGTCGGGTACGTATTTCTTCCTGACTATGATGCTGTATTGTAGTGTCTTTCCATAGTGAACTTGGTCCCTTTACGTTGCCTCCAGACGTTGCTAGTAACCCCTCATGGAATCAGGAATTCACCTTCATGAGCAGGTGATACTTTGCGAGTAGATTTACAATGCGCATGTGGCCCTCGTGGCTGTGGTTCGATACTTTCTTTGAACAAATTGACTTAGAGTTTGGGAGATTCTGCTTCCACTCTGCCACAGAAATTGAACCATAGGAAACATGACTTCTGGTGCCGGCTGCTTCCTGTTCAGCTATGTTCTAGCCCTGTATTCGTAGATGTTGAACCCATGATGGTGTTCATGCTGTGCCTTGACTCGCTATGCAACCAGTTGCTTTACTTTTCTTCTTCCGATGAGACATATTATCAGTCTCACCTCCGGCTACTTCTCATTCTCATCTTTCATGTCTTCCGCCCAGCCGTATGATCATTGATTCGAAGCGGTCGTGAGGTATATCAGCGATATGTTCCATTGAAACCACCATTCGTCGCTGAAGGACACCGTAATGATACCATTTCTACCCGAATGGATATAAGCCTGTCGAGCTATTGTTGGTACGAATTGATGCCAAGGACCACACAATGCTTGCTCCAGATGCAGGCCTATTGCACTAGGGCCAATGGCCAAGTGGAAGAAGGTAATATGAGGCTCTCTACTGGGGTAAAATGATTGCATCTAGGCATACAGAAGACTGTCGTTCATAGGCAATCTTGGCGTTTCGGTGCCCCAGCCCCTTGCTGTTAGATACTGCATGCTGGGCATACTCAAAAGACTTTCGGGATGTCTGTAATTTGTTGGTTGTCTTTTTCGTGATTGCTATGCTGTCGGAACGGCTGAGTCAGAAAAGGGGGTCGTCTAGGCTGGTCCCGCAACTACGATGAGTGGGAATATTCCATTTCAATATGCGGAAGGCTAATGGAATCAATAACCACATCAGTAGAACTGTTGACCTACTCTATCCATATGGACACCGATGCTACTGCTTGTTGCGAGTAGGCGACCTGACCGCCTGAGGCAGTCTTACAGGGTGCGGCTCCGTCCCACCATATTTCTACATGCTCAGCCACAGGCTGTGGCAGCCAATGGTATGAGGCTACCTATCCCAAAACGAATGCATGTAGTATCATGGTCTGACACTCCACTTGCACAAGCCTCATCAGCATGACCCCTGAGTCCAACTGTATTGGTCCTACTCGTGACTACAGAGTTGTACGTACTTAGTAGGACTGTGCGGTATGCTCTGCTGTTCTGGAATTTAGATTTGTTACCTCTCCTCGCTAGATAGACGACCCTCCCGGAATGTTGGTGACACCATGTGGCTCCATCGCAGTCGCCCTAGCAAACCGACTCCATGGGTCTATTACCAGCCACGCACTAATAAAGGCCGCCAAACAAGGGCAAGGCAGTCTCGCATACCTATACTGACCTCTCAAACAATCTGTCTACCTATCTGGAACAGCTTCCACCGGTCACTGTATTGGTGACTGTGGAGCATCGGCGAGGCTTACAGGTCGCCAGGATGGTAAGTAGTAGCGCGGTGCCATGCTGGAGGTAGGTAGACTCTCTGCCAGATTTCTTCGTGAAGGTACTGTTGATCACTAACCAGATTGATAGTACGCGATGACTTCAAAGGTATCTTCCCATATAAAAGAATAGCCAGTATACACGTCTAGGGCCCCTAGTCTAGCGTTTGCGCTACTACTTACCATCCTGGCGACCTGTATGAGTCCTTTGGCCATGCCTAATCAATCGGCCTGGATGTCTGATGTGTGACACTTGAAGCCCAGCCGAATAAAGGGTGGAATCACACCGTCAGAAACCTGCCGCTGCCTGTTCTTGAATCGACATGGCTGACCATCTGTTTGTGGGCAGCTTGATTGCTGGTTCATATGATGCACCCGACCCCAACATGTTCCGCGAGTGTTACCTTGGACTTCTTTGTTATCAAACCACGAAACCCAACGCTCCCAGTCGCTTGCCGTGCCTCCCAAATCCTCCTCCACAGAACACAGAGAAAAGCCAGCCAACAGAATGGTACAGCCTCCCATTTCAAGTATAAGTTGACAGCTATTCTTGACTCTCGTAACTTCTTCTTACCACTCATTCATACCTTTCTACAGGTTCGTAATCTATTCCGCAAACGCCATACGACCACGCTCGAAATGGTGAAGAAAGAGGAGTTCTCGGACGAGTCCGTCAGATCCATCCAGTCGTTCTCGACACTGAGCTCAGACGACCCGAGCGTAACCATTCATCCACTTGGCAGCAACGATGGAGTGCTCTTACAGGTGCTACCGCCTATGTAGCGAATGGACCATGACACGCGGCACGTGGCGTGCGATATCGTGCTGGTGATTGATGTGTCTCTAAGCATGGGAGGTGATGCCCCGGCAGCAGTGACTGACGAAGAAGGCAACCACTCGAGAGAAAGCTTCGGCCTCTCCATCCTCGACTTGACCAAGCACGCGGCTCGTACGATCATCGAAACGCTCAGCGAAGGAGACAGGCTGGGCATTGTTACTTTCAGTGATACAGCAAAGGTATCAGTCGCTCTGGCGAAGACGAGTTCCAAATGCTGATCCAGCCTAGGTGGTGCCAAAACTGGTCCCGATGACAGATGCGAACAAGATACTCGCGCGGTCGAATATCGACAAGATGCGACCTGAGGACGTGACAAACCTTTGGCAAGGGGTGAACGAAGGCCTGGGGCTTTTTCATGGCGCTGACACGGGCCGAGTACCAGCGTTGATGGTCGTCACTGATGGACAGCCCAACTACATGTAGGTGCAATGCGTGTTCCAGCACAGCTCAGCTTGAGTATCTGGACCTAACACATCATTCAGGTGTCCCGGGCAAGGCTATCTACCAAAGATCAGGTCCATGGGCCCACTCCCGGCGACGATTCATACCTTCGGCTTCGGCTATAGAATTAGATCGGGGCTGTTGAGTTCCTCGCAGAGATCAGTGGCGGTAACTATGCCTTCATCCCTGACGCTGGCATTATTGTAAGTTGCCTGCCTGTCTGCCTTTGGACGATTCGCTAAGTCAAGCCATGAGACTGTGTTCATCCATGCCGTCGCTCATTTGCAGACGACATACGCCACCAAGTGCACCCTCGAAATTTCACCCCCCGCCTCTATGAGGCTGAGGACGACGACCGGCAAGATCATCAAGACCATCAAGACCATCAAGACCATCAAGACCATCGAGACCATCAAGCTAGAGGAGTAAGCAGAGTCGACAGGCAACAAGCTGATTATCGACCTTGGAAATCTGCAATATGGACAATCCCGAGACATCTACCTCGAGAACGTCGATGACTCTGGCCACAAGATCAAGTCCGAACCTTCAGAAGAGAAAGCCACCCTCACCGCAAAATTGACATACTCCACGCAAAGTGCTCCGGAATACATAGTCATCGAGGACCAGAACCTGCTGATTACTTCTTCCATTCCGAAGGCAGTAGTAGCTTACCATCAGAATCGGTCAATGCTCTGCAACTTTCTCCTATCCCTCTTCTCGCAGAGGAAGGATGGCGAGTATGTCACGCAACCATCTGCCGATTTCGAATCAAACAAGCAAGCTCTCCAGAAGCTGTTGGACAAGATCCCGGCCAAGAACTACAAAGACCCGCACAACCAGTCTCTCATGGAGGATCTTAATGGTGATTCCCCGTGCGGACAGGTCAGCCCGGCTCTGTCGAGCAGGGAATACCTCGAAAGGTGGGGTGGTCACTAATTCTTCAGCTTGTGGAATGCTCATGCGAAGCAGCTGTAAGTGTCTCGAACCCTTTTGCCTCCTATCGTATCATCGCTAGTCACTAACTCGTACGACTCCCTAGGTGTAATTCCTTCAAGGATTCCGGCCCGAATATGTACAATGACAACCCATTCTTCATCAAATGCAGAGGTCTCCTGGACAAAGCTTTCGACAAACTCCCACCGCCGGAGCCCTCAAATAAGGTCACGGCAAGAGCTGACAGCTACCGAGGCGCTCACCAGCCGCCCCAAGATATGTCATTGTACAACCAGCCCAACGGTAAATGTTTCGCCGCTTCAAGCAACATCGAGCTGGCAGACGGTCGCGAGATACCGGTGTCCAAGGTTCGCGGAGACTTCGTCGTCCAGACGCCGTCGGGACACAGACGGGTCATGGCGGTGCTGAAGACGAAGGTCAAAGGGATCACCATGTGCAAGATTGGCGACCTCGTAGTCACCCCGTGGCATCCCATCAGAGCTGAGCATGGATGAGTGTTCTCTTCCACAGTTGCGGAGAAGACGGTCAAGTACTCAGGGACTATCTACTCGTTGCCCCTGCAACCCGATGAGGACGTCGATGCCCACGTTGTGAAGATAGGAGGGCTGTGGGGCGTGACTCTAGGCCACGGACTGGTCGGCGGTGGTGATGTTCGCGCACACCGTTTCTCCAGAGACTACGGAGCGGTATCCAAGGCGCTGATGATGCTGCAACCGAGAGAGAACGGTATCGTACAGTGCAATGGGGTGAAGAGGGGAGGCGAAAACGGATTGGTCCATGGGTTCAAGGCAGTGGACTACATAAGCCATTGGTGAGAGGGTACATTAGATACCTACTGGGATGGGTGGAGGGATGATGTTGTTGGATGGGAGGTTGATGTTGGGAACGTACCTTATGGTACCCAGCTGGATAGGCATGTGTGTGTGTGTGTGTGCTGATGTGAGAGGCAGCCGAGCTGCTACATTCATGCTCACCTAGGTACCTTAGGTGTGGTCAACATGTCGACAGCATCACCATCACAATTGTTCATGGATTTTTGCTGTAGACATCCCACAGATCCATCCCATTCCACCTCAATATTGCTCGGCTGTGCGTTACCAAGTCATCTACCTCATCCATCACCCGACTCATTTCGTCAAACCAAATCCGCAGGAGTACCTCAACTTCGAGTAAGCGCTCCTCTCGACATTTCCATCGCGATCAATCCACCGAGGACCAATTTTTCTGCGATGACCACGACGGAAGCCCTTACCGCAATGGAACTTGCTCCCAAGATGGCCGTCGTGCTGCTCGCTGTCACGAGCTACTCATCAGATGCAGAGATGCGTCATTAGAAAGCATCACAGACTGGACATTGGCCTACAAACCCCTCCAAGACCGACCAATACCGGTCCTTGACCAAGAAGATGCAGGCCGAGGCCACCGTACCGGAATCTACTGGTTCCTTATCACGGTTTTCATCGCGTTCTTCCAGATGCACTCGATGTCGAATCCTCGCCAAACCACCCCCTCGAACAATGCCCGTTTCCTCGCGCATCAGGGCCTCTCCGCCTAGCAAAGTCGCCGCCTATCGCTAGATACTACGACCAAAGCGATGTGACTGAGAGGTTACCTAGAGACGGTGCTGCTGATTGAGAGACCGCCTGAGGATCATCACACTGACTACCACCTGATGGTAGACGTCCACGGGTCAGGGGGTCTCCACGGGGCATCCCATCTGTGGCGGCATTGGCTCGCACCGGCAAAAGACTCTCTCACCGTTGCTGAATATCGTTACTGACATAAGCTTTGGTTTGAACGCCCGTGTCCGCACGGAGACAAGAATGGACTGACGTCTCTCCATAAGATCATGTCTGGGATATTTCAACTGACGAGTCCCGGCTGTCTGCCATCCATGCTCAAATCGTCGACTACTCGAACGCATTGAACGCCATGATGAACACGAAGTCTCGAGACGGCAGAATATTGCCTGCAGGGCAAATCGCACTGCCTTCCAAGCTCTCCCAGAGAACGGAGCAGGTGCGGCGCTCGACAAACATGGCAAGACTCTACAGGACCTGTTGAGCACCTCACCCAGAGTTATGCCGTGCTGGGGGGGCCCATCGTCGAGCAGATACCGTGAGAGGGCTCTTTGAGAGCAACTGGATACGACGCAAATAGAGCAATAGTATGTCAAAAAGTGCCGAGAGGTGTACCAAGCTTCAACATCAACGAAGGGTATTTGCCTGCGAGCCTTGGGGCATTATCCACACCACGCCACGCCATTCAATCTGTTATTCCCTTGTGGGAGATGATGGATGGCAAGACCTTCAAGGACGAAGCGCCGCTGGTATAGGATACTTGGTCTAGGGTACCGAAGACAAGTTACATAATCACATGGTGAGCGGTGTGCTGGCATAGCTGGAGTCTAATGACTTAGAGTTTCTACTAGAGAGACGCCGTCCCTCGAAGAGGCACAAACCTCATACCCACTCACGATGAGCACTACCGACATATAACGGCGTCATGGCCTCGTCTTGATCGTTTGCTGTTCACTTGTGGTATAGCAAAGTCCTCTGCCGTACTGGCGGAAATAATATGCGTTGTCCAGTAAGCCAGTTCATGGTCGAGGAGTAGGTATCCATTCTGGAAGCAGGATGAAGCGGAGCCGTCGCGTTGTCTCAGTGGTGATGTAATGCAGGTAAGGGGAGCGAGTCCCCGGATCTAACGGCTGCTCCCGCCGCTAGACTAAGCGCCTCTTTGTTATAATGACGTCGTCATGTCAGTTGTCTTGGAGACGGTCGGACGGAATGCGCTACCGTAGCGCTGCTCGTCATAGATCGAGTGTTGAAAGGGGCCATACAAACTAATGTCTAGCGATACCCCGGGTATCTATAAAGAGCAGGATGAACCCCCAAGAAGTTGCTTATACATAGACGTCAACTGCATGTATCAAATACTCGCACCAACTCGTACACAAACCCGTCTAGAACCACGAAGGATATCCATCATCACCCAGAGCATACGCAACATGCCTTCTTCCAAAGGGAAGCCCACGGATCCCGAGCTGCGCGAGCAGATCAAGGAGGGTATGCACCCCTTTGCTTCAAGGTTAATGCGGATATTGACTGTGGACAGAGATCAAAGAAGAACCGAACAATTCAGGAGGCGGGCAGGGACAGTGGTCAGCCTGGAAGGTACGAAGACGCCGCAGCGCAAGGCTATCTTGCATCTTGCCCCTGCTAACTTGTTGACCATGAAACAGGCATCCAAGCTGGCAAAGGAGTACGAGAAGCAGGGAGGTGATTATGAAAACGAACCGGGCTCCAAAAACGAGCCCAAGAAGGGATATCCACAGCCCAAGAGCGAAGCCAAGAAGAAGGCAGAGACATGATTCAAGCGTTGCCTCAAAGACCGTATGGGCGGAGCGTAACTTATGGATTACACGCGCGCGCAATGGGAGAAGTATTCTCTGCAGGTATGATTAGACCAACACGCAACTGCCATTCCGCCTTAAATGCAAACCAACCGACGACATTTGCATGTCTGAGTGGCGTAGTGGTTATCGCGCCAGTCTCACAGCTTCTTTATTGTGCACACTGGAGATCAAGGGTTCAACCCCTTTTCGGATATGTATTATGTATTTTTATTGCATTTCTACCTTCTTTTACCTCGTCCAGTCCAATGAACCCATAGGGGATATTGACTGGCACCTTTTTGGCTGGCCTGAGACATAGACAGCATGGTCACCTTGTGTGCTCATAGGACGGTCCGCAATATGCGCATCCATGTTTCCCGCCTCTGTATCTAGTCGTGCTTCCTTGCCAGTGACCCGAGCGGCAGGTTGAAAGGAGTCACACCGTTGTTCATCAGTCCGGCGGCGCCAGTGTAGTCTGGGCTTGATTTAATATTTGATCTCTCGCAGAATGTGCGTGATAAGGGAGATTGGGCGGGCAACTTACAACCGATAGCGGCCGCGACAAATCCAGTGCCAGCCGACGCCTTGAGAACCTGCGCACCATCGCTCATCATGTGGCCAGTCGCAATGAGGAGGAAGGTCAGGTCCACGAAGAACAGAAGGAGGAGCAGAGCCCAGGAACTTCGGGCCGCAGCGAAGGTGAATATGGTGCTGAGGATGAACCAGCCCCACACGAACATGGCGACGGCTTGGCTGAACTCGGGCGTCGGCAGGCCTGTCTCGGCATCAGTGTACGCGGCGATGATGCCGCTCCCAGGCAGGAAGATGAACGCGTATGCCAGATTGAACCCGCCGAACGAGCTGAAGACCGTGGCACCGAACTATTGGCAAGTCAGTCAACCGACGCGCCCCGTGTAAGTAGGTGGGAAGGACAGAACGTACCGTGTTTCCCGTGACGAACTCCATGATACCGGACACCACCTGACCGATACCCCCGTAGAAAATCATGTTGGCAATGACAATGTTGTTCACCGTGATGCCACGCGGCTGAAGCTCGAAAAGAGAAAGCATGAAAACACTTGTGGCGAACGAGAGCAGCCCCAATGGCATTGGGCTGGCGAAATCCCGGGGAATGTAGGGCAGGGCAGGCTGATCGCGAGGCGAGATGGTATGCTGCCTCTCCAGGTCGCCGCCAGACTTGCCATCGGTGGAAGAATTGGTGGGAGACATGGCGAGGTGGCTCGGAAGAGGATATGGGCTGAATGTCGTAGCTTTTGTCGTGCAGCGAGGTCTGCGAACAAGAGACTCGAGGATGATATGGCACCAGGAGGATGATCTACAACACACACAACGACGAGGTTGGTTGGAAGAGCGCGAGATTCGAGGAAATCCGTGGGATGGACAGAAGAAGGGTATTTACACCAGTTTTGCCCCGTCGCCGGACAGTCTAGGCTGCCGGGTATCTTTTATTGGACAGGCATCTCGAGGAGAACCAGACAGCCAAGATACCGGGGGACTTGTGGACGCAATCTTCTAATCAGCACTTTGCGACGGGTTTGCGAATGAACGTGGAATGATGGCCCCCTCTCGTCCCCTGGTATCTTCCGGGATGAGGGACCAGGGACGAGTCGTACTTACTTCAGCACTCACTCGCTCGGGATGGTAGCAAGGGGTACTACCCGAGTAATGAACATGACAACTACAATGCGTGGGATGTAACGTCTATATCTATACTTAGGTAGTTCATGAGGGGGGTCGAGAAGGCCGGGACGATAGACAAGGGCCTTGGACGAATCAACTCCGTGGACCATGATAATATATCCTGGCCGTTGCATGGCCGTTGCATGATACGGCAGATGTGAGAAACACACTTGCCACTGGCACATGGCAATCTCGATGCGCTCGTCCACTCGTCCTGTCGCAGTCGCAACGTGGCTGAGTGGTGAAGCAGTGTAGTTCTGGCTTGGACCCCCGCAAAGACAGGGGAGCAATGGAAACGAGGCAGGGGAGAAAATCACTAGTGAAAGGAGGGTTACAACGGGGGAGCACCCCGGCAGCCCGTCCTCCCCGTCTCCCCCGTAACCCGGGGATAATAAACGTTAGCGGATCCACAACCTGGGGGTCTGGATCCGTGTGGTAATATATTCCATGCTATGATATGATAGGAAATAGCTATATGGAAATTTCTATAGCGCCTGAGCATTATAGGAAATTGTCGATCAGAATATGAGGTGATTTGTATTCCGCGCACAACCAGCAAGCGGAATACGAACTCACGGACCCTGAAAGAACCCCGTATGCGAATGGAGCCGCTAATAACGACATCTCCAGATCAAACTAGCTCGCCGTGGCTCTGGCCAAACCCGGTATAGATGCCCCTGGGGTTCTCTTGGCCACCCCGGGGTTGTAGATTATGGAAGCATGGGCCCTTGCACGTGGGCGGCACGGAAGCAGCCAACCACCGGTCCACCGCCCGGCTGAGCTTGCAGGCTTGTCTCCTCGTTGAGGAAGCTGGGAAGGTATTGTTTCCTCTTGACTCTGACCGAGTGTGCATTTGGAGTACTGATCGACCCAGATGGGAAAACCATCAAGTTCCCCCCTGTGGTATATAATACCAGGCCGTCAAACTCGCAAGAGCTGGCCGGCTTACCCAGCACTTAATAATCCCGTAACAATTTGTCTGCTCTTGAGTACGAACCTGTTCGCGGCGGCAATCAGGATTAGATTACCTATGGAGCGTGCCACCCTGGTTGTGGCTGGAGAATTTGAGCGCTACCTCTGTTTTTTCCGACGAAGTATACATGGGGCAAATATCCTAAGTACTTTTACCACGGGCACGGACGTCTTTTAGGAAACTTATGGGCCCAGCCGGTGCACCCAATTAAACCACGCGCTTTTCTTCGAGATGTCAAGTTTTTCTGCCACCAAAGAAATTCCAAGCGCTCGGGCCAAGGTACTTGCAGGGGCCTGGTACGGTATACCCTCTCATAATCATAATTGGATTATCTGGCCGCGAACAGGTTCTAAGCTTCGCAGTCCGAAATATCATACTCATTGCTCTCAGTGGAGGAGTGATTAATATGTAGCAGCCAGGGTTGCATTGGACGAAATCTCTTTACCGAACCTTGAAGGAAAACACTGTAGCAATTCGCAAGTACAACCTGGGCGGTTTTGAAAGCCGAGGCCACGAGTCAGCACCAGATAGACAGAGGTGCGCAATACCATACACCGAGAAGGCGGTTGTTGCATAGCATAGCATAGAATAGCCGCGGCATAGGCCAGCAGTCACCCATGGTCCATTACTTGATCTGCAGTGTCGATTGCATCGAACAACCGGGGTCTGCAGCACGCAATGCGGCGTGCTTTATGAGGCTCCTGACGGGTTACGTGTGCCAGCTACTGGTCCAAGCCTTTTGTCAATCGGTCTACCTCCCTGTGCTGATTAGTGAGAAACCAGCTTGAGGATCCTACCTATTTGACTTATACAGAGGACTTGATGTTAGCCTCAATTGGACATCTTCTTGGGATGAGATGAGGCTATTTTCGTACACCTGATTTGGTGAGCATAGTACGGTATGAAGGCAAGACGCCTGTGAGAGACTCATCTAATTGGACAGTATGTATTGATGAAGCATGGCAAGGACTGCCCCGAAAGCGGGTTCAGAGTATGACCTTTTAAGCCCAACAAGTTGCTCGAATTCCCTTCTGGATGGGACGCGGTCACGATGGATGACTGGCTGATGAGAAGTAGGCCTCTAGGAGACATGCCCGGTAGAAGCGCGAGGGTGCGTCCAAGTTGAAGCCATGGGTATTGTCAGGTATGTAATCGAGAAAGACATAAGCATCCCTTCCAGAAAATCAGTGTAGTTTGAGCTGCGTGAAGAAAGAACGCATAGGAGAGAGAAAGACTGGAATATGTCCAGGCTTCCACTACTAGAAGATGCTCGGACCAGGTGCCCCTTCTAAGCGGCGTTCAGAGGGTGCACATGGTCCGAGCATCCTCTAGTCTGTACCATATGAAGATGATAGCCGTACTAGGATCACAGTATCTTTTTAAACAGTTAGCTACTAGTTGGTAGTTGTCAGATTTGAGCCAATCGTCAGAGTGAAGTGTGTGTGTATATTCTCCCTGTCTAGAGTGTCCTTGTGCGACCGTGGCAGTTTTGTGCCAGAGGGGGCTGGATCGGGACGGAACAATTAGGTTTCGTTGTCTACCTGTTAAGGTGCCTTCTAGGCATACCTTTAATCTAACAGTAGTTCATTAACAGTTAATTAATAGTTAGCTTTTAATTAACGTTAAAATATAGCAACTTAAGGCCTTATAATATTTAAATATCTATCGACGTTTAAATTTTTAACGTCGGTCACAAGCGAGCGAGACACATAAGCGAGTGGGACACTTTCACGAACCTCTCAAACTTTGAACTTCTAACCAGTATTCCTCCACCCACGATAATGGCACCGCGTTATAACAAATCAGACATGCAACTAGCTGTCTAAATTAAAAAACAAGACTCTAATATTTCTGTTTAAAAGCTTGCTAAAAATTTCCACCTATTAATCTCTATACTAGCTCAAAGAATCGCTGGCTGACCATTATGACGCAATAACATGCACAATTCTTTAAAATTTATTGTTTCTGAAAAGAATGCCATTTGCTCCTTGATACTCGACTTGGATGTATAAGTATTTCCGCACTAGTACACTTATATTAAAGATATGGCAAATCAATTGTTGAAAGCACGTTGTCACGAAGCGCAGATGTGGAGTGGGCGTAAAAGTCCTGCTTTTACTATGTATGTATAATAATCTCTCGGTGAAGAAAGAAAGAAAGATCTGGTCCACCAGCCAATTCTGGTGGGCTAGAAGATCTTTCAGTCTGACCCACAATTACCCAATCCAGTGGCAGTCAGAGCCACACGTCCATTGCGCCAGGTCACCTGATGCAGTGCACTGACCACTGCAGATGGGATGTCAGACCTGATGGGAGGTCAGACCATCACACACGTAGGGCTGGACACGTTGAAAAGAACTGGACGGCAAACTTTATTAAACATACATCAGGCTTCTAGACATGTTTCTATCACAGGATGGACTACTTGAGGGTCTTGAGCAGATATCCAGACGCGTATTACGTGTGGTTTTGCTAAGTTACGGCAGTAATCGCGAAATATGGTATCTAAGACGCGGATATTTATAACTTCAATAAGACTATGTTTATGATAGACATTATTAGGTCCGGCATAGTCATTATAAGTGCTAAAAGACGTGACAGACCTAGACAAGCTCAGCAAGGCAATAAGAAATAGTCTACATAATCTCTGTTATTAATGCTGATGGTTGGGTAGTCCCGTTGTTCATCATTTTACAGGGGAAAACCCACCTCGTGTCATAGTATCACAACACAACATTACCATGCAATTAGAAGGTGGCTGCATCTAACACTAGATAGACTATAAATAATATTGGTTTAAAATAAATTCAGCATTTCAACAAATATACCAGACTGCATATGACCGCCAGTAAGCGCCTCCTCATCTTAGATGGCCACAAAAGCTACCATTCCCAGGTCTTTGAGAATTATTGTCAGAACAATGGTATCATTACCTGTTACGTTTCGAAGATAGGATAGGACGTAAGAGCCTTGTATACATTATCTACATATGAAAATCTCTTGGTAAGGAGGGAAGAAGAGATCGATCCCAACAGCCAATTCTGGTGTGGTGGTAGATACCAAATCCCGACCCACAATTATCTATCCATCTGTGTAGTAGTGCAACGTGTCTACTCTACCAAACCACTTGGTGTGTGTTAGATCAATCACAAACAGTAATAAAAAGTATAAAAAAAACCTTGCCGCTATATCAACGCATATTACGATGCCTTTCTCCTTTAATTTTAATAATAAAAAGTAAAACTATTTCTTACCTCTTTACTCCTCAATTTATTCTTGCTTATTATTTTGCGTTTAACTTATTAACTATAATATTTAAATAATATTCATAGTTTTATTTAAGTGATAATTTATGAAGTTATTATTATTATTGATACTATTTACCTTTATTTATTTTATTTACTTAGTATCTAACTTTATATCTTTAATTAAATATATATTAGTATAAAGCTTTTATTATTTATACATAACCCGGTTTTAAATAATAATAAAGCCAAATACTTAGTACACATTCACTATTTTAGCTTTATAATTCTTTTTAACTTAAATATAAACTATTTATGCTTATATATATAATAACTTATATATTTTCATTAAACTTCAAAACGCCTTTTGTCGACAGTTTAGTTTAAAATTTAACAGCCGTTAATACTATTTAACCCTATTTTGTTATAAAATATTAGTGCTTTTTAAGACAATTATTATAACGAGCCTTAAAATTTTTTTCAAAATAGAAGTAAAAAGCAAAACAAAAAAAACCCCATTTGACAAAAAAAGAGTTACTAAGGTGTTTTAACTTCGTAACTTTTCTTTTAATTTAAGAACCGTTTTTAAATTTAAGGCTTTTCTATGTTGATACTAAAGCTATTAAACTAAGAAAAAAGCTACGAAAAAAACCCCTATTAAATTAAAAAAGGTTAAAAACATAAACAAGGGGCTAAAAATACTTCTAAATTTCTTTTTATAAATTAATAACTATATGCTACGCTCGGATGAATATAAATTAAAGTCATCAAAACTATAAATAAAACCCTATACTAAAAGCTTGAATCTTATATGAAATCCCCAAAAAACTATATTAGAAAGTTCAAACTTTGAATGAAAGCTAAGATAGCTATGATAAAACGCTAAGTCTTAAAAAGAGATTAAAATAGTTATAATAAAAGGCTTATATCTTAAAAAGAAACGAAATAATAATAATGCTTTTAAATTTTAAAACAAAACTGAAACAATTCTTTTTATATTACAATGATATTAATGAAGATAACCTTGAATAATATGAATTAAAAATTAAATTATAACAAAATAGCGTCGATTTCAAATTCACTTGCGTAAATTTAAATTTTAAACGTTAAATAAAGATCATAAAGTAAACGATTATTGCTAAGTCATAAAAAAAATTACTTGCTGTGTAAAATATTAAATAATTATTTAAAAGTAAAAACATAGGGTTTATAAAAAAGAAAGCTATATATTTAAAAAATAAAACGTTCTTAAATTATTAATTTAAACATATAAACTTAACTACTTTATTAAACTATTAATGTAAATTATATCAAAATAATAGTAAAAGATGATAATAATAAATATGTCTAAAGGGTATAAAAAAGTTTATATGAGATATATAATATAAAATTTTTTTTTTTTTCAAAAATAAAATAAAACTAGTAAAAACCGAAACAAATAAACATACACTTTATAAATAGCTTATCCGTTAAACTAAATGCGGGATTTTATAAATATATATGTACCTTATAAGAATAAAATACTAAATATAACTTGTATATAATTATCTCTTATTATAATAACTATTTATTAAAAGGCAAGTAATACGATATATATATAAAATTATTTATAAGCAAGTTTTAATTAATAAAGGCTATGCTTAATATTTAACATATTATTAAATAATTAAACCTATCATACCTTTTACGAAGCAGGTGTTATTGACCTTCAAAACGATATAATTATAATAAAGCTTTTAATATAACATAGGCTACAAGCAAGCGGTACACTTTTACCCACCTTCCAACCAATATATCAAATAACTTAATCACAACCCATTGAATTTAATCTAATCAATCGGATTCCTAATACAATATATCATAGTTTAAACATTCTTATAAACTTGAATTATGACCGATGCCTTATAAAAATATAAACTTTACTTATATCTATTAATGTACTTAAAAATATTAAGGGATATTTTTGGTTTAAAAATGCGAAAAGCTTTTATTTTATATATAGATAAAAAGCTATATTTGACGCGTAATGGACGTAGTAATACTAAAAACTGTTAGATCCATGTGATTTCACAGTCAAACCATCCATACAGAACCCACATGTATGATTAGATAAGAGATTAGATACCGGATTGTGAGGTCACTTAGCCAGACCTGCAGGTCCAGCTAGATTTCCCAATCCAACCATCAGCAACATCATGACCTTGACCCAATACTGGGGTATTATGATTGATCGTTCAAGCCTGTTCTAACAAAAACAAATTAAAACTTGTTATTTTTTAATCTTATTTATTATTTAAACCCCTTTTTAACGTTAAATCTTAAAGACTATATATTTCAATATGTTTATCTTGATTAATACTTAAAATATATTTATTTATAATATTCGTTAAGTATAAATATCCTTTGTAAGATTAACCTTTATATATTTTATTTTTTATTAAAGTAAGACGCTTATTATCCTGTTGAATTCTATTAAATAAATAATAAAATAATTATCGAAGAAGTCCTTTTTCGTTACTGCTTTATATGCTGTTAAACCCGTTACATATTTATATATACCGTTAAAGCCCTTATAACAGTACATTAAGAAGCTTTACTTACCGGTTTATCTAACATAAAATAACTTAAAACATCAATAAACGTATAAAATAACCTTAAATATATTTACAGTTCATAATAATTATTACTAACTGCATAAAAAGATACGTAATAATGAATAATTAAAAAAACTATTAAGATTACCTTATACTAAAAACTTATAAATTCTAAACCCGCTATAAAACTTATTAACACTTTTTTAAAACTTTAAGCCTTATTGGTTGTAATAAAAAGGCTATTTAACGCGTACAAAATGGCTATTTATTCCTTTTTATTTCTTTTACAAATATTATTTAAAGTATTATTACAACTATATTTCTTATTATTTTACTTTATATAACACTTTAGCGATAACTAAGATCTTAACGGAAATCTATTAACCCATATATATTTAAGCAACATATTATCAATGCGGTTTAAAATTCGATATACCGACTAATATTTTTTATTTATAAATTCTTTTGAAAGTAAAAAGAAAGATATTCATAAAAAAGGTTTCATTAAACATTTTGAAAGAATATATCGTATTTACTATGTCAAAAATAGACATAAATATATCAATCGTATAATATAAAAAGATAAAAAATATAGGCCGATAAATTATAAGACGGTATTAAAAAATAAATTATTGAGTAAGATACAAGAATTATTAGTTATTAAAAATTACGACGATAAATAAAGCCGGTTTACATATTAAGCTAAAAATGTTTTTTAAAAAAAAAACCCCGGCTTACAGTTTCAATTCATAGCGCAAATTTAATGTGAGAATTAAAAGAAAGATCGTTACCGGTACAAAGCAGTATATCGAAGAAATTGGCTAGCAATTAGTACTAGTATTGGCGTCGACGATTTAAATAATAAAAAGATGTTTAGTCTTATATCAATTTAATTAATAATCGACTAACGACCGTTGTGAACCCTGTCATATACTTATTAAAAATAAAAAATAAAAATATAACAATGCAGTTTTAAGCTATACTTAAAACATGTTTTTTTAAATATAAACATGTCGTTATAGATTATTAATATTCTAAAAACCTCTTCAAACCGTATATTAAAAATTTAAGTATAAATTATTATATAAGTAAAGTTATTTAAATATAACGAGATTAATGATTTTAGCCCCTAGTTAAATATAATCATATAACCCTATATATCGAACTCATCGTTATGTTTATTAATCTTATAACGTTTTGTGACGAGCCGTCTAACCTATAAGGCTAAAGGGTTCTATAGGGTTTATGTTCTGAGGTAAGTCAACACAAAGGACGATAGAGGCTTCTGTCAACTAGAAGACACTCAATGCTGAGGCATGGTCTGATCTAGGGGATCACTGTATAGTCGAGTCGTCAGGAGATTTCTCCCACCTTAGGGTTGGCTAAGATGCTTAGATTGATCACTGAGGTAGAGACTGTCTATCTATCTAGCTGGAAATGTCTGTCCTTATATATCCAATCTCTCCCTCACTGATGGAGTAGGATCACCATGTTCCAGAGTGATGCTCACTGGCTCACTCCCTGATCCAGTGATCCTCGCAGGCTCACTTTGTGATCCAGTGATCTGTTACGTGACCTTTGTTATGTAATCCGTAATACCCATTGTTCCGTTCCTGGCTTCTGATTCCATTGGTTCTTGGTGTACTCCCCTTGGCCCTCCAACAGGCCATGGTATTTGTTGGTTCGTAACATTATTCCCCTCCTCTCAGGATCTTTGTCCCCAAAGATAAATAGTGAGTGTGTTCTTCACTTGTCCTTGTTGTTCTTCCTTTTTGTACCTTTATGTCGCATCGCTAATATCGCCATGTCGGATCGCGCAGGAAAACCGTCAAAGACCCGTGCTCGCCTTGCCCTTGCGGACGACATAGAGTCCTCTGGTTCCACCACTGAAATGCCCTGCACCCGATGCTTTTGCCAAAACCTGGCATACCGGATGAGCAAACAGTCGTCGCGTTGCTCTGAGTGTATTCGTGTCGGTCGGTCTTGTGATGGTACCTTTGTGGCTTTGTCTTTATCAAAATTGGCGTCTCAACAAAAGAAATTGGAAGAGGAGGAGACAGAGGTTGAGGAAGCGCTGTTTGTTCTTCAGACTCAGTTATCAACCGCGCTGGGTTGTCTTGCTCGTCTCCGTCGTATAAAGAAGGTGGTGAAGGAGAAACGTTCAAAAACGTTTCGTTGTGGGATGCAAGAACTGGATGCCGATGATGAGGTTTCCCGTGAGGAGGCGTTTATAGTGCATGACTTCTCTTCGCTTATTGCGGGTCTTATTGCGAACATTGACTGATCTTCTGTTGGCCTTGATTCTTCCTGGGCTGACCCCTCTGTTTTGGGCGTGGCCGATCAGGGTTCTGCCGGTGGAACTGTTCCACGTTCTCCCCGCAGTTCTCCAGGTGTTTCCTAGGTTCCCATGTGTTCTCATCATGTGAGTACCCTTCCCATTTGATCAGGTATTCAAAGACTGGTCCATTCTGGCATGAGTCTAGTATCGTCTCGATGTCATAAATGTTTTGGTCGGTCTGGGCTTTGAGCTGTGTCTTGAATGGGGTGTTCTTGGGTGCTGGTTCCAATAATGAGATATGAAATACTGGGTGTACCCTCATGGTCGGAGGTAGTGATAGTCAGTAGTTGGTTTCTGAAATGACTTCCTTAATCTCGAATGGTCCGATCTTCTTGAAGTCAAGTTTGTTGTTTGGTCATTTTGTTTTGATATTTCGTCGTAGGAGGTAGACTCGGTCTCCCCTTTCCAGGATTAGTCCGCCAATTCTCTTGGTATGGCGTATTTCATCATTCTGTCTTGCAAGAATAGGGGTTCCTGCTATATTCTCTTTTGCAGTCTAGTGAGCTCTGTGGCATATGTGATTGCTCATAGTGCCATGGCTCCTTCAATGGGTGTTCAGGTGACTTCTGGGTCAAACCCATAGTTCGCCCTGAATGGTGACATGCCCATTGATTCATTGTCTGAGCTGTTGTATGTGATTTCGGCAATTGGTAACATCTGTACCCAATCGTCCTGCTGTTGGTTGACGTAGCAGCGTAGATACTGCTTCAATGCCTGGTTGAGTCGTTCTGTCTGTCCGTGGATGATAGGCTGTCGAGAGTCTATGTTTGAGCCCAAGTTGTTTTGTAAGGGATGTCCAGAACTTGGACGTGAACAACTTGTCTCTGTCAGACACAAAGTCGTCCGGTAGTCCATGCTTGCTGATGACTACTCGGATGAGTGCGTAGGCTAGCTCTTCTGCCGTGCTTGATTCCTTGTATGGGATGAAGTAGCCGTACTTCGTGAGTCTGTCTGTAACCACCCATATGCTGTCGTATTCTGTTGAATGGGAGCCGGAGATAGACACCGGAAGATCTCCAGTGGGGCAGAGACGCACAGGGCAGAGACGCACAGGGCATCTGACCCACCAAGAAGACAGATGATCAATCTCTGCACACAGAGCAGAATAATCCATAGAATCAATCAACATCCGTATTTTCAACAAAAGGCGCTCTCCCTGCCCCGACAACCCGAATCCCCATCTGTCCCCGCATGTGAAGCGCTGTGAATAGTACAGTGCACTGCGGGGAATCTGGGTGGTCATGAGTGGGAGAGTGCGGGGAAACGACACTGAACCACACTGTGCTTGTAGGGACCTGGATTCGACTGTGGCTGGAGCTCCCGTCGACAGGGGCAGCTTGATGTTGGAGCTGGTTTCGTGTCAAGTTTCAAACTTGGGATTGAACCGACGGACCCTGCCATGACCGCATCTCGACCACCTGCATCTGCCATTTGCTTCCTACTTCCTACCGACTGGGAGTCACGAATGAACTAGCTCGTGCCCTTCACCAACCCACGAATAATGCGACAATCTCAGGCTTTGGCGCTCCTGGGCATCATCGCCCAGAATGGGATTGCCACCGCCGCTTCTCTACCGAGAGGTGTTGGTCCCGAATGTTAGTCCCCCATCATGAGGCCGTCCTAGTTGAGCACATTGATTGCGGGCGCCGATGGTGGTCTAAGGGCCGAGAGGCGCTGCTGGTCGATTTGGATACTTCTTGCTAACCACCACCGTCGGTGCGTAGTCGTGAAATTCTACGAATTGAAGGACGAGTTCGCTTGTATCGGCCATCCCTCCATGACCATCTCGTCCTCTCGCGTCAATGATAACACATGCGACTGCCCCGACGGCTCTGATGAACCAGGCACCCCCGCATGCGCAGTTCTCGACCATCTCTCCCCCGGTCAGCCCCTGCCCGGCTCGCTGTCTGGGACAACAAACACCAGCAATGCCCTCCCCGGCTTCTGGTGTGCCAATAAGGGCCACATTGGCGCCTACGTCCCGTTCATGTACGTCAACGATGGCGTCTGCGACTACGACCTGTGCTGTGATGGCAGCGAAGAGTTCGGGGGCGTTGGCGGTGTCAAATGCCCCAACAAGTGTGCCGAGATTGGCAAGGAGTGGAGACGGGTTGACAAGGAGCGCAAAGACAACCTCGAACGGGCCAACAAGCGTCGGAGGACAATGGCCAAGGAGTCTAAGGAGCTCCGCCGGCGTGTCGAGACCAAGATCAGCGGCCTCCAGAAGGAGGTCCAGGAGCTCGAGGTGAAGCGCGACGAGCTGAAGGCAAAACTGGACGAGGCCGAGCGATCAGAGCGTGGCAAGGTCGTCAAGAGCGAAGGCACGGGCAAACTCGGTGTGCTAGCTGGACTGGCCAAGACGAGAGTCAACGAGCTGCGGGAGTCTCTGACCAAGGTGGTAGGAGAGCGCCTTCAATTACAAGATAGGGTGACCGAGCTGGAAGGCATTCTGTCCGCCTTCAAGGAGGAGTACAACCCCAATTTCAACGACGAGGGTGTCAAGAAGGCCGTCAGGGGCTGGGAAGACTATGCAGCAAAGAAGGTCGACGAGGGCCAGGGAGACTTCAATGAGGCCGACATTCTCGAAGTCATGAAGGAGGACAGCGAGAGCTCTGGCATCAACTGGAAGGAATTCGAGGATGATGATACGACTGATACCGATATCCGTACGTTCTTGTTGCCGCCCTGCGAAAGATATGGCCACTAATTTCCCTTCAGTGTACAGCTTCGAGGCCTACCTGCCAGCGCCGCTGCGGGACTTCCTACATTCCAAGATCAACCTTCTGCGCATCTGGCTGATCGAGAATGGCATGTTGGCCGACAGCAACGAAGGGAAGGGCGAGTCGCGACTGGTCAAAGCCGCACGCGAGGCGCACGACTCGGTAGTCAACGACGTCAACTCCAAGACCCGCGCCCTGGACGAGGAGAAGCGCGACCTTGAGAAGGACTATGGCGTCGACGACATCTTCCGCTACCTCAAGGGCAAGTGTGTCTCCACAGAGGTCGGAGAGTACGAGTACGAACTCTGCTGGCTTGATAAGACCAGCCAGAAGAGTAAGAAGGGTGGCGGGCGCACGACCATGGGCAAGTTTGACCGCATCGATTTCGACGAGGCGGACGAGGACGAACGCCACGACGGCAAGGGTCTTGGCCGGGGTAAGCGAATCGTGCTACGCTACGAGGACGGACAGCACTGCTGGAATGGGCCCAACCGGAAGACCGATGTGTGGCTTGGCTGTGCAGAGACCGAGGAGTTGTGGCGTGTAAGTGAGCTGGAGAAGTGTGTGTATAAGATGGAAGTAGGTACACCGGCGGCATGTGAGGAGCTTGTCGACCCGGGCCATGTCAAAGATGAGCTGTGATGAATAAAACAGAAAGGGGTTTTGATGTTGGCCATGTCAGGTAGCTTAGCTTGCCATGAACCGGCCCAGACAGAGTCTATGATCAACGATGTCAAAAGCCTACTCAAGAGGAGACAATTATCTTCCGAGACGGGAAACTGTGGGTGGATATGTGGTATCATTGGGTGCTGCTCCAAACTCTCAATTCCATCCTCATGACATGTCTGCGTATCATCTGACTACCTCGCTCCTCTTATATCCGTCCACCATTCTCCTCCGTTTATTCCTCTCCTCCTGCTCTGCCAACACCTTGGCCGTTAGAGAAGCCGTCATCGAGTTGTTGATGCGACTGGAGATGTCCCCCTTGTTCTTGTCCGTCTTGCCACTGGCCTTCGTGTCCTTGTTCTTCTGGCCCTCACTACCATTATCCTTTGCAGCATCCTCCGCCTTCCGCTTCTTCTTGCTGGCACTCTTGTCCTTCTTCAGACTATGTGTCAAACCTAGCGTCTTCAGCTCCTCGAGCCGCTTCGCCGACTTGTCGACCTCGGCCTCGTCGATGGGTAGTATTGGAACGACATCCCGCTCCTGAAAGGGCTCGCTGCACTCAGGACACCGCTTTTCAACCTCGGCTTCAGTAACTTCCCTCATGGCCACATCGGTAAACACATGACCGCACGGCACCACGTACACCGCCTTCGTCGCAGCGCCCAGCTCCTTCAGACTGACGGGACAGGCGCGGAACTCGCGCCCCTTCTCGTCCTTGCGCAGCATGAACTTCAGCTTCACCACGTCCTTCAGGCTCTTGATATCCGTGCGCGCAAACTCGAGCTCCTGCGTCTCGGGAATGGTGCTGTCGGGCGTCGGCATCAGGCATTGTAGTATGGCCTCGTAGTTGTACATACGACCCCGCCAGTCCGAGACGGTGATGCCGGCATCGAGCGGCGAGGACGACAGCGGGCACATGGACCAGGCGTGCGACAGGGACTCGAGGGCTGTGGCTTTCTGCTCCGAGGCGGTGGGGAGGCGCGCGGCTTCTTTGACGAGCTCGCGGCGCCTTGGGATGGAGCCGCCGTCGTTGCCCATGATGGCGGTTTGGCTCGTGGATGACGCTGGGAGGATGGAGCGCTGGGTTGGTTCCTATCGCTTCGTAGATCTGAAAGAGAGTGACAGTGCGGATGAGAACCTGCCATATGGGAGGTAGCAAACCAGGAAGTGGTATGTTTGGGATATGCTATACAGGTATGGAGGGTCGGAATGGTTGTTGAAGTTGGAGGATGGATGAGTTGACTTCAATGTTCTCTGGAGTCTAGACTACAATTGGTAGTAAGGTATCGAGTACCAGGTACCTTGTGAGATAATCAGCCGATAGATGGCGCACGACAAGATAAAGCCGTGCCCCGCTAAATTAGGTCCAACAACGGCTTTCACCTGCATAAAGCCGATAGACAGTGCGCCCACTTGTAACTTTACGGTATGGCTAACTCTAACCGCCTAACGTTCTAGCAGAGTTCAGATAATCATAGCGCTAGCATTAGCTATGAGGACCCGCGAGCTCTACTGTGCGTTTCTCACACTGTACGTCATCTTGCGCGCATTGTGGGTGCACCTGTGCAGTGCTGCCAGTGCATCTCGTGAGCTTCACAGCTTCGCCGAGTCCACCAACCGCTGCTTACCACCTTACCTCCTTTCCAACCGCCCGCGGACTGACACCCCAAAGCCAGGCGAGCTACAGTGGCTGTGAGCATCATCACCGCTTCCAACACCGCCTACAACGAGGCGCTTCGACCACACCTGCTCCTCTGCTCACTCCTTGAACCTTCCTCTGTGTGCTGCCTCTTCTTGCGATCCAGCATCGCAAGCAATCTCCTGCACCCTTCATGCAGGTGTAACTCGTCCCCTGACGCTGTTCGACGCGGCTGAAGGTCCTCCTCGTCGTTGCCCGCCATGTCGCAACAGCAGGGCCTGGCCCTCGAGGCCCTGGATTCCATCACGAAGGACCTCAAAATAAAGTGTGCACCCTCTACTCCCTCTACTCCCTCTACTGCTACTGCCGCCGTTGCGACCCCACAAGACGACCTATTCTGACGCCTATGACAGGGCTCCCTCGACTGCCTCGCAAGCGGCTACCGACGAGGTTCGAAAGCGAGCTGCCGTCCAGCTGCGGGATCTAGTTGCTGTCTGCTATAGAGGTATGCGCTTCTCTGTTGCGTTCCGTTCCCATTTCCATAATCATAACCATAGCTATTTGGACACTGCAATAGATGCCAGCACTTTGCTTCATGCTTCATGCTTCACAGTTTGAACCCGGCTGACCCTATACTACCAATAGACTTCACAGCCGAGCAGTTCAACAACTTCTACAGCTCCGTTAATACTAAGATCACGACCTTGATACTCCATGGCAACGACACGTCGGAACGCCTCGGCGGCGTCTATGCCCTCGATGCCCTGGTCGACTTCGATGGTGTCGACGTTACTGCAAAATATACACGCTTTACTGCGAACCTGAAGCACGTTCTAAGAGGCAAGGACACCATGCCCATGCAGCCTGCTGCCATAGCACTGGGAAAGCTGTGTAGACCTGGTGGTTCGCTCATCTCAGAACTGGTCGAGTCCGAGGTCAAGACCGCGCTGGAGTGGCTCCAGTCCGACAGAATAGAGGAGAAAAGATACAGTGCCGTTCTTATCCTCCGCGAGCTAGCCCGGAGCGCCCCTACCCTGATGTACGCCTATGTCGGTCTGATATTTGACCTGATCTGGGTCGGTCTTCGAGATCCGCGACAACTCATTCGGGTTACGTCCGGCGAGACGGTTAGTGCCTGTTTCCGCATCATTCGAGAGCGAGACCAGGAGATGAAGAACGCATGGATGAGTAAGATGTACACCGAGACCCTGGCCGGCCTCAAGATCAACACCATCGAACACGTCCATGCATCACTTCTTGTTCTCAAGGAGCTACTGGAGCAGGGTGGCATGTACATGCAGGAACATTACGAGGAGGCCTGTGAGATCGTCTACCGCCACAAGGACCATCGAGATGGGGCCATCCGCAAGACTATCGTCACCCTGGTCCCGGACCTGGCCAATTATTCCCCTACCCAATTTGCCCACACCTACCTTCACAAGTTCATGTCCTATCTGTCTGGCATGCTGAAGAGGAAGGAGGAGAGAAACGACGCCTTCTACGCCATTGGCAACATTGCCAACTCGGTGAAGAGTGCTATCGCGCCTTACCTCGACGGAGTCATCGCATACGTTCGAGAGGGTCTTAGTATCCAATCTCGAAAACGAGGTCCCGTCGATGCCGTCTTCGAATGTATTAGTAGGCTCGCAGTGGCCGTCGGTCAAACTCTGAGCAAATACATGGAGGCCCTACTGGATCCTATTTTTGCCTGCGAGCTTACCACAAAGCTGACGCAAGCACTGGTTGATATGGCCTTCTACATACCGCCAGTGAAGGCAACCATCCAGGAGAGGCTCCTCGATATGCTCAGTAAGGTCTTGTGTGGCGAGCCCTTCAAACCTCTGGGAGCTCCTACACCAAATACGCTCTCGTCTGTCCCCATCATCCCCAAAGACGCCAGAGATCCCCAAATCTACGAGCATCGAAAGGCCGAGGTGAAGCTTGCTCTGAACACATTGGGCAGCTTCGACTTCTCAGGTAAATGGCAATCCAAATCCTCTACAACGTGGGCAACACAACGTGGTGCCTCGTGTAGTGTATACGATAACAAGCTGACATTGATTAAAGGTCATGTTCTGAACGAGTTCGTCCGCGATGTAGCTATCAAATACGTCGAGGACGATGATCCCGAGATCCGTGAAGCAGCCGCCCTGACCTGCTGCCAACTCTACGTACAAGACCCGATCGTCAACCAAACCAGTTACCACGCATTGCAGGTCGTCGGAGACGTCATCGAGAAGTTGCTGACCGTAGGTGTCTCCGATCCGCAACCAAACATACGACGCACCGTGCTGGCGGCCCTTGACGAGCGCTTCGATCCCCATCTTGCCAAGGCAGAGAACATTCGGACGCTGTTCTTCGCCTTGAATGACGAGGTGTTTTCCATCCGAGAGGTAGCCATTTCTATCATAGGACGCCTGGCGCGCTATAACCCTGCTTATGTCATTCCATCACTGCGAAAGACACTGATCCAGATGCTCACCGAGCTTGAGTTCTCTGACGTGGCACGCAACAAGGAAGAGAGCGCCAGACTCCTCAGCCTCCTGGTACAGAATGCTCAGGGACTTATCAAGCCCTATGTCGAGCCCATGATCCAAGTGCTTCTTCCCAAGGCTGATGACCAGAATTCGGCAGTTGCCGCCACGATCCTCAAGGCCCTCGGCGAGCTTGCAACCGTCGGCGGAGAAGACATGCTCCCACACAAGGACAAGCTGATGCCCATCATCATCGACGCATTGCAGGATCAAAGTTCTACAGCTAAGCGTGAAGCAGCGCTGCACACACTAGGCCAGCTCGCCAGTAACTCTGGATATGTGATCGACCCGTATCTGGAATACCCGCAGCTACTGGAACTTCTGCAGAACATCTTTCGAACCGAACCACAGCGTGGGCCTCTGCGCCAGGAAACCATCAAGTTGATGGGCATCCTAGGCGCTCTAGACCCCTACAGACATCAGGTATATGCCCTCCGTTTCCCCCTTGATCGTATGTTGATGGTATTGGGGAGTGGAGAAAGATTCGTGAAGGCTAATTAGTGTGATGAACAGCAAGTTGAAGAGCGCGCGCCTGACGCGAATCGGCGTGTCGAAACCAATCGCATGACCGACATATCGCTGATGATGACAGGCCTCACCCCCTCGAACAAGGAGTACTACCCAACTGTGGTCATCAACGCCCTGTTGAACATCCTCAAAGACCAGTCCCTCGTTCAACACCATTCTGTTGTCATCGAGGCAATCATGAACATCTTCCGTACCCTCGGACTTGAGTGCGTCTCCTTCCTCGACCGCATCATTCCCGCATTCTTGCTGGTCATAAGGGGCTCCCCTCCCACCCGTCTAGAGTCGTACTTCAACCAGTTGGCAGCGCTAGTCAGCATTGTGAGACAACATATCAGGCCGTTCCTACCGTCCATTGTGGAGATACTTCAGGAGTATTGGGATACATCAGCATCGCTTCAGAGTACGATACTGTCCTTGGTGGAAGCAATTTCCAAATCGCTGGAGGGCGAGTTCAAGATTTACTTGGCTGGTCTTTTGCCCATGATGCTCGGTGTCTTGGAGAAGGATTCGTCGACTAAGAGGACACCTTCTGAGAAGGTCTTGCATGCATTCTTGGTCTTTGGATCAAGCAGCGAGGAGTATATGCATCTTATTGTCCCCGTTATTGTCCGGACGTTCGAAAAGCAGGGCCAGCCATCGTTCCTCAGAAAGTCGGCTATCGAGACCATTGGCAAGATATCCCGCCAAGTCAACCTCAATGACTACGCCGCCAAGATCATCCACCCGCTGGCAAGGATCCTCGCCAGCGGCGAATCGTCATTGCGAGTGGCGGCACTGGATACGCTGTGCGCACTCATACAGCAGCTTGGTAAAGACTACCTGCATTTTGCCGGCACTGTCAGCAAGGCCCTTCAGGCGAATCAGATTCAGCACCAGAACTATGATCTTCTGGTCAACAAGCTACAGAAAGGGGAAGCGCTACCAGCGGACTTGAGCTCGGAGGCGCGCTTTCTCGACCAAGCAGACGAGCCGGCTTTCGCCGAGCTGGGAAGCAAGAAGCTGGAGATGAACGCTATACACCTGAAAGCGGCTTGGGACACGAGGGGCAAGTCGACCAAAGAGGATTGGCAAGAATGGTTGCGTCGGTTCAGTACTACGCTGCTGACCGAATCCCCCAACCATGCCCTGCGTGCCTGTGCCAATCTCGCCAGCGTCTATCTCCCTCTTGCACGCGAGCTGTTCAACTCGGCCTTTGTCTCGTGCTGGAGCGAGCTGTACGAGCAGTTCCAAGACGAGCTCATCCAGAACATTGAAAACGCCATCAGATCCGAGAATGTTCCTCCGGATCTACTCGGTCTTCTTCTCAATCTTGCTGAGTTCATGGAACACGATGACAAAGCTCTCCCCATCGATATCAGGGTCCTCGGTAGGGAAGCCGCCCGTTGTCATGCCTATGCGAAAGCACTCCATTATAAGGAGTTGGAATTCCTGCAAGATCAAAGCGGGCCGGCAGTTGAGGCGCTGATCGTGATCAACAATCAACTCCAGCAGTACGATGCAGCCATTGGTATCCTCCGTAAGGCACAGCTCTACAAGGACGGCATACAGCTGAGAGAAACCTGGTTTGAGAAGTTGGAACGTTGGGAAGAAGCTTTGGCCTTCTACAATAAGAGAGAGCAAGAAATTCCTGCCGATCAAGCAACCCCAATCGACATTGTTATGGGCAAGATGCGTTGCTTACACGCCCTCGGCGAATGGGACGCTCTTGCCAGCCTGACGGGCACTACCTGGGCAAACTCGTCACCCGAAATCCAGAGACGCATTTCAGGTCTAGCTACTGCTGCTGCTTGGGGATTAGGCAAGTGGGATTCTATGGACAGCTACCTGCAGACGATGAAGCGGTACTCCCCCGATCGCTCATTCTTTGGAGCGATATTGGCGCTCCACCGGAATCAGTTCCGGGAGTCCGCAGCCTGCATTCAACAGACACGGGAAGGTCTCGACACCGAGCTGAGTGCGCTCGTAAGCGAATCCTACAATCGTGCGTACCAAGTGGTCGTTCGTGTGCAGATGCTGGCCGAGCTCGAGGAGCTCATCGTCTATAAGCAGTCAGACGAGAAGAAGAAGTCCACCATGCGACGGACATGGGAGACTCGCCTCAAGGGATGTCAGCGGAATGTGGAAGTGTGGTCGCGTATGCTCAGACTCCGCGCTCTGGTGATCACTCCGTCGGAGAACATGCACATGTGGATCAAATTTGCCAATCTGTGCCGGAAGTCCGGAAGGATGGGCCTGGCTGAAAAGTCTCTCAAGCAGCTCATCGGTACTGACCAGGCCTTAGAGTCTATAATACCGTACTGGAGCCAAACCGACCAAGCTCAGCGGTCCTCGGCCCCAAGAATCCCTCCCCAGGTCGTCTACGCTGTCTTGAAATTCTACTGGGAGTACGGCCAACATGCCAACATGCGATCGACTGGCCACGCGGAGAAGACTCTGTCCTGTCTGCGGGAGTTTACTGCCGACACAGCTCAGGCTCTCGAGATATCTAGAGACTCTATGCAGGCACCGCCAAACGGTGCAGATTCATTGAGCGACTACGGTTTTCACAACGGCGCTGACCCGGCCATATCCAATCCTCGAAGCCACAAAACGCTACAGGGCCAGACAGTGCTGCTTGCTAAATGCTATTTGAGGCAAGGAGAGTGGCAGGTCGCTCTTAACAAGAGCGATTGGCAGCACCGTAATGTCCAAGACATCCTCACGTCCTACGCGAAGGCCACTCAATACAACCCCAACTGGTACAAGGCATGGCATGCTTGGGCTCTGGCAAACTTTGAGATCGTCCAGGCCCTCATGTCACCGACAGACAGGCCCGCCCCCAGACCAGACTCGGCCGTTATCATCAATCACGTCGTACCTGCAGTCACTGGCTTCTTCAAGTCAATTGCTCTCTCTTCAGGGAGCTCTCTTCAAGATACCCTTCGATTGCTCACCCTGTGGTTTGCCCATGGCGGTAGCGGTGAGGTCAACACAGCAGTCACTCAAGGCTTCGGCACTGTTAGCGTCGATACGTGGCTTGAGGTGATCCCTCAACTCATTGCGCGCATCAACCAGCCCAATACGCGCGTGCGACAGTCAATCCACAACCTGCTGGCGGATGTTGGTAGGAACCATCCCCAGGCTTTGGTTTACCCCCTCACCGTTGCCATGAAATCCGCCCAGGGCTCGAGGCGATCAAAGTCGGCGGCACTCATCATGGACAGCATGCGAGCTCACAGCGCCAAGCTCGTCGAGCAAGCCGATATCGTCAGTCATGAGCTCATTCGCGTGGCTGTACTGTGGCACGAGCAGTGGCACGAGGGTCTCGAGGAAGCATCTCGGCTGTGGTTCGGGGACCACAACATCGAGGGTATGTTTGCCACTCTGGGACCGCTGCACGAGCAGCTCGAAAGAGGTCCGGAGACGTTGCGCGAAATCAGCTTCGCACAGACGTTCGGCCGCGATCTCACCGAAGCGCGAGAGTGGTGCCGACAATATGAGAGCAGCCGCGATGTCAGCGATCTCAATCAAGCATGGGATCTGTATTACCAAGTGTTCCGTCGCATCGGCAGGCAGCTTCCCCAGATGACCTCTCTTGAACTTGCCTACTGCTCCCCCAAGCTACTGAGCGCGAAGAATCTGGACCTCGCCGTGCCCGGCACGTATCGCAGTGGCGCCCCAGTCGTGCGAATAATGTCGTTCGAGACGACATTCAGCGTTATCAACTCCAAACAACGACCCCGAAAGCTGAACACGACCGGCAGTGACGGTAGCTCATATGCCTTCTTGCTGAAGGGCCACGAAGATATCCGACAAGACGAACGTGTCATGCAGCTGTTTGGTCTTTGCAACACCCTCCTCGCAGATGATTCCGAGTGCTACAAACGGCACCTCAACATCCAAAGGTACCCGGCCATTCCTCTCAGTCAGAATTCTGGTCTCCTCGGGTGGGTGCCGAACAGTGACACCCTCCATGTGCTCATTCGCGAGTATCGTGAGAGCCGGAAGATTCTGCTCAATATCGAACACCGGATAATGCTGCAAATGGCGCCAGACTATGACAACCTTACCCTGATGCAGAAGGTCGAGGTGTTTGGCTACGCCTTGGACAACACCACCGGTCAAGATCTGTACCGCGTCCTTTGGCTGAAGAGCAAGAGCTCAGAGGCTTGGCTGGACCGACGCACCAATTACACGCGCAGCTTGGGTGTGATGAGCATGGTCGGGTACATTCTCGGCCTCGGTGACCGGCATCCCAGCAACCTGATGCTCGACCGTATCACTGGCAAGATCATCCATATCGACTTCGGTGACTGCTTCGAGGTTGCCATGAAGCGAGACAAGTATCCCGAACGTGTGCCGTTCCGTCTGACAAGAATGCTCACGTACGCCATGGAAGTTAGCAACATCGAGGGCAGTTTCCGTATCACCTGTGAGCATGTTATGCGTGTGCTCCGTGAGAACAAGGAGAGTGTCATGGCGGTACTTGAAGCGGTAAGTTTTCACACCGAGTCCTCATTACTATCAAATCGAACAAATACTAACGAGGTGGCACAGTTCATCCACGACCCTCTGCTTACATGGCGTCTGACCAACGCTGCCTCTCCCGTAGGCCCCAATTTCCGCTCCGAACGGGAATCAGCTCTCGGTGCTGCAGCCCAGCGCGGCCGTCGACCCAGTATCCTCGAGGCCGAACACCCGCCCTCAGAATTCCTTGCTGCACAACAAGCAGAGGCGCAGCTCCAAGGTGGTCCCCCTGGCTCACGTGCCAGGGCACGCACAAACTCGAGTCTTAATGGCGCGACTCAGGCTGACGGCGAGACGGCGGAGATGCAGAACGCCCGCGCCGTCGAGGTGCTTGATCGCGTGAACCAGAAGTTGACGGGGCGCGACTTCAAGCCAAACGAAGAGCTGGAGGTGGTCCAACAGGTCAACAAGCTGATCATGGAAGCGACGAAGCTGGAGAATCTCTGCCAGCACTATATTGGTTGGTGCTCGTTCTGGTAGGCGCTTCGAGTAGGGGTATACAGGTGGGACCAAGGGCTACGGGACTGCACTGTTCCCGAAGAATCAAGAATCTGTTTGCTTGTCTTGGTCTGCGTGCTGACTTCGCGAGGCTTCGCACAGGGGTTTCCATGGGAGCAAGGGATGGTTATTTTGTATCTTGGCCGGCGTTGCATGATGTAAGCCGGATGGGAACACGGGCAAGGCCCAACATGTATTTTATTTTGGCCCTGACGTCTCGCGTGGGCTATTTGCTGTGACTAATTTGGGTACTGGACATTTCATGATGGCTGTGGCTCGCCAAGGTGGTGAAAAGTGTGCCCTTTAGACCTTGACCTGATAGGCATAATAAGGATCACACCCTTCGGCTGGCGCTTGCGTTCTTGGCCATGGATGGGTGCGACGTCGGCTTCTCGAAGTCTAGGTCAACAGACATCGCATCAGGTTCGGGTCACTAAGTGTTCATGTCACGATATCCATCAGTCACACGGTGCACTGGCAAACCAATTGTATTCGGCCTCCAAAGCTCTGTTGAGAATATATTCATTGCAATACCGTTTAATCATAACTTCATCTGCCTGTGCGGGTATCATAATACTGAAAAGAAAGCGGCTGCCTCGAGCCCCCTGATGAAGAAATATATAATGCAAATGCGGCATCTAGTCGTATAGGGCCCATTCTGATGCCATGCAATCGTATGGCTTCTCTTCGACGACGGGGGCCGGGGAGTTGGTGATGGTGTCGGTGGCCTTGTTGGTGACGTCGATAGTCTTGGTCTCGCTGAAGTCGCGGTACTGGCTATAGGTCGACGACCATGGCTGGCGCGGCGATTCCTTGGGGCACCAGAACTCATTCGACTCGGGGTGCAACGGCGAGAAAGATCCTGGGCTTCGGCGCATGGCCGAGTGTACCGGTAGCTGGACGACTTCACCAATATCGGAATCGGAATCGGAGTCGTACTCTTTGATCTGCCCCTCCTCTCCATAGCCTTCAACGCTGACTGGGGATAGCTCGGGGCTTAGGTAGTATTCGACCGGCGTTTGAGGGACCTCCTGTCTGTATGGCGAATGGTGCTTCTCAGGGCTCACTTGTCGCTGTCGCTGTCGCTGTCGCTGCTCGGGCGACGGCGTGGAAGGAGGAGAGCAAACATAGATCGCAGTGGGAACATCCCACATAGGACCAGGATGAGGGGTGCGAGGAGTCAGTTTCTGTCCCGAGAGGATGGCCTTCTTGAAATCTTCCCAATCCAGCCAGCCCATGTCGAGTCGCTTCTGCAGGATGGCGGAATACTCGGGGCTCTTCTCCTTGATGGCGTTGATGGCGATGCTCAGGGCCGCCACGCCCGGGATGTGGCAGTCGTTGTCGGATAGCTGCTCGTGGAGGGAGAAGAAGGTGGTTAGGAACTCCTTGCAGGTGTACTTGGAGGCCGGGGGCAGGGTGATGAGCTGCGTCGTCATGGCGGCGGTGGTGCGCGCGGCGTCTTGCTTCGCGATAGTCTCCTCGATGTCGCGGAGGTAGTCGACCGGGTCCAGCGAGGGCTCGCAGGTCTTGGCGATGGTCTCATGGAGGGGTGATGATACGGAGAACTGGAGCGCGTGGAGAGCGAAGGCGCGGTTCTTCTCCCACTCGGCGACAGCGTGGGCGTCGGAGACAGGAGGCGCCGGGACGTGGCCCTCGAGGAAGGGGATGAGGCCGTAGTAGGCGAAGTTCTAGCCGGTGCTGTCGCACCATTCGTGCATGTTCTCGCTTCCTGTTAGCTTCACCATGGAAGCGTTGGCGAAGGTGGGCGACATTGTGGTGGTGGGTGTGCGGTGGTGCGATGTGGAGTAATGCGGAGTGGTTGTGTGGGAAGTAAGGAAGATTTGGGCGTCTAGGTAAGGTTGTAATCGAGTGACGCAGAGTTTTTGTCGTTGAAAGTGAAAAGTGTGAGGTAGGATGGAAAGTCACAGTGGTAAGGTGTGCAGATGGAAGTTTATGATGGAGAAATACATTGGGCTGCTGCTAAAGTGATGGGTGTGCAGATGATGGTTTGTGAGGGGAAATACCTTAGGCTGCTGCTGCTGCTTTCAACGGACTTGGTGGTCAAAGTGCCCTTGGTATTTCAACTGACTGACAGAGCAATGTTGGTACGCTGAACCCTCAGAATAAGCGCACAGGAATAAGCATCGAGGATGGCTTTCTAGATATAAGCTACTTATTTCAGTGTGTTTATTCCATGAGTACGAATATCTTCAACGGTGTCCAGAAAGTGCATGCGACATGCCGGACAGTGACTTATAGGGGTCGACTGTATATAGGTCATCAAGGTTCGGCGACACATATATATCGAGGGCCCTAGAGGCAGCAAAAGTAAAGGGAATTCAATCCAATTCATTCGCTGGGTTCAGCTACCTTAAGCTATCATACATGTAGTTGTGTAGTCTTCCGGCGTCGGTGCCCTACTTGGATTCTTCCGACTTCTGGCGTTTACGGTTTGGCTGGACCGCGAGTCTCCTCCTGCAATGAACTCGTCTCTGTGGGTGGAGCGCGAGGACTCGCAGATGGTGTCGACGCCGATGGTGATTGCAGCTTTGCGGCCACGCTGGGCATGGCTCTGAATTCGGCCATATGCAATTCCCACGGCATTAGCTGCAATGTCGACGCTTTTCACGTAGTCTTCGTAGACTTTAGGCCAATGAGCCTTGTGTCCATGTATGAAGAGACTGGTCGCGACGGCATCTGTCAATCCGCTACCCATAGCCGTGAGCTCGTCGTAAAGGTTGAGGAAGTCGGCTATATATTGGTATCGTTCTTCGTCAGAATCGGGGGCTTGCAGCTCGACAAGTTCGAGGTTCTCGGCCACAACGATGGATTTTATCTGCTTTAGTAGAGTTGCGACAATCATGTGAAAGATCGCCTTTGGGTTGTCCTCGGTCGTCTCGTTAAACCCGCTGGAATTGAGGCTAGATCGCATGTTTGGAGCGAGAGAGTTCCAGAGTTTGTGCTTGGCTAGGTCTCTATTACGCTGCCACTCCTCGATATCGGCTTCGACGACGGGCTTGGGGACTTCTGATTCGATGAATTCGAGGAGACCCTGGGCCTTCAGATGTCTCTTGATATTCTTGCTCCATCTGGTGAGTCTGTACCACCCGTCGAGCTTGACAAGAGCGGCTTTGGTCTTGCCCATGATTGCGTGGGGATGTTGCTACACGGGTCAATTAGCAGACTGCTTGTAGGGAAGAGGAATATCATCGTACGTCTAGACAAGTTGGGTGGTCGCGGTGATAACAGAGATGGACTTGGAGCACGGTGTAGATGATGTGGTGATGATGGAGGATGGTTGATTGCAATGGAACCAAGGACAAGACTTGGAGGTCCAAAGGTAGCAGATGGAGATGGAAATTTGTAGCAGGCACTTGCGACCCAACGTGATTGTCAACCAAACGAAGTGTGCGTTCATCATAAATGGAATGAGCATCGAAGATGACTTTGGCAGCTACGAGCTACTTATTACGGTATGCTTATTCCACGAAGCCACACAGCGAACAAGCAACATTGAACCAGGGCAACAAGTTCTGCTCGTTCTCTCATCTTTAAGCTGTTATGCACTATTTCTGGGACAGGCCGGTCCGGGATTATCCCACAGATGTTACAAGCTTCTAAAGGTCCATGATCTCCGCTGTCCCCCAGTGGCTCAACTACAACGAAAGAGCTCAACTATTGCTATATCGTCCTGGAGTCATCCTCTTAGACTGCATTACGGGCACTGAGCGGGCAACACTTCCGAGCACGACGCTCGAGGCAGTCTGGGGAACAGCCAGCACCAGATATCAACCGGCACACTGGAACTAGTTGTCGTAAAAGTGGCTATATTGCAGTTAACTCTCGATGAGAAAATACCGAGGAATATTCAGCCTAGGAACATAGAGCGCCCAATCTCGCTTTGACTGAGGGTGTGATGAAAACGTGCGAGGACTTAGACACATACATTTTGATTAATCTTGTTTAACCGGACCTAGCTATTCGGAAAGGCAAGATATAAGCTGCTAAGCTAGAGTACGTTCCCATAGCCATATCGCAACTGTCGCAATGCGACTGCGGATGAGTCCAGGAATAAACTTGTTGTTGTACGTTAAGAATAAGGAAACTATGAAGCTAGATCTGGTATGTATAAGGGTTGATCATGTGGAGCTATCAATATGTAGTGCCGCTCAGGAACAGTTACGAGAAGCAGACCAGATATAATCAAAGTCACAGTGGATTAGCATATATGTTTCACATATAAGGTAGGCAATAATGATATTATCAACCGCAACGGGTAGCCGAGACTTGATGCAGTATACGGCATTCCGTTGCCAACTATATCCCTGGTAAGTTATGGGCTGGAGAGGGTTGTGCCCTTCGCAAGACAGCGTCCCTTTAGTATTTGCTCGCGAACTGCCCGCTGAAACAAATGTCAATTGGCAGTATCGGATTCGGTATCCCGGCAGGTGGCACGGCACAACACGACAAGACATATACACAGTAACAGGTTCGAATAGGTACTGTCAGCGCTTGTTTCCCTTCTCTCCGGCTTCTCAAACCGCCATGACAACCTATGGGGTATGTTTCCGGCTCTCCTATGACAAGATGAGTAAGATGCCCAGCCTCCAGGCAACGTGCTCACGGAGCATGCAAGAGCCAATACGCTCCCAGCGAATAGAAACCTGGTAACGTGCACAAGCAACGAATCGATGTGGTGTGAGTTTCCGTTCCAGATTCAGCGACATGCTTCGGATGGGCGCAGCGTGCCGAGCAGTTTGAAAGTATCACGCCAAAAGAATGAGCAGGATATGCCCCGTCTTACTTGTTCTGTAACTACCCGGCTGGTAACCCGCTTTATGTGACACGTATGACCCAGAACGGAATCACATGCATATCGGGGTGTAAGGATCTTGCTGGAGCCTAGACCATGCGCCTGTATCAACCACTGACTTGCCCGCGCGTCTTCTCGAGTGAAGCCGGCGTACGTGGACGTATCTATATATGATCTCATCTGGGTGACAATAGCTGATCTCGTCAGTGGCCTCTGGAACTGCCCAATCAAGAGCGCGTCTCTTGAGCAGCACGTGGTCCACGAGATGTCGCGCCGAGGCAACAAGACGTTCGCCACGTCTAGCCACAAGAGATGAGCGAAGACGTGATGACCTGTCGCATGCATCTCTGGTCTCGGACTTCCAGAAACGGACATCCCTGGAGCCTGGAGGTACGATGCATGACACGAGCCGTTGCGTATTACGGGTGCACATCAATCTCTATGTGATAGTAAGCGAACGGAAATGCAGGAGGAGGAAAGGGGAATCCTATTCAAGAAGCGGTTGCACACCGCCTTTGGCCAGGGTCGAGGAAGAGCACGACGGTGAGCTGCCAAGGGATGAGAAGAATAGTGCCGATTTGAGATATAAAGACCACTTCTCCTGAGAACTGAGACCCTCGTGCGCCAGTGGGCAAGCGATCCTTTTTATATCCGACTCCGGGGTGCACACCAGCCGAGTTGAGGCTCAAATCATCCGATCGTCCAGCAGACACAGCCGCCCACCTGAAACTGTACCAGCCTGCTCGAGTAACCTCAAACCCCAGTCCCTCGCCAAAGCCAACCATCGTATGCGGATCCTCGGCGGGTCTGTACCAGGTAGGGACTCCTCTCACCCTCGACCATCTCTACGTACGGCGTCGGCCGAGACACGGCTAGCTAGCTTACATATTTCATCTTGACTCAGGCTTATCCGAACCTCGTACAATCCACAGCCGCCGGCAGCCATGTGTCGCAACATAAAGACACTCTCGGTCTGTCCGACGTGTAATAAGCAGCTGTCGGAGAATACCAACAAGCAGTGGTGTCGCGATGCGCGGCGTCACGGCCACTTCGGCCGGTGTAGCACGGGTGTCCGCAAGTCCGAGGACGAGTTCCGCGGTGAGGAGTGCAAGGGCTGCGCCGAGGTGCGGGAGAACGCGATGAATGAGCTCGATCTCGAGGACTTTGCCGAGAAGAGACTGGGTTGGCATCCGTCAAAGGGGAGAGGCCAGGCTCCTGAGGATAGTGACGGCGAATATGGATATGGCTGGTAGACTTGCTTGTCCTTGATACCCTACTTCAAGCGCGGTGAGTGAGTGGGTGACCAAACAGCTTTGTTGTTGGTAGAGGTTGGTTGGGATGTGTCCGATGCATGGATCTGTACGCTTTGCTCGAATGATGATAGTATCATTGAAGCAAGCTTGCCTTTCTGACGCCTCTCCGTCCCGTTTCTTGAATAAACTGCCCATGTATTCACGCTCGAGTAGCTTTCATGGGCATCCAAGCGCGCGTCGTACATGTCTCCGAGCGCGACCATGGTAAGAGTGCTACACGTTATGCTCAATGACATAGTCTGCCTACCCGCGCCTCCAAGCGGCTTCCAAAGGGTGGGCTTCATGGCGCCTCTGCCAAGGCTTAGGAAAGGGTGATAAGAAAGAGTAAAGAGGAGGAGGATATTTGCCCATCCAAAAGACACCGTCTCTCAAATAACAACTTGGAAACAAGAAGTTAAAGTCAAAGGACTCGTGCTAAAAACTTGAAATGCCCTTAAAGTATCAGCAGGGCAAGCCACTTGAAGACAAAGTCCATAGGTATACCTCTAAGTCTCTTAATCGCGCCGAATAAGATGCCCTTGCCGCCTAATTCCTCTCTCGCACCCTCCTTTTCATACTGCTCATGCAAAATTACGGGACCATGGCTGTGACAGGACTCGCACCCAGAAAAGTTAGAACCTGCTTTGGGTTCTTGAACCTGGAAGTCGTAACGGATGCAAGAGGCGGTCAGGTCGGCAGTAGGTAAGGTAGGAATAGACATGGTTACCGGGGTGGGACAGGAGCTGAAAATAATGGTTTGTCGTTGTAGGCCATTTCGATCAAAAGCAAAAACGAGCTGGCCCTCACAGACCAATCATTCACTGTAAATGACGACCATGACTTTTGGCGACCGGCGCCCACCCCCGGCTTGGAGTCTCGGACCAATGCGACAGCTCACAAGATCTGCAATGCAGCCTGCAAGACGCATGCTTTGCTGTCTCCTATCATGGAGGAGCTGGTCCAAGCAGGAATTGGCTGTGGGTCTGGCGGACGTTTTAATTAAATAAAACTCTTCTTATTATAAGACAAGGTAGTTGGCCTTGGCAAAGGCGTGGCTAAGAGGAGAAGTCTTAGACAGAAAGTGTTAGTAAATATTAAGAACAAAGGGCGGTAAAGTAGTTCGGCACGGTTTATCTTTACAAGTGATTTTATAAAGTACTTATGTAGATTAGAGTTTTTAATAACCTTACGTCTTACGTTTCCTTCAAGCTTTAAACTTATACTGTCGGTTTTAATCAAAGTGTTACTACCTCGCTTTAAATTGTTAGCACATTTTAACTTTTTTAAACGGGCTTTTCAATAAAACAAGTCGTAATATAGCTAATTTAAAAGATAATAAAAAGGTATAATGTAGATGACACGCGAGCTGCAAATACAAGCGAGCTGCGAAGTGGGGCTTCTATATAAAAAAAGTCGGTGCGCTAATTTTTAACTTCACAAAAAAAATCGGAAAGATCTCAGACGTTTTTTTAAGGTTTATAACTTGAAAAATACATTAATGTCACTTTTTCTAGGTTTATAGCTATTTTATTTCAAGATTTATTTTAAAATACGCTAAAACTACCCTTGTAAAAAGCCTTTTTAAGATGCACAGGCTATTAAATCAGTGAAAAACAATTGCTATATATCATTATTATCTATAGAAAAGACTACATTAAATGCAGCAGGTCCGAGATTTTTCAGATTTTGTTAAAAGGTAGACGCACGGTTACACACCGACTTTTATATATAGAAGCCCCACCTCATAGCTGTGACGGCCTGCATGGACCTTCCCACATGACAAGCCGATACCTCTCAATAAGGGAAGGATCTGACCGGAGGATTCCTCTTAAAGGGACAACCTCCAGCTATACCTAGCTTTCTCTGTTTTCCTTTCCTCTCTAGTCTTGATATTCTCGTCAATAGAGTAATTGCTGCTTGCTGCCGGCTATGTCCCAGCTCTTTAGTACGCTCGCTGTGACATTAGCTCGCTTGTATTCGCAGCTCGCTTATCATTTACGTTATATATAATATAAGGATTTATAAAAGGGGTTTATTAATAATAACGAGGAAATTATATTAGTAAATATAACTAATTGATTTAATATTTATGCGTAATATTAAACATTATTAAAAGTTATTACGATATAAATATAGCTTTATTTTCATACGATTTTTAGTAACAATCCGCTTAAAAATGCGGTTTTAATCAATGTTTTACTTTTTCTATACGACTTAAAATTGTAAAGTTATTCGTTATTATCATTATGGCTTTTAAAACTTGTTAAATTACCCTTTTATTACCCTTTCTTGCCATAATAATTAATATCAATCTAGTTAATCAAAACATAAAAGTACGTTATTTGACGTTGTTACGACCGTTATAACGTCGCAAATATCTATATACTTATATATCAATAGCCTTAAGCCGTACCTACTAGCATATATACGGACTGATATATGCGACGTTGAGGTGAAAGTACGACCGTGGAAAAACGTACTTTTGTCTTTAAGTGAAAAAAGTTAGGAGGTGCCAGCCATTTGGAGCGGGGCAGCGACACTTCGATTAAGAACGGCAGTAAGTTACATCTATCGGCCCGTTGATCTTCATATATCTACCCTTGTGGATCCAGTGCATGGACCCATATAGAGTATTCTGGTAACCCCACCAGATATGTTGGAGGTTACGGCTGCCTGGCAACCCTTTGTTGCCCCAGGTACCTTACCACTGTAATTTAGGTATTTAGATACATCTCGGATGGAATCCTTTCCATCCGACCTTTTAATCAAGTACCACCCAGACCACTGATAAATTACAACAAGACTTGTGATTTGTCAGCATCTGGAAAAGCTACCAAAAGGCACACCCTGCCTGCCTGCCTTCCTTCATGTTTCGAGAGTAGCTCGTAAGATAGGGACCAACCCAGGCAGGAGCTAACTAAGGTACCTTGACAACTCTGGTACGTGCACCCAACACTTGAGACAGCTGCAGGCGCTGCTGTTGTCCTGTACAGTGACGAGATCGATGCAGTGAATAAGAAATGCGGGCCACGGGTAAACCCCGCGCCAAAACCCCCCTGTACCCGGAACTTTAGGGGCTTTGGTAGCTGTGGCGATCGGCGGTAAGGGGTAGGTGCGCAAGCGCCAACAAATCTTGTAAAAATGCATCCTTCACGCCTTCCAACCTTCGTTTGTATCAAGTGCATTATCGTCCAGCATCCCGTCATCCAGCACTCGACCCGTTCACACATCGACCCTCACCGCCACAGGAGCGTCATGAGTCTCTCGACCGACGAGGCTCTCTAGATGCTGCCATTCATCCATCACTGAACAGGTACCTTAAGGCTTACAGGTCAACTCAGCCCTACCTACTCGAGTCTCGGGTCGGCCCCCAACAAACAGCCTAGGTTACCATCCATCGTCTTCCCATCTCAGGGTACCCAGGAAACGTAAAGGGAAAATTCATTACGGTCGCGCACGCCAAACTAGGTGAAGGTGAGCGGCCATCTTGAGGTGAGGCCGGACGAGCATCGATGTTCCAGACCAAAAGTCGTCCATCACATGCGGCCGTACATGCATGTACATAAGGTAGCCACGGCTCCTTCAAGCGGCTCACATCATAGCCAGGTAATTTACATGCCCACCCAAGTCAAGTCAAACCATCTCAATCTCGGCAACCGGCGAGGACACCCAAGATACCAACCAATCGTCGCTCATTTCACTCATGTACACATCGTCATCGACCCTCCATCAGCTAACACTTCCTCTCAGGGCTCAGCACCTCAACTCACACCCTTTCGTTCTTTTGGCCCTGTCCAGCCTGCCAGCTAGGATGGATCTATCGCAGGCTCAAAAGCTGCAACAGTCTTGGAACAGACAGAGAATGCTCATGATAGTACGCCATGACACGGAGCTCGCTCTCTACAGAATCCAGCTCGAGGAGGAGAAGCAGGCCGCCCGTGACCGCAATGAGCATGAGCTGGAGCAGTTCAGGATCGCCCTACCAGCCCACACATTTGAGACCATGTGTGTGCCTATGAGCCAGGGAAGTCTTTTACACGCGCTCCAGCAGATCGACCAGGCCTACGAGGAGCGCACTCGCCCTATCAAGGAAGCCCACAGGAGCGAGAAGGACCTGCACGAACACCGCAAACCTCCCCCCGCCAGACCAGCGGCAGACGAGCTGTCGGCACCATCGTCTGCTGGCTCTCCAGATATATCCAGTGCTCCGAAGTTGGAAGTCTACGCCAACGCCAACCTTCCATTTGCTCCTGATGGAGGGCTTCATATCTGTGGCCAGGACTACCCAACACCATCCTTGACCGTCTCTCCTACCATAACCCAGGACGAGACGCTACAGACACATCGGACATACCAGACACATCAGACACATCCGCCGCGGCATGGACAGCAGGCGGAGCCCTCCTCCCGTTCGCTCTGCTATGAGTCCGATGATGGCAACCAACGTTTGTTGTTTCGCTGTCGAATTGGGAAACGCAAAGCGTCGCCAGATGGACTGCCAGACCCAAAACGATTACGCATCGACACCTCGGCGAACGCTCTGCGCACGCCTCTTGCTACGTCATCGGTAGACGATAACCAGCAGCAAACTCGAACCATCACCTTCTCCGAAGTTTACCAGGATGGCAAGGCTAAACACAAGGATGCCATCGTAAAATGGCCAGCTGGAAGCCGTAAAGTGAGTACCGTGACGCGCTATCACTTACCGCTGTTCTCATGCTGCCTTTCGAGTTTCCTTCTCTTTCAGACTTTAATCCACCAAAAGCGTAACTCGAAGCTCTGCAATACCTCCAGCGTATTATACAAAAAAGGGCAACTGCTAACTCTTAATACCGCAGTGGTACATCCTCAAATGTGAAGAGCACGGAGTCCATTTTAAGGAACGGGCTGTCCAAGGTGCGGCCAAGCACCTGAGCGGTAAGCTTCATGGGTTCCCTGATCGAAATCAGGAAATGGCCGTCCGGACCCTTGGAATACACGTCGTCGACTGCAACGAACAGCGCGCTAGCATGAACAATCAGTCTGTCGCGGAAGCGTATGCGAACGGTTATACACCAGAGAATCCGGTAAGCGCCACGTAAAACCGCCCCCTACGAGAACAATTGACCAACTGAATTGCGTACAGTGGAAAAGGGGAAAGAGAACCAGGCCGGACTCTACTGGTACTCACGCGGCCTCTTCCCGCCCCGCCCTCATTTCCTCCACGCAGATGCCTGCATGCTCGTCACTTGAAAAGCGCTCGCCAGGCAAGAAGCTCAAGCCTGCCCTACCGCCTTTGCCGGGGGCAACAAGCTCTCCACAAAAGATATCAGGAGCAACCGAAATCCAGACAGCTGGGGTTACAAGCTTCCAGAGCATGGAAAACGATGCCCCTTTGCATACGGTAGCAAAGGCGCGGACACCCATTCAAGAGATACGACGCAAGACGCCAACGTCCTCTTCTCGGAAGCCTTCCATCCCAGCCGATGGGCTATATCATCCAAAGGTATTCCACATCTACCATGGACATTGGAGAGACGACGACCAAGTCTATCCAGTCATGATCCTCGGCTGGGGTGATCAAACTGAGGGTGGCCTCCAAAGGAACTCAAATCTTGCCGACACTGGTCTCCTTCACAAAGACTCGTCCCCGCCCAAATGCTACATCTACAGCGATGACGCTATTGTGGGTTGGGCGCCCGGGTACGAGGATGGAGGCCCGAAAGTCAAGTTGAGGAGATTCCCAGTCATGTTCTTCGACGACGGACAGACTGTGGCGTGGATCCCGGCTCGTGATTTAAGCAAATTCCCGCTCTATAAGCCCGATCCTCCGAAGAAAGCCGATCATCCCTTTCATGCGGCAAGGCGTTGGATAGCCGAGCGGGAGGGTTTTGGGGACTGGGAAGAACGCGAGGCAGCACGAGAAATGGGCAGACCAGGTCAGCAAGTCCGTTGCGAAAATGCCAAATTTTTAATTAGCTAATGAATCTGCAGAGAAAACGGCGCTTGTTGGGATGGGGCCCACTGTGTCCTCGGGCAATCCGGTGGACAAGGTCGAAAAGCCCGTGAGCCACGAGAACCTCGAGAACCACGAGGGTCGCGAAATGGATGTTAATTCCGACTCTGATGAATCTGTTGCATCGTCCACAGCCACCACTGAAACGGACAAGGAGCTTCGCGTATGGCGGGAAAAAGGCGGTAAAATACCTGGCGACGGGGATTATTCGGGCTCAGACGTCGACAGCAACTTAGATGAAGAAGAGATGGAGCTTGAGGGGGACAAACCAGACGCCCTCGGAAGGCGTTGGACGTTCTACCCCCTCCGCAACACAGAGAATACGAAGACTCCGTCAGAAGCACCGCCTGCCGGATCACTCGATCCCAGGCCTCGAATCGAGGTGACTACATCGATTCTAGAAGGTATGGCCTCGGCGCGCAAGCTTGCACAGCAGGCTTGCCTGCAGCCAGATACGTACTCACCATCGATGATAGGATCAGAAGCCCATACTTCCACGAAGAACGCCACGTCCAAGTCGAGACCCGTGTCAGAGGAGATTGCAACAACAAGCCAACCGTTCGATAGCAAGGCCACTAAGTCAAGGGAAGCTCTGCCAGACAAGGCAGACTCAAGTATCTCCGTTGCCGACGCAATGCCAAGTAGAAAATCATTACCCAACGATATTGAGCGCCTTCTTGAGATGACTAGCAACTCGTCCAAGGGCCTCGAACAAGAGGTGTCACCAAGTGGAATACCTCCGATTCATGACACATTATCGGGACTTAAACACGAAGACAAAATACGGTCAGCCGCGTCACTACCCCCGCGTGGCACTTATATGACAGAACATGCTGCGGCTAGAGCCAACAGTGTTCCTTCCCACGTGGTTGCCAGTCAAGTACAGTTGAAAACAGCCTCGGATGCTCCCGCTGCTGTAGACGAGAAGCGTGCTACCGTGACGGACACACCGGCAGACTTGCAAGCCAACGGAGCCTCCTCCCCGGTGGCCCCGTTAGAAGAGCGTGCCCCAAAGGTCGTCGACGACGCCCAAGCCGATGAGCATACGGTGACGGCCTCTGGCGGCCCGGATTCGAAGCTTGCCAATGGGGGCGAGACCGGAGAGACCATGCCCCTGACGCTCGAAGGACAAGCCCATATCGCAAGGCCCGATATCTTCAAATACGAACAATCCGGTCTTGAGGAGGCAAGTTATGAACAAGCACCGCCTCGAGTGCAGTCGCCCCCGAGATCAGCTACGACTGCGGAAGCAAGCTCACTGGATTCTGTGCCGAGTGCATCGACGCGTGGGCCGTTCCTAGGCGCTGCGGAATTTGAAGTATCGCAATACAGCCATGGTGACGTATCTTGGACTCGATGCAGTGGCGAAGCGTGCTTGAAACTCTTCTACAGCGGAGACAAAAACACAATGGGCACGGTGAGTTCCTCGGTAGAGATGACGATCGACCCGGCTATGATGGTGGGATTTTCGCGGGAACCCCTTTCCGGGTCGAATGGCAATAGCATGATATCGCTCGCGCCAGCAGGCGGTAATGGCCAGGCTGTGAAGCTCGTCTTTGATCGCAGCGAAGGAAGTCCGTTGGAGATTGGCAAAACCCAGTCCAGAAACTTCATCCGCTGGCTCCGGCGAGTGAACCCGAAGATCGGTTGCATAGGAACATAGGACACCAAAAACCAACACCACAGACTTGGAGAGCGGGACGAACTGGGCTGGGGAGACGATAACAGAGACATGGCGGAACTCTACCAGTTTGGTGGACTAATGTGCTTCTCGTTTGCCTTTACGTCTGCTTTTACACGGGTTGCTTTTATCGACATGTTAGGACTATACGCAGGAAGGCAAGAAAAGGGGCGGCTCCCGATGGCACCTCAGGGGTGTCACTGTCAAGCAGGGGGTTACGTGAGTACATATGGGTGACTTTGTCCTGCGGGGAAACAGACACGACAGAGTGTGTATGTACATTTCAAAAGGCTGGGTTCAATGTCGGCTGCCATGGCCGTCAAGAAAGACGCAAGCCCACAATATACATGTCTACGACTAGGTACCAGGTACGGTAAACATATGGTGGGTGGGTCGAGGTCAACTGTGACATGTGAAAGTGCCAAGGCCCCAAGGGGTGAACCATAGAACCAGGGCGTCAGGTGTCGGTGGCAGGTGCTGATCACTGATGGGCTGCGGCCGCCGTCATAACTCCGGGTCCCGTCCTCCCTGCCTCCCCGCATCACTGACACGAGCACCTGCCACCTGCCACCTGCACTTCACATAGCTGCAGGCTGCTGGAAAGTCGAAGATGGCGAGCGACTTTTACTTATTGATCCCTTCGGATCATCTTACATCTATCGGGGGAGCCAGCATGTTCATTACTACCTTTACATGTAAAGATTTTGGATTTGCATCGACATCGTGTTAATGTTAATGCCCGTGTAGTGAGACGCGACTTGGAAGTTATCCAACGGGCTGTCTGCTGCCTTACTGCCTACCTTGTGAATGACGTCGTGAAGCGTCGCAGTCCAACCTTGGAAGTCTCTAGGTCCACGTCCGGTTCAGCCAGAACATCGACTCCTCGATGGCTGCTCTTGTAAGTCAACAACAACACCGTCCTTTCGTCCTGTCGTCCTGACGTCCTGTCGTCCTGTCGTCCTGTCGTCCTGTCGTCACTTCCCACCCGAGACACATCGTCTGTGCCCTGCAGCTGTCGCGTTGCCCTCTTGCCAGCTGCACTTGTTGGTGCTGCATCTATGAGTGCAGACAGGCAGACAGGCAGTCATAGCAGACGAGACGTCAGCGCATAGGAGCCCCCCATCGTTCGTCACCATCGTTCAATCAGCCACCCACGCACCCATCCAACCATTCTACCCCGGCCGGCAGCATGGCTTCTACGATAGCGACGTGATTGCTGTGGTTCAGAAGTGAACTGACTTCATTGCTTGCCTTGTGCTGCAGGACACCCCTTGGATGACACACATGTCGACCCCAAAGTCCACCCCCGGCGGCCATGTCGACGGAGCCGCCACCGCCGCCGCAAACGACCCTCCTCCCACCTACGCGCCCCCGACGTACGCCACCTTCTCGCCCGCGCACCTCTCGACCGCTGCCTCGGCCGCGAAACGGAGGTCCACCATCTTGGTGCATCACAAGTCCCCCTTGCTGCTTGCGACCCCGCCACAGATCACACGCGCCCTTGCCTACAGCCACCCCTTTCTCCTGCCGCTGAACCGCTTGGTCGGACTGCTGAGCTGGACCACGGGGGATCCATGGGAGAGCTTTCTGCTGCTGGTCGCCTTCTGGGCTGTTGTGCAGTATGGCGACGTCGTCCTGCGCCTCGCCGGGCCCATCGTCGTGGTCATGGGTATCATAAGTGGCATGTACGGTCGAAGATACAGTCCGCTGTCTAGTAGCGGTTGGGCCGAGCATCCGAGTGTCGCCAACAACAAGGAAAAGAGCAAGACCACCACGGGGTCGGCCGCCGCGAATTCCGGCCCGGCACACAAGCGCATGGCGAGCGAGGTCACCAGTACGAGACACCAGAAGACCCTGGACGAGATTGTCGAGACCGTCAAAGTCTTCACCACACGCTGCAACATCCTGCTTGAGCCTCTTCTTGCCATGACCGACTTTCTGTCCACCCAGCGAACCGCCACCAGTGCCACCACGCGGCCAGCCCTGACTACCCTGTTCGTACGAATACTCGCCGTGACGCCCATATGGGTCGCCCTGACTTTGCCACCTTTGCGTATCATCACGACGAAGAGGGTGGTGCTCGTTTTTGGGACATTGGTGCTTACGTGGCATTCGAGGGTCTGCCGTGTTTCGAGGACTTTGTTGTGGCGGAGCGCCATTATGAGGAAAATAACAAGATGGGTGACGGGACTACAATTCGAAAGGCCAGAAAAGTCGAAAGCTGGGGTCACCAACGAGGACCAACCCACCACCGAGGCGCGGAAGCCCAAACAGGCGCACCAGGCAGCCAAGGTATCATCATCTGCTCTGACCGAGGCGCTCCAGCGCAGTCGCTCCGGCACCAATGATTCAGGGGTTCGCTTCACCTTCATCTTGTATGAAAACCAGAGGCGGTGGCTTGGCTTGGGGTGGACCACCAGCCTGTTTGCCTATGAACGTGCGGCCTGGACGGACGAGCAAAATAACCCTGTGCCACCGAAAGATGGCTTCGAGCTGCCCGAGGTTGAAGATGGTCCTGCTAAATGGAGGTGGGTCGAGGGAAGCAGGTGGCGTGTCGACGGCGTGCCGGACCTGGAAGATGGCGACTATGACACCGACGCGGGCAAGATGGGGTGGATCTTTTATGACAACAAGGTGATTTGCCCCCTATCTCGACTCACTGTAGCAAGACATACTGACTATGACCTGTAGTGGCAAAATGGCCGCAGGGGTAGTGACGGATGGGGACGTTACACACGAAGACGGAAGTGGTATCGTGATGCCGAGCTCGTCGAGGCGCCGACCGAGCCCCCTTCTCCTACGCCACCGGAGTTACCTGCAAGACCTCGGCCAGTCCCACCATCCGCCCCCGAGAAGGTGGACTCCTCTGCAGTGTCGACGTCTTACCCTGATACATCAACCTCGGACCCCGAAAAGGACAGGGACAGGGACAAACCAAAGAGCGAAGATGATGACGTTTCAATGCTTAGTACCTCGTCTAAATCGGCTCGGTTTAGATTCCCGGGTCCCTCATTACGTCGGCGCACAACAGGCAACTCCCATCGTACTAGACGGACGAGCGAGGCGGCTAGCCTGCGGTCGAATGACGATGAGAGCACTTTGACGCCTGCGTTGGAGCTCGAAATTCAGGGGTATCAAAAGGGGCAGGATCAGTGGGGGATCGGCGATGAGCTTCAGATGGGACTCGAATGATGCGACTCGCTTGTAAACATGGACGATATTGTCCTGGGCATCGTGACGTTCTTGAATTTATAGCAATGCTCGAGTTTAAGTGGTCGATACTGCTAATCACAATTAAGCACTTTGGCAACAATGGTGTCTAAATTAGAAACGACCTCGGTGAGTCGGATGAACAGGCTTCCATCCTTTCCAGAATCTTGTCGATCGACAACACTTGTTCCTGTGAACCGCTTCTCATAGTCAACAGACCAGTCCACCGCATCCTCAACGCAGGTTATGCTAAAGGCGAACGGACCATCTATAGTCGCCGGGCCGCCATGGTGCTGAAGTGCAACGAGTCCACGGCCCATGGTTTTACGGCGGTCCTTGGTGTTCATCCCGACAGAATGCCGAATAATGGGACCCAAGTCCCAGAGTTCGGGAACTCCAAGGTGCTCGTGCGACATCATTTCGACTTGGAAAGTCTGCGATTTCGGCGGAATATCCAACGCGGACTGGTCAGGGGTCGACGTGCACACGCTGCGGGAGGAAGAGCGCTGTCGGTCTCATGAGGTGTTTTATACCTTCGACAGGCAGCTTTCGACCGGCCCGGTCACACTACATGATGCTATCGGCGCACTGCAGTTGATATGCCACGGTGAGGCGAACAGCCACCTCGACAATTGTCGCTATGGTGATGTTAGACTGACGGAGCTGCGGCTTAGTTGTACATCTAGACGCCGTCACTTGACTAAAGGCCGTCACGCCCTCGGGCACGTTTGCCAAAAGCTTCCTTTCGGCTCCTTGATGCGCTGCCGACCTCTCAGTGCCAAATATGTACTTGCTTAACTGCTTCATGGACAGCTGTGACGGCACGGAATGAACTGGCCGGAATACTTGTTGATGCTCGTTGAACAGCAAACCAAGATTATAACGGTCGTAGATCCCGTGGTCAGCCAAGACGACGAAGTAGTCTGCAGGTGCCTCGCTACCTTCCGCGACGGCGAACGGCAGAAGTTGACCGCCTCAGCTCATTGGTGTCAGTCTGGTTTGTTTGCGATGAGACTATGCTTTCATGCACTCTGGGCACTCATCACGAAGGACAACTTGAAACAAGCATTGGGTGGTCTTGATGATTCACCTCCGAAATATGAGGTGCCTGCATGTAACAGATTGCCACGCCTGCCGGAACCTGTCCTCACTGATCGAGTCGGGCTTCATGAACCAGCAGCACTCTCCACTCACGGGGTACGGTGCCAGCCTTCCTCTTCCACCCCCCGTCAGTCGGGTGTCTTTGGTAAGCTCAACAGGGGTACTGTCCCCTTTCACAAATACCCGTCCGCGCACTTCGGTTTTGCGCCTTAAAATAATTATAAATCCTGGAATAAACACACTGGTATAAGCACATAAACCCAGAAACCCCATTCTTTATGCTTATTCCGCAGTGCTTATGTCATGGTCGAAAATACCCCTGTTTAAAGCATTGCTTTGAGGTACAGAATGTACGGAGACTTTGGAGGGTTCAGTGTACATGTTCTCGATCTCGTCGACCTGTACACGGCACTGCTTGGCAGCTTGGCAGTGGACAGCCTCGACTTCAGCTGACGGCAGACGTGAAAGGGGGCGAGAGCATCACTCTGTTGACTATTGGTGATGACTAGAGCCAAGTTGAATAAGAGTCTTCTACACGTTGTCGACCCTGATGGACAAGCAAGCTATGGCCTCCGATTTGGAAGAAGTGGTCGTCTACGCTGACCAACCCGAAGGTGCAGTCAAGGATGATGGCTTTTGAGCTGCCCGTATGGTTCCAAGCTGTAAAGGGCACGCCAGCTGCAGAGTGGCGTTATGCTCCTGTCCGAAATCCTTAGACAGACCATCGGCTCGCTTGGCGCTGGGTTCATCCTATCGTGCGTGTGTTACGTCTTCATAGGGCTCTCGTAAGTCATGGAAGAAAGGTGTGTGACTAGGCCGCGCTGCGAGTGCATGATGTGCCAGACTATCACGGTGCTGGAGCAGACGAAGGTTTCACTGGAGCCATGTTGGCGTTGAGGTTGAGGGAGAAGATGAATAGTATTCAGCCGTGAGCCACCAAAGAAACAATCGGTAATTTGCTTAAGATTGCGGCAGAGGCTGAATTGATTCCAAGGTCGATACGATGGGTCTCTAAATATGCTGGGTTGAGAACATGAAGTCATGGTCTATCATGCTGTCGAAGCTACTTCTCTAGTACTTATCTTACCTACTTAGGTACGCTCAGCCCTCATAAGTGTCCGTACGCGCCATGTTAGCCAGTCTATCACCATTGGAATTAGCATACAGGAATAAGCAGCTCTGGTTTGATACGATATTCCGTTGCTTATTCCATACTGCTTATTCCGATTTGATAAATTTACCGGTTTTGCTGGACGGGGTGTATGGAGACGTGAAGTTCGATGTATTTGCCTTGAAACACACCAAACCCGATTTATAAACACCTGGGCAGGTGCGGACCATGAGACAGCTGCCACCTTCACTTAGGATACCAAGCAACTCTCTCACGACACTCTTCCATTCTATTTCATATCCACACATGCACTTTTATCGCCCACCGGACGACAGGATGCCTCCTCTAACCCCCCTCGCCTTTGAATTCATGTTCAGGTGCCCTGATCGGCCCGCTCCCCAAATGCAAGCCATACCTGTCGACCCAGATGGTGACCTTCACCTCGTTGTTGGATAGGATAGGTGCGTTATGAGTCCCAAGGATGTCGAACAGCCCACAACAGCAAAGACCACATCGGACCACTCTGGCAACAGCCACAAGCACGGGACATCCGCAACATTTTTGGTCTGCTCGAAAGCTCTCGCCCGCGCTTCGCGAGCCTGGAAGTGCCTTCTGTATGGCGGCTTTCTCGAATCCAAACCCGCCGACGGGAGCCAATGGACCGTTCGACTCCCGGAAGACAAGCCTGAGCCGATGACCGTGGTCCTTCACCTCATTCATGGTCGATTCAGGCATTGCCCTGCCACGGACAAGATCACAGTCGAACAGCTATACGAGATCAAGGTCTTGACTAACAAATACGGCCTCACCTACAGGCTCAGACCGTGGGCCCAGGCATGGGTCCGAGAGTTGAAAGCTGAAGCGAAAACGAGAAACCTGCTGTCTGGATTCCTGGAGCGCTGCCTGTGGATTACCTGGGAGCTGGGTGATGAGAAGCTTTTCAAGGCCTTGGCTGAGCGTATTGCCGCGAAAAGCTACGACGATGATGGGCGCTTGTTTTGTCACCTCCTCCCCAAGGAACCAAGATTCGAAGGGGTGTTAGAGCCAGATATGAATGGCTGGATCCCCGAGACTCGCATCAGGATGGTCGAATCACTCCTACCCCCCTTACGAGATTTCTTCGCTGATCCCCTGGCTGCAATGGAAGCACTCAGAAAAGGAGGACGTTGCGCAGACAGCAACTGTTCGATATTGATACTAGGTTCCTTGCTCAAGTCATTGTCTCAGCTTCAGCTCTGGCCTCTCCGGAGAGCGTCTGCCTATCGCAAAAGGCCCTGTCTTCTGGAGTGGGACATACGTCAGCGTCTCGATATACGCACGCAGAAAGACCACGACTTGTGCAGAAAGGTATTTTTCCAAATTTGGGACGGAAAATGGATCGGAAACCACCGCACAGAGCTGGGGAATTCTGTCAAGAAACACTTGGAGTCCCAAAGGGAGCAATCGGGCTTAGCTTAAGTACAGAACATCCGTACACCCCAGTAATCGAAATACGGGATAATGACTCGGGAATAAGCATTGTGAGCGAGTTACCGAACCAGAGCTGCTTATTCCTGCATGCTTATTACATTAATATGGATATAGCATTCGTATCCAAAGCCTGCACGGTAGAGGCGTGCCAGACGGAGACTTATGAGGGCTGGTTAGCATGGTTATCTCATTCCGATTACACTGAACCATCTGAAGTCTCCGTACACCCCCGTCATCGGAAAATGGGATAATGACACTGGAATAAGCATAAAGCGTGACATACCGGAATTCGACTGCTTATTCCAGGGTGCTTATTCCTTTATATCCTATCAGGGAGAGAACCCCCGAGGTGCGCGGATGGAGACTTAAGGCATGGGGCTGATTGTACTGGCAACTTGCACCTGTATAAACGCTCGCTTTATGACCAACCGCTGTGTACCGCTAGAAAGGGAGAGGCCTTGGGCCTAGTGGAAATGACCTATCACTTGCCCTACTATTGGCTTTTCAATGCTGCTGCAACGACCTATGTAGAGCGCCGCGAGACAGCATGGCTAATGGATTCGTACCAATGGTACCAGACATTGCGATAGGTACTACCTCCTCTTGGTGGCCCGGGTGAGACGCCGCCGGATAAAGAGAAGTGAGCCAGGCTCAGTTACCCCATTCCTTGCAGGGCTTGTTAAGGCTAAGGTTGCAACTAGGCTCTGTTGCGTTTCATTTAGATTGCCAAATCTGGGTAATAGGATGGTACCTTCAATAGCAAGTGGAAAGTCAATGATGCTTGGAGATGGGAAGCATTTACCCCAATGGAGCTGAGTGCGGAGGAAGCTTTTCCTATATACATCGTGGGTAGCATGCCCCTTTTGTCAGTGAACATGCCAGAAAATGAACAGCTTGTCTCAGGAGTTTGGGGCTCGCTGTAAATTCTTTCACGACAACGCCATATTCGAAGGGGGTATTAGGAAATGAGTTTGTGGCGCGGAACGACAGCTTCCCACACAACCACACAACCCACGGATAGACTGCGGCCCGACGGTAGGGCGGGACCGAATCAATATTAGGGGCAGGGGGCAATATTACTATCGAAACACGACGGGGGAGGAAGTCGACAACGATGTTGGGACTTCCATGTGCTTAGGCAATGGTGAGTGGCTAGGAGAGGAGCGAGATACGTCTGGATGGCCAGCCGATTCGCAGCAATAATGTGCAATTGCTACAAGAAAGTCATCGTTAACGAAACGCCGATGTTGTTTTCAGATGCCAGCGCTCGAGTCGCGCCGATACTATCGGAAACTACCGTAGCCTGCGGGGATCGTCGAGACCTGGGAGGTGCAGCAGTCAAGGCACCCCAAGTGCGGTGGCGCGACCTTCCGAATAAAGACCAGCTCTTCATACTCGCCCTCTGTCGGCTATCCGAGCCTTTGTCGAACGTCTGCCTGCTGCCCTACATCTTCTACCTCGTGCGATCGGTACTACCCCCATCAGACGACGACTCCCCTGATACCGCAGCGGCACGCATCTCCGAGTATTCGGGCCTTCTCGTGGCAGCTTTCCCATTGGCACAATGTGTCGTCAGCCTGCCCTGGGCTCGACTGTCTGACAAGCATGGACGGAGGTCCTCCATCGTTGCAGGACTCTTGATATCGGTGTTGGCTAACATCGGGCTTGGTCTTCATCTACCCGCGACTACAAGCCCGGATCGGCACCCGCGGGGTGTTCCGCATTGCGCTCTTCCTGTTTCCGGTCACGTATATGACTGCCCCGTACCTGTCGTTGCTTGCAGTCGACCACGACGCAGACGCACGCTGGGTTTTCTTGGGCTTCGTCGTGTGCGCTCAGATCATGGCACGCACCATGGCTATTCCGAGCACGGTGATCCTCTTGACCGAAGCAGCCCCTTCGAAGATAGTATTGGGAACCGTTCACGGAGCAGCCAACACGCTAGCCAGTCTGGCTCGTGCGGCTGGACCGGCGGTGGGGGGCTACGTGTTTGCTGTAGGGGCAAAGGAAGGAGTCATTGGTCTCGTCTGGTGGCTGTATCTGGTGGGTGTTGCCCTGTCCGCGCTGGCTTGGTCTTATCTCATGGAAGAAGAATGATCAATATCCGCCAATGTGATGTAACCGTCCACAGGCTATGTGGGCGAGCTGGGAATGTAGCATAGACTAGAGATCGTCGGTACATCATTCACACATATTTGGGGTTCCTGTTACTTGCTTGCCATTTTGCAATGCGGTCCTTGTTCTAGCCTTCTAGGATATTGCCCGGTCTCGTGGACAATTACAGTCACCCCTCATGAGTCTCCGTCCGTCATGCTCCTGTCAACTTTTCAATGTCAACGCTACGTTCGTATTAAGGAATAAGCTCCTGGAATAAGCAGGTCTAATGTAATGAGCCACACTTGAAGCTTACTCCAGACTGCTTATTCCAGATTTAATACATATAGCTTTCGCTTGGTGAATGAGGCGTGTGGGGGACTTCAGGAGGTTCAGTGTAACGTCCATCCAGGTCCGAACGGCAGTGTACTGCAAATAATTATTCAAATCATCTTCAACCCCGACAATCGAGTCTAAAGAATCGTGACAAAACGCAAGGGATACGGCATTGGTACAATGGAAGTAATACGGCTGGCAGTAGAGCTATCCTCGCGGCCTATATCAAATAAACGGACTTTCCACTGCCACTACACTGTGCATATTGTCCCTGCCCAGAGCTTGATGCTGTGGTGGTCTGCGTTACGCTAAAGGTTGTGGGATTAGCAACAGTTGTCGTCGTACCGACACGGCTAGAAGACTTACTAATAAAGAGCTCAACGCAGTCGAAAATCTGTCGAAATTGTGGTGTCAGCATTTGCAAGATCAGTGATGGTTGAAAAGGGGTTGGCTTTACAAAGTTAGGATTTAAGAAGGTAGTCCCACTACTGCCCGAGATTGAGCTGATGGTGATGGTGTTGGATCCAGCAACTAAGGTGCCGGCTGGTACGCTGACGTCGTAGACTTCGCCATAGCCACGATAAGCACCACGTGTAACGCCGCGGGAGTCGATCTTGGTCGGAGCCGCCGGGGCAGGCCCGGTCCAGGAGTTGACCACGGCCTGGGGGCGTGACCCCGCAAAGGACAGTGTCGTGGCAATGCGCAGAGTTGCAGCGCCCGGAGCCGAGGCGAGAGTAAACTTGATAGTCACGGGGTTGTTGACGGTCTGGAAGAGTGCCATGGGGAACTGGCCTATCGAAGAGGACCCGACCGTGTAGGTCACGGGAGTCCAGGCACTCATGCGTGTGTCAGAAGGGTGCATGCGTAGGAACTTGTCTGCGTTGAGGAAGCCAGTAGGCTGGCCGTCATACTCGCCGACCTTCCAGAGCGAATTCCGCGATGTCTCGGTGCTGGCGATGCTCTTGGACGTGGTCTGACCGGCACTGATGGTGACGCCCGTGGCAGTGGCAACCTTGTATTCACCCTTGCGACATGTCAGCGTGGCTCATGGTCAGTTTTTGGACAGCTCTAGTTACCTGGTACAGGACCATCGTGTATGTGCCTGGCTTCATGGCCGGTGACGTGAATGCGCCGGCCGAGGTCGCAATAGCCCAGTACTGGGCAGCTGAGTTGTACCAGTGAACAACGGTCTGGAAGCTGCTGGCAACACCCGAGGCAGTGCCTGAGACATAACCGCGCCCAGAGGTGGGGACGTAACCGGTGATGCTAAGTTCCGAGAAGAACGATGTGTCCGCAGTCTTGATTGACGGGACACCCGAACGAGAAAAGGTCATGAGGTACGGGCCATGCAGGACGTTGGTCCGATACGCCTCGGTTTGGACGTGGCCGCTGTTCATGTACCAGTACAAGTTTGTATCGTCGCCAGCGTTGTTCGATTCGATGTCGCGGAAGAATGGCCCACCGGACGACGACTCAGGCTGCGGTGCCAGCATGCAGACATGCTTCTGGTCCGAACCACCATATACACATTGCGCATCCTTGTCGATGAACCTCGTGCTCGAGTAGAATTTGGAGCGAGTCTGGCCGTCCACGAGATAAACATCTGTACCTTCGACTGCCGTCGTGCTGCCGGCAGTGGTAGACACCAAGCCATAGGGGTACTCTTCAGGCAACTCAGAGGACTTCAGGCGGGCGAGGAAGCGGAGTTCACCAATGTCAGGTTCTGCCGATATGTACGTGGCCTTTGAAAAGGAAGAGTCAGTGACGTTCCCTTGTAATATTTTAGTAGAATGGAGAGGTCCGGATGGGTATCTCCCAAAACAGTCTGAATAGAGAACTGCTCCCAAATATGACCCTACGAAGAACAAGAACGGGCCTGATCATACGTACCAGGAAGATGGTGCTATCACCCTGCCTCACAACCATATAGTGGGTAAGAGTGGAAGTGGTGCATGTCACTTTGATGTAGTTGGTTGAACCTGTAGAGCTTAACACGCCGTCACCAGTGGAAGGCATATCCGCCTCGACTTACTACCTGTGATCTGCTGCACATTCACCGTTGCGGATCCAAGACCAGAAGAAAGTTGTGTACCCTTGGTACTGCTCTGAAGCTCGGTGCCATAATACTTGATCGAGGTGATATCGCAGCTGCTGCCACTGACGGTGAGGATGAGCGGGTTATCCGAGCCGGCATCGATAATGTAGTTCCCGCCCGACGAGGTGAAGCCAAAGGCGGCATACACCGAGGAGGCAAAAGCTGCCACGGACAAGAATGCTACTTTCAGCAACATGATGGACAGCTGCTGGACTTACAGCTTCCGAATATCCCAATGTTTTATGACCGAAGGCGGGCAGATTAGCACTTGATTCGAGCGAGAGGCGACTAGACTTACGAGGTATGACGCGGCTTATATCAACATCATGGTTCTTTGATAAAAGTAAACACCAAGAGAGATACTCTTCTATGAGACTCGGATACCTACGCGAGCGACAGGATATCCGGGGAACAGAATGCAGCCATGATTGGCGGAAACAACGCTCTTTGTCTGGTCCACCGGGGAAAAGACGGCTCATAGGTCGATGGGCGGACGTACTGGTCAGATGGAGAAGACGGAGCCGCGCTGCGAATATGCATGGGGAAGCTGCTCTGCGAAGGTGACTCTAACAGTGTCGTCGCAACAAGACGGGGCGCCAGTGTCCGAAAGGTGAAACGATTGACGGAATCACCTCAAGATCAATCCAGAGTGTCCACCTCGACTTCTCAGTCTGTCAGGAGGACGTCTAGATTTACAAGTTCCACCCTGTCTCTCCGTTCGGCGGTGCATCCCATCGGGCGAGCGTCTAGACCGCCGAAAGCCACGGAAACTACGAAAGATGCCGAGTCACCGGAATAAGGACAAGGAGACCAGGTACAAGAGGGGGTAGCCATGATGGTCTGCCAAGGTAGAACAGTCGTACATCGGATGCTGGGAAGGTCTCGATGGTCGCCGCCGCCGGTAAGATGCTCAGTGGACAGTCAGTATAGGCGGTTGCTTCTTCCAGAGGGGTGTATGCACTTCGACGCATGCAAAGTGTATGACATCTTGGATTGAGTCACAGGGCGCCCTCGAGGAGTCCACGACATCCCAAACGTGTTGAAGGAGGAACCCATGTGCTTCCGAACAACGAAGGGATTGTTCAGCTTTGGTGAAGATGGTCGCAATGTTACGAAGTAAGGTCCTTTTGGCCGGTTTTCAGGGGAAGACGCGGTCCCAAATTAGTTGTCAAGCCACATTTCAGGGGTAGGGGTTGGAGATGCGAACATACTGAGCATTTCGGCAGTCGTGACTCGTCATAGTTATTAATAGATAAAGCTCTTCTACGGAGGTGGTTCACACTATGCTGCCCTTGCTTCGCCCCTACTCGTTCCCTGTGACCGTTCAATATGATGCGACCTGCCAGCCGGTATGCCTCAGCTCGCTTGGATAGCAATCCTGATTCCTGATCGGTAGACAACTTGCAAGGGATTTGTCCCGGCATGCTTATTGCGGCCCCGTCCGGCCCCTTGCCTACTACGTACAAACTCGCCTACGACCATTTAGTTCATCTATTGTCTATTGCAACTACATGTACGTTCAACAATCCGGAATGCGGAATATTCCCCTCGAGTGTTGATGCTCTGTGAGCCTGTGTCGCCGACGATATGGCTGTACTCGCGCTATGCTGTGTTTGTCCAGCCGCCGGCAACATAAACGACCGTAACTGGCTGCACAGGTACGAGTCAGCAATCATATCTAGGTACATACTTGTCCGCGTATCCATCCGGTGTAACTCTGCCTCTCGCATAATAAGTTCCAGCTGAGAGAATGCCTCGTCAAATTAATCCTTCAGCCCCATCCTCTTGAGTCCATCCTGCGAAATAGTGAAGAAAAAAGCCCTGCTATAGCCTGCGGGGAACCCTGCCTCTTTCCCCTCTTTCCCCTTCCCTGCCTCGTGAAGCCGGTCTATTGGGGTTCTGGCTCATGGTGCGTAGCATTGTGCTGACATGAGTCCTGCGCTCCTACGGGCACAGCCCTACCATTGATCCACGACTCCGGCAGTCCGAGCGCCCGAAAGCAAGGTGAAGATGAGGTGTGGGATTTTGCAATTAAAGGTTTCTGTGTTTATAGGTGAGCTCCCCCGCTGATGACAGGCACAAGAAAGAGAACCTCGGCGCGAGTGACAAAGACGGTTCGCCTCGACATTCTCTGCGAGTTGAAAGCCTTTGTCCGCCGACTTGGTTCATATATTAGCCGTCCGTTGGCAGCGCCGTCATACCTCCCCTTCGTTCAACCTCACAATTTGCTGTGATTGTTGCAAGGATGTTACTGACTATCTTACCCGCAGTGGTCCTGTTCGCCAACATGGCGGCCGCCCGCCAGGTCTTCGCCCACTACATGGTGGGCCTGACTGACGGGCAGTCGGCCGACCAATGGCAGCAGGACATCACCGACGCTCAAAATTCAGGCATCGATGGCTTCGCCCTGAACGTGGGCTCCAGCGATTCATGGAACGATGCGCAACTGCCGCTGGCGTACAACGCGGCCGCCTCGAGTGGCTTCAGCCTGTTCTTCTCCTTCGACATGGCTGCCAGTACGTGGACCGTGGACCAGGTCGTCTCCTACGTCAACACCTACAAGGGTTACGGCAGCCAGCTGAAGATCAACGACCTGCCCCTGGTCTCGACATTCGAAGGCCCAGATTGGGCTGACAACTGGGCTTCGGTGCGTTCTTCCACCGGCGGTATCTTCTTGATGCCAGACTGGGCTTCCCTCGGAGCACAGGGGGTTGCTGATAAACTCTCATTGATTGATGGTGCTTGTAAGTAGCCGTGTACCCGATCACGCTTGTGGTAGGCCGTCTGACACGATGCTAACACGACGCAGTCAACTGGGGTGCATGGCCCCAGCCGAACCAGGACAATATGACAACTGGCGACGATGTGGCATACACATCGGATCTTCAGGGGAAGCCGTACATGATGGGCGTGAGCCCCTACTTCTACACCGGTATGACATCCTACCCAAGGTCAGAACAGGACCGGCAGACTGACGCGGAATAGATCTGCCGCAATACAGCAAGAACTGGTACTCATCCAGTGACTCGCTATGGTACGACCGCTGGAAGCAGGTTCTTGGCATAATGCCCGAGTACATTGAGATCATCACCTGTAATACTGCCCTCCCCCGGCCGCTTCACATTGAGGTGGCGCATGACAGGGAGAAGACTGACCAGAGCAGGGAACGACTACGGCGAGTCGAGCTACATCAACGCCCCCGTTGCCAGTCAGATCGTGAGCGGTGCCGAGGGATACGTCGATGGATTCGACCATACCGCCTTTCGCTTCGTGCTGCCATACTTCATCGCTGCTTACAAGAACGGCAACCCAGACGTGGCTGTCCCAACCGAGGGCGCCATGGCCTGGTACCGGACTACTCCGGTGGCTGTCTGCGGCGACGGTGGTGAGTAGACCATGAAAGGTCGCGGACTATAATTCCGGCTCGATCGACTGACACGTCACAGGTACTGTCTGGGGACAGGACGGAAGCGCTTCAGCAGCAGGGGGGACGTCAGACGTCATCTCGGTCATCGCTCTAGCCGAAGCCCCCACCTCCATCGACGTTAGCATTGATGGTTCGAGCCAGCCCGTCAACACGGTTGGCACGGTTGGCAAGGCTACTTTCTACCAGATCCCTTTTGACGGAAAGACTGGCGCAGTTACCATCACCATGAACGGTGAATCAACAACAGGACCCGAGATCACAAACATCTGCCCTTCGTCAGGCCATGTAAGTTGTGCCAGTCCCCTGTAGCCGCTTCTCCGCAGATACTGACAACGTAGACAGGTGAACTTCAATGCTGTTTCAATCCAGGTGTGACGACAGGAGGGGGACGACGATGACGACTGAAGTGATGTCAACTATAAGTTTTGTATTATATAGTTTCTTGGCTGTGTTGTATATGTGGACGAAAGCCGAACCATTCTCGCCAATATCGACCCCCGCGACCGTGGTGGCAAGTGCAAGCCCCGATTATGTCTAGTCGGGCTTCTTGATGCTGACCTTGAACTTGGCTACCCACTCTGTGAACTCGTCCGTTTCTCCAATCCAAGGCTTAGACAACATCTCCGACGCGGCAAAGACGTCGAAAAAGCATGAGTCCATGGCCCTATCTATGGCGTTCGGGTCTAGGTCGTAGAACGCGCCAGCAACCTCGCCGAAGCGATGCGGCAGCCGTTTCAAGATGGGGAAAACCTCATCTAATCGCTGCGCGACAGGGCTTGGAGTCTGGGTAGGCAGCGGAGGCATGATCTTCAGCCGCCGCTTGACTATGGCGGAGTAGAGCAGAGTCGTGAGTCGTAGTCGCTTCAGGCACGAGTCTAGCCGCTCTCGGATCTTGTCAGGGTCGTCCCGGGGTATGCGTTGGGAGTTCATAAGGTCGTCCAGCATTTCCTGCGTTGAGATATGTGTGTTTTGCATCTGGCCCGTGACATGGTGCACCTCGTCCTCGTCGTCGGCAGCTTCGTCGTCGTCTTCGTCTTCGTCCTCCACCTCCTCGCTCCACTCCTTCAGCTCTTCCAGGACATCTTTCAGTGTGTCCCTATAATCCTCGACCTTCTTGACCAGCAGTCCGGCAATGCCCAGCTTCTTCAGTAGCATGACATCGTCACAGGCAGCCCAAATGACACCGGTGGCGGCAATGCTTCCCTTGCCCCCGCTGGAGCCGTTCTTGCGGGCGTCTGGCAGAGCTTTCCCATCAAAAGGTATTGCGGCAACGAGGCCTTTGAGCTCCTTCAACACGCGATAGCATCTCCAGGCAAGGTCTTGGCGTGCGACTGTTGTGTAGTTGTGGGGTTCGCAGATCTGGACGGCGGTTGCAATACCGGGTATGGGTCCGCCCACCAGCTCACGCAGGACCTTAACGATGGCGGACGGTGTGAAGGGTTCGTTGATGATCAGGAGGGAGAGTTTGGTGGTGTGCGCCTTGATCAGGCTGGCGGAATCATGGGCGAGCGAGAGGACATCGGGGGCTTGTGAGTCGGTGGACGGAGAAGTAATCGTCGCATAGGTAGTACTGCTCGCGACCGAGTGGAGGAGCGTCTCGAGTTGGGCGACCAGGCTCGTCGTGGACTGGACCAGGGAATCCAGAGTTTCGAGGGGGTTGTTGACCGTAGTCGGCGCCATCTTGTATCAATTGGGTCGGCTGTGTCCTGAACGAGTTGGGCCTGACGTCGTGGGCGAAATGAAGCCTTTCTATTATAGGTACCAGTTTTTCTACAGTATTTTTCTACTGACTGCGAATGACCATGGAGGGGCAGAGGGGCAGACCTAGCAGAGGGGCAGCGCCCGTCCGAGGCCAGCTGTCAGCTGGTGAATCTGGCTGCACCCGGCAAATTCCGGCAACTCAGTCGCTAACTTATTAACAGTACTCCTTTTCCACGGATACACCCCTCCCATTGACGACTTTGCCCACAACGCATCTGAGCAACAAAGTAATGCTCACTCTGTTTCCCCCTGCACTCACAACATGAGTGGAATAGCTAGCGAAGGATCGATATGGGGTACATGTCCTCTTGCGCCACGTGAGCCATCTAGAGTTGTTGTTGATCCTGATGGCGACCTCTGTCTCAGGGTCGGAGAGCCTCGGTGCATTTCCCCTCAAGAACCCAAACAGAACGAACAGGAACCTCAAGCAACCAACGCACCCGACTTCAACGCCGAAGAGCATGGAGGTGCTCACCAAAAGCCCAAGCACGAGCACGCCGTGGTTGTCGTGTTTGTAGTGTGCTCCAAGACACTATCGAGAGCATCCAGAGTCTGGAAAAGTCTTCTGTATGCGGGTTTCACAGAGTCCAAACAACCATGTGGCAACAACGGTGCGGCGTGGACAGTAGATCTGCCAGAAGACAACCCGGAAGCCTTGAAAACGCTGTTGAACATAATACATAGCCGCTTCGAGCAGCTGCCTAAGATAACCGATCTCATTAGTCTCGAAGATCTCTATCAGCTCACCATCCTGACCGACAAGTACGATCTCACTATAGTATTACGGCCCTGGGCTAGTACATGGTTGGAGTCCATTAATGATAGTCATGATGCTTGGAGAAGCAACCAATCGACACGCGACTTCTCGGACTTGGAGCGACGATTATGGATTGCCTGGGAATTGGGAGATCCACAGCTGTTTGAAGGTGTAGCAAAATACATGGTTCTATACACTTGTGCAGATGCGAGCTGGAACCTCCAAAACAACACGAGAGACAAGGCAGCTGAACTGTTTTCCAGTATTCTTGAGCCTCCCAGCCTTCATGGTAAGTCCAGTCGCGAAGTCCAGTCTCTGCCACCGAATAACGCTAAAACGCCCCATGCTACAGACATCGTCAAAGAAGCTCGCTTGGGATTACTTGAGCAAATCTTAAAGCCATATAGGGATGCCATAGAATGCCTGCTCCAGCACCCTGAGACCCCCGGCTTTCAACACATTTGCGTGAAGAAACCCGTCAGCCACCAACTCGATTGTGAGGTCACAATGCTCGGAGTTGCCATCAGGTCGCTCTCTTGGAAAGGTTACTGGCCTATTCCGGCAGCAAGTCGCATCTCAGAAAGCGTGACGGTGTTTGCCTCTGAATTCAAGGAGCTTGATCTTCGAAGCCGCATGAAGGAGCACCGCCGGTGCAGCGCCGTACCGGGAATAGCTGAACATATCGATATGCTCCTCGAGACTAAGCATATCCAGCTGGCTGAATCTCACAGACACCACATAGAAAGCCAGGCAAAGAAATCCGGTCTTGCCTCTTGAGTCTGAGGCGGGTGACATGTAGAGATCCCTCTGGAGAGACGGCGTCTTTTGAACGGGCACAAATCCCCGCCATGTCTTGCTCGGAAGAGCAGTGGTGGCTTCAGATCCAAGGAACCATCCCTAGGCGGTAGGCGTCATGATTATTTGTTGACGACGGTCAGTTGCAACAGCTCCCCACAAGGGATACACCGTCCGACATTGGTGGGCTGATCACCTCATTCAGAAGCAGAGCCCGAGAATCTATCGTTTCATGCATGAATGTTTAGCGGAGCCGTCGTTTACTGCAGGTCATCCTCTTCTGCCCCTTGCTGATGAATCTTTCTCCAGAACATTTCTTCCATGTCTTTCGCCTGACCTTCCACCTGATACTTGCCATCAGGATAATTTCAGCTTCCTAAAAGCAAATGTGTATACCTTGGACTCGAAGCACTGGAACAGCGACCGGGGCACTGATGAGTCCGGATACGATGGCAGAACACATCCAGTATCCCATTGTGGCATTGCGCTGTCACCTTTCATATGCTTCGGATACATATCGTGGAAGCCCGGAAGAGTCGGGTGCCCGGCAACTCAGGTGCAAGCGTGGAGCCACGGATCCGGCGGCCCCTCGGACAAGACTCGGGATCACTGACATACCTCGGTCTGATCCTCACTATACACGAGACGTCTCTTCCCTCCGGTCTGTACATCAGGTAGTCCCATAATCCTAGCCAACTTCCACGGTACCTAGTGTGAAGGCATTCAGACGAGGACTCATCAGACGCCGATTGATGTCCGCACTCTCCCTTCGTCGGGGATAAGTTATGCCTCAAGCTCCTCCACATTGATTCCGAGGGCTGTCATCTTCAATACCGCCCTAACATAATATGAAGGACCAATGGACTGTCTAGGTACATACATGCACGTATCTGTCGGGACTCGGCTTGCAAGCTTTCTATGTGTCAGGTCTTTAAGCGACTTGACCCACTTTTACGGTATTTTTCTTTATGAGTTAAAGATATCAATTCGGTTACGTATTTTGGATGGGTTAAAATTAGATATATTTAGTTTAATATTAAATTATTAATAAAATTAAGGCATTACTATTTACATTAATAGCTTTACTGTTAGATGTTGGATCCCAGATATGGTGCCCTTAGGTGCAGTACCCACTAGGGGGCTGTCAAGGGAACAGTGGATCCACCCTGGCATGGTGCAGTATGGTATTTAGCTGTAAATTAGCCCTGCCGAGCATACTTGAGAATGACAACAACATTTGCAGCAACCGCTCACACCCCAAAGGCTTGTGACCCTTCTGGAATCTCACATTTACTTAATAAATGAATATATCTCAAGGCTTATTTATTAAAATAAGAGTAAAAACGCGTTATAAACGTGTTAAAACGTGCTTTAACCTTTTAATATTATTTTTAAATACGCGTAATAATAAAATTTTGTATAGTTATATTTAAATCGTTTTTTATTAAAGTGTTACGAACCAACAAACAGTGCGGCCTGATAACAGGCCCAGAAGAGACGATTGGAAACAGGTTGACCAGTGAGTGGGATACCGACCAGTGGAGAAATTGGAGCAACGGTACACAGATCACGTGACCAGCAGAACCTGGGTTACGTGACTAAGAATTTGGATCACTGGATCACCTTGGATCACCAGTGATCCAGGGTGAGCCACCTAATCAGTGAGGAAGAGATTGGTTATATAAGGATAGATATTTCCTAGCTAGACAGATAGACAGTCTCTACCTCAGTGATCAATCTAAGCATCTTAGCCAACCCTAAAATGGGAGAAATCTCCTTACGACTCGACTATTCAGTGATCTCCCGGATCAGACCAAGTTATAGCATCTGAATGTCTTCTAGTTGACAGAAGCCTCTATCGTCCTTTGTGTTGACTTACCTCAAAACATTAACCCTGTAAAACCCTTTAGCCTTATAGGTTAGACGGCTCGTCACATAAAGAAGTAAATCTTAATAGTTTTTTTTCGATTTTGGGTCTAACTATTTTCATTTTTGTATTATTATTTCGAAATTACTAAATTTCGCAGTATTGCCTGGTAATTAAACTGCCTTTAATCGTTTTATTACAAGCCTTAAATCTAGGTTTTTTAATTATAACGTTTAAAACTCGTTATTATTAAATAGAAAAAAAGTAGCTATTTTATTACGGAAAAAAAGCTATTAACATTGGTCACAAGCAAGCGGAACACACAAGCAAGCGGAACACACAAGCGAGCAGAAGACACAAGCGAGCGGAACACACAAGTGAGCGGAACACACAAGCGAGCGGAACACTTTTACTAACCTCCCAACTGCCATGTCAAATAACTTGATCACAATGCATTCAATTCAATTCAATCAATTGAATTCCTCTTCCTCAAAGGTTTCTATTTCTATTGTACAAGTTCGCGCATTATGGCCAGTGTTGCCGCAAACACCACACTGTCGCTCACGCGCTGCCGCCCTTTTTGGACGATGACTACCTTCACATATTTCCTGGCTTCCCAGCTCACCACTATTCTTTGCAGCCTAAAGATCTATTGCATTTTTAATAGAAAATATTTTTCCTTTTATTAAACGTTTGCTTTTTATTCTACAGCATTTATTTAATAAGTGATTGGCCTCCTCTAGCTCGCAGACCTAAGAACCAACCAAAGCGACCTTGTACATAAGACCATATATAGCCTTTAAAAATGAGCTCAATACATCAATTATTGATGTAAGTGAGCTTTCCTGATGGTTTCTAACTCAATTTCAGATATAAACCGATTGGTTTACCGCTTCTGTAATAGTGGTGGGCGTCTTAGAATTCCAAGTAGTGGGTGTCAGATTGGGGTTTGGTGACGGTGTTCGTACAATAGCGACAGCATCCAGCTTTGAAATGACACTTTCTGGGTCAAAAGGAACAAGCCCAGTGGCACTGAAACCTGCTCAAATGTTTCCTGGCGTCATAGCAGCGTTGTGTGCTTCACAAAACGCTGTAAGAAAGTCCTTCTTTGAAACATGGGTTATATGATGCTAGATGAGATCCTCAATCATGCGACAATAAGCTCGTTTAAGCAGGCTAAAACAGCTGATATCTAAAGGATGGAGCCTATGCAATGAGTGGGCAGGCATGCAAAGAGTAATAATACCATTGTTCTGAGAATAATTCTCAAAGACCTGGGAATGATGGCTTTCGTGACCATCTAGGATAAGAAGGCGTTTACCAGCAGTCATACGTGGTCTGGTATACTTATGGAAATGCTGAATCCATTTCAAACCGAGCTCATTCGTAGTCCATCCGTTGTCTGACACGGCCACCTTCCAATCGCGTGGTAATGTTGTGTCGCGATACCATGATGCAAGGTGGGTTTTGCCCTGTAGAATGATGAATGGCGGGACCACCCAATCATTAGCATTGATAGCAGAGATTGCTGTAGACCATTCTCTGTTGCCTTATTGAGCTTGTCTAGGCCTGTCACGTCTTTTAGTGCTTGTGACGACCATGCCTGTTGGATTAAAGGTACGCCTAGAGGGCACCTTGACAGTTAGACAACGGAACCTAGTTGTTTCGTCCCAATCCAGCCCCCTCTAGCAAAAAGCTGCCACGGTCGCACAGGGACACTTCAAGGCCACAGAATACACACATACACTTCAACCTAACGATTGGCTCAAATCTAACAATGCCAGACCCAATAATGCCCATCATAAACCCAGTCTCGTCAAAGTTGTAAATGTCTGTCATGGTCTGGTATAGGTAGCCCATGTGGTGAGTCCTGGAGCCCGGACATGAGTACATGTACCACCATTGAATGTCAAGCTGCCACGCTTGATATTCGACATCATTTTGGAAGGAACAGCTGTGGTATGGTGGTTATAGTGAGCGTTCCGTCACAATGTCCGTGTCTTAGATACCATATTTTGCGATCGCTGCCGCAACTTGGCAAAATCATGCGCAATACATGTCTGGATCTTTGTTTAAGACCCTTAAGTAGTCCATCCTACGATAAAAACGCGTCCAGAGACCTGGTGTACGTTTGATGAAGTTTGCTGTCTAGTTCTTTCTGACGCGTCCAGCCCCATGTGACGTCAATAATTGATTTGCTATATCTTTAAACATAAGTGTACTGGTACAGAAATGCTCGCGTATCCAGGTCAAGTATGAAGGAGCAAATTGCGTTCTCTTCAGAAACTGTAAGTTTCAAAGAATAAGGCATGCTATCGCGTTGTAATGGTCAGCCGGTGATTCTTTAAGCCAGTGTAGAGATTGTTAGGTAGAAAGTTTTAGCAAGCTTTCGAACAGAAATATGAGGACCTCGTTTTTTAGCTTGGACAGCTAGCTGCATGTCTGATTCATTATAATGCAGTGCAATTGTTGTGGGTGGAGGAATACTGGTTAGAAGTTAAAAGTTTGAGAGGTTCATAAAAGTGTCCCATTTGCTTATGTGTCCCGCTTGCTTATGACCTACATTATAATGTTTTTTAACTTAAATTCTCGTATTTTTATGTACGGCTTTAAAGCTTAAAATAATAATAATAATAATAATAATAATAATAATAATAATAATAATAATAATAATAATAATAATAATAATAATAATAATAATAATAATAATAATAATAATAATAATAATAATAATAATAATAATAATAATAATAATAATAATAATAATAATAATAATAATAATAATAATAATAATAATAATAAAAATAAATTAACATTAGTTATAATAATTATAACTAATTATATCTATATTTATTTGTTAACATTATTTATTTCAATATTATAAGTGATTAATATATGATGATATGTTAAAGTAAGTAATAACATAATAATTTAAGACTAGATTAATATTAAATACATATATTCATTTTTAACCGATTTAAAATACGTAACCAAATTAATATTCCTACCTTATAAGGAAAAACGACCGTAAAAGTAAGTCAAGTCGCTTAAAAACCTAACGAGTATACCTTGGCCAGTTATTAGCCGCCCTGTGGCTGCGCCCAACACGAAGCCCACACTCGCACGTAGACATGACCTATTTTAATAGCTATACACAACCATTCACGGTTGTAGGTACCGGTAATTCCTTAACATGAACCTAGTGACGTGGCCATAGTTCCAGGTTCAGCGCCTAGCAATTCGGTGCAGCCGGCAAGCCTGGACACGAAGTACCGTCGGGTGCTCAGTCAGCAACAACAAGCTGCCAGGGTTTTTGTGGGAGGAGATAGGCAAGATAGATAGGAGCCCCCGTTTTGACATCACCACTCCGGTGCCCCTCTTCTGACCTTGTGTTTTTCCCACGAACCTCCACATCCCCGTCGTTCAACCACCGACTATCTTCCCAGTGCAATTGCCAATTACCCTGAGAAGGCGCTTTTACGATGCAATCAAATATTAGCCATCGAGAGGCAGCTCGTAAAACACAGGTGAGTACAAGTCCCCGATTGTCATCCATTGCGCTCCGATTAACATGAGTTTCAAGCCAGGGGATGAGTGGAAGCTCGAACAAGGCTTAGCAGGGGTGGAATTGCCCCTGCTGGACCTGACGAAAGCCCAAGATGCTGCAGAGGACTATCCAGGATGGGAGAGGGAGAAACCGCCCACAGAGAAGAAGTTCGACGCCAAGCTCGCTGCTGACGAACTACCTGGCTGGAGCGGGTGAGTGAAGCGGCTCACATTCGGCCTCAGAGCCCGGCCGTTCTTGCTAACCACAGTGGCAGGTACGTTGAATGGGAAGACTATCCCGAGAAGAAAAAGAAGGCCCATGAGATCCTCGTGTCCCAGAAGTTCCCTCCTCCGCCGGAGTTCCAGCTCGGGCCGATTCCTGGCACCAATCCAGTACTCGAAGGCGAGACTCACTCACTGTGTCTGGCGACCTTCTTGATTGCCCACCATCTAACATACTTTCCGCAGGCGTTCGATGGAAGGAGTGGCATCGGGCCATTGGTGGTCGCCTCTTTAACGTTCCGGAAGAATCTTGGAATATCGTACTCAAAGAGAAATCGCCCGATATGTTGCACCTGCTTCAATTCCCGTACAACGGCGAGCCGCCCAAGAAGCTCGTAACCGCTGAACAAGTTACGCCCAATCCTTTGCACTTTGTGCGAAACCACGGAGGGTAAGTTGAGCCCAGAGACTCTCGGCCGCATTCTTGTGGTCTCAAGCCTCGGTTGTCACTGGAAGGGGGACTGACTGATCATCCGTTAGGATTCCAACCATTGACAAGTCAGCATGGTCTCTTCAGTTGGGCGGACTCGTCAAAAATCCCACGAAACTTACGTTGGCGGATCTTCAGGATGAAAGCAAGTTCCCACGTATGGAAAAGCTTGTCACAATCCAATGCAGTGGCACTCGACGTATTGAGCAGATCGACTACGCCGCCGGTGAGGGCGATGAGATGATCAACGCGCCATGGGCCGAAGGCGCGATTGGAACAGCACGATATGTCGGGGTGTCACTCAAGAAAGTGATCAAGTACTGTGGCGGCATGGCTGATGGCGCCAAGCATCTCGAGCTCTACGGCGCTGACACCTATTTCAAGATGAATGAGTATGTAACACAGGTGTCTCGTTTCCCCCTCTGGCCTGGTCCTGGGAGCGAGTCTAACAGGCTCTGTCTCATGAGCTCTCATCTCCCGAGATATGCAGCCTAAGCTGTGCCTCTGACTGAATCACCTACAAGACCAGCTGCTAACATCCTGCGCTTATAGGGTCATGAACTACGTCGTTAGCGTCCCATACTCCAAAGCCAAGGCTCACGAAGTCATGCTCGTATGGGAGATGAATGGGAAACCGCTCCCCAAGATCCACGGCGCCCCTGTCAGGGCCGTGGTGATGGGCTACATCGGCGCAAGGAGCGTCAAGTGGCTGTACCGCATCAACGCCATCAAGGAACCAACCCGAGCGCCGGTCCAAAGTCGCGAGTATCTGTATTTCAACCAGCAGGTTGGAAAGCATAACCAGCGCTGGATAGACGGCATTCAGATCCAGGAGATGCCGGTGTCTAGTGCCATCATGTCGCCTTGGAACAAGCAGGTTGTGGTCCACGAGGGGAAGGTACAGGTCAAGGGGTGGGCATACTCGGGAGGTGGTCGATGGCCCGAACGAGTCGAGGTCAGCACGAACGGTGGACATTCGTGGTATGCCGTGCCTGTCGAGAACATGAGCCCCAAGCACAAATTCGCGTGGCGAGTCTGGGAGATGTGGATTCCATGTGATGTCGAAGGCTGGATCGAGATCGTGGCGAGATGTTGGGATAACAGCCTCAACACGCAACCGGTTGGGGTCAGAGATGCCTGGAACTGGGGTCTACATGTGACCAGTAGCGCTCACCACGTCAAGATCTACAGCGTCAACAAGGCGAAGGAGAGAACTCGGGCCAGGCTGGAAGAATTCCACGAGAGAGGAGTTGGCTTCCTACCGATCACGAGGCCAACTGAGTTCCCGACGATGTCTTGGGATGACTACGAGGAATATTTCGAGAAATATGGTCCCCGGGATGTCGATGACTAGGTAGGTAGGTACCTTGGATATACCTAGACTTGCACTTTAGATGGTCCCTTTAACACGTATCTATATTTCCCCACTGTCCACTGTTACATGTAGGTACTTGACCATCTTCTCGAGGCGAACGGACCACACCACATGCAGTTCGGGTGCGTGCCTGGCAGCTGGACGATTCCGACCAAGATGCGATGCGATGCTCGCTTCGATTCGATTGGCTGGGTCGATAAACTTTCAGCAAAGATGATTGGGTGTGCAGATGAGCGGACATTGACTGGTGACGAGGCAGGAACAATGAGAACTTAGCAAGCAGATGAAGATGAATGGGCAGGTGGTCGTTTCAAGCTATTGACTCGAAATGTAGCACAATGGTAAGTGGGTCCGCGTGCCTGAGGTACTCAAGAGAAATATAAGTGACCTTGACCTGAAAACGATTTGCACATCCAACCACTCGTTTCGCACACTTCCACCACCAACAGCTCTTGACGATTTTGATCTCTTGATCTCATAATCCTTGAAGCACTTTGAGGTCGTCGACTCTGCTCGCTCCTTCCACATCACCACATCACCACATCACCACATCACCGCATCAACCAAGCCAACATGAAGTTCCCGTCGCTGATTCTCGGCGTGCTGATGGCTGCCGCCACTCTCGCTGGCGCTCTTCGGTCACCCCTCGACGGCTATACCGCTGTTCCCATGCGCCAGACAGGAATCAACAACACCGATGGCACGACTGTCGTGGTCAGCGGAACTGTTCAGGTATAACGCCCACTTTCGCATTCTCGCATTCTCGCAGCACGTCGTCGAGGCGCTGACATCTACTTACCCTCCAGGAGATCCGAGCCGAGATGGACGCCATGGGTTCCTCAGTCAACTGGACCATGACTTCTGACAGCGACGTGGGCCGACGATCACTCCAGCCTCGCACCAAGGCATGCATCCAAAAACTTAGTCCAGGCCAGCCCGGTCCCAGCCAGATCTCTAACTATACTCGATAGGAGGACATCTTTTGCTGGGTTGGTGGTAGCGGAAAGGTCGAGGGGGGTCCCCTACAGGATGGGATCAACTATCTCAAGAAGCACGACCGACCATGCACCGCGGATCCCGGACCGCGCGTATGTGCGCGCATCAGTTGTTCCGTGAGTCGTCCTCATAGTTTGTTGCCAGTATGAGCGTTCCGTTACTGATGTTAAGGGTACAGTGGAACTCGGCGATCTGGCTCTGCAACGACACGCCGAACGGTATTTCCCACGCATGCGCCGACCTCGCTACATACGTAGAGGACATCCGCGAAGAATGTCACGTGGGTGTGGGTAGAGAGCTCCTGATCCAGGGCCAGCAGTTCGACACGGAAAACTTCAACGTCCTTGTAGGCAAGGATAATTGCTAGAGAACGGCGATGGGCGACGGGCGACGGGGCGAAGTGATCAGGAGGCAACTGAACGCCTGACTCTTCGCTATCGGGACTCGGAAATGCGCATAACTGTGTCCGTAGATAGGTATAGATCTCTCTATACGTACAAATACGTTGCGCTGCACGGTTATGTTGCGGGCCGTGATGTTTATCATGCGTCTTCATTGTCTTCATTGCTCCAGAGGTGGCGAGTTGTCAACTGTGAGGAGGTGTCGTGGACTCGTGGTGTTGAGCAGCACCTGACGTTCGGAAGGCGTTACTGCTATTGGTCAGTGATAAGTGAGTGGCTCCCGTCGTCAGGCGCGTTGGCGCACCCGTGACCCGACTGGCTATACCAAGACGATAGCAGCCGAGATGTCTCACTCTCGGGACCATTTCAGATGTATCTTATCAACGAGGAGGTACATATGTAAAATCCAGAGGAACGAGTAGGTAAGGTGCATGTTCTTCTTGTATAACCCCTCTCTACGATGATTGACTATAAGTCGGACCGTTGATGTCATTAAGGATGTCTTCTAATATGAGGTGAAGATATGGGTGATTCAACACAGCGAGCTAACCACCTAGACCCGACACTCGGTCGCCTCACTTCGCCTGAGGCAACACCACTTTTTTCAACAAGAAGAGATCAAGTACATCAATTTTAGGAGACACCCGGATTGTCTAATTTCAATGTTGAAGATGTACATTGAAGGATGGACATGCAGACATGACATGACGATAAGCGACGCCAAGTTCCATCGCCGAGCCGGCAAGCCTGCAAGCCTGCCAAGCTTGGAGCCTCCAACGTAAAGTACGCTACTGCATTCCTTACTGTGGAAACCTGAAGCCCTGTACTGCCTGCCCTGTGCTTATGGATCTTCAATGTTTTAGTGGACGACGGGAGTGCTGTGTGTGGTGCGCTGTGCCTGGCAGGTGGACTGCTGGACCCGCGCCTGGAACACCGGCACCACAGTCATCCCAGTCATCCCATCCATTGGTTCACCTGCAATCTTTACCTTACGGTTTACCCCCCGGGGCCCCCCCTAGCACTGAGCAGCCGCCGTTATCGTACCTTGCCTTACCTCCCTCCTCCTCCTCCACCACCACTACCACCACCACCACCAAGGTGCCAAGTCGGCAGGAACCTTGCACACCTCCTACACAACACGCAACACACAACAGCTCCAACTTCACCCTGCGTGTGAGTTATGAGAGCAGCAGCAGTAGCAGAAGCACCATATTCCACGCTCTCTGAATACAGCATCATCACCGCAACCGCCACTTCTACCGTACCCTGTTTCTTCCACCCAAGACATGGTTACTGTGTGTATCTTACTGGATGCCATTCACGCTCACGGCATGCACTATCGTTAAACCACCACGGCCATCACCACGCTCCCACCGCCATTGACACCATAGGTCTGACTCCCTAGGTCTGCGTGGCCCTCTTCTTCCGCCTTGTCCGTCTCTACGCCCGAGCCTGCTCCACGAGCCTCGCCCTAGCCGTGAACGCCGCCCCTCACCTCCGTCCTTTGCTGGTCCAGACGACGACCTCCGTACGACGACCTCCATACGCCCACATACGCCCACCCGCTCTGTCTCAACATGGGTAACTCACACGGCAAAGAGGCGCGCTTGTCGTCTCGTCAGGGTGGCCACGGGTCCAGCGCCGATCCAGGCGGAAGCTCCCAAGGCGCCGGCTATCAAGGCGAGCTCCCTGGCCGGTCGAGACGTGCCAGTCGCGCCGACCTCAGTGCGCTGGGCCTCGGCTTTGGCGCATCGTCGAGCTCACGTCAGGAAGATGTCCCCTTCGAGCGCCGGGAGACGAGACAGGAGAGGGAGGCTAGGAAACTCGAGAAGGAACGCATCGCACGCCTTAAGGAGCGCGAACGCAGTATGAGGGAGGAGCACGTCGATGGGGGATACCTGGTCACCATGGGCGTATACACCGCCTCTGAAGACTTCAACAAGCCCATCGTCCGCCAGCTCCAGGTGAGTCCTTCATACAGACGACAGTCTTGTTTCCGTGGCTAACCTGTCCTGTGTCTCCGGTCTGCCAGATCGATAGAAAGATAGCACCCTTTTGGCGGGGGTTGGACGACTTCAACGAACGCTGGGCCGAGCACCAGATCATCGCCGCCGCCCGTGGCCTCGACATCCCTCCTGCTGACGAGGTCCCCGAGCATCTAATACCGCAACCGGGGCCGGCCGACTCGCCGCGAACCTCGAACCCGAACCTGAACAATCTCACCGTGCCCCTGGGACCACGGACACTTAGTGCCTCGTCCGACAAGACCGGCTCCAATCCGGGCTCGACTTTGCCGTCCCCAACCTCGCCTACCGCGCCAAAATCCAGCTCCCCCCTGAAGACGCAAAGGAAATCCCTGGCGGCCGCCTTGAATCTCTCCCGCAATGGATCACAAGCCGACATCACGCCGCGAGAGATCAACCTGCCCCACGACCCATTCGTCAACGGTCAGCCCCTCGAGGTGTTTCTTTACAAGGACGGCATCGAGTGTCCGCTCTGTCTCATGTACTACCCGCCATATCTGAATCGAACACGCTGTTGCTGCCAGATCATCTGCAGTGAATGCTTCGTGCAGATCAAGCGACTGGACCCGCACCACCCCGAGCATCATGGGAACGATAACGGGTCGGAAGCACCACCCGAACCCGACGAGCATAGCGGGGAGCTGACCATGGAGCCGGCCAAGTGTCCCTACTGCACTCAGGATGAATTTGGCCTAACCTACGAGCCACCGCCGTTTCGGAGGGGGCTGTCCTACGCATCCAGCGCCGGCGGGCTGGGTGCTATGGGCACCGCCATGTCATCTAGTAGCTCCCTCAACTCGAGCAGCCTTTCCCCGACGTCGGCCACTCCCATGTCCCTTGCTAACCGCAGGAGGGCACAGAGTCTGTCGGCCAATGCGCCGGGCGTTATCACTACTGACCGCATTAGGCCAGACTGGTCTGTTAAGCTTGCTGCGGCTCGTGCCCAGCAACGGCGTAGAGCCGCAGCCGCCGATGCTTTGCACCAGGCCGCCTTTGTTATGGGCAACCAGGAGTCGCGCAGCCTTTTCGGCCGGTCGGGCCGCTTCAGTCGGAGGAGTACCATGGCACAAGGTGCGGACAGACCCGGCAGTAGCAGCAACGCTCAAGGCAACGAGGGTGGAGGTGACACATCCTCGGGTCCCCAGCCAGGTCCACGTACCTCTTCGGGCCGAGCGGGCACAGTTCGGGAGCACATGGATGCGGCGCATCTCGAGAACCTCATGATGGCAGAGGCTATTAGGCTCAGTCTTGCAGACGAAGAAGAACGGAGCAAGAAGGCGGATAAGGAGGCCCGCAAAGAAGCCAAGAAGCGGGAAAAGGATGAGCGAAAGGCTACCAAGAAGAGGGGTGAAGTCTATGGCGGCAGTGGTGGCGGCCCCAGTGCGAGCTCTCTTAGCCTGGGACTCGGACGAAAGCGAGGCCATAGTGCCGCCAGCAATCTCCGCATGGAAGCCAGTGTCGCCGCAGCTACTGCGTCGTCCGCATCGGGGCAAGGCAACGAGTCACCCACGGCCGGTTCCGGCTCAGGGTCCATATCAAGCGACAAGGGGAAGGCTGTTGACCGCCGAGAGAGTGGAGATGCACAAACGAGCGGCGCCGGCACCTCGTCTCTACCACTTCCCACGCGCGGGTCTCACCTTCGCCAGATAAGCAATGCCAGCTCTATCAGCTCCAGCGGCGTGGACAGTGTTCACGGGAACTACACTGGTCCGGGCTTGGGCGCCGAGGATCCTTGGGCTAGTGGTCTTAGTCTTGGTGGTCGCAGCGAGGAAGAGGACAACGCATCTGCCGAGCCCATGTTTAATTTTAGGAGCCTGGCAGAAATGGTCGGCGTGCCTATCGACGGTGAAGACGAAGCGCCTGATGGTGCCGGTCAGAAGTCAGAGAACGAGGGAGGTGACGGAGCCCACGGCGAGCATGTTGAGCACGCCGTCGAGCATTCGGGTGAGCTTGTCGGAGAGAAGAGGGAGCGTCTGCCCAGGCTCAACACTGATGAGGCTACACCCAGCATGGAGAGGATCGAGGGCAACGCATCTCCTCCGCGCGTCATGGTGACGCCCGAAACGCCAGCGCTTGGAAACGACGAGAACGAATCTAAACAGCTCGGCCATATCAGCGCCGCAGCGCGAACACATCAAGTCACCCAATAGACACACCCGAAACGACGCGCACGATCTACACGTTTTCTCTTCCCTTTCGTTTTCCCTAAAAGCGGCGGTCCGGTCAATAGGCTCAGGGATTGTGGATATTTGCATAGGGCATCACATCACAGGGGCGGCATCATTCACCCCTTTTGGGTTGGAGTTTAGGATTGTATACATAGACTTTCGGCATTCAATGATGGTGTTAATGGTGATATATGTACTCTTAGCGGTCAAAAGCGATCTCGGAACGAGTCGAATCTACCAAAGAGCAAGGAAAGATGTAGTGAATATAGCTACATGTTCCTAGAACACCATGGAGACCCTTCTCCGGACAAGATGTCAACCCTCTCTGCTTGTTTGGAATTGGTGCAAGTACCTGCTTTACGCCGTGATCCCAACACTAATCCATGCGACGATCGTTAACTTATTAAGACATCCATTGCACAACACATAGAAAAGCTATAGAAAATCAAACAAAATTGACATACGAGTAAAATAAAGTTACTAAAACTAAACAAGGGTTTAATATCTTATTTTATGCGAGACTTTATGACTTAATGCTGCACGTGATCTCACTCTTGCGTCCGCGCCTGGCTTGGCAGGTAGGTCCTGCCGAGCTTTCTGCGGTAGCCACACGCTCCAACTTCGGCCCCGAAATGAAGTACAAAAGAACACTTTCGTCTCGAACTTCCCACACGAACCTTCAACAATAGGTCACTTCCACCGCCCGCCAGCATGGCGCCCAAAGGCAAACCCTACGACACCGACTGGATCTGGTCCAGTTACAGCAACGTCCACATCGCCAACCATCGGGACTGGTTCACTCCCTTTACTCCCTTCTCCTCCACTATCACGTCCACCTCTGACCACGGCAACGAGACCCATATTGTCGAAGGCCGTGGAGACGTCAGTCTTGAGGTGCGCAGAATGGTTGGCCCCGCCGCAAAAGCCGCAAAGAACAAAGCAATGGTCAACTCCACCATCGTTCTGAAAGATGTGCTGTTTGTGCCTACTTTTGGGTGCAATGTTTTGGGCGAGCCGGTGAGGAGGGAGTACGATGTTAGTATTGGGGTGGGAAAATTGTTGATGGATAAGAGTACGGGAAGAGGCGTAGGGCTGCTAGAGAGGAACGAGGCAGGTTTGACGAAGGTGATACTGAAGGGACAGGCGAAGGGACAGAGCAGCTTTGAGGGAGGGGAGGGAGGGGATATTTGTGTGACGTGGGACGGTGGGGGGGAGGAGGAGAAGAGGAGCATGGAGAGCAAGACGTGAAGAGGGATGCCAACGCCAGGAGGACACTACGGGACGTCTACCTAGATGAGTTGGCCGAAGAAGGGCATGATTACGGTCGAGATGTTCTCAGACATGCCTCCGCAAGACGGTCGAGCACGCACGGAGATAGTTGTGGACAGGAAGACTGGCCAGAAGACGGTTCCATACTCCACCTCATTCGAGCCGCTGGAAACCACACCTAAGGGCCAGCCAATAACCGTACGTGCCGTGCCGCCTTGACTTGACTTTGGTGATGAGGCCGGAAACATAAAGGGGCATCGCTGCACACAATCATACATGAGCTTAGGACACAGCTGCTTCAGCAAAGAAGCGAGGATTCCAAACACACAGCGCGGAAGGTTGGGAACGAGATGCGCTGTAGGGCAGCGCGACATCCTTGGGCGTGTCCAATGCGCCAAGTGGCCAGCATAACGGTCCAAAAACTGTGTCCCACAATTCAAGCGTGGTCCTGCAAGTGATGGACGTATGGATGCTCTGCGGCCGTGGCAGAATGCGCCATGTTCCATTGTTCGTGCTATACGGAAGCAAACGCAGAGGGCAGTGACGAATACGTCGCAAAGGAGGTGTCACCATGTACCAGCATTCGAAGAGGATCCAAGTGTCTTCAAAGATTGGATGCCCTATGGGAACGAGCTTCATGACGAAGAAGATAGCTAAGTATGGCATGTTCTTTGACATGCTGACGACTATAGCGCAATACTGTAGCTCTCGCGACCTCAATGAAAGTCTACCTCAATGAAAGTCTGACGCATTCGTGCTGGCAAACGGGCACGACGTGGTCATGAAAGTGCTACCCGCCTAGATCCGACAGCTCTTAGGTTGCAGCCTGACAGCATTACTGTACGGTGTTGTGTTCTCGATCTTCTGCCTCCATTTCTCGCCTTTGAAAGAGCTATGGCACCGCTTCTTACGTAGGCAAAGCTTGGTCCGACCGTCCTCCACAACTGTCAAGACGAATCGAGCATCACCGCAAGTTTGCCTGGGAGCCACGGCGACATACCGGAGGCGGAACAATATGTGAGCTCGTGATTGCCTTACTGTAGTTACCACCCGAGAACAGGGCCTTGAGCTGCTCTCAGAGCATGGAAGGTCGAGCTGCTCTTGCTGATGGAGGTGGAAGCTAGAGGGTGTTCCGGGCATTGTCCTGCGATTGCTCGAGGTTGTCGTTCATTCGAGTGACTAAGGCCCTGGCGGCATCAAATTGCTCGTCATCCAGGTTTGCACGACTTTTTGCAACTATGATGTCCACACGAAGGCGTACGTTACTGTTGTCCGCGGCGGTTGCGCTTGTCCTTGTAAAAATCTCTTCTCTGTTGGTATTCTCGGTGACTCGAGCAGCAGCGATGTGGAGTTCATCTCTCCGTGCCATAAGGTGACTAAATTCAGATCTCCCGCCAACATTCCCTCGCTCCGTGTCGAGTCTGGCGAATGACCGCGCGTATTCGACAACATTGCCTGGCGGAATCCCAACACGGGACTCGATAGCAGTCGCAGCCATAGGGCGGGACTGGATAGCATTCATCAAGACGAGCGCAGCGACGTCATGCCTAGCGCTTCCTGCCTTACTTATAAACGTTGGGTCTACGAATGCTGCCGGTATAACAGCAGGTCTCTGTGTGTTCGGTATGGAAAGTACGGATAGCTTAGCTGGGAGATATTCAATATGTGGATGTTAATTCTCGTTCCAAGGCTGCTGGATTTTTGTCAGTTACCACCTGACATCCTTGTGGTATGAAGTGTCGACACTAGGCGCCGTTGCGGGCCCTTGAGTGTCATATGAGTAGGCAAATTCCAAATAAACAGGATGGGAAGCAGGAAAAAGGTATTATAAGGCTGTAGATACATGAAGTCTCCGCTATACCGCGTTAAATCCCGAAATCATACTGCGTAAATCATCATGCCCGGCCACGCTTGCGTAGGTCGAACCGTTCAGTTGAACCATTTCTTTCAAACTACTTCAAGCTCCCAGTGCTGCTGGTATCTCCTCGATCTTGCAACTGACTTGGGTCTTCGCAGCGTAATTCCGCAGGATGCCGTCGTTGGGCGTGACGCCAATATCGCCAGGCTTCCGCGTATTCACGAATCCCAGGCCGGGACTACTCCAGCTGTAGTCTCGCCACTCGCCGAGGACAGCCCACATCTTCTCGACGACACCTTGGATCTTCGCGCGGCGGTCCAGGCTCCACTGCCTCTTGCGCATCTGTTCGGTGTCGGCGGTTTCTGGCTCGAGGCCCTCGATGACACTGTTGAAGACGCGGTACGTCTCTTCCAGCTCCGCAATGTTGGAGATGCCCATGACGCTGACGCCTACCCGCGTGCCCGACGGCAACCTCGATGCGCAACTGCCTCTCGGCGCGCCATCCCGAGTCCAGTTGTCGAGCGACCATCTAATGGCGACGACCTCAAGCTTTTCATCGGCGTCCTGCGCAACGGGTACCAGATCATGGGTCGCCTGCCGTAGACCCTCGGGGCTGGGGTGCCAGGTAGCCATGGGTCCCGCATCGGCGCCCCGCGTCGTCAGAAGTCCCATGCCCAACATGCTGGCGTTTAGGACAACATCGACACCGGCCTGTTCGAATCGTTGCATAGCCGATGCGCCCAGTGTCGTGTTCTGTATCGTGAAGTGACCGTAACTCAGGGCAGCGTCAAGGGGCTCGCCGGTCTCCTTCTGGATCATCTCGGCGAGCTCGCAGAGCTTCTCGACGGGGTATCCGCTGATGCCCACATACCGAACGGCGCCCTCGTCGCGCAGCCGTCGGAGCTCACGCACGGCGTCCAGAACCTCGGGCGGTGATACAAACTCGACGTCGTGCATGTAGACAAGGTCAAGGTAGGGGGTGTGTAGGCGCTCGAGGCTCCGACACACCGAGTACCTGATCCACGCGGGACTATAGTCGAACTCGTCGCCCGCGATGCGCCCAGCCTTGGTCACAAGGAAGTACGAGGATCGATGGTGCTTCGAGGTGACAGAGGGGTGCGACAGCGCATCGCCCAGGATCAGCTCCGAAGGGCCGTAGTAGGGCGAGGTATCGAAGGCGTTGACGCCCAGGTCGAGGGCGCGCGACACGATGGAGGGCGCAGGGAGATCGAAGGGGTCTGGCACGTATTGCGTGTTGAACGTCGCCGTGCCCATGACGAGAGGTGGGATGGATTCGCGCAGTGGTCGCCGCGGTGGGTCGGCGGCGAGAGAGTCCATCGTGATGGGTGTAGAGGGGGGGTTTGGCGGCGTGAAGTTGACAGGCTTGTTCGACTTCGCTGTGATCGAAATGCGGAAAATGTGTGAGAAGCGGGAGAATCGTCAGGATCGTGAGGATCGTGGGGAACACCATGACCAGCGTCGCCGCGATTTCTGAGAAGGGGGGTGGATGATTTTCAGGGTCCTCGGGTGGGATGTGGGGGTCGCATAGGTACTCACTCACCTTAGCACTTAAGGGGTGGGCGACGCACTGAGGGTTTCGTGACAGGCTGACGGCCTACATATATGACCACTACCCCGTGCTAGCACTTGCGAGGGACCTTATGTTTTGATCATGGTGGTCATTACCTAGGTAGAAGGACAAGCGCCCACCATGCACATGTCAAGTAGACTTACTGGTAATGATTCATCAAGCAACAGCCAGGCAAACAGGAAGCAAAGTGAAGTGGTGTTGATGATAAATCTCGCCGACGAGCTTGGCGTTCCCGAAAGGCCCGAAAGACCGAAGTGCAAAAGGAGATCTCGGGACGGGAGCCATTGGATCCATCGATGTCGGAAAATACTTTGCAAATGACGTGTTTAGAGCCTTAGATCCCGACAACCTTGGAAGCTGACAAGTACAGTAGCGGAGTAGCTTGGGCGATGGCCGTGACGGCTACATATATCCAAGATCACCATCTTATCATACCCCCTCGCGACGACTAACATATTAGAAGCTTCCCTGATCTCAAAACATTGCAACTCGACAGATAAAAATCTAGATCAAGGTACGACTGGAATGCTATACATGCAGCAGAGTTGATCGATTCAACTCCCGTGCTTACCTATAGGTAATCCATGTACCGTTGGAGTGATAGTTCCCAGACATCACAAGATACGTTTTCGCATGTCCACAGGGAAACCTGTGCATCAATTGGTCGAACAAACAACGCCGAATGAAAGAATGAATCTGAATCTTACTAGCTCAAGAGACAGTGTCAATCTTCAAGAATATCATCGCCTCAAAGCCATTCAGCTTTTCAAAGACGCGGAGTCGAGTCCCACGAGTCACCTCCGCTAACAACTGATACGATGAGTGAAGGTCGGTTCTTGTATGCCATCTAAGAGACCGCAAATGACATAGCCCTAGCCTTCGCCAATGCCTGTATCTTAATGCCTCAGGTCTTCCTGGGGTGAAACCGCTGGGCAACCTCCTTCAGTCGAGGCACGGGGGCTGGGTCTATCATCCGAATCAGCCTGAACATGGCGATTTCTATCCTCCCAACATCCTATCGGTACCAGCAAACAGGTCAAGCCGATACCTCTGTCAATGACATAAAGCCGCCGTCAAGAAGTTTCTCCTATAGGGGTTGACCCCACAGCAATCAATTTGTTATTCCACGTCGTCCCAAGGGACGATTTAACCTCCCAATCAGGTCACACGCAAACTTATTCGCTTTGCTGCCGACATCACAGTGCAGACTTGACAATCCCTTGGCCTCATTCTGCTATGGACTCGTACTATCTCCATATGATTGACACGCTTCTTACCTCTTGGCTAATGAGATAGCGAGGGCTTGGACACCATACCCGACGGTTCTTGACAGACGTTGATCACCATACTGCATCACTTACAGGTCATGGGCTGTACGTGGTTTTCATCCATGCCGTGCCGACTTAGCTGTGATATCTTGAATGTCACCTTGATTTCAGGCGAACCCGTAAGTACCCCCTTGCGAGCACATGCGACATGGGAAAATCGTGGCAAAGGGGACCCGCGCTCACCGCGGAGTTGCGTCACGACAATATAGTTGGCACCTTAGTTTCAGGAACGATATATTAGTCTGCCTACATTGGCCTCGGAGGGAAGAGCATGTCCAAATTAAAGCTTTCCTGATTGCTACGCTCAGATCCTCGTTGGCAGGTGGTCCATGGGAATATAAGTTTGCGGTTCCTCGAGCACATTTGTGACCTTTCGAAGCACAGAACAACCACATCCCTACTGAAATCATGAAGTGGTACACAGTTGCGACAAGCATCGTTGGCCTCGCCAGCCTCGGTAAGTAGTCTTCCAAAACTGTGCCACGAAAGTATAAGCTCACAGTAACCCAGTCCAGGCACAGGCGGACAGTACCCCGTTCGTCGATGCTGACACGGGAATCACCTTCCAATCCTTTTCGACCTCTGACGGCATCACGTACCGAGCCGCCCTTCCGGCAACTGCGAGTGCTGACAGTCCCTACGATGTCATCCTACAGATCGTTGCCCCAGTCGAATTGGGATGGGCAGCCTGGGCTTGGGGTGGAGGGATGACATACAACCCTCTTACTGTCGTGTGGCATGACGGTGACACTGTCGTCTATTCATCGCGACAGGCCCTGTAAGTAGCATGCTGAGTGCGCCGCCGCTCATGCGCAGTCTCTTGCTGACCAGAGATAGGGGCTACTACACCCCAGCACCTTACGAGGATGCCGAGTACACAGTGCTCAAGGGTACCAGTGTCAATGAAACACACTTCAAGTTCACAGCCCTCTGCACAGGCTGCGCGAGCTGGACCAATTCCGACGGCAACCCGACCACTCTCAATGGTGCTGGTGACACTAGCTTCGCCTACGCGTTCTCGACGACGCCTGTCGAAGAACCGGCAAACAATGAAACCGATTTTGATATCCACGATTCCGTAGGACATTGGATCCACGACATGGCCGGTTCAAGGTCGGATCAGTTTACTTCATGGGTGGCAGCCAACACGGTCTCCGCGAACTCGACGAGTAACCGAACGCCGAAGCTCCGAGCGGCGTTATGACTGGGTGTGAAGGAGGAGTAGATCAGGCGCACATCCGGGATATTTGAAGAAGAGAAACAGTCTCAAGCATCTTGAGGCTTGCCGCGAACTTATTCCGCCGGCGACGATGCAGCAACCGGTCTCGTTAGCTGTAGACATATTCGACTTCTTACTCTGGGTGCGTGTCCATTCCAGAAGATGTAGATAAATCATTCGCTAAGGATCTTCGTTAGAGAAACGTTTGACAATAGAATCATGTGCTTGATGCCTCGACATAGAAACAATCGGCACTCAATTGATGATCGGTCATGGAACCTTACTGGAGCGGAAAGGGGGATCGTGAGATGCGTTACCGACAACATTCGGCATATGCAATAAGAAGGGGTATCTTCTTCTCATAAAGGCATACGACCCAAATCTCTCAGTGCATCCCGCCTGGCAGCTCTGGCCAATTCTTTCCAGGCAAAGCTCCAAGCCATTTGTCAACACACTTCTCGATCCACTGCTGTTGTGCTTGCAACTGCACCAACGTCGGTCAGGGTCGTTCTAGCTCCTCGAAGAGACACGGGATCGACGGCCAGCATGGCACCCGGCCGAAAGTCCAAGACCCATCGACCCCCGCCGCCATCGAGGACACTTGTACTGGACAATGGCGCCTACGCGATAAAAGCCGGGTTCGTGGCGGGCGAAGCTGTTGACGAGCCCCGTGTCATACCGAATTGCATTGCCCGCGATCGCGACCGGAAAACCTACGTTGCCTCGGACCTCGACCAGTGCAAAGACTTCAGCGAGGCTGCCTTCCGCCGGCCCGTGGAGAAGGGCTTCGTGGTGAACTGGGAGGCCGAGAAGGAGATCTGGGAGCACGAGTTCTTCGACGACAAGGCCCCCCAGCAATGTGATCCCTCCGAGACGCGGTTGTTGCTCGCAGAGCCTTCCAACTCGCTGCCCATCCTGCAGGCCAATTGTGACCAGATGGTGTTTGAGGAGTTTGGCTTCGCTAGTTATTATCGGGGCATTGGTTCGTCGCCTCCTACCTTGTTGCTTAGGGGTAGGGTTGCGTGTGTAACTAATTGTCAATCGCACCAGGTCCATCGTTCAACGCCTATCACGACGTACAAGCCATCCTTCGCACGCCGAGAGACCCCGAGACCGTGGCCCAGCTTCCCGCCGAGATCGTCCTGCTGATCGACACTGGGTACTCGCATACCACCGTCACCCCGATCCTCCAAGGCAAGCCTATCCACCCCGCCGTTCGCCGGCTCGACGTGGGAGGGAAGTTCATGACCAACTACCTCGCTAGACTGCTCTCTCTTCGTCATTACGACATGCGCAACGAATCGTACATTGTCAACGGGATGAAGGAGGCGGCCTGCTACGTTTCTCTTGATTTCAATGGCGACCTGGAACGAACATGGAAGGGCACACGGGGCGAAAGACGGGACACCTACATCGGTGGCGGAGGGATCGCTAAGGACTATGTGCTGCCGGATTTTCACACGAGGTCCAGGGGCATAGTGCGTGACTTTGACCCGTCGCAGGCGTCGAGGGCGAAGAAGATGGCCGCGGGCGAGACCAGCGAAGACGTTCTGACTCTCAGAAACGAACGCTTCACCGTCCCCGAGCTCCTCTTCCACCCTTCAGACATTGGCATGCGTCAGTCTGGCATCGCAGACCTGGTGTTTCAGTCATTGCGGGTTCTCCCATTCGGGCTATGGCCTGGGCTTCTTGCCAACATCCTTGTTGTCGGAGGTAACGCACTCTTCCCAGGCCTCGTCGAGCGACTTCAAAAGGAGATCGTGAAGCTGGTCCCGGATGATTGCGTCGTGCGTGTGGCTCGGCCACCAAACCCCATAACTTGCACTTGGTCCGGCGGTGCCACGCTCGCCCAGCACGAACACATTAACACGCTTTCAGTGACGAAGCAGGAGTACGAGGAGCATGGTGCGGCTTGGGTAGCCCGAAAGTTCTCGACATCAGGCCTAGATTCATGAGATTTGCAATGACAACGGTTCTAGATCACCTTCGGAACTTGACACATGGCTGGGTACACGATGCTGATATGTCTCACAGGCTGCCCCTGTCGTGGAGTTCATCAAGTTTGAAGGAGTGTGTAATGTGTACACACAGTCGCATCTCGACTCGGGGCCCACACGTGCTCGTGTTTCCACTGAGCTCTACCTACTGCATCGAGCATTTTGCCAGACAATCCGCCGATCCCATCGTCACACCCGTTCCCACCGGCGGGATCGCCTTCATGAGGTCATCGATGTCGAGGTTCTTGTTCCCACCAAAAGCCGCAGCGACCATGTCTCGTGGAAGGTTGAACAGACCGTTTGCTACAGTGTGCGTCCCTGGATCCTCTGTGCTCAAAGCCGAAACAAGTGTCGCGTTGCCACAGCCTTGGGAACGAGAGTCAGCAGTGTCCGGCGGAGACTTATACTGGAGTCTTGTTTTACCTTTGTTCTGCATCGAGTGCAGGCTTCCTCTTGGGAATAGGGTCATCTTTCCCGGGCCCAGCAGGTTGGTCACCATCCGTGCGCCGTTCTCGGCAATCATGTAGGTCTCCACGGACCCATCTATCGCGACGATGTAGTTGGAGGCTCTTGGATGGTAGTGAGGTGCCTGCATGCCACAGGGGCCAAGGGTGACCCACGCGAGTGTCAGACCGTTGCCCACCGTCGTGGGAAAGGTGGCCGCGTTGGCGTTGATGACAGCGCCGGGAGAATACGTGTATGTTGGTTGCGCGAAGAAGTCGAACATCCAGTCTGTATCTGAATACAGGATGTCCAGCCTATCAAGCTCGGTAGTGGCGATATTCAGGCTGATGGCCAGAGTGTGCTTGTCCGTCACGTTCTGTGCCGTGACAAGCGCCCCAGCCCAGGTAGGCATAAGTGAGAGCAGGATGAGTAGGCTTCCATATTTTGACGTGAACGCCATCTTGCTGAAGGCTGACATGGATGAATGTATTACAAGGTAGTCCAGGTAGGCGATGGCTATCTTGGATGAGGGATGGCGACGCGACTACCGCTTCTCAGAATTGCTCAATCAAGGGTATTGAACCTTTTATATCCCACCGTCTCCATGTGGTTCATGGCTATCTCCTTGCTCTCGTCATCCGTAAGGGAGCAAGTGCTGTCACACAGAGTGTGTCTCCATTACAGTCGGAAACCCGTGGTGCGAGTCAACCTCGCCTTCTGCTACCACTCAACATGGGTCCTTCTACCCCTTGACCGACGGCACTGGGTCTCGAGCATTGTCACGATGTGAATTGTCCCATTCGGCCGAGAGGGCGTTCCCGGCATCGCAGTGTGAGAATTGTAGCGATATTTGTAACATGCCTACCCGAGTCGAGCAGAGCGGCAGTCGAAGACTTGTTCAGTCAGATATAGTGTTTGCGTCGCGTCGCGTCGGGACGAATCATCCTGGTGGCAATGGAGCTTTGTATCGTACGTACCATATGTCTCTCACAATTGTTTGCCCTCGGCAACGTGACGTACCAGCTGACAGCGTCACCTGTCTGCGTCTGAACTCTCAACTTGGACCTGACTACCGTGTGTAGAGAATAGCTAGAGTACTTATTCGCTTATTCGTATACGTAGGCTGCATCTCCTATGGTCAACGCTGTCTTCGAGGGGTTCTGCGAGAGTAGGGATACATCTGTTGTCGTCTTCAAGAACGCACACAGAGGAGGACGAAGGGATCGTCAAGGTAGCACAGGCAAAGCATGGACCCGATGGATCGGGCTTCAAATGGGTTCTTGTGCTCGTGTAGAGCCTCCCGGGTCGCGACCATTCCGACGCAGTATTTGCCTGACCTACGCTAGGCAGACTGAAGCATTCGTACGCTCCCCGACGACCCGGCTCTGGTTCGAGGACTGGACCAGAGAGCCTGCGAGCTCGCATATACTAGACGTCCGCGTCGTTGCATTGGTGGAGATGCTTCGTATGACTATTACACCAGAGGGAGCAGGTATGGTACACGGCATGATGACAGGTCTCACTCATTCCCCAAGAATCAAACTTCGCAAGCCGAACTCCGTGTCGCATCGACCTATGCTACCCGAAATGGCGTTTTCTGGTTAAAGACGCTGTGTAAGCACAGCGCGATAGCTGAGCAGAAGTTAACATAATTGCATGGCATGTCCTGAAGTCATGGGCCAGGCAGCATCAAGCGAGGTTCTCTTATCTGAAAACACAATGGACTGTTTACGAGATTCATTAATCCAAATGATGTATGACGGGCAAGGTGCAGCTAAGTATGTTGACAGCAAACAATACTGAATGGTTCAAATTGCCTGAAGCTGGGTATAAGGATTGGTCCGGGGAATAGGGGCGGCAGTCCAATCATACGACATGCCAATGTAGCGAAACCCAAGGCTTTGCCTATCACATCTGATTTCGTTTCCCACATACTTCGAGCCGACCCTGTGAGAAACAGCGTAGAGTAGAGATGCCTTTATGGAATGAACAAAACTTGAAGCAGAGCCTTCTTGACTCGGTCCTCGTCGGAGATTGCCAGGGGTGTATTTCGAGAGAATACATCAGAGCTCACGCGCGTTGGCCGAGCTCGGTCTTTCGAGGCTTCGGGTCAGTAAAGCTATTTACGTCGCCGGCCGTGTCGCGCCGAGCACCCTGGAATGGATCAGCAGGTTATAATGACAAGCCCCGTCGGACATGAACAACGTACAGTCGCACTAGCATAGGAAGTCAGTTTTGGACAGGGCGTAAGGTAGTACTCGTGACAATTGCTTACCAGTGTGAGCGTTGAGCCCTCATAGTGGATGATGCAGTAACCGCCGCGACACCCTTTACAGAGCTTCTGCGTGTTGGCGATGCAGTCGAGGCACTTTGGGCACAGGTCAGATAGGGTCATTCCATGGAAGGACAGAATGAGAACATGACACATACATTGCTTCCGCACTCCCAGCAACTGCGAGCGATCTTTCGAGTCTGACAGAATCGGGTTAGATTATTCCATAATGATCATAGCCCATGTGATGCTGGGATGGTGGAAGCATTGGATCAAAGGGGCCTCTCGCGGCATACTGTTGTAGCAGAATGATAGGAAGCATTGCCTGCTCTCATCCCTACACATACAAGACGACCGCAGGGATGCGTGTGATAGATTCTTGATGATCAGGATATTGGGACATTTCAAACTCCCTTCCTCTCCACGGATTTCAGGTTGCAACCGAGACAATGACCCATCCGTACCTTGAGTTTCGGCGGCTGGAAGACGGCCAGTTCATGATCCACCAGCCCGTCCGTCTCGTCGACAATGTGGACATGCTGGGCTGCCGACTCGTCTCGACCGGGCACCTGATAGCATGATTCACACCACCACTGGTCGCAACTAAAACAGTACCGCTCACGAACACACTCCAAGCACCTGGGTACGAACTGGGGCTTCCCACAGTTCTTCGGTCCAAAGGAAGCTGGACGGGATGCTGACTTGACATTGGACGAGTGGAGCGGAACGGGTGACAGCAGCGGCAGATCCTCAGAGGGTGATTCTCCATACACTGTGAGGCCCTCCGGGGCAGTGCCGCACGAGGCACACCCGCCCAGGGCAAAGGTCGCGACACCCCATGGGTGGTCGGCAGCAGATGTGCCAGGTGATACTGGAGTTTTGCCGTATGCGGCCGAGTTCAGATGGTGGGGGCCGCGACAGAGCACTGCGTCAAAGCGAAGCACCTCGCGACAGTCAAGAAGTGTCTCGGCCCAGCCCTGGGCGATGTGCTTGCTGACCAGTCGCCCCTTGTGACAATACCAGTCGTCGCCCTCGTTCTGTATGGACTCGCTCATCGCGGGTTGCGATTTCGGGTTCCCATTGGCGTTGACGTGGATGCGTCCACCTGCTTCGACGCATTTAATAGGTGATGTCGCGGGAGGTAACGGCGTGTCTCTCTTCCCGAACACGTACAGCCCTTGCAAGCGTGGTGTGCCCTCGGGTCGAGTCGGTCGACAGGCGTAGCGCAGCGACTGCATCAGCTTCCGCTCGTTGAGGTTCTTGACCTCTCGGATGGAGAGTATGCGCACGCGCAGCGAGGGATCCACGAGGATGTCGTTGCAGAACTCGGCCGTCACCGAAAGCCCGTCCAGAACCAAGGTCTGCACATCCTGGAGTATATTGCGTCTTCGGATATTGTGGAATATGGCTCTCAGGGGCCCCGAGTAGAAGTCATCTTCGGTCAGGTTCTCGTCGAGCTGCACGTTGCGCCAGACCTGGCCGCCGTGATCGATGCCGTCGACATCGAACTGCGCAGTCTTGACCCGAGTCAAGTCGAGATGGCGGTACGCACCCGGGGTGTACTGCAGAAGGTCGCGGAAGGATCGGGATGCCGAGGCGAGGTTGAGGACAGTAGAGATGGGAAGATGCGGGATGGTCTGATGGAAAATGAGGGTCGTGGACAGCAGGCTGAAGAGGGTCGGAGTTGGTTCGGAGGTATCGGTGAGATGGCGCGCGTGCTGTTGGACCTCGTCTCCGGATGCCATTACATGCAGAGCCGAGACAAGCTGCAAGTGAGCAGAGAAGGTACTGAGCTAGCTCTGGGCTTGAGACCAGCTACCGAGGGACTCCAGAGAACCCTCGGCAAGAATTTGAATGTTCCTACTGGGACAATAAGGAGGAAGTACGCCCAGGCGGGACAAACCGAAGCCAGAAGACCAAGATTATTAGTCGTGAATGTTGCTGATTGATCCCTGTAGTTGTCGATGAGCGGAAGAGCTCAGCTACCTAACATATCAGGTAAGGTGAGATGTATGCAGGAACACGAAGATAGTGAATGAATGGGCTGATGATGGTACTATGAGTCGTGAGAAGCTACATGGATGGTGTCAGAAAGAGAGAGAGGCAGTCATGGCCTGATATAGGAAGCAGCGATGAGAGCCAGGGTCGGCAACGAGGTAGAGCACACATGCACAAGACCTGACAAGCCTTGACAAGCCTTGGGGAGTAGCCATCTTGTCGAGCTCACGGCGGCCTAGAACCATGCGGTGAGGGTCTTGAACTCTTGATGAGGGTCTCGAGACCCCTGCTGTTGCAGAACTGAAGCCTCTGGCAGGCTGGCAGCACAATAAGACGGCCGCACTATGGCGTATCACGGGCTGCATGGGAGCTTCATCATTGGAGGTCCGACGAGATGCAGAATGGAACAGAGCTGCAGTTTGGCCGGGCTTGGCAGGTTGAGCCGACGGCGTTGCGCAGAGCTCTATGCCGCCCGGGCAGCCGGGGTTGCTATTGGCGGTCGAGGCGGTGGACGCATCGCATGCTGTGTGGCAGGTGTGGTGTACATAGCACCGGCATGAGGATGCTGACGATGACTAGGCACCCAGGGCGACGGCAGCCGTTTGTTCTCACGAGTCACCCATTGCCGCTTGGATGTCTTCCTCGTCCGCCTCTCTGACGTGACGAGAGCTGCAGCTTGCTCGCTTACTCCTGTGGTTAGATGATATGACTTGCTGTCGACGTAGGAGCTGTCAGCAGGATGACAATCTACGTGCTGTATGGCTGTATGGGTGAGTCGGACACGTTTGAAATCTTGGTCTGTCTGGGTATCGACGAGATCGTCACCTCAGCCTTCTCATCTTCTGGGCTTGGGCCGGCTTGGCCGGCTTGGTCCTGCTTGGCCTTGATTATATCCAATCTGGGACCGTCTTGGAACTCCTTGGCAGTTAGAAGACGCAAAATCAGTTTTAACCGTCGGTCAGTCTGGTGCAGGTGTCTGAGCTATCAGTACCTATTCAGAGATGGTCAACCTGTCTTCGTGGGTGGCTGACCCTGGCGGCTGTGGCCCGCCGGGCGAGGTGTTGTGACGATGTAGATGGATGAGAAGACGCTGCGGAGAATGTGAGAGGCTGAGAGGCCTGGATGCATGCAGCTGCCTGACACCTGCCATCCCTGGTAGCCGTGTCTGCGGGGTGCAGGTGGAAGCGGTTATTGGTACAGGTCCCACCGTTATCGATGTCCCGGACTTACCCCTAAACTTGCCTTAGGTAAGCCAGGACATCGCGGGCATCGGTCTGGTCCGGTCCCGGGTCTCCTGCTTACGGCATCCCGTTAGCGGTGACCTGCGTCATGGAACTTTCAGGAAATAGATGACTGATGCAGGTGGTGCAGGTGGGGCAGGTGGGATGGCTTCAATGCTGGATACGTAGTTCTTCGGCGTTGATGGTGATGGCGCCTTGCCCTCGACATTGTTAGCCTCTTACTTCTATCCCGACTTGCCAATGTCACCGCGTCCACAAGTCGTTTCCAGACTGCGATGCTCGTTACCACCCGCCGTGTCTTTTCTCCAAGTCGACCAAATCATCCTTCTAACCCTCACCTCAAGCTGACGCGCGCCTTTCCGCATACCATATCTCACCCCACCCGCTTCGACTACCTACCGGTGCCTCAATAGGTAGAGATGGCCGAACAACCTGGACTCAAGTGGTCGGCGTCTTTCCGAGTCGCCTCGCAGTCCGCAGATCCGTCAAAGGTCCTGAAAGGTGACAAGATCATACTGCCACAATCTGCTCTTGAACAGCTTCTTGCTGCATCAACGGCCTCGGCCTCGGCCTCGAACTCGAACTCGAACTCCTCGTCCACTGCCTTCGACCGATATAACCCTTACGCTTCGTCAGCCGCACGACCTCAGCACGCGTTCTATGCAGATTCTCACCAACAGCTCCCGAACCCGCTCATGTTTCGTCTGGTCAATCAAGCAAATGGCAACGTCGTCCACGCCGGGATTCGCGAGTTCTCGGCGCAAGAGGACGAGGTTCTCCTGAGCCCATATCTGATCGACGCTTTGGGTATCAGCGCTGGGGATCTGCCTGCTACCTCGAATCCGAATGGCACGTCCTCGGATGAAGCGATCGATCTGGACCACGATGGAGCCCCGACACCCCGTATCACCGTTCACGCGAAGCAGTTGCCGAAAGGTAGCTATGTACGACTGCGACCCCTGGAAGCAGGCTATAACCCCGACGATTGGAAATCACTGCTGGAGAGGCAGCTGCGCGAGACTTTCACAACTCTGACAAACGGTGCACTCCTAACCGTACGTGGAGTCAAGGGGGAGATCTTCCGGTTCTTGATAGATCAGTTCCGCCCCGAAGGAGACGGCATTTGCGTTGTCGATACCGACCTGGAAGTTGATATCGAGGCTCTGAACGAAGAACAAGCGAGGGAAACAATGAGACAGATTATGGCCAGTGCCCAGAAAGCGCCGGGTACTGCTGCGGGGAGCTCGATCGGTCAGGAGATCAACATCTGGAAGCCTGTTGATGGCCAACTCATTCCAGGAGACTATGTAGACTACGAACTGCCTTCATGGGCTCGGTCGAGAGTACTGGAGGTCGAGCTTGATGGATTTGATGACGAGTACGCCGTGGATCTTTTCGTCAGCCCCAAGTCGCCGCGACAGAGAGGGCCACCTCGAGCTGCCGAACATGTCTTCGGCGTTTTCAATTCGACACACGATGGGGGCAAGCGGATAACCATCCAGCCTACCAATGTCGAACTTGAAGATGCAGAGAGTCTTCTCATCTCCGTCCACGGATACGTGCCAGAGTCCTCCCCAGCCCCTGGCCTGGACGTGGGCACGACACCTCACCCTTATAGACTACGTGTCAGGAATGCGGTGACAGCAGACGATGTTACACCGTCCAGTCCAATGCACCTGAGCACCAACGATCGGTCGGCGGATGAGGAGCAGTGTAGCAATTGCCACCAATGGGTGCCCAAGCGCAGTATCGTGCTTCACGAGAACTTCTGTCGTCGCAACAACGTCGTATGCCCACAATGTCGTACCGTATTCCAGAAGTCGTCTGATGAATGGAGAGAGCACTGGCACTGCCCTTATGATGATGTCTACGGATCCTCGGAGACGACGAGAGCGAAGCATGATGACATTTTCCACACCGAACGTCAGTGCACTGAGTGTCCGTTTACCACCAACTCGTTACCGGATCTCGCGCGTCATCGCACGACCCTGTGTCCGGGCAAAATCATCCTATGCAGATTCTGTCACCTCGAAGTGCCTCAAGAAGGCGACCCGTTCAACCCGTCGGCCGAGGCCCTGGTTTCCGGGCTCACAGAACACGAGCTTGCCGATGGAGCCCGGACTACGGACTGCCATCTGTGCTCAAAGATCATCCGACTACGCGACATGTCAACCCATCTCAAACACCACGAACTTGAAAAAGCCCACCGACCAAAACCTGCTGTTTGCCGAAACGCAAATTGTGGCCGTACTCTGCACGGCGTGGGCAAGAACGGAGCCGTCGGTGCTGGGACGCAGATGGGACAAGGCCCTGGCAATGACGTCGGGTTGTGCTCGTTGTGTTTCACGCCCCTCTATGTCAGCTTGCACGATCCCGAAGGAAAGGCTCTGAGGCGGCGCATCGAGCGACGTTATCTTACCCAGATGATGCAGGGATGCGGCAAGAAGTGGTGCCAGAATGAGTGGTGCAAGACCGGCAGGGCGAACACGGGCCTGGAAGCCAGGGGGACCACTGCTCAAGCCGTTCTTCCCATGATTAGGCCTCTCGTGGACACGGTGAAGGACACGCGAATATCGATGTATTTTTGCGTCGATGAGTCCAACCAGCGAAGGAGGAAGCTTGCCGAGATGTTGGCAGGTGAAGGCGTATGGGAACTTGATTGGTGTATAGCTGCGTGCGAGGCCGAGGGAGCCAACTTGGATAAGGCGAGGGAGTGGCTCACCAACTGGGCCCCCGCCAGAGAGTAGTAAGGGTCGAGTTGTATTGCATAGTGACGGCGTTGGCAGATGGTTTGGCATGACGGACGATACCCAGGCACATTTGCACATTTACATGAGCGAGCATAGTGAGATTTCAATGAGTGTATTTCTGCCTCCACATAACTATCGCCCTCTTACAGACCAGCCCCGTAGAATTGTACCCGTACTCTGCTTCCTACGCCATCGTCCCACGCCATACTCTCCAATCCTCACTGATCGTTCATGTTGCAACACATCTCAGCTTAGTGGCTCTATGGGCATGTAAGCAGAGGGGACGTAGTCGTTACCTGGGTGGGCAGTATCATATCAACTTACGCAGCAGGAGCAAGACGAGCTGCAGCGGTTCAAGTCAGCTCAAGTCGTTGGACACCTTGACGGTTGAAGAGGCTGGAAGCTTACCAGTCTTTGCAAGAGCAAGAGGCGCATCCACAGCTGGCAGGCATGTTGAAGATGATATGGGCTGAAGAGGGTATCAACAGGTGAAAGTTTGCGAAAGTCTTGGTAGGTTGAGTTGTTCGAGTGTAGTGGTTGTGTTGGAGAAGACGAAAGTGATGCTGGAAAGGGGGAAAGGTCCTCTTTAAGTACCCGATGACCAGCAGCAAGAGCAAGCCTGGCAGCATCTGCCCACCGAGGTAGTCCCCTCTTCAGGAGCACGATCTCCAGTCATACCAATCAACCCGCCCACGCTCCCACGTTCCAACGTCCCATGCGAACCCGGACCCGCACCCGTAGTGGTGGGTGTTGGTGGCGCTTTACGCGGATGTCCAATGGTCATCACATGTGACGATGCAGATGCAGCCAGTGCGGGGAAAGTCGTCGCCAGCATCATTCCACAACCGCAGGGTTCCTGGCACTGGTCAGCTTATCCACCGGTCTGAATGACCATCCCTCCCCGATGTTGGACCTGGGAAGGGTGTGGTCACACGGCCTGCGCCGCCGCAAAGCTCGCGAGTACTGAAATATCGGGTCTGTGGGTGTGGTCAGCTGCCGCCACCGTATGCTGTCGTTGGTCAAAGATGCCAGAATGCAGCAGCCAAGCTATGTAGTTCGCCGCATACGGTAATCTGCAGCCCATCGGCGTAATGCCAGGCTGACCGGTATTAAGCGTCTCACATCCCTTGACGAAGGGCAAAGACACGTCGATGGCGAGCTAGCCGAAAAGCCCACCGGTCGTGATATTCGTAGCCGTAGGATCGCGGCACAACAGCTACGTTTGCATACTCCATGGGAAAGGCCCTGAGAATATTGCTGAGACTTGTTCACATCTAGCCTCGCCGAAGCTGACCGTAGAATGAGGGTGTGGGGGTTTCTTGGCTACCGAGACAAGTGGAGGAAAATATGTGTCAGGAATGGAATCCAGCCGGTGAGTTGGCAGTGCCCACTGATAGACAGTGGATCCATGCCCTCCGGGTCCTCGCGTCGTCGTTTGAATGGCCTGAACGCTGTCGTGTTAGGTGCTAGAAAACATGTTGACGCTCACGTCGAGAAGCTGTGAGACCACGGGCCAGTCACGACAGTAAGAGCCTGTCGTGGCACGAGAATTCTACATCGTATGGCCAAGCAAGTCAATACCTTACCCCTCTCTCAGGGAAACAAGCTTGCTCACTGGCTGAAGTTCGAGATACGGCCCATTGGCGATCGTCGATGTGTCCCCAGCCACCATGCACAAGCTATAAGGTCAGGACATATCAGCTGTTGGCTCACATACTTGTCTGAGGCTTGGCAGGTCCCGCAGCTCCCTAGTTGATGCCGAGTAGGACCTCATACTAGTAAATAGTTGTAATCATAAATGCTCTGGGCTAGAAGTCAGGTCGGGGGTGAGAACATTGGCAGAACTGAAAAGGAGTAGAAGGCCGTGGTAAGAGAGGCCCTGGCCCAGTTTGTTGTGCATACAGTCTAACTCTTCAGATGATGGGTAATCCATGAAAAAGGGGGGTGAGGTGGCGCTAACTATCCAATGTGAACCTCGCCTCCTCCCCAAGTCTCCAACGACCCATGTGGATCGAAGAAGCCAGCATCACCTAGTTACCATGTAGCTAGCCTACTATCTGAAGCCGGTGACATGCCAGGTGACGCGGCACATTCGAAAGCTCCGGGAAAACAGCTATTATCTCCCACATATGACCGAGAAATCCCTAGGGCTTTTCACATAGCATGCCCCTTCCAAGCCCACTTGCTTCCTTGTGTGCAGTAACGAACATTTACGCCACCATGATCTTGAGAACCCCCTCTCCACCAACGATCTATATACCAGAAGGACGCATAAACTATATGGATACGGACATGAGGTACTGGACTACCTAACAGCGGACTGTATGCAATCTCAAACCTGTCAGGACCAAGTCCCATTGGCAGGACCGAAGTATCCCACATCAGGCATCGGTAACCATGGAAGTCCAAGCCCATCAGCAGTATTTTTCCATCTGTAAGTAATCAGCGTCTGGTAGGTCCCCGGAGGCAGTAGTATTCAAGAAACGTACACAGTGTTGCCCCACCAGTCTGGAAATGACAAACTAGGACCGTAACTTATGGCGAAGAAAATGACGACACCGCTTATAGCCAGTCCAGTATCGAGAGCAGCGGCCATGACATAGTTGTATTTGGACCACCAAGCATAGAACCTTGTGTATATGATCTTGTTGAACACGAGGTTGACGATGTACCAGCTCGAATAGTTGATTCCCGTGGCTGGGGGGACGTTGTACGTCCCGACGAAGATGAGCGGCCAGTTGATTTTGCGGATAAACTCGTTGCCCGTCCTCTTCCATGCGTACCAGGTGATCGGTGGCAGAATGAGTCCGATCCAGAAGAAATGCAGAAGCGGTGAATATATGGCACCGGCAGAGTACAGTCTGGCCGGCCCGACGAGACCCCATATCACCGAGGACGAGAAGACTGTGCGCCCCTGAGGACAGCTGAAGCCGCTCGGCTGGTCCGCGTCACAGATCCCCTCAACGTTCCCGAGCATCCAGAGCGTGACCCCTGTCTGCGTCAGTGCTCCAAGCATTGTTGCCAACCCTTGTGCAAAGAATAGTGTGCGCGGTGGGATCTTGAGGTAGTGAGCCAGTTTCATGTCCATGGCAAAGTACAGTCCTTGACCCACGACGTCTTGAGATAGGATCTTGAAGAGTATATTGGCAATGGGCCGGCCTTGAAACATGTAACCGCCAATGAACTCAGACAGCACGTTTAGTTGATTAGCATCAACATTGGTCACTCCCTGAATCATGCCACATGGAACCATGTAGATGGCTCTGCAGCGTCTAGTCAGCAGGGACCCTTCTAGAAATGGCAAGGTGATGAGATGGCGATGAATCGAGGACCTTATTCATACCCCACGGATGTCATCGCAGAAAAATGCTTGCCAGGAGAACGAGAAAGTAAGAAACTGCTCAGAATGAGGTACTCACGGAATGATGAAGGCCAACACGACACCGTACCACTGCGGCCGTCAGCAATGACCCCGAGTACAGGTGTGATTATATAACAAGGGCAGCATCGGGGTATACAGGACGAAGTGACAGCGGGATGTCATGTATGAAAATAAACAATGCGCAAGTACTCACAGGGAGGCCTGTATCATAGACTTCCGCAGTTGCCACGGCCATTCCAAAGGTCCCCAACATGATTACGGACCACCACCACAATGGCGTTGACTTGTAAGCTCTCATCAGTCGTGCGTGTATATCGAGTTTCAGAGTACCTCGCACGGCATGTTTGATCTCTTCCCAATGAAAGAAATAGGCGTGAGAGAGGACGCTAAAAGCCAATCAATTTGCAACTCATGTCCAGTTCATGACCATAGCGTACCTGGTGATCGAAGCAAAAGCCAAGCCATACACGAATGCAAAGGTTGCCGGCAGATAGGGTGGCGAGTACTCGACATATTTTGATTCGTCGAACAAGTTGTTCGTCAGAACTTTGGTGGTGTCGTACAGTTCGCCAAACCGATCATACACGTCTGCCGTGCAGTAAGGAAGGTAGCTGGTGAACCACGTGTTCGTATAGTACATTGCAGGAGTCACAATCCAGAAGAATGCCGCAAAGCCAACGAAGACATTCAACGCCGCCCAATGAGGACTCAGCAGAGGGTTGGTGTTGTACGCCACAAGAGACCAATCGAACGTAAGGGGGAAAAGACCCATGCCGCTAACCATGCCGAAGATCTGGTTCACGGCGAGGTTGTCCGGCACGATCCAGCAGATCCAGGTAAAATAGCTGAGTCCGGTGAAGATCAGGCCGGGGAACCAGTACCAAACAAAGGCTCCAGTGCCAACCACGAGGAAAAACCGGATGCGAGAGATTCGCCAGCCATCCGCGATTGCATTGGCACGTGAATGCAGGGAGCTGAGCAGGGCGATGTTGCTAAGAACACCCGGCCATATCATGCTTGCTGGCTTCACCAAGAACGGTGCTGACAGTCCAGCAACGCCATACCCACAGAGCTGGCAGCACAGAACGACAAGGATGCAGAATCCGGGTGGCATGTCGAACCCATAGAACCTCGAGGCCTGGATGAGGTTTGTTGCGTCTGCAGACCCGAATCCGAAGGATACGTTGCTCATGATGGTGACGAGAGCATGCTCCTTAATGTTGAAGTGGCGATCTGGATTGAATCTGCTGATTGGTAGCACATTTGCCAGCGCTACTCCGAGCGGGAATGCCAGGAGCTCGGCTACCAGGGATACGATGCGTACACTAGGATAGCGCAGAGAGAAGAACTGATTCACTCCGGCTCCGAGGAAGACAAAGATCTATCGCGCGTTTAGTCAAGCACCCTCGCGATCATGTCGGGTGGAACCCATACAATACCCAAGAACCATGCTCGGAACGTGTTGACGGAAATTGCAGTATCATCTGTCTCGGGGACGACAGCCCTCACGACAGGGAAAGGACTCGTGTCGGCATCCCAATCACCCTCTTCCTCCTCTTTGATGAGAATCCGACCGATGTCGACCTCGAGCTTCATGAGATGGCCATCGGTATGCTTGGTATCATCACTAGGAAGGGTGAGCATAGTTGGAGGCTCAGCGCCAGACATCTCAACATCTTCCTTTCCAGAATCGGCTGCACCCGATACCATCCTTACGGTGTCGCGTATGGGGCGTACGGAATTGGTGTCACCAGCAGGCTCGACGGATAGTCGTAAGAGAACGCAAGACGATTTAATGCTGGTCAAAAAGCAATATGGCTTGTAGGGGTGATCCGAAGGTTGGGCAGTTCGTCGTCGTATCATATTCCTCCCATAGCTCACGCCGGCCGTCGAGAGCCGGCTCGGCGGTTCCGAAGGCTTCCACTCCAAGTAGTTTGCCCGGTCGTATCATTTCCAGCGTCATAGATTACAGTTGCCCTGGAGCACGAGTGAGAGTAGCAATCATGATGGCCAATGATACCCCTTGGGGTTATCGTAGACCACGCACTGCGGCCATATCTTCCCCTTCTCCTTCGGGAAGGCGACCGGACCTGGCCTAGGCGTCATTCCCAAACCGACTCTACTAGAGTCGGTTTGCGCACGGGCCCGCACGGGCTGGACGGTGGCCGGTGCGCGCGCGACAGGGGGGTAGAGTCGATTTGATTCCCGGGCGGTAATCCGGTCGGCGTCAACGGATATATAGAGGAGACGAGACGGCTGATCCAGCCGTGCTGTCGCCGCGTCATCACGACTACCAGAAGGGTGACTTCTTCTAGGTACCCGTGCCATGCCCCACTTTATTCAGGATTCGCTCGGGCTCACCAGCTAAAGCTGGTGCTGGATACCAAAACACCCAGATCACCAAAACACCCAGTTTCTCAACCATTCCCTCTAGATCACACCTTTCTTCAGCAGCTTCAAAGCATATTTAATTCAGTAAAATGGAAGCACGCTTGCAGGAAGCTGTCCAGCATATTGAAACCCATTCCAGTTCGAAAGTCGCCACGGTAGCCCGTAAATTTGGCGTATCTCGCAATTGCCTTCAAAACCGTCTCAAGGGCCGCCCAGCAAGAAAAGGCTAATCAGCAGCAAACACGAAGCTAACACCTGCTGAAGTGGATGCAATATGTCATTATATTGATTGTCTTGATTGTATTGACCTTGTTATACGCGCTGAGTTTATTACTGACGCTGCAAATCACATTCTGAGCGAGCAAACGCCTTCAGCTATACAGGACAGCCCACCTACTGTTGGCCAAAAATGGACCAGTCGCTTTATCAAGCGTTATGGATGTCACCAGCGGCTTTAGAAGCTGCTTCACGCAGACTGAGAGGCATCAGAAGACATCGAGCGAGTCGCTTAGTACTTCCAGAAGCTCAAAGAGACATACAAAGCAGAGGGTATCCCTCCCAAAGATATCTGGAACATGGACGAGACTGGCTTTCGAATAGGTGTTGGGAAGAACCAGCTCCTCGTCACCAAACAAAAGAGAGCCCACTATTTTAGCACCTCTGAGAATAGGGAATCTGTTACTGCTATCAAAGCCATCTCTGCGGGTGGAGAATACATACCAGCCTTTTTGATTCTGGCAGGCCAGCTCTATATGGCCCAATGGTATCAACAACCTAGGCATTATTCCCAAATCAACTCTACTAGAGTTGATTTGCGCACTGACCCGCACGTGGCGCACGCGGGCACGTGCGCGGTGACAAGGGGGTAGAGTTGATTTAAAAAGGAGGGGGTAGAGTTGATTTGGTTCCCGGGCAAAAATCCGGTCGGCATTAACGAGTATCTAGAGAAGACGAGACAGTGAATCTGGCCGTGCTGTTTGCATGTCGCCGCGACCGTTGGAAGGGGTCTTTCTTTGTCAGTTGGCATTAGGGGGAAGTTTGGCTAGAAGGTGGGAAGCGGGCGGGATGCCAGGCTAGGGGGGCCCGGGCTCGACAAGGGGTCAAACAGCAGGTTAGGGTAAAGACGACTCGTCGTCTGTCTTCTCTTTCCTAGGCATTATTCCCAAATCAACTCTACTAGAGTTGATTTGCGCACTGACCCGCACGTGGCGCACGCGGGCATATGCGCGGTGACAAGGGGGGTAGAGTTGATTTGAAGAGGAGGGGGTAGAGTTGATTTGGTTCCCGGGCGAAAATCCGGTCGGCGTTGACGGGTATATGGAGAAGACAAGACGGCGAATCTAGCCATGCTGTCTGTATGTCGCTGCAACTGTTAGAAGGGGTCTTTCTTTGTCAGTTAGGGTTAGGGTTAGGAACGAGCGCGAAGCGCGAGTGAGCAGCGTTGAATTCTGAGAGCAAAGGAGTCCAACTACCGTCGTGACAGTAGTTTCGCCTATGGCTCTTCAGGGACTCTATATAGCGAAATTCTTTTGATATATATTATCAGAAGAAAGGTACATACATGGAGATAGGAGATATCGCGCTTCGGCTTTTAGAACTTGATTTCTAATACCGCCTTGAATGACTCAGCTCGGATAGTCTAATACCCCGCTGCTTACCAACCCGGAGGGACAACCCCCCGGATTACCAAGCATCGGGCTACTCAACTCCCCTAGTCTGAGAGTCAAAGCTGCATATTCTCCTCAAGTTCGCGGCATAGCAGAGGCAAGAGAGCTTGATAATCTATTCTCATGTTTGTGTATACACAAGATATTCCTAGTTTCACAAGGTATGTCATGGATACACCATGACACATAACTTGTGCTAGTATGTCTCTTTCTTTGTGCTTGTCTTTCTACACCCTATGGATAGGGTTAGGGTTAGGGTTAGGGTTAGGGTTAGGGTTAGGGTTAGGGTTAGGGTTAGGGTTAGGGTTAGGGTTAGGGTTAGGGTTAGGGTT